CTGGTGACGTGGTAGACGCATTACCTAGGCATGCTAGGGTAGAGGGCGAAGACAACCGTGAAGGTGGCGTTGGCCCCCCTCTCCTGCCAACCGACAGACCGACAGCGCTTCCGTTCAATCAGATCAACCGGTCGCAGAAAGGGCTAAAAGGACTTGCATGATGTCTGGACCCGCCGATCTGAAGTTCTCCGCCGGGGATGGATGCACACGACTCCCGTCCTATGGAGGGGTCATCTGAATTTTGAGATAGGGAAATAGACGCTGAATGCGGCAGTGGTTCAAACTGCCGGAGTGCAATGACAGAGCGCAACAGAGGGTGCAATGGCAGGATGCAATGTGAGTGCAATGGGGGTGCAGCGTAGCGTACGGAATACACCAGGCTAGGCGCTGGATCAGGCTGCTGCAGGTGCTGGCGTGGGAATGCTAGTTGAACTGGGAATGCTAGTTGAAATGGGAATGCTAGTTGAACTGGGAATGCTAGTTGCCAGCGCTGTCAAAACTTTTCAGGCTATCATAGCGCTGTAAACCAGCGTTCTCACCCCCTTCAAAACCCCGCTGCTGTATGTACTGTACCTGGAACTCACCAAACATTCAAGATAGTTTCCAACGTCGGGTGTATATGGAACATTGACATTCAACTTCCATGACAAAACCGACGATATGTCAGAAAATCTATACCAAGTCGCCGACTTCCGAGGTCTTACAGCAACCGTGGGCCCCGGTCAGAGCCCTGTTTCGCGGTGCTGGGAAAGTGGACGCGTGACATCGGAATATGACTGGTCGTCTCGCATTTGATATACTTTGGTTGTGGTTAACGGCACTAGCATAAGGTAGAAAAGTGAATGGAGGTGATGCGTGGATGCTCGGCATCGACAGACGAAGTGGTATTAGAGGGAGGCGTGATTCTGGTCTTGATAGAGTATTCCATGTGCAAAGTCAAACTGCTTATGACGGGAGCAGTGACGGCATACGTGTGGAAGTCCACAGCGATCATGGTCTGTAAGGAATGGACCTTGTTTCACAACCCAAATTGGAAACTTCAAAAAGCTCACCGACCAGCTGCCCTCGACGGTCGAAACTGGCGAAGGTGGCCATAGGCTACGAAAGCCACCCAGGTTGATTTTACACGGAATGAACTGATGACATACCCGAAAGCAAGGCGCCATCGACCTGCAGCCGCACCATTGAACCGTTGGCTCTTTGGTGGGCCCGTGGGATATGGTACGTGGGAAACTGATTATAGACCGGTGCTGCAAGGTGCTCACTAGCGTGGTTAGGAGTACGCCTTCGGATGAAGTTGACGGTAACCACTATGGCAGACAGGCTTGGGGGATGTATGTACCCCACTCCACCAAGACTATTGAGATCTAGGGAGTCTGGCGATGACATTGATAAGTTCAAATGTGTAGGGGATGATCTGGCGGAGTCAAAAGCCTAACTTAAGCAAAGATCAAATACTAGAGGTAAGTACAGTACAAACATTTCAGGCATTGACCAAGCAATGCCTATCAGTTGGCACCCGAGCTATTAACCTAGAACAACTCGACTTTCAAAACAAATAATATCACTGATAGCATGCTCGGTTATATCCATGTATGTACAGAACCCCTTCCTCCGTATACCAACCTGGAAGTGGAAGCCTAACTGCTGGATGAAGAGATGTCAGCGAAGGGAGCGCAAAGCGTCGGCATTGGACGATAGAAAGCAAAATATCGTGGCTTATCAGACGATGTCGGCTCATGACATGAGTGTTATTATGTTTCCTCATCATTGAAGGCTCAGACAAGGGAACAGTTTCCTTGCATCATACACGGACTGGTCACTTATGGTTGTAAGAGGATTGAGACTCACTTTACAAAGTATTCGGTGAATGTTTTTTAAAGACGGTTATAGCGCTCTGATCCGAAATAGTGGGAACTACATGTAAACCACGGTCAAACAGTATTGACAATTGACTGGGAGACAGGCAGCCATGAACTGCGGCAAGAGGGGCCTAGGGAAAAAGACGATTGAGAAGAGCAGACATCAAGGCAAAATCAGCATCCCTATATAGATTCTCCTTATTTCCGTTCACCGTGACCTTCACTCACGTCCCTGATCTTAGACCTTATTCTTGGCACCGTCAGTTTTCCCGGCGTTGCTCTCATCGTGAACAAGTATGATTCACTTCTTGGCAACCCACGCGCAGTCCGAAATGCCGCCGACATCGACACCAGCTCTCAGATTTTGTAGATTGCGACTCGCATTTGTCGCATTGATGCTGGATGCGGCCCAGTCTGTCGGCCGTCTTCGTGGTATTATTCCATGGGACAGTCACTATGAATCATTCCGGGTCCGATACGGCCACACCCCGACCCACGCCGCATCCTCCGGCTCGTCAGCACTCAGTTTTTCAACCAAAACAGGAGTCAAGAGAGAGCGTGACCTATACAGCAGCAGTTTACGAATTATCTGTTGTCATGGCCCGCCGCAATTGGCAAATCTACGTCTATTGGCCCTTGCCATCGCTTGACACAGGGCCAGAACTTTGAACTCCTGTCCCAAGCCTGACATCCTAAAAAATGATCCGTGGACTCCAGCCAACGGCCAGCACACGAGCCGCCGTGTAGCATACAAGCGCAACGAAATACGCCACGCCATCGAATATGATCAAGTTCTTCCACCCCTCCTCTGCCGACCCAGAATCCAGAATGGCGCCTCCGATCGGAACGCTGCTGAGGGTGCCGAAGCTTGCCACCATCATGGCGGTCGAGTAGAGCCGGCCATACCGGCGATGATCACACAGCTGCCCCAAGCAGACGGGCACCAGCCCCAGGTTGCTCCCGCTCGCGAATCCAAAAAGCACCGCGTATGTAATCAGCATCGCCTTGGAGGTGCCCGCAGGCAGCCACAGCGCCAGCACCGTGACGAAGCAGAGGGCGATGGTGGCGATGATGACGTTGAATCGCCCGAACCGGTCGGCGAGAAGACCCGGGAGAACACGCCCCACGACCGATCCGGCGTTCAGGTACGACAGAAGCAAGTAACTCTCGGTCGCATCTTGACCGTGGGCGGCGGCGTACGAGACGATGAAGGTGAGCGGCACAAACAGCCCCCACTCCATGAAGAAGATGCCGATCGAAGCAAACGCGAACCGGGCGTCCTTGAACACGCTGAAATCAGGCCAGACCGACTGCACCTTGGACCGGCCATCGCGGCCCTTGGCGGGCGTAAGGCGCGTCTTGATAAAGAGGTTCGAAGGAATGGCCAGGCCAAGCATGATGAGGGCAAGGATGCGGCAGCTCCACGCGAAGCCCACGCTGGGCAGCAGCGCGCGCAGCAGGACGGGGAACACCACGCCGCCGACGCCGCCGGCTGTCGTGGCAATCCCCGTCGCCAGCCCCCTCCGGGCGTTGAAGAAGTGCGCGATCGCGCCGTAGGCCGGACTGTTGAGCAGCGCGCCGCCCAGCCCGCCCATGACTGAGTACGTCAGGATAATCTGGTAATACTCTGGGCATCATGCCACACACAAATCAGCAACCACAATTGATAACCAAGATCCCTCCCCTTTCACATTATCCTCAACTCCCACCCCCGACATAACAAAAAGAGTAAAAACAAAATAAAAAAAAGGTAAGAAAAAAGAAATGCAATGAAATAAACCTACCCTCACACCAACTCAACAACAACAAACTCCCAAAAATCAACCCTCCGCCCACCGCAACAAGCACCCTCGCCCCAAACCGATCAAACACAGGACCTACTTGGATCCCGACGAAAAACACAATGAACAAATACAGGCTAAACACCCAGCCGATTTCAGAGGATGTCTTGTGCGCCAGCTGGTGCGTCACAAAGTACGACTCGAACACGGCCGCCGAGTTGATCAGCCCGAACAAGGACAGCATGGCGCTGAAGGAGCCGAGCACGACGAGCCAGGCTGTGAGGCCGCCTTCGGGGAAGTCGAGGGTTGTGGAGGCTGTTGCTGTCGAGGGGTGGAGGGTTAGGGGGTTCAAGTTTGTGGGGTTGGCTGCTTCGGGGTCGGGGCCGAGGTCGTTCTTTTCGGGGTAGTAGTAGGTCGCGTCGGGGTGGGTGGTGGTGGGTGTGGCATTGTGGATGGGTTGGATGTGATCGGCGGTGGTTTCGGCGGGGACGATTTCGTTGCAGGCGGACGGCGATGGGGTCCTATCTGATGGGGATGGCGGTGGTTTTTCGGTGTCGGAAAGTGAGAGAGTGGTTGTTGAATTGGTGGCGGTATAGCTGCTGTCGCTGTCGCGCTTTGCTGTTGCCATGTTGCTGATTTGAGGTTTGGGGTCTCCGGCAGGTGAATTCGGCGCGCTGCCCGATTCGGGGGCCGATCAAATTGATTAGTGCAGGCGCTCTCCGATCGGAGATGGTCAAGGAAGCAGCCTGATTCTCCCGCCGATAACTTTCACCTTGTGTTCACTCTGGCAAGTGAGATGGGTTGCCCGGAGACTCAAACATTACGGACTAATTATGCGCTGTACCTTATAAGAAAAAGGAAGGATGTCATGTGTCATTGTTTGCTCTGATCCGGCAAGTGAAAAATTCTCCGTGGGTCTCGGCCGGGGCCTTTCTCCACTTCCTTCCGATCCGACACCGCCATACGCCGGCAGCCGCCGCTCCTCTCTAGTGCTTCTGTAACGTCATTAATAGCTTTCGCTGAGATAGGTACTACGCCATAATAACATACTTTTTGATGTGCCCGCATCAATCATCAACACACCTCTCTTCCTCGTTCCTCTCAAGCGCGTCGGAGCGGACTCCTCCATCACAATCACTTCAGAAACAGGGCCCGGGGACCCGTGAACGCCCCGGGCCTCGGCGTCTTCCGTCAATCGAAGCCGACCTGCCAGTGAACTGTTGCCTTTACATTTTCCGACCATGTCTCGGCATAACAGAGTTGGTCGAGGAAAGTCAAGAGGGAGGTATGTTTCGAGCGCATATCGCCGAAGTTCGCTCGATCCTCCCGTGTTACACGGAACCGACCCGGCAAGGAGGGAGGGACTCGAGTCTGCGGTTGGGTCACCTAGCGCCATTCAAGTTTGTGCCAACGTGTTTCAGATCGTAGGTGCTACTGGCCGATCGTGTACAGAACAGCATTGTGAACAACTTGATGATTGTCCAGCCTCTCGGTCCGACCCCACGTTTCGGGATATGTGTTTTGCCCAGAGGTGGACTCGGGTAGGGTGGTGAAGCATTACGCCTAAGGTAAGGTAGCAGGGTAGGGACTCGGTTCGCCACTTCCATTCGCTTCGCTCGCAGTCGGCGGAGTGTGGACGCGACAAGCTTGAGAAACGAATGGCAAGTCCGGGCTACTCTGACTGATGTCTCGTGCGCCGTTGCACATACTGTTTTGTTTGAACTGAAACACGGCAAGGACGGGATACAGGACGATTGTGCTACTACCTTACTCGATTCTCGACTTGGTGTATATGCTCCAGTCAGTGCCAGAGCCTGCAGAACTTTGTCAATCCTACCGCGCCACGGGCCTGTTAGTTAGGTACTTACATCGTAGAGAGCTTAAGCATGACTACTTTCTATTGATAGAATCGTCTCCTCGATCATCCCATTAGACATGATTTCGAAATTTGGCTAGTTGAAGCTAGTTACTGGCCTTTTTCTAGGTTGCAAGCTGTCATGGTCAACGTTTCCTTAGCAGCCTTGTTGTTCTTGTGAATGAAGAACATGGTAATTGGCTGAATGACTAGACGGTGGCAGTGTAACTGCGGAACAGCACAACATGTTGGTAGCCAGTCCTGCATAGTGTACTACGGCCGCTCATGTTCAGGGTGGAGTGCGCGGTTACCACAACAGCTCCACCGCTCACTTCCCTGAGAGGAGACTGGTCGTATATTATAAGTCGTATTTGCCCATTTACTACAGATACATGATTCAATCTGCTTGCCTCCAGTCGACTCCAACGCTCCTCCACTGACATCACCGACCATATAAAAGGCAACGCTAACAGTGGTATATAGAGTGTCGATATTGACGATTGCGTCAAGGGCATCGGGCAGTTAACCAATTATTCAGATAGATTGCAATGAGAACAAGCCGGGCAATTGTGTTCCGGCTCTTTACCGAACACCACTCTCCTTCTTCACTGCCAGCCGGCGCCGATCCGGGTGAATGTAGCAGCATTACCGCCAAGCGAAACCCATATGACAGCCCCCGCTCCTTGGGTTGCTATGACTTATTATCCCTGATTTTGCCTTTCCTATACACGGAACTTGGCAGCGACGCCGGCACTGGAGACCTGGGCTAGGAGCAAGCATCTAAATTGTATGAGCCCGGTAGATGACCCCTGGCCTCCTCTGGCCACAGCATTCGGAGGCTATCATCATAAGAATGAACCCTTCTCGCTCCAACATCTCGGAAGCTGCCGACCCGCTGCTGCCATGTTGTGAAATTTGATTTGTAGACTCCGTTTCGAATAACTACATCATCCGTCTTGCGCTCAGAATCATCAAGAGGAGCCAAATACCTGAACTTCCCCGGCTTCCCGGACAGGGGTTCTAATCTACGCCAGCCCTCGTTTTGCAGTCCTCAGGGGCCATGGGTTATCTCATCACACTCGCGGGCTTCGCGGCCCTAGCCTCCATCTTCGCTCCCGAAGTCGTCGCTCAGTCATGCTCGGGGGTCACTGGCCGATTCCAGCCCAGGATGGGCTCTGGGTACAGATACAGCGTGCTTGCCACTGGTCTCCGCCAGCCCAGACACATTGTTGTGGACTCGGCGGGCAACCTGCTTGTGGCCGAAGGAGGCACTCAGGGGGTCCGACGGCTTGTGTTGCAGGACCAAGGCAACATTGTATGCGTTCAGTCCAACACTCAAATCGTCAGCGGATCGGTAAGCCAAACTCTTTCCCCTGCTCCCATACTTGACGGCCAATTAAAACACGATGTGCTTACCTACCTTAGACAAACCATGGGATCGCCCTCAGCGCCGATGGTAAGACTCTCTTCACCTCCAACCTCGCCAGCGTGACAGCATATTCGTACGATGCCGCCACCGGTCAAGTCGGCCAAGGCCGGCAGATCGTCACGGGCATGTCTTTCCAAGGAACGCACCCGACCCGGGCCATCGCCACGTCCAAATGGAGCCCGGACACCATCCTGGTGGCTCGGGGCTCCGCGAGCAACATCGACACCACCACGACGCAGCAGTCTGCCGCACGCAGCGTGATCAAGGCCTTCAGCATCAGCAAAGGCATGCAGACGGCACACAACTACGCCTCGGGCGGCGAATTGATCGCCTGGGGGCTCCGCAACGTCGTCGGCATGACAGAGGACCCCGTCTATGGCGGATTCGTATGTCTCCCTTTCTCCGTCATCACTATCATATCATCAAGGAGAGAACAACTACTGACTTCAATCTCCAAGTGGTCGGTCGAGAACCAAATGGACGACCTGCGGCTCAACGGGCGCGACATCCACAACGACAACCCGGCCGAGCGGCTGAGCTACCACGGGGTGCTCAACGACACGGCCAACCGCTACAAGGGCCTCAACTATGGCTACCCTTCGTGCGTGCCCGCCTGGGACCCGCAGAATGTGGGCATTAGCGGCCTGCTGGTCGGCAGCCTCTTCAAGCCCGACGGCGTGCCCAACGTCGCCGCCGACGCCTGCGCCAACAACTACATGACGGGCCGCCTGCACTTTCACGCCCACACCGCCCCGCTGGATATTAAGTTCAACAGGAACAGCACCGCGGCGTATATCGCTTTTCACGGCAGCTGGTGCGTCAGGATACCCTTCAACCCCTTACCTTTGGTGGATGCACTCCAGTCAGGGGCCTGGCAGATTCTTGGTAGTGGAAACTTGCTGACCTGGCGTCGTAACGCCAAAAAGGAACCGCAACCCAGCCGACGGCTACCGCGTCATGCGCGTCGACTTCGCCAACGGCCAGCCCGTGCACGCCGTCACCAGCAAGACGGCCCAGATCCCCGTCATGGAGAACGGCAACATCGGCGGCTGCCCCAACAACTGCTTCCGGCCCGTTGGCCTCGACTTTGACCAGAGGGGCAGGTTGTTTGTGTCGAGCGATACGTCGGGCGAGATTTATGTCATTTATGGTGCGTAAGGTAACTTGGACTGTGAAAGGGGTGGTTGTTGTTCAAGTTGTCAGACTTGGGATGGATTACCCATGTGGTTCGGTTGAAGCTCCTGTTGACAGTGACGTCTTGGTGTTTTGTACATCCGTAGACGTGTGAATAGCAGGGCGCACTGTATCGAGGAATCTGTACAAGCCAAATGCCGGAGGAGTGAAAATACTGGAGACTAGTAACATGACAATGCGGAATGGCTGCACTAGTGATATGTCACTAAACAGGGAGCACTGAGGTGTACATCGGTTGTTCTGCTCAGCCTGGTTTGAATAATAGCTTGGAGCTGCGTGCCTAGCCGCTGTCATCGCAGCCACGAGTCAAACATTGTGTACGCTATTAGGCAAGACCACATGCATCATTTCCTCGCCATTGAGTTGTACTCGGCAGCAAAGTAAGGGGTTGACGTTGGCCTGTGACTTGACACTTAGGTTGGCTAAGCACCTCAGACAAAAGGAGCATTAGACATGCAGGAACACGATCGTAGGACGTTGCATGGCCACAAGACCTTGCTGGACACCTAGTGTTCAGTGGCCTCTTTCACGTCAGGGTGTGATGGCACCTTCGCTCGTCCGATTCCTACTTCACGTGCTGTCCAACTTGGCGCTTCGTTACTGGCTGACAATGGCGCGCATTCAACGACGACCACCAACTCATGTTACAGCGCTCAGTTTGGCGTGGCTCCTTTTGACATTTGGCTCACGTGGTCTTGATGTTGTCATAGCAAATGAACACTTCACCAGCTTGCTCACGCCTGAATCTATCTATTCAAGCAAGGATCGAGGTGAATATAAGTGCACCTGGTAAGCCTCCTTCAGCGTTCTTGGGTACATCCCTTCTTCCACACACCAAACCATGCAAAGCACTAACCTAACGCCTAATTCAAGTTCCTTAAAATCCCAACGCCACATAGCACCAAGGATCAACCAACACACGGGACTGCTTGGACACGGGACTGCTTGGACACGGGACTGCTTGGACACGGGACTGCTTGGACACGGGACTGCTTGCACACGTCACTACCAGACCACCTATAGTATGGTTTCCCTCCCAGTCTTAGATCTTGCCTCAATCTATCAACCCCCTGGGAGCTTACCAAGCATCATCACCAATTAGCAACATTAATCCCAGCGCACGGAGAACGATAGAAAAAATGCCATCATCATCGTCCAGCACCAAGGTTCCCCAGATCTCCGTGAGCCCCCCGTCCAAGGAGGGCAATGACAGCAGCAAGTTCAGCTCGAGCGGGAGCACCAGCACAGCTGCCAAGGACAAAAACCTGCTTGGTGTCGCCAAGACAATTACCAGCGATGGCGGAAAGGCAACGAGGAAGTAACTGGTTAGGTTTAGATTCAATGGCTTGATGGAAAGCCACATAGGTAGGGGTGAGAAGGGGAAGTTTATCAGCGGTACGCGACAAGTAATTCCGTGCCTCATGCGAAGTTAAGGTGGTTCTGCTCCTATAGCTTACGTGGTTGAACTCAACTTCAGATATACAGACCATAGGTCCATATTCCTACTCTTCAAGCATTGACTTACTCTAGTTAGATATGGATCGTCTTCTTTAATCGTGCAGGCACGGGAAATCCCCGGTTAGCCCTGGGGTCTCGCTGGATTTCGAGCTGCCGCCGCACCAATCACCCATGCAGGGAGTGGAAGCCCCCAGCTGCAGCGAGACCTTTCCCAGCTAGGGTCCAACCCCCACGGTTGAATCAATCATCCGCCAGTTCCGGTTTCGCCCTGGGGCTTGGGTCGTACTCCGTACCTTTTTACAACTCCATTCTCCCAATCAGCCTCAGGAAGCCGAGCTCAAATGCCTTGCGAGCTGCGCCTTTGTATCCGGCACCAATCGACTCCCCCAGTCCCTTGGCATGATCAGGGTGGTAGAGTACTTTCATCTCGTCTTCAATGGCGGCCTCTTGCGCTCTCGCCTCATCGGCCCCTACCGAGATTCTCGTCCGCATCTTCCAGTACTGTGACTCCTTGGCCGACTTGCGGGCCTTTTTTTCTTTTCTTTCTTTTCTTTGCTTTTTTTTCTTTTTTTCTTTCTTTCTTTTTTTTTTGGCATGCCGCCATCTCCATGCTGTCTGGGTCGCCAATTGCCCCAGCATCATTTGGCACGTGGCCCCCAAAGTCATTCCCCCGTTTGACCGGGCCTTGATAGCGGATACGTTTTGTGCTGAGGTAAGACTCTATATCCAACTTAGTAGTATGGTGGTGCAGATGCGGGCGATGCCCTCGTCCATGACGCTCATCGGGATGGTCGCCTCCCCTCGGAGATTCCGCTCCATGGCATTGCTTGCACGGCTCAGAGGCCCAGTGTCTCAGAGTTCAGGGCCATCCTCGACCTGAATCATCTAGTCCGATGTGTCACGGTCCGATACTGTCAAGTCAAGCTCCCCAAGGATTACGCCCAACGTACCAAGGCCTATGAGAGATGGCCTCTCGACAGGGCGCCACCGTCACCCTTCGATATGCGAGGAAACTCAAGGAATGCCTGTCTGGAGAGAGCGCATCTACACGCCTGCCTATACGATCTTCCTCATGCGGCCCGTGTTCTCCCGTGCCTATCACCAGCCATTCCACCTGGACACTGCCTGTACCCTGATGAGGGAGCGGACTCGTATCAGTGCCGTTGGGTGCTTGTCGACCTTATGCGTAAGGCTTCTCTCGGCCACTGCCTTGTCGCATATCTCGGAATCGAGGAGGAGGAGCGCGATTACATGCGCCGATTCCCTCCCTCCGATCTCAACGGCGAACCTGGGGGTCAGAAACAAGATACTCGGCCCGTTCATTGAGTGGTTTATTCAATCAGCCCTCCTGCAGTACCGTACTAAAGTACCACTACCATCTTGGGATGTGTGTGCGTGATGATATAAGGCGGCGATGGCCGAGGCGTCAGCACAAGACATGGACATTAGCCCTCCGGGCTGGGCTTGGATGGATTGGGCCCGAGTCTGGACTAATGTCTTAGTGGTTTACAGGATGATCTCCTACCGAAGGCGAACATCTCTTTTAACTAACCATACAGTCAATCCACATGTTCGAGTTTATTCTAAGCTGCATTATCAACTCGGATGGCTGACGACGGCCTCGACGACCCAAGGCTCACAGCATTAATAGTAGTCCATTCTCCGGCAAGCCGAGAACCGTCAAAGTCGTCCTCTTTGGCGTCTTTCAAGCAGAAGAGACATTCTGATGCCGGACAATGTGATGGAGTCAGCTGAGCAGCAGCTCCTTACACACACCCCACGTCCCTCTCACGCGGAAGCTCCCGTGGACCAAGTAAATGGATATTTCACGGCTCCGATATTGGACATTCCCCTTGTGTTAGAGGATCTGTATATGCGATCCGGCATTCCCAACTGCAATCATGGTTGCAACACACCCCCTCGGCCCCTTCAGCTCTTCACTTTCCTGCTCACACATCATTTCAATCTCGAGTTCCACCCCCGTGTATTTTCAACGTCTTGAAGGGGCATTCGGAACTACCACTTCTTCAAAAGCCGGGGCACCGTCTTCGCTAATGGGCCCGAGGACGTACCAGGCGGGGAATGGTTTGATTACACCAGCGGTACGGAGTTCCTTGTCGACTGCCGACCTCCTGCCCTTTCAACCTTCAACAGAAGGGACGGGCAATTCGTGTTTCCCCGGAACTGGGACCCGGATAACGCCGACATGTGTTAATAGCCAGGGCAGGTAGACAAAACACAACTGGGTGGAATTCTTATCGTGACCAATCCTTCCTTGCTCACGAGGTTGTGCTCTGGTCAGGTACCTTAGGAAGTATGGCCACTGACACTCCTGAAATAGCAACAAAATCTCACTTCGCAGACACGCCTCTCCCGAGATCCTGCACACTTTCATTTATGAAGAGAGGCATGAGATCGCTTGGCTGGCTTTCGGTGTTTGCCATGTCCGAGACAGACCTTCGGGCGGCGGCGAAGGGGCACCGCCCGAGACTAAGTGGCAGAAACGGTGCGACTGCGGTATTATTCAAAGAAGGAGGCCATCGCTGAACGTCTGAGTTGATATACTGGATTGACAGCAATTTGGTCACAATGGACCGGTGAGAAACAAGGAGGTTTCTAATCTGGGTGGCCAGTCGATGGATGCTGGGAGATCATGGCCCCAAACACATCAAGCCCAGATGCCTTCTAGAGGCAGATGTACTGCAGGTATGCTGTAGTGTCCACTAGGACAGAATGTGGTTGGGGTTAAGACATTGGTTTTGTCATGCTCAACATTGGATACTACCACTCTTTCAACAGACTTGGCTTGCATCATCACGGCCTTGGGGCAGCGTATCAGCGTTTGCGCTCCATTTGTCGTCTTGATTGAGGTACAGTTCCATTAACAGGTATTGAACCCACAAGTTGTACCCATATCAAGCCCGCAACAACCACCTACAAAGCAAGACGACCACTGACTACACCCCACGTCCTGAACACCATGGCCCCGCTACTACTCATGTGAAGGAAGCCAAGTCTCAAGCGAAACAGTGCACTATAGCAACAACCCGACCAACGGCGTCAACAAGCACTCTCAGCCGGCACCGAGCTCTTCATATTAATAGCCTCCATCATCCCCTCAAAGCGCCTCAATAGCCCTCAACAGCACCTCAACCCCTCTCTCCTCCACCTCGCCCTCCCAACCACTCCTCAGCAATCTCGCCACATCACTCAACACCCCAAGCGGGATATAACACCCCTCCTTCGCCCGTTCCAAACTCTCCTTCAGTCGACTCGTATGCTCCCATTCCTTCGCCGCCACCTCGGCTCTCTCAATCACCCTCCCCGGGATCCCACACATGGCCGCGCAATGCATACCAAACGACCCCTCGGCGACGCCGTCCTCGAGCCGATACAAGAACGTGACCCTCCTCTGCGCCTCATCAACCTCGATCTGCATGCGCCGCGCCCTGACCTCCGGGTGGTGCGCAAACTCAGCCGCCAGACTGTGGTAGTGCGTGGCGAAGAAGCCGACGCAGCCAATGTGCGACGCGACGTGGTGCAGGACGGCCTGGGCAACTGCGACGCCGTCGTACGACGACGTGCCGCGGCCAAGCTCGTCGAGAATGACGAGCGAGCGGGGGGTGGCTTCGGCGAGTATCTTTTTCGTCTCGGAGAGCTCCACAAAAAAGGTGCTCTGCGCCGCAAAGATGTTGTCGTTTGCCCCCAGCCGTGACATGATGCGGTCGATCGGGGTGAGAACCGCTGATGAGGCTGGGACATAGCAGCCTATCTGGGCCATTATTACCGCGATGCACGACTGGAGAGGGTATGTTAGTCATGATGGCGTTATTACTGGATGGGGATGCGGTTTGGAGCTTACCATGCGGAGGATGGTTGACTTTCCGGCTGCGTTGGCGCCCGTGAGAAGGTTGATCTTGGCTTCGTCGCCGCCGAGCTTGATGTCGTTGGGGATGAAGTCGGCGACGGTGTTCATCATGCAGGGGTGGCGGAGCTCCTTGAACTCGACCACGCTCCGCTCGTCATCGACAAACACGGGTCGGCAGCTGGGGACGCCCAGGGCGGATGACGACTTTGCCAGGCTGATCAGGCAGTCCAGCTGGGCGATGATGCGGATCGCCTGCAGCCAGACCTCATAGTCGACGTCGAAGCGCTTGAAGAAGCGCGACGCCACTTCCTTCACAATCTGGGAGTGCGTCTCCTCGGCTTCCTGCAGCTCGCGTACGAGGTCTTCCAGCTCCCTGTAGTAGTACCGTTTCACGGCCGAGGTGGCGGACATCTGGCGCCAGCTCGAAGGAACCTTGACAGACTTTGGGACCTCAATCTGGTAGATCTCCTTGCCGACATCCGTGAATTTGACCGTCTTGCACCGGAGAGCCGTCTTTTGCCTGTCGAGCAGCGCGTGGAGTTCCTCCTTGATCCGCTCAATCTCGTCCTGGCTGCTGTCAAAGTCCTCCTCAATGCCCCTCTCGGGAATCAGGATCTTGCCATCCCGAGCCTTCGTCCTGTCGAAGGCAGTCTCCCAGTAGCCCAGGATCCCTTTGAGATCGGGCATCGCCGCAATGAGCCTGTCGACCAAGCCGTTGCCGCCCCTAAATGCACTCAAAAGGCCCATAGTGTAGTCAATCTGCTCGAACCCTTCGAGAACCCGGACGAAATCCTCGGGCCTGCAAGCTCCGGCGTGGATGCGAGACAGGAGTCTCTCGAGGTCGGGCATCTTTGCCATCTGAGACGAGAACTGCTGCACAATGCTTCGGTCTGCATTCAGCATGTCGACCGCATCGAGCCGCTCATTGATCTTTTGGATGTTACATAGAGGATGGCAGACCCACTGCCGGAAGAGTCTCTTGCCGAAAGGCGTGATGCACCTGTTGAGGAGATTGAACAGAGTGCCCTCGGGACCGCCGTTGACCGTGTTGGCAAAGATCTCCAAGTTGATCAGGCTCTGGCCGTCCAGGATAAGGGTACCATTCCGGTGAATGGGATGGTACCAGTCAAAGTTGCCCTGTGACAGCAAATTCTGGTCGAGTTTCAAGATGCGGAGGTAGTAAGTCAGGCCTCCGAGAGCTGATATTGCCAAATCTTTGTTTTTCGCCTCGCTGAGCTTCTTGGGCCACGTTTCCTCCTTGTCCTCGTCCTCGTCCGAGGTAAAATAAGCGCTACAGTCCAGCTCACGTCTGGCGTGATCGGCGTCCCAGAACTCGGATCCCGGTTTAAGGTAATTCCAGATGGTAGTTGGCCCAGTGTTGTTCTTGAGAATGCGCAGCGCTTTCGTGGATAGGCGGGACTTCTCCAGGACCAGCTCCCTGGGAGATATCTGGGCGACAAAGGTCTCAAACTTGGTCAAGTCGACGTCGTCCTCAAACTCGGAGAGGAAAAACTGGCCAGTGGCAGCATCAACAAACGCAATGCCGAAGGCTGGCTTGTCGTCGACCATGGACTCCTTGATGGCAGCACAGTACGTGGCCATGTCGTCCTGAAGCATGCTGCCATCCACGAGCGTGCCGCCAGTGAGGATGCACGTAAGCTCTCTGCGGATGATCTTGTCGGCCTTCTTGTCGGCCTTTTTGGCGTTGGACTCGCGCTCGCGCATCTCCTTGCCCAGGGCCGACTCCATCTGGTCGACCCGCGCTACCTTGTAGCCCTTGGCCACGAATTGATTGACCCACATGTCCAGGGAGCTCTCGGGGACGCCAACCATGCGCATATTGACGCGGTCTGTGAGCTTGAGGTCGAACAGCTGGTGCCCGATGGTCGCGTCGTTCTCGTAGAGCTCGTAGAATTTGCCTTTTTTGAAGAAGACGATGGTATCCCATAGATTCTTCTTGATATCCCAGTACTGCTTCTCAAACGGCGAGAAGTTCTTCTCGGCAAGTGGGGGAATATAGATGGACGTTGGGTCGAAATCGGGGTGGCCAGGAGGGTTCTTGCTGCCGTCCAGAATGTTGGCTAGCCACGGGTATCGCTCTTCAGGCTCCTTTGTGTGTGGCTTGGGTTTCGGTTTCGGGCCTGTTGACTTTGGTGTAGGAAGGGAAACTCGGGCCGCCGGCTCGCTGGGCTGGACATTTTCCGGGTCGTACTTCCACTTCTGTGCAGTTGAAGTTGAAGGGGGTATATCCTCCATATCCGCGTCACCGTCTGCTGGAGGTGAACGTGGATCCGGCGAGGAAGAGCGATTGAGCTTTTTGCGCGGGGCTGTGGGCTTGGTTGCCGGTCGCTTCCTCTTCTTTGACCTAGACGGGACGTCAGAGTCGTCGGAGACCACGAAGTCTGCGAGGTCGTCTGATGCACGTCGTCAGCCAAGGGCATGTGGGACATGGTCAGAGAAGCGTACCATCGTCATCCTCTATGTCGTTAGGCTCAGCCTGATATGCGTTCTCTTCGTCCTCATCCAGAACTGCAGCGCGGGAGCGGCGTTGTTTGGTCCGCCTCGCCTTCATCGTCGCGAGGACGCCATCATCGTCCTCGTCGGAGGTTTCAGCATAGTTGATGGCTTTCTTGGCCTATGAAAAGATGTTAGATGGTAAGCGTGGCAACAACACCGAAAACCATACCTTCCGGGACGGACTGCTGTGCAAGCCTGCCTTTGGGCCGACGGTCGCCTTCTGCACAATCTTAGCAGGAGTGGTGGGCGAAGTGACATGGATGCCGGTCACCTTCAGCGTGCCCGTGCTCCTGTTCTCTTGGGAGCTTGATGGTTCGATGGCGTCGCTGCTGGGGACCGGAGTGACATTGGTTGGGCGTCTCTGGACCAGCATCGAGTTGGCCCGAGTCGTCTCCTTCAGGCATTGGGGCGACGAGTCCCTCTTGTCCGTCGTGGATATCGGCTTGGTGGATGGCGTGGGACTGGCCCCGTTCGTGGCTTCGGCCGCGCCTTTCCTAGAGAAGAACCCGAGAATACTCTGCTGCTTGCCCGTCGAGGGTGCCTTTTTAGCCGTAGACGGCGTTTTCGCCGGCGTCCGCGCAGTAGCGGCTAGTTTCTCCCCCATTTCAATTGCTCAACTTTTATAAGACACCAATTCGCGTAAATGATAACGACAACGAGCGAAGAGGCGAAGATGGGGAGGCGGTGGTGTGGGCGACCACTTCTGTCAGGACTCGATGCTTGGGAAGTTTGATCGGAACACGCGAAGAAACGCGGTGGAAGGCGCGTTCAACAGCTTGAGCTTCAGGGATGCAACGGCACGCAAGGGGCGGGACCCACATGCCGTAAGAGGCCCCACTCGCTCTTGCGGTAGAGTGATTCTCTGAGTTGAATCTTGCGGAGTAGGAGTTACTCCCAGTTCACCGCAACACTGCTCCGCACGGAGGTATGGAAACTGGAAACAACCTTCAACCTGTGTGGTCAAGGAGGCCGCTGCGCGTGCTTGGTGTGTCCAAGATGGTACGACGGATTCGATACCTTCAAGATCCATCATTCCGAGCACCGATATTACCCAGATACTTGAAAACACCATGCTCTCTGTAATCCCGGACGAAGCTCTTTACATTCGCTGCCTCACCATCCTCCTGCTCGGACCAATGCCACAGGTATAGGCCCGGTAAGTCAACGATCGTCAAAATGGTGCGGGCGTGTACACTACCCATCAATAAAGGAGAGGAAAAAGGGAGTGAATAATTGGCATCTGGGAAGAGTCAGAAAACCTCAAGAGGTTGCCCAGATCTAATCGATGTTTACTGTTGCCAGAATTGGTGTCTGCCTCTCTAGTTGTAAGTGCCCTACAACGGAGCGAGGCCTCAGGGAAACGATGAGGGCAGGGGGTGCTCTGCTCCGTGATTTCCTCCGCGAACCAAGCCACGACGAGCTTGAGCGTGTCGAGGCCCGGTGCATACTCCGTACATAGCAGATATCTTGGTTACCAGGCAGGCAGTAACTCCACCAGGTTGCCTGAGACAGCCCAGTCATAAATATCCAAGGTGTGGCCAAGGCGGGAGCAACTGATAGGCTCGCGGTCAAAACGGGTAAATCCTCAACGGGCGGCGAACCTGGAAGTATGGAAGTATGGAATGCAACGTTCGTCGAAGCGGAGCTTGTGATGCCGGTGTAGAGTTGAACCTCTTAATCAAAACTTCGTGGAGTGCCCGAGTCGGCCGCAGGGCAGCGGCCAGTCATTGTTTCAGGGTCCCGTTGCTTGCTGGTTTTCTAAGGTATCGGAAATTTGTCGTGTCTTGAGGCAGTCAGCCAGTCGACACTGAACTGAGGTGGGCTGCTTCAGCTGCATGCCAGCGCCTGTCAGCTGCCGACCGTCTACCATCGGTTTCCCCAATTTCCCCAACTGCCGTGGACGGTTTCCTTCCAGGTTGTTCAGCGGCTCGGTCTTGCGCCGCCACTCCCCGCAACACGACAGAAGCAAAAGCCGGGGGGACCTGAACGGCCGAAAGCCACATCGGTTGTGTCTGCGCTTGCGCAAATGGATGCCGACCAGATGGATCGGTCGGACAGTGTCGTCGTTGCCGCCCCGGCGACGGATGGCAGTCGCGACTCGCCCAAGGACCAGAACAGCCGCAGGGCTGCCGCCTGTCTTGTGTGCCGTCGGTCCAAGATCAAGTGCGAGAAGGGCCGCCGCCAGAACGACGACCGCTGCCATCGCTGCGTCCAATTGGGCGTCCAGTGCGTGCGACCGGACTTCCACGTAGGACGCCGGAAGGGCGTCAAAAAGTACAGACAGGCTTGCATCCTTTTTCTGCTACCAATTCACACGCATTGTATTGTACACAGCTGCTAACCCGATTGCAGCAAGCGCACAGGGTTGGAGAAGGCGTTGCATCAGGTGGAGCAGGCTCTGCGACGGAGTGCATCGGGCACCGAGGCGGCCAAGATCGTCTCAGATCTCAAGTCTCTCCTCGGCCCCGGACCGCATGGGTCATGGTCGCTCATCACTAACAGCCACGACCAAACTGGAGGCGCGACCGTAGAACCACGCCGGGCCTCCAAGCAGAGCGACATCTTGCTCCCCGACGCCTCCTCAGACGCCGGCGACAGCTCTGCCTCAGACCAAGACGCCATGAGCGTGCCGCAGGAATCCACCCCTTCGCAGGACCATGTTGGCGAGGAGAGCCTTGCTGTCGACGACGCCGAGAACCCCCTCCAGCTTCTCGCCCGGGCCTCGGATCTGCATGTCTCGCCCAAGTCAGGGGCCGACCACGTGGCGGCCGAAGCCCTGTCTCACCCCCTGACGCGGCAGAGCAAACAGAGCGACAAGATCTCCGAGGTCGAAAAGTTCTTCAAGCTGAGCCAGTTCAGCCTCGACACGGGCCCGGACCTGGACCCAATCAACCTCGGCCTGCTCACGGTCGAAGAAGCAGACACGCTCTTCAACTTTTTTCATCAAAACCTCGCCCACACCCGCTGGGGCCTCGACCCGGCCCTCTACACAGCCGCCTTCACCCGGTCCCGATCCGCTTTCCTGTTCACCTCCATCGCCGCCGCCGCCGCCCTCTTTGTGCCCTCCGTCGGGGCCCTGTCACGGCGCCTCTCAAATCACTGCAAGACGCTCGTCAACCGCATCATTCTCGACCGCTACCGTTCCGTCGAGATCGTCCTCGCCTTCATGGTCAATGTTCCCTGGATGTTTCCCGGCAAGCACAGCACCGACGACGAAACCTGCTGGTATGTGTCGATGGCGACCACCATGGCGCTGGACCTGTCGCTGCACAAGATCTTGGTCCCGGTGGCCTCGCTACGGGAAGGTCCTGGCGGGCGAGGAGGGAGTTTTGGGGGAATCGCCAGGGCAGATTGCATCGATCCCAAGGTCGCCTTGGCCCTGGACGGGTTTGGGGATGTGGATCCGAATTCCGAGTTTGGGCTGAGGTTGTTGAGGAGGCGGGAGAGGTGCTGGATTGCCTTGTTTGTGCTGGAGCGGGGGTGAGTCTTCAACGGCGAGACTCAGGTAGCGCCTCGCTGACGAGTTTAGGATGTGCCTGGCGAGAGGCCGCTGCTACACGGTGCCTGTTACCCCTATTCTGAGGGGCTGTGATCAGTGGCATTTGTCGAACATTGCGGATACCATGGACGGGCATCTGGTGTCTATGGCGGTCTTGCGGAGGGATTTGGTAGGTCCAAGGGCCGGATGAAGCCATGGGATGAAAGCTAACCTGTACAGGACGAGCTATTCTCCTCCATCCGGACGGTTTGCGATGAATCACGGGACGGCAGGGTTGACGGCGCCATGGTTGCTCGGTCAATCCAGATGATTGTGGAAAAGTTCTTCGACGAATGGCACGCCAAATGGGGCATCTCCATTGGTAGCGGGCCCCAGCATCGACTTCCACCCTATGTGCAAATCCTGGTCACACACACTCGCTTGTCCATCTACAGCACAGTCATTAACCACCCGACGGCCCCGACCGAAGTGCGCCACTTCTTCCACGCAGCCGGGCTATCATCGGCGCTCAACGTCATGCGGGTGGCCATCCAGGGTGAAGGGCAGCTGTCCAGCATGCCCAACAATACTGCCATCATGATATCGTTTGCAGCTTGCTTCGCGCTGCGACTTAGTGGCCAGTTTGCGGGCAACTCAAATCTAGCACCCAGCGTCCGGACACTGATTGAGGAAACAGCCGAGGTCCTGGAGCGGATTGGCTCAACCACGCAACACCGGAACGGCATGTCGACATTGTATGGCAAATATCTTAAGTACATCGTCAAGAAAGCGGCAGCCGCCGGTCCTGTCCCGGCCGAGACAGCTGCGAGGCCGCGTGCAGGGACACAGCCAGAGCTTCTCCCGCAACACCATGCAGCGGCGGCATATGCCCGGGGGCACAACACTCGCGCTAGCTTCAGCGTGGTTGACGCGATGCACCCTAGCCCACCTGTCTCGGGTTTTCTGGAACCGCCTCCATGGTCTGAGCCGATTCAGTTCTCGTCCATGTCGGACGACCAGATTGTCGAGGCACTCAGCAGGGTCAACAACGAATTCGACCCCGCTCTCAGCATGTACCCATGGGACGATGCCGGTGCCCTGGACTGGCTCAATTGGTCTAATCTACCCGACTTTGGGACGTGACTCGACTAAGACCTAGTCTACGTCACGAGCTTAAGGGTCACCAGACGGTTCTTGCGGACACAGACTGTTATTCTTCATATAAGATCAAGCCGTTGCGCGAGCCGGAGCGGTGCTGGTTGGGTTGACCAACTCTTGCAGCTTCTCCATAATGATGAACGTCAAGACAGTGTGCGGCCTGTCCAGTCGTCAGTGGAGTTTCAGGATCTGGAGGGCTTGCGGCGCCATACGTCAATCTTAACCAAGCAGGAGTCCACCCCTTCATGAGAAAAATAGGGCCTTCGAGACTCAAACCTTCCCTGACGACTTGCATCACCTAAACGTCGATTAGACCCGACCCAGTATCGAGAGCCTGTTAACTATTTTACCGTGGACCCTTTGGCAGCACTTTGGATCCTGCTCTTGAGCACATCAGCCGGGGCACATGCCGTCGTGGCCACCGTGCCTGCAAAAAGCGAGGCAAGCGCATGTGTGCGAATATCATCTTGCAGCTGAGTTCGCGAGAGGATGACTCGTTTAGCGGCCGTATATCTGTCCCTCTCAGGTCAGCGCCGGGTCGAACTCAGGCCAGCTGAATTTGTAAACATGGGGACGCTTACGGGGCGATTTGGGAGACGTCTTTTCATTGCTGGTGAGTTTTCAGTCCTGAGCAAAGAGCAAAAGGAGCTTACTCATGAGCACGCTCCTGACAATATTCGCAGACAATCACCTGCCCAACACCCTGACGCCCTCCTCCTTGCTGATACGGTATAATCCGGTCACGGCGTCTGAGTACTGGAACCGCTCGGCGCTCGGCTTAGCCGCATCGGCGCACATGCGGACAAGGATGACCTGTCACTCTCGTCAGGTCAGGAGCTTCTTCGGCTGAGATGTGTGGCTACGGTAATCTTGTTAAGTGTGGTGGTACCTCAGTGGGGTTACCGATCATACCCGCCAACCCTCCTGCGACGCCAGCGCAGACGATTGTCGATGCGGTGGAGAGTTTGGCGGTTTCTGACCGCTGCTGTAGCTGTCGGGAGAGGATGCTGTACAGACCGAAACGGGCTGTCGAGTACGTGGACTGTCGGAGAATGGATGCGGTGAGGCCGGACCAGAGTGAGAAGATACCTGTGCCAAGGCAAGATGTGTAAATTGGCAAAGGGTTTCGGGGGGGGAAAGAGGGGGTCGACAACTGGTCAGGGTTAACTAACCATCCCTGAGGGCGAACCTGTAAAGGGTCGAGAGCATGGGAGAACGTGTTTGGAGGACTTGCATCCGGCTAGTGGCCGCGGCACATCAGTTGTTGGCTAAAAGACATCTTTGGAAAAGGTTGGCCTACTACTTTGTGAGATCTAGGGGATGGGCTGGGCGGGTATGTTAGGAAGACGTGTGGTCTAGTTGATGCCCGAATCATGGTTGACGTACTAAAGCATACTGCCATGGAGGCTGCAGCTCCCCTGCAGGGTTGTGTATAGTTGTCAGGAAATCATTCGAAGCATGAAAGCACATCAAGTCCAGACTGAGGCAGAGAACTCACCCGAGCCAAAATGGCTGCTTGGATGCCTTCTTCCCTGCCATTGCTCTTCTCTGGCCAAGCTCTCTCAGGGAACCGCTGCACGCAAGATTCGCTCGGCACGGGAGGCTACCTCAGTCCATCTCCCAACGGGAAGCTGGGGTACATATGCGCTCACGTTGGAAATATATTGCACAGCTGCCAGACTCCTGGGATAACTTACGGATAATGAGTCTCCCTGAAGGACGAGCCCGCGCCTTGATCTGCAAACCCCAACGTTTTGCTCCGACGCCCAAGGCACACAATATACGCCCGGTCAGCTACGCGGAGCCCAACGGGGCGGGCCGGTATAACCGTTCTTTCACTCGCCTGCAGCTATGAGGAGGATTTGTGGTTGGAGTATCCCTGACTGAACTGTGTCATCACAGCGCCTACCCTCGGCTACTTTATCCGATGCACATGATAAACCCCAGCTGTTCTCAAGCCGGTGCATTGGCAGTATAGCGCTTGTCTTACATACTTTCGCTTCGTCCACGATGTGTTTCTGTCATGCACGGAAGTACGCGCCATGGAACGATACAACAACAATGTCAAGATTCCGAGTGTCCACCCTCGACGTTTAACGCCGGGTCGTCCGCCGGCCTCGGTCGCACTTCTAGGCGCCGAGTGCCAAGACCTGAAGCCTTGGAAGCCTCGGTCGGGCAACGTTTACCCCACTGAGACCAGATCGGACAGGGATGTTTCACCTGCCAATTTCTGATCGCATTCGAAGCTCCCATGTTGCGACACACCGGGCAGTGCAGAACAAATCAATAGAGGTGAGTTAAACAGATCTGGGAGCCGAGTCCACTGGTTTAGCACGGGATGGGATTGAATGTTTCAGATCTTGAAGTTTCCTGATCTGCGCTTGACATGTCAGCGCCAGCGAAGGAGTCTAAGAAACTTGAGACGAAGCTGGGACCTACGGATACATCAGACATGTCGAAGCTCTCCCCGTCCCTGAAAGCGCTCATCAACGCGCCGTTTGCGCGACCAGGCCAGACTCCCGCGCCACAGCACATTCGCGATGTCTACACGCGCATCGCCCGTGAGGCGAGAGAGCGCAAGTATGGCGATCGCCCATGGGTGACGCTCTCCGTAAGCCCTCCTTCCATGTCCTCATACCCTCATCCTCTAACCAACCCATCTCATCACCACTAATACCTCCTTCATCCTTATTGCTAAAACACGAACAAAACATTAAGGCAGCAGCTACATTCACCCTCAATTCCCCCGCCTCCCTCCTCATCCTGCACGATCTCGCCTCCTCCTCTTCCTCCAAACAATCCACAGTCGGCAGCAGCACCACCACCAGCAAAACAACAACCCTCACCGCGCTATCCACAGCCGAACTGATCCGCGAGATCGGCCTGAAGTGCATCTCCTTCAACGGTATCCCGCGCACAATCAACTGCCTAGGCGCCTTCAGAGCCGGCCTGGCCCAGCACGCCTGGTCGTCCCAGCTCTCCACCACGCCTACCCGGGCCCTCACGCCCGAGAACTTATCCGGTGTCGCGCACCGGGGCAGGGCATTGTGGAAGAGCATCTACACGCCGCTCGACGAGAAGCTCGAGGCGAGGTTGGCCGACAGCCATCCCGACTTGCCCGTCCATATCCTGGGGAGTCACTACGGGCCTCTGTTGGCTGATCCTCCTTTTCCTCCTCCTTCTTCTTCTTCTTTGGAGGGAGGAAAACAGGATACGGAGGGGAGAAGAAGGGGTGGTGGGTTGGCGAGCGTGGGGAGGAATCTGACGAGCGTGGTGGCGATTGCGTGTTTGAGGGCGCAGACGGGGGTCGGGCCGCAGGTGCTGTCGCATGTTTTCGGGTTGCGGAAGGGGGTTGAGCAGGGGTTGCATTGGGAGGAGTTCGGTGGTGAGGCTGAGGATGGGAAGGAGGAGGCTGAGGGGGTGGAGAGGTTGGCTGGGGATGAGGGGTGTGAGTGGTTGTTGCGGAGCGTGGATGCTATTGCTGAGGCGATTGGCGTTGGGTTTGCGAGGTGGGAAGGGGATCATGGGGAAAGGGAAGGGGTCAAGGCGAAGTTGTAGGACATATTGGTGTACATACCTGGTAATGAGGGTAGGCGAACGGATCCCATGTGCACAGCGATTGTTGATAGATATATACGGGCTTCACTGAAGAGCATATTTCTCAAATATATGCGGGCACGCTGATGCGAGAAATACAAAACCCCCTAATGGATATGCTACCTCCTGGGACCTCACTCCATAAGTGTCAAGTCGTCGGCCACCGTGAAGGACGCGTCCGTCTTGCTCCTCACCTCCTCCACGTCCACACCCGGCGCAACCTCCGTCAGAGTCAAGATCCCACGCTTCCGATCCACCTGAAAGACGCACTGCAACACGTCAGCATTACACATCCCCCAGTTTCTCACCATGTCTGCTCCCGAACTCACCAGATCCGTAATAACCGTGCTCACCACCCGCGCGCCCGTCAACGGCAAGCTGCACGTTTGCACGACCTTACTCGTCCCGTCCTTGGCCACGTGCTCGGTGGCCACCACAATCTTGGTGCTGTCCGGGTTCGAGACGAGGTCCATAGCCCCGCCCATGCCCTTGAACACCTTGCCGGGGATCATGTAGTTGGCCAGGTCGCCAGCGGCGCTGACCTGCAGGGCGCCGAGGATGGACACGTCGACGTGGCCGCCGCGGATCATGCTGAAGGACTCGGACGAGTCGAAGGTCGCTGCCCCCGGGACGAGGGTGGTGGTTTCTTTGCCGGCGTTGATGATGTCCCTGTTGGGTCTGGGTTAGTCATGGCGTGGTGGAAATGGGAAGATTAGAGTTGAAACTTGCGGGTCAACGGCCTCGGGCAGCGGGTAGTCGCCCATGCCGAGGATGCCGTTCTCTGACTGGATCCAGACTTGCTGGCCTGGTGGGAGGAAGGAGGGAGCAAGGGTAGGGATGCCTGTGTTGGTCAGCTCGAAACACTTCAACAGAGTCAGAGAGAGGTGATGCGTACCAACTCCCAGGTTCACATAGAAGCCGTCCTTTAGTTCCTTTGCCGCCCGTCGTGCGATGCGGTCCCTCCTAATCTGAGCTTCTCCTTTCACCCTGGGCTCTTTGCCCTCTCCAACCCACCGTGTCTTGAGAATCTCTATCAGCGAGGACTGTGTTGCCGGAACGATTCGGTCGATGAAGATACCCGGCAGGGCGACGTCGTTGGGGTCGATTTCGCCTACTTCGACAATGTTCTCGGCCTCCACGATGGCGAGCTTTGCCGCCTTGGCCATCAGGGGCGCAAACGACTTGGTCGTGTACCTGCGGACGTCAGAGACAAGCCCATAGGAAGGAGAGCGGAACCATTGACCGGAATACGCAGTTCCCCGCTTTGTCAACCTTCCATGCCCGGAGGATTGCCACATCCCCATGCAGCGCCGTCTCCATCAGGTACCTCCGGCCGTTGAATATCCTCGTCTCCCGAGGCTTGCCAACCTCAACCACATTGCCGTCAGCATCAAACCGAACCGGGATTGCGCCGTCGTGCACGAGTGTTTCTGTTACCTGTCAGGTCAAATAAGAGGTCAGACAGCGAAGACCACTCACGACCGCCCGTTGGGGTGAAGAAGGCGGGAATGCCGCTCCCTGCCGCGCGTATTCTCTCGGCCAGAGTCCCCTGAGGACACAGCTCGACGGCAATTTTGCCGGTAAGATACTGGCGCTCCAGCTTCTTGTTTGGTCCCAGGTACGACATGATCATTCGATCTACCTGCCCGTTCTCTGTCAGGAGAGCCAGGCCCCCGCGCCCTTCTGCGCCCGCATTGTTGGAGACGCAAGTGAGTGAATGGAGAGACTCGGGTCCTCGGTTTCGGAGTGCCGCGATCAGGGTTGCTGTTTCTCAACGTGAGTTACTCTTTTGAGCTCCAGACAGTTTCGAGGGTTCATCTAAACTCACAGGCAACACCACACAGACCGAATCCCGAACTTAAGATGACCGAACCGCTCTTGATATCGGCAACCGCTTCGTCGGCGCTCTTCCACAGCTTCGAACCGCCTCTGTTGACTTCAGGGGCAACCGCCGACCTCCACCTTGTCGACTGCGAAAAGCTTCTGTTACAGTTGAGCTTCAACCTGATTCCTGATGGACCCCTCGTCGTCCCAGACATGCTACCAACCCCAAAAACAACTGATTGCAATTGCCGGGAGCATGACTGTCTTGCCAGGACAGGCGCTGTTTGCCTCGCCGTCCGCACCGCAACGCCAGCCATCCTGTCTGCGCAAAATCTCGCCAAAACACCCTGCAATATCCTATAACAGCTCATGGATGGTCGTCCCGACAGGATGCAAGAGATCTTGCATTTTTCCTCTGTTTTCTGTACATGCTTGCGACCCACGCCACGAGAGCCCGGACCCGCGGTTCTTGTTCTGCGGCCGGATCAGCGATTCTGGTACGTCAAAGAGGGACCGGAAGCCGGGGGCCAAAATTTGGCGCCGGGAGTGGATCTTGAATCGAGGACCTCGCGGTGGGGCATTTCGGCTTCCAGAATCGGGAGTTACGCGGGCCGCCATCGCCAAAATACAAGCATACGCAGCTACGGAAGGATCCCGAGTTTAACTTGTGGTGTGTTAAGAGATTGCTGCCCTTGGTTTGAGGTTCATGCGTGGGACAGAGTAGGCACCCGCAAGCTGAAATGCAAAAATCAGAATATAATTCAGCCAGAAACTTTGCGAAAGGCAAAAGTCGACGCGAGTCGGATTTGAACCGACGCCTCCGAAGAGATATGATTTCGAGTCATACGCATTAGACCACTCTGCCATCGCGCCTTTGACTGTGTATGTGAGACATTTGCTGCGTTGATTATTCAAAGAAGGGAAAGTGGGGTAGTTAAAAATGTGCAGAATCTGGCAAAAGTTAAGCTTGATCCGATCCAGGTTCGAACTGGAGACCTTCAGTGTGTTAGACTGACGTGATAACCAACTACACCATCGGACCTCAGTAATTTTAACATTTAATAGCTCAATAGAACAATGCAAAGCCATGCCGGTGTTTCTCTCTCAGTCCTTCGCTTTTCAATGGATGCACTGTTACACTTCAAGATGTGTACGTCGTTTCAAGAGTACGGCGACTTTTTAGTCTTTTTCTAAGCCATTACTTTAATTTCACCCGATGGATTGAGCAGTTGGCAGTCACAATGGAATCTGGAAGGGCCCAATGTCACGGCAATGTGGGACCTGTCTCGGTCCCGTTCCGGGCCAAGGCTGCCCCACGCCGACTGACCGTGTGACGGAATCGCGGGGAGCCAATCGACGGGGTTAGAAGGCCGAGGGCTTCTTTTTACGGCCTCTGACAGCACCTGAACGCCACTGCTTCCTCATTTTGTGTGTCGCCGTTCCCTGCGGCCGCTGTGAGGGCCCGCCCAGTGTCACAGCACAGAACCATGCCCCGGCAATCCTTCTTTTGGGACCCATCCAGGCCTTGTTCTGCGGCTCCCGATGGCACAGTTGCGGCGGCTAAAATGGAGAAACCCGCCCGTCCTGAAACGCCGGCAGCTGTCCATTCGGCGCCCGAACCACGATGTCGACAGCCGGATCGACGGGTTTGGATCGTTTGGTGTCTGATGTTTTGTTTCTCGCCATGTGTATCACCGTGTGTCCCTGACTCCAAGTTGGTCGACCTGCCACGCCATCACAGAAAAGTCCAAGCATGCGTATCCTATACCCAGTCTCCGACATACTTATACCATCTGGCAATCCTCCGTCAAATCTGAGCCATGTTCTCACCCACACTCGCTTCATCCTATCACCAATCGGCCATGCCTTGGGGATGTCGTTCCTTCGCATCCCATTCACCCCCTGGGCTACACCCTTTCCATTCGTTACTTCCTACCTGTCACGGTCCCGTCCGCTCCTTGTTATAATGCACCCCGTATCCGTCGCCGCCCTCGTTACAGCCAGCACTTTCGCCTCAGCGACCGCCTCGGCAGAACATCATCCCCAAGTCTTTGGCGTGGCATCCGTCCAAGACAAAGTCCCAGGTCAGGACTCGGCAACTACACTGGCGCCGATAACAATTCCATCCCCTCATACCAGTGCTTGCCGGCTCCCGACTTGCCCGAATTCTTCGGGGAACTTGATAAAGCTCTGACCGACGGCTTCATCTCCAACAGAGGACATTTTTGACGTGGACCAACAAGCTGTGCATCACCGCCATGATTCAGGTCGTGTAAAACTTCAGCTTGACCACCCAGGGCGTTGGTCGTCAGCTTATTGGCTCCCACCCTGCTATGAAGCAGCTGGCGGCCGGCTCGAGACGTAAGCCAGCGTTTGGGAAAACTTGAGCTGGGAACAGGGAGCGTGGGATCCATGTGTCGTTTCTGCTTTCATTCGTTTCAGTCGTTTCGGCATGCTATTCAAGTCGCTCTTCGGCTTCAGCGCACATGACACGCAAGACACTCACTTCACACACGACATTCGCTTCAAGCTCTTGCATGACCTCGCTGGCTTCTCACACGCACCTACTTTCTACACATTACCGGCTTCCCAACGACACTCGCTTCATACTCGACAACCGTTCGCGGGCCACAGGTCCCCAGGGGAAGTCTGAGTACGCTACACACCCGTCGGTCACTCATTCACCCTCACGACACTCGTTAAACACAGGCGATCTTTACATACAACACTTGCATTATCCGGCGTTGCTTGCAACTGGGATACAGTCATCTTGTCTTCTTTGGTACAGAGAACATGGCGTCATGGTTGATCTTGGTTCTAGTTCTCTCATGGCTTGGGACACTCGCATTTGAAAACAGATACGTCGCAGTCGCTCTCTTTACCATCTTTCGGTCCCGCTGTCACAATTTTGCTACCATTCTCTTCTCAGCATACTTACTGCTCGACTCTTTTCTCGCTGGCCGGTCACTCATTCAACACCAGACCTGTTCACTTTAAGTCACTCTTTCAGCCACTTTCAGTCACTCGTTCAATATCCATTCCCGTCTATCTTTTCAGTTTCTTTTAGTGTTCATTTCTTACTTTATATAACTGTCTGCTTTATTTTTGAACTTTGAAGTTCAAGTAACGTTAGTCGCTCATTACCTTAACAACCTGTTTACTACTCACCATTACAAACTACTTGAATGCTCCTAGAGGTCTATAACTTTCAGTTGGCCTGGATCCTTAATCTTTCGAGGATTTGTAAGCAATTCAGCCCTGGTTGTTTCAAGTTGTTTGCATCGCACATGGTAGGCCTTGATCCGAGAATGGAAACGGAGACTTGAAGAAAGAAGGTAAGAGAAGTTGGAAGATGGGAAGATGGAAGGAATACATAGCGTTACGGTGAAGAAAAGGTAGAATAAAAGAAATGAAAGCAAAATAACAAAGAAAGGAAAGAGCAAGAAGTAGAGATAAAATAAAGAAAGAAGATAAAGAATATTGGTAATAGAAGGAAGAAAGAGAAAGAACGAGATGGGGAGAGAAAGAAAGAAGAAGAAGAGGAGGAGGACACAGAAGGTGTTTACTGAACAGTTTCTCTTGTTCCTTACCCAATTCCACGCTAACAAACATATGGTATGATTGTAACTGCCTTACGTACGGTAACCTCCTTTCGAAATGAGCAACACAACCATCTAGCTCCTTGATCTTGCACCGACTGGCGGCTTGGGCGTTGCTGTGCAACACCAAGAAGCCTCATATGATGGCAGGTACTAGTAACTTGATACGACGGAACCATTGCCGCACTCTCGCACGGTATGTTTGGCGGAGCGGGTTGGATCGCGGACTGGCTGCAAACAATCGATCACATACCGTACCTTAAACACCGTGACTTCAACTTTACTCCTAGTCGGGTTTTCAAATTGGGAAACAACCCCTTGATTTGACCTTGGGGTCTCCAAGTTCGTCGTAATAACTCCCAGAAATGATCAAGGTACGGTAAGCAAGCCTCAGGCAGGTAATGATGCTCTACCTTCTTCGGCCGATCTTACCCCAACGCCAATCAGCCGTAGCGAAGCTGAATCATCACCAATTCATCCTCCCTATAATCCGCATTCCTCATGATGTGCCTGCCACTTCCTCAACAAGCCGAGTTCAGGACCACAGTGTTCTTGTGGGACAGCCCTGGTTCCCTACCAACCACAAGTCGTCGTGGTTTCTCCTCCGAGTCGTTGCCCTCGAATCGACACGGCTCCAAAGCATTGCAACCTTCTCAATCCGCTTGAGGATGACGGTCGGCACCCTCGTTCTCAAGCCCCGAATTGGCTGTTTGGACTCGAGGATTCGTAGGGTCAGCTCGCGCTGTCGTCGAATGAAGTCGCGTTCGAGCTGTTGTTCGAGATCTACGAAGGAGGTTGTAAAAGGCAATGGCGGCAGCGGCTTGTTTGTGTCCACCTGTTTCAGGTTGCTCACCGGCAGTATGTCTGCAGCCCTCGAATGTTTGAGCGAGGTCGTCTGCTGCGCTTCACTTCCTTCAGGTTGGGGTAAGGGTGGTTTTTCGTGAAGCCTCGAGTCGTCGTCGAGAGTGGATTGAGACTCGGCTTTGCTGTGCAGCGGGGTGCCCTATGCGCTGCAGTATCCGATCTAGAGTTTTCTTGTTGAGTGAAATTCGGTGCCGCAGGGCGGACGAGTTTCGTATCCTTCGCTTCGTCGGTAGGAGAGCCTTAACTTGGGTCTCTGGGACCGCGATACGGTGTTTCCCATAGTATCGAGAGAAAAATAACTCAAGAGGTGTGAGTTTGGGGTGACGGATGCCGGTCCTGGCGGCATTCCATGAGAATGGTTGGGCTAAGATAGTATTAGAATGTGGGGTGGCCAGGTGAGTAAGTGCACGGCCGAGTGCTGCTGCTCTGCCCTCCAGGATTCAGGAGTCATATGAGCATGATATTGGCCAATATATAGAGATGTCATTGTTCAAACTCCACTAACTAGTACGCGGCTAGACATATTTGTGAAGAAGAAGTCTAGCATGTGGAAGGTCATCAATGGTTCTATATCTTCAGATCACTAGTTACGTCCATCCCATTCACAGCTTGTGAAATACTGCATACAGCATCTTGAAATCCCGAACTAAACTGACATTCCAGATACCAGCAGAAGAATCGTATGCATGTCACGCCGGTGAACCATATCAACAAGATGAGAGTATGGGAACGCTAATCGCCTGCTTGCTAGCCGGAGTTGAACGCTGAAATGGAGACAAACGCTATCTATAAGACATCTACAGCATCATCAAACATAACCAGCCCAGCCCCCTAAGAGCATGTCATGACCTCGTAACTGGATGTCAACGCCTGACCTCGAGGTCGTCCTTTGCACATCGCATCATATGCACAGTCTCAAGCCCTGATATATACCTCCCCCACGAAAAACGCTGGCAAGGAAGAAGCAATCCACGCCTTCCCTCTTCCACCTTTTCCTCTCCCCCACCCCCCGAAACTCCAGCTCACCACCATCTCAGACATAAGCCCGATGATGCGAATGCGAGCTCCGCCTGCTTCCCCCGCCATGGCGATGGCCACTATGACTGCGGCGGCCACTGCGGCTGCGCGAATGCCGACTGTGGCTCGTCGTCCTCCTCCTCGTCTCCACATACCGCCTCTCCTCCTTGACAGCCCGATCACCATGAATCCACGCGAGCACGGCCGTAACAAAGAAGAAGACACAGTTCATGATCCCCAGCGCGAAGCACGCCTTGAGCATGCTGCACGTCCTGTTGACGCTGACGTCCCACCCCGTCACGACGGTCGCGCTCCCCAGCAGGCCAAAATCTAAATAGACGCTCGACCCGGACTCGAGAGAGGCGCAGTCGGCGCGGGCGATAAAGCGTAGGTAATAGACTCCTGCGATGAAGGCGCCGAGAAAGGCCAGGTCGACGAGCGCGACGAACTGGGCGTTGCGCGAGGACCGGTGGTAGCTGAAGAGCGTGAAGAGCGACCAGGCCAGCGCGACGACCGACACGATGAAAAGCAGCAGGATGTACGTCGGCGTCATGGTGTTGGACTCGAGGTGGATGTTGACAAAGTAGGCTAGCATGCCCATGATGGGGATCTGTTAAGCAACACACACGCAATGTCAGTATTTTGAAGAGCGGAAAATGAGCTCGAAGGTATGAGAGTGTCGTGTGGGCTTACCAGAGTAAGAATCTCGGCGATGCGCCAGAAGATGAACAGGATTGCGAAGATCATGTTGGGCGGTTTGGATGCGCTGCTGCGCGAAGACTGCGTTGTCTAGTCGTTGTGTAAGTGCAAAACCAATGACTGGACGATTGTTCGGCGTCGATTGTGGTTGTCAAGTCGAGTCGCAGCTCAACCCCGCAAAAAGTCAGCAATCGCAGAGAGAGAAGAGAGCGATTCTTTAGAGCCAAGTTGCCGGTGAGACTGCAGTTGAAAAGTCGAGCTCGGCGCGCGAATCTTTTGATTCGTCGCTTACACACTCTCAGCCGCCCTCAGCGCGATCCTCCAGCCGGGCGCAGTCGAGGGGCTGGTTCCCCGTTCTGAACTCACCGCGGTGGTGTGCGGCCTGTGTTGTGTGTGTCGTGAGCTGGGTGTGTCGCTGTCGAGCAAGGTCGACTGGATCGGCGCACGTGGTGCTAGGTAACACCAACTTGTGCCGGTAATAGTCCCGATGGCCGGTACAGGGCCGTCCAAGAAAGCCCCGCGAGTTAGCGGAGTGCGCAGTGTATTCGTACTGTACTAACAGCAGTCGCAAGTCGCAGGACCCCTATATGACGTCGGGCGCAGATCGTTTTGAATATCAGACGTTATTGGCACAGCAACACGGAAGCAAATTCAGGAACCGTGCCGCTAACCGAAACCGAGGAAAACGTGGCCTGGGGTATCTGCAGTCGAGAGAAAAGACGCAGAATGCAAAGGTTCAAACAATAGATTTGTTGTTCTGCGCAAAGAAGATGTCCAGAAAAGCACCCTAAACACAGGCATCTCATCAGGTCTGCAGCAAGCTGAAGAAAGCTGGAGGTTGGCAGCTCGACCAATCAACAAACACGGTCGGTTGCCCGGCACCGGTTCCGCCGCAGAAATTCCGGATGGCTGGAACATCCAACAACAGCTAGAGGCACTGCATGCAATCCACGTCGCTGACTGCAAACTTTACCAAGCCTTCGGAGAATTACACGCTATTATCCGTAACAGCTCTTCATACGGAGTACCCGTACTCCGTACGAGAGAGACAACCAAGCCGCTCAAACACCAAGTTCATCAAAATCCCTTATCACCAGCCCCACATCCTCCGCCTCCGTCCCAGCCCCACCCCGTCTTTCTCCAGCAGCCCCACCCCTCCCCTCGATCGGCATCCGTTTCTCAGGCCTGCCACCACCACCACCATTACCAATACCATTAACACCATAGCCCATCATGACAAAACTCTCCCCATCCACATCCACCTCCTCCTCATCCAAGAAATCATCCAGTCCTGACAACCGCACCCCTCCATAGCGCTGTTCCTCCGGACGTGCACCAGCTCCGCGCCCACCAAGCTTCATGTTATTAACAGGAAGCTGCGGGAGCGGGCCATGCACATACATCATCTTCCCCGAATGATGACCAGTCCCAGCTCCAGCCCACTCCATCTCCTTTTCAGCGGGAAGCACCACCCCATGCTGTCTACCCCGAAAATTCGACGGCGGCGGCGGCCCTCCCCCCCCTCCCCCTGGACCTTGCTGTCCCTGTCCCTGCCCCGGCCACGGCGCAGCCGGCGAAGACGGCGGGCGCACACTACTCCCCGTGTCGCTACCGGAGTACGACAGCACGCTGGCCGCCGACGTGGAACTACTGAACGGCCTAGTAGTCGCCGTACTGGCCGTGTACGCGCTGTGGCCCGTACTCCCCACGACCGACGGCGCCCGGCTGCTGTTGGCGCTGCGGACCGATGACGACTGGCCACCACCACCCGCTCTGCGCTGCCCGGTGGTGGTAGTGCTAGTGGTGATGCTAGGCATGAGCCAGTGCGAGCCGCGTCTACCGCCGCCGCCGCCGTTGCGGGGTCCATAGCTCGCCGGATTGAAGCCTCCTCCGTCCTCGTTAGACGAGTTCTCGGCCTCGCTGTTGGTTGTATCGCCGCCCGAGTGCCACGTCGCGGGGACGGTCCAGCAGTGGGATAGCTCATGGGTCGCCTCGTGGTGTTGGTGGCTTGGACGTGGTTGGCCACTGGTCTTCCAGGGCGGGATCTTGACGCCCTTCAGCCGCGGCGAGAGGTGATATGGCACGCCGTCTTCGTAGCGTACCGCGGGTGCATCCACCGAGACGCTGGCAAGGGTCTGGAGAATGCCGTAGATGAGCACCCAGCGGCCCCGGCGCGCCGTGGAAGGGTCGACTTCGCCGATCCGGTCCGTCTTCTCAAACTTGGTGAATGCGTCCACGAGGTTGGAGTGGGTGAAATCCGAGCCGAGGAGGCAAATGTTGGTGGCTTCGGTGTATGCCAGCTGGATGCGCCGCTCAGCCGACCCTCCACGCCCCGGCCCGTTCGGACCAGCGGGGTTGCCATTCTTTTTGCTGAGTTTGCCGCCAAATATCCCGCTTCCCGAAGTCTCCGCGCCAGCACCGGACAGAGACGGGACCGACTCCGGCACGAGCGGATACGGATGGGGGATGTGCGGGAACCGGTGCTTATTATCGAACTCGATGAGCATGTCCGTCATCGGTAGGTCCGGCGTGTCCGCTTCGAAGCCGCGGTTTCCGCTCTCGCTCACCATCATCCACTTGCGGCTCGGCCGGGCTTCAGACTCATCCCAGATGATGTCCCGGTTGACAAGATAGTCGTACAAAGCCGCGAAGTCCCTCTGCAGCATTTGCGCCACTGTCCTCGTCAACCAGATGCTTTCCTCATAATTCCCAGATAGTATGGGCGATTCCTGCGCCGGAGGTGGTGGCCACTCTCCAAACTCTCGTGCATAATGCTGCAGAAAGAACTGCCGCAGGCGATCCGCCGCCGCCTTCGCCGGAGCTGTAACCACCGGACCGCTCGTGCTGGCAGTAATGGCCACCGCGGCCGGCCAAATGTCGCTGTATTGGAAGCTCGCCAGCCGCTCCTCAGCAGACTGCACACGTAGTTGCATCTCCAAGCTTGCGCGCTCCAGGAGGGCCCGCGTGATTGGCGTTACGTGTTTGAAGTCATCGCATGATTCCAGCTGCGGGTACATGCCGGCGCAGTGCAGGAACATCTCACGCCAACCCTCCTCCCACCGAACTTCCCTCCCTTCGGTCCAAGCCAGGAGACTCACTGCTGTCTCGGCATCATTGCGCACATCGTCAATGCCACGTGCTGAGATGTGGGCGATGATGGCGCCAACGGTATCGATTTCGGGAGACAAGTAGGCGTCCAGGCGGGCGTTCAGGTCGTTTAGGGCCTGGCACAGATAAAAGCCAACCAGAGACGCGTGTTGGAGTGTGGCAAATACATTGCGGGTAGTGATGTGGTATCGAAGCGTCTCGATGGTTGTCATGTTGGAAGGTGCTGGAAAGTACAGCTTGTACGAGATCTGCCCGTCCATCTCGCACGAGCCGCTGCGGTCCGAGTCGGACGGCGTTGTTCGCCCTCGATGGCCAAAATTTCGAGGTGAGAGTTGTTGCTGTGCGTTCGAGCCATGTCGTTGTAGCATCGGCGAAGGACTAACAGGAGAGAGCAGCGTGTGAGCGGCTTCTTCGGTGGAGCCCTCCCGCAGAAGGGTGATGAGATAGCGGGATTCGGTGGCCTCGATGAGGTGCGATGACAATCGCAACGACGGATCGAGCTGGGATGAGTCCTCCTGGTGCCCGAAGAAGACGAGCACATCGCCGTTGGGGTCCCAGAGTTCGGGGTCCTTCCTGAGCTTGTTCCACCGTTGCACGGGCTTCCCCCCGCCCATCCAGCGCTTGATAGGTGGCACGATAGATTCGGGTGCCATGGGCGAGATGGGCGAAGGTGACGGCACAGTTCCAACTAGGTCCTGCGAAACGCTCGGATACTGCGCAAAGTGGACAGCGGCCCTGTGTCTGTCGGCATGTTCTTGGCCAGTGTGTTGGCCTGGCCGTACTGTCGCCTGCGATTCCGGTCTTGCGTCCATCGGCGTCTCAGCATCGTTCCTCCTCTTGTCCTTCTTGAACATGAAAGCCTTGGCCAGGCCCTTTCGTACCTCGTCACTTTTCTTGTCCAACACGCTCCTCAACCCGGATTTCTCAATGCCGCATATGTCATCCGTCTTCACCGTCGGCCTCATGGGACGGGCATCTGCGAGGTCGTTGGGCGGTTGGTGTCGGTGCGGTGTATTGAGGCGTTCCCTCGCGGCATCCAAGCTCAACAGTGAAATCCCATGGTTGTACGTCACCACCTCATCCTCCATGATGTTCCTCTCTCTCCGCCGGTCATGATGAGATACAGGGCCGATGGGGACCTTGCTGATTGTAGAATTGTCGGAGCTGGTGTTGGAACCGGCGCGCGCACGGAGACCTCCTGTCCTCTGCCCGGTGGTTTGATCCGTCTTCTTCCGGACATAGGCGCTCCGGCCAGACATTGTCGCGGCGCTGGGACGGAAAACGACACAAAAAGGGTTGTGGAGAGGCTTGCCGGGTCCAAGCAGCTCGGTCACGTCAGCGAGTTGTCGTCCAGCAGAGGCGACGGATGACTGGAAATCTATACGTGGACGTGGAATCGGCAATGTGTCGACAAACAAGATTGCCCTCCGTTCAAGGCTGAGAGGTCGACACAAGTTCAAGTAGAAGTCAGGCTTTTTCGTACAACAGAGACCAGTTATCCTGCAAGAAGCGAAGACAATGTCCAGCACGGTCGTGTCCCGGAATGAAAAATTTGGATGGTCTTTCGGAGAGTCTCTCGGAGATGTCGATTGGGCAGCGCGGTTGCTTTTTCTCCTCGAAGGTAACCTCACTGGCTTCCGGCATCTCCCCTTCAGGTCTGCCGTGGACGATGAGACAAAGCCGATCCACGGGCCAGACTCTGCAGGCGGACTCGGGCTAGATGAGATTGTATCGTCGATCAGTGATTATCGAGACGCCGTTCCCAAGTGACGCTGCCATGGCTGGGACGGGAAGGGTTCACAGGAGAGAGGACGGCAAGCTCTGGGCAGTCCACCCTGCCGGGGGCAACGGTCATGGCATCATGGCAATTCGAAGCTTGGCCCCTAGCTTGGGCAGCAGGGGTGTTGAATGCAAGAAGATGGCGCCCAAACCGTGGACAAGACCCTGGATCTTGCATGGTGTCGCTTACCGGAGGATGTTAGGTATGGCATCTGATAAGGAGGTCGAGATGTCTAATGGGTATTGGGTGACAGGCTGGGGCATAAGGTAACGCTGGCGTTACGGATACAGCAAGTCCCTCCGTCAGCCCGCATGTTCGCAGTCAGCCAACGACTGGGGAGGACGATGTCGTGGTGTTAAAAGTGGTCATCAAACTGTCTCTGTACTCGTGGTTTCCAAGAGAAAAAGAAGTCTCGGTGGCTGAATCGCTAAAACTCGGGGAATTGTGAGATCTGCAGTTTCAGTGGTGAAGAAGCAAACGAACCAGTCCACTGACAAGGCGACAAAGAATGATGATTTGAACCCCCACTCTTCAGGGGCCAGCTGAAGTATCGTTGCCAAGACTTATGTGGAGACTCCATGTCCCCCACATGAGTCTGGAGTCCTGGACTAGCCAGGAATGAGCGGCCTGAGTACCCGATAAGCAAACATGGCGAGCAGGTACATCTGTGTGTCCATGCTCCCTTGAACCGAGTACCTTGACGTTCAATTCATCAAAAGGAGGGTGTTGCTCTGAGTTTGGGAGCGAGTGCTAGGAGGACATAACACTGGAAATCGGGGAAGTACTCCATAAACAGTTCCATAGCGAAGCTAACGCTTTTCACAGCACGAAGTGACAAAGCTGGAGTCAGGTTGCTAACGTTGCTATATTAGGTGAGACCTCAGAATACCTAAATGAGAAGGATTCCATGACACACGGTGATGATTCTCCCACAATTTGGCATGTCACATCATCATGGTAGTGGTGCAGCACTGTGGATTCCTTCACCGAACCTACCGTACACAGTACACTCGACGAGTATCACTCCAATCCGCATACCATTGCACTTTGTAACCCTGCGTGTTGGCAAAGATTCAATCGGCTTTAAAGACTTGCATGTCTCTCCTGCGTCACGGTCCAGCACTCCAACTGACTGGTCTTGTCTTGAGATGCATTCGGCATCAGGGAAATAATTACACCCTGAAATCTGAGGATTATAGTGATATCGCTGGCCCTGCCCCCCGCCGAGTTATCTCTGGCCAACCGCTGACGTCCAAAACCACCAAAACATCGCGTCAACTGAATGATTGCTTCTGTTCGCCGATCTACTGTGGTAAGTCTGATCTACCTATTGGTGATCATTGCAAATCAGCAATCACGGATATCAGTCTCATCCGATAGATCCTCATGTCTTTCGGCGCAGCCACCCCACAGGTCCATCTGCCGGTGCTGCTGCTGTTCGAAAGTCGAGACAGGCGTCAACATCGCCAAGCAAGGAAGCCGACGCCCCCACGTGGCAACTGTGGCTACACAGTAGACGCCGGGCTGTATCACGGTCCGCATTCTTGACCCTGTGAATTCCAGGTTCTCGATTCATCATGATTAAGCTTAAGAGACGGCGTCGGACTCAGAGAGATCGCTCTCTCGGCCATACGAATCGATCTACAGTCGCCATTAACATCCCATCTCCATGGCCATGGCCAAGAAGCAGAACCCACACGCAATTGATAGCGGGCTCAGCAGAGTCGGAGATATGGCTATTGGGATAATAACAATCGCGGTGTCAGCATGTCTATACCTTGATTACACTATGTCCCGCTTCACGCCGGATGCGGCGACTGCTATCTGCGTCCACCATCCGAACCGGGCTCGACTCTCGGGAATGACAGTGGCACTCGGTGGACTCCGGTTTTTACCCGGTCCACTCCGTTGAGTGACCATTGCAGAGCTCGATCCCCAGACTGGAAACCAGGGCAAAGGTTGGCAGAGCAGACAGCTTTCCCACGCATCCTAACCGTTTTCTGAAGGTCCGAGTCGTGTGTGGACTCCACATTCGCCTCTCCGCACCCTGTGACTGGGTGGATATTGTCATTGATACGTTGAGATAAGAAATGTCAACGACACCTTGAGTCCTCGACGACGGTTTCATTTAAATGCTCGGCGTTGCGTTGCGGTAGCGAGAAAGTCAATTCGTCTGTTGACCAGGCATTCGCCTCAAGGGGACGCAGAACAACCCCATCGCTTCCATGGACGAAGACCAAGGGCCGTCCCAAATCGTCCCGGAGCCGGCTCCGAAGCGGACGCTCGGCGACCGGATACACGGCGTCAAGAGGACATTGTTCACCAAAGAGGGCCTCATTGGCAACTACGACTATGCGTTCCTCTTCCGTCCCAATCTTCCGTTCATGAAGAAGCCGGACCGGCCGCCACCCTTCTTTGGTTTGAACGACCGCATGCCCGTCGTGCTGGCCCTGATCCTCGGCTTCCAACATGCACTCGCCATGCTGGCCGGCATCATCACGCCGCCCATCATCATGGCCGGCGCCGGCGGCGTCAACCTCAGCACCGAACAGACCCAATACCTCGTTTCCACCGCCCTAATCGTCTCGGGCCTTCTGTCTGCCATCCAGATTACCAGATTCCGCATCCTCAAGACCCCTTACTACGTCGGCACAGGCCTCATCTCGGTCGTCGGCATTTCGTTTGCCATCATCCCCGTCGCCTCGGGCGCCTTCAGTCAGATGTACGCCAACGGCTTCTGCCCGTCGGCCGAAGACGGCACCCCGCTGCCGTGCCCAGACGCCTACGGGGCCATCCTGGGCACGGCCGCCGTGTGCGCGCTCCTCGAGATCCTCATCTCATTCATGCCACCCAAGGTCATGCTGCGCATCTTCCCACCCATCGTGACCGGCCCGACCGTCATGCTGATTGGCATCAACCTAATTGGGTCGGGCTTCAAGAACTGGGCTGGCGGCAGCGGCTTGTGCGCCGACGCGAACCCGCCCGAGTTTTTTGCAGCTTGTCCGAACATCGCCGCGCCGCACGCCCTGCCCTGGGGGTCGGCCGAGTACCTTGGTATGCCCTTCCCCTGGTTACAACCTAACCTTTTTGTTTCCCAGAATGATATTGACGTTCCCAGGCCTGGGCTTCTCCGTTTTCCTAACCATCATCCTCTGCGAGCGCTTCGGCTCGCCCATCATGAAATCCATCAGCGTCGTCATCGGCCTGCTCACAGGCTGCATCATCGCGGCCGCATGCGGCTACTTCGACCGGTCCGGCATCGATTCCGCGCCCGCGGTATCCTTCATCTGGGTGCACACCTTCAAGCTCTCCATCTACGGGCCACTAGTCCTGCCCCTGATGGCCGTCTTCATCATCTGCGCGTGCGAGTCCATCGGCGACATCACCGCGACCTGCGACGTGTCGCGCCTCGAGGTCGACGGCAAGCTCTACGAGTCACGCATCCAGGGCGGCGTCCTGGCCGACGGCATCAACGGCCTGCTGGCCGCGCTCGCCACCATCACGCCCATGACTACCTTCGCCCAAAACAACGGTGTCATCGCCCTCACCCGCTGCGCGAACCGCTCCGCCGGCTACTGCTGCTGCCTGTTCCTGGTCGTCGCGGGCATCTTTGCCAAGTTTGCCGCCGCGCTCGTCGCGATCCCGGCCCCCGTGCTGGGCGGCATGACGACGTTTTTGTTTTGTGCTGTCGCCGTGTCGGGCATGGCCATCATCGCCAAGGGCGTCCCCTTCAACCGCCGCAACCGGTTTATTCTGACCGCGGGGCTGGCGCTTGGCTACGGCGCGACGCTGGTGCCGGAGTACTTTAGTCACGTGTTTACCTATGCCGGCGACGACAGGGCGCTGCAGGGTTTCCTGGATGCCATTAGCCTGGTTATGGAGACGGGCTATGTGGTTACGGCTGTTGTGACGGTCGTGCTTAACCTGACCCTGCCGCTTGAGCTGGATGATGAGGTTGTTGTTGCTGCGGACGAGCGTGCTGCTGCCCACGAGTTGGTCAAGGAGGAGACTGGAAGTGGACATGAGAGCGGGGAGCTGAAGGGGAAGACGGCTTAAGCATGTTTCAGGAGACGATATTGGGTGGTTATTTGGTTCGAATACCCTGCTCCGTGCTACATTGGTTTCTGGATATTCTGGGATACGTAGGTACAGAAAGACCATGACAGAGATGGATACCTTGCTACGATCCTAACAGTCAGAGCTTTGTATTGTCCATGTTGATGGTTACAGATTGCTCACCAGTACATGTCTCCGAGTATCAAAAATCTTACAGTTGGTGACAGCTCCAAATGCTCGCTGCAGGCATTACAGAATCCGACCCAGGCGTCTCCGAAGAAGTAGAGACGAGAGACACAGCCCACCAGAGTCAGGATCCTCCAAATGGAAAGATGGCGGTGCCTGCCGGGTCGACTGGTCGACTAATATGAGCATCTCTCAGCATTCGAACTACCGCTGAAGAGCAAATCAAGACGATGTGTTAGCTGGGATTATGCTCATTCTCGAGGAGACACGCTTCCTCCTCCCTTGATGATCCCATACATTTACACCTCCTAAGATCATTAAGATATTACCTGCCAGCCTTTGTCGGCGGCATACTACATAGGCCCATCATTATTATACGTGCGCCCTCCCTGCCTCTAGTGACATCACACTGGAAGCTATTCACACAACTCTATTGATAACCCGACCAGCCCGCAGCCCGCCCAACGCCGTCCATTTGCCCATAGCACACCCAATTCCCCGCTTGTAAAGCCCCTTCGCCGCCTTACGCAGCCGGCACGCCCAGTTTGTTATTCGTCTTGCGGGTCATGACCTTGGTGATGGCATGCCTGATGGTGACGCCAGCCTTCTCGACGTCCTTCTTGGACAGCGCCGACGTGACACACACTTTGAGCGCCGGCGCCACCGAGTGGGCGGCGCCGTCCTTGAGGATGGAGGAGTGGTGCAGGATGGGGAGGGACTTGAGGCGGGTGATGAGCACGCCGTTTGCAAGCGCCTTTTGCGAGAGTCGGTCAGCACAGCTGGACGGCAGAAATGACAGTGAGGGAACAGAAGAGGTGAGAGAACCGGGAGGAGAAAATGGGAAATTACCTCATCAACACACTCCTGCATCAACCTCTCCTGGTCCTCCACACTCAACCTCCTCGCCTTGACAACCTCGGGCTTAAATACCAGCAACATGACCGGGTTCTCCGGCGCGCTGGTGCACACGACCCAGTCACTCCTGGGATCAAGCTGAGCGCGCATAAGCCGAATGTTCTCGCGGCACTGCAGCAAAATCTCTGGGTTTGACTGCAAGAGATTAATGCTCTCGCTGGCCGTGACAGCCAGCATGGCCGACGGCGCGGCCGAGAAGGTGTAAGCCGTCGACGTGACCTTCTGGTGCTCCACCACGTCCTTGCTTCCCGCGCAGAAGCCGCCGCCGGCGCACAAGGGCCCGGCGAGTGAGCCCACAATCATGTCGACTTGGGTCGGGTCCACGTTTTGCGCTTCCGTCAGCCCGCGGCCGGTGCGGCCCAGCACACCGAAGGACCACGTCTCGTCGAGGATGAGGCGGAATTTGTACTTCTCCTTTAATTCAATCTGCGCGTCCGTCAGCAGGGGTAAACCTCAAAGATAACTTTGACAGATAGCCATACCAGCTTAGGCAGATTGTTGATCTCCCCCGTCGTCTCAAACAGCGCCTCGGTGACGATGAATCGCCGCGTCAGCTTCTTGACGGCCTGCTCCTTTGCCACCTTGCGCATCATTTGTTCAAGGTCCTCCAGGTCGTTGTGGTTGTACCACTTGATGTTGCTGCGCGAGAGCTCGAGGCCGCGCCGGATCGAGAGATTGACGCCCCTGTCGGCGACAATGATGTCTCCTCTTTTGCAGAACGACGGGATCACGCTCGAGATGGTCGAGAAGGAGTGCGCGTAGAAAATGCAGCCCTCGGTGCCCAAGTACGAGGCAATGTCGGCTTCGGTCTTGAGGTGCACGTCCTGGGTGCCGTAGAACTGGGGCGGCCCGCAGGGTCCGACGCCGTAGGTGCGCAGGGTCTGGATGGCTTTTTCCTTGATCTGTTCGTTTGCGTTGAAGTTGTAGAAGTTGTACGACGCGAGATTCGTGACCGTCTTTCCGTTGGCGAGTTTGGACTTTGGGCCCGTCGGTCTACTTTTGTCAGCCTCCATGCCAACCTCCACTCCCATATTTCGAAGTTGCTTACCCGACAATCACAGGCAACTTATCCAGCTCAGCCTGCTCGTGCGCCGCCAAGGGAGCCACAAGAGGCTCCGGCGTCCACTCCCCGACTAATTCATCGATCTCCTATTATTCCTTATGGTCAGCCCCCTCCCTGTTCTCCTCTGCCCTTTCCCGTGTCTCCTTGCCAGGATCAGAGACACTCACATCCTCGGTCAGCTTGACATAATTCTGTTTCGACGTCGAGTAGCTCGGCGCCATCAAGTACCGGATGAAGAAGATAACCAGGACCAGCTCGATGGCCGAGCGCACAGGGTCATTCTGATAACTCGAGCGGACATAGCGGATGAGAACGGCCGAGCCAGGCACTTTCTGGAAAGTAACTGCGGCATCTTGGAGCCACACGTTCAGGTGCGCCTGCACCTCGTGCAGGTCCATCTCGGTGAATTTCCGCGGGCCGTGTTTTGTCGTCGTCGGTTACGTTCGAGAAGAGGAGATCCAGAATCCGCAGTGGCAGATGTCTGTCGTGCGATGCGGTTCGACGGTTCGAGCAAATTCGACGCGTATGGTCTGAGAAAATGCGATTTCCTGGACGATGCTGAGCGTGTTGCCGTGAAATCGTCCAGCTAAGTATTGAGAAAGACGAGCGGCGGGAGCTTCGGGAATGGTGTCGCGCCGTCACCGACCGAAGCGGCAGGATTGCTCGTGCGCATGGTTAGACCCACAATTTTCAGGGGAAATCGCGGCAAATTCCACGCTTTCAGATATGGCCCCCAGCCGGCATTAGGGCGTAGCAAGTATTCCGTATACAGATCCGTCTAATGGCCAAGCTCGCCACTAGTTTTTGACTGAAGATGAGGGTAGGCATTTTGGTAGCGTAGTTGTAAAAGCTTCGCCTTCAATCTGCACGTTCTCAGTTCGATTCTCATCTGCCGCCATTTCTTCACATTAGGTTGGGGTTCTCTCCTCGCCTAATCCCGAAGTAAATTCCCCACCAACATCAGGGGATTCTCGTAGTCGGCGTACGTCAGTACCTCCCTACCACCAGGGTAAGGGGGCTACCTGGTGAGCTTTTGCTAGTCCTATCCTTTTCGTCATCCATTTTTCTTCTCTCCTTATATTTAAATGCTAGCAGCATAAACCATGACTGGGGCTGCTGTCGCGACAAACAGTTGTCTCGCTGTCTCTGGCGGAAGCATATCCAGGAGACAGTGGAAGGAGAGGCAAGGCGTGCAAAGGATCGAGGAATGGCTCATCAATGATTCCGGCAACCGGATACTCGTATCAAGCGGATGCGATGAGGGACGATGGGGGCCTTTGAGCTCTCCTTTGCTCGTCGAGCTTCTCGAGCGACGACAGCGCGTTACCGCAGAAGCACTCGCCGGCCGTGGAGTACTCGGTGCCCGCAACAGCGAAGCCCTTGCTGGCACAGTACCTGACGCAGGCGGTATTGTTGAAGCGTCTCGTCGTTGAGGACGTGGCTCTTGATGTACGTACAGGCAACATACTTAAGGCCTTCCATCTCGGCGTCGTGAATTGGCTATTGCCCTGCTGCGCGGATTGGGTGGGAATGGCGGCGTTCTCCGCGTACATAGCCTTGGTCTGCCAGCCAGATGATTGTGTTGAAATGGAATGTCTTGGTTGCCAAGGTACACGCTAGATACACCAAAAGTGCTCCCTCAAAGCTCATTCTTATTCCGGTCACGGTTACCAATCACCAGGTGCAGGAAACCTCGTCCCAATTAGAGAACGCACAAGTAGCGCCCGGGCCGCAACCGAACGGAGTGTCCGATGTCATTCTTATACAGCGCTTGGCCTGACCGTCGAAGTAGAAATGGCCCCTTTTGTTTCCCCAATCCATGCAGATTGTGTTCATGCTTGGGACGTCTGGGGGATCCCGACAACCTTCGTTGGCATCAATTCGATAGCTGCCAAAGGCCGTATACCAGTATCCTTCGGAATCGCAACTGGTAGGATGACACATGGTCGTTACCCGCATCTAATCCGCCGCAGCGAGAGTGACAAGCTGGGCGACGATAAGGTAGGTAGCAGCAGTAGGGAGGCGCATCTTGGGGCTGCGTCAAGTAGAGTGGTTAGGACAATTCCCACTAGGTGGTGAGTTAAATCGGTACGTACTGTCTGAACCACAAGTTAGGTGAGATTAATGGTGTTTTGTGTGGTGCTGCTTGCAAGGCAATGCTGGTGATTCTGCTGGTAGCGCTGCTGAGTAATTGAAATCAAGTGACGGACTTGATAGAAGGCCTTAACGTTTTATGATCTTGAGCTTACCCCCGGGCTACAATCGTCTTCAAGTACACCGGATCAAAGGCTGCAGTTCTGGCTGCAGGAAATTTTCCTCCTCCACAGACATCAACATGGATTGATTCCGGCTAGAGTGCCACTTGACGACGAAGACGTTGCACCCAACTAGGCTCGTATTGATACCCTAGTCTCGGGTTTCTTGAGGTTTCAATACTCATCTTACAGGTCGCCTATACAGAGCTGAGAATGATCCAAAGGATCAGGGTTGATTTGAAATACAGGCCTACGAGCTGTTACAACGAGACAGCTCCTTAGGTACCTAAACGCTTCTCGGATATAGTTATTGTCAGGGGCATTACACACTAGCCACTACAATGCTATAATCGCGATGATCAACAATTCAAAATAAAATACATTTGATATCTCGTCCGGTATGCCCATGCAGAGTAACCTCTGCGGCCCGTTGGTTGTCAATCCGCCGTCACGATGTGGCATTTGTGGGCAGAAAGCCAACAACTGAGTCATTGAGGTGGCTCCATGCATTAGCCCTATCACTCGTGGCAAACCAAAGACACTCAAAGAAACCTCCTATTCCGAGCGCTCCATCCGCGCAGAAATCACAGAGCTGCCACTGCAGGTTTCGCTAAATCCCGTGGATCAGTGTAACCACTTGAGCTAATCGAGGACCGACAGAATGCAGTCTCTACTAGCGTGGGATACGTCAACCATCTGTTACTTGAAGGCCTGCAGAAGGGCCGGGAAGCAATCAGGAGGGGGGAATCAGAGAAGGCCCTCTTCTCCCACATTGATGCAGCGCTCGAAGTTAATACTGTACGATACTTGGGGTTGGCAACTTGGGGATTCGCAACCGAAGAACTAATGGCGGACCGAGCGGCGCCACGCCCTTGTTGAGTGATTTTGAACTATGGATGAGCATGAAGGAGAGAGTCGGCAATGGCCCAATATGCTTGAAGGCCCAATATGCTTGAAGGCCCAATATGCTTGAAGGCCCAAAAGCGTTAACCGACGTTGATTTTAATGTCACTCAAGCCTGCAACGCGGCATAAAGCCAACTGATGTTGATCTCTCGAAGGCGCCAAGCTCCCGGGTTGGCAAAATCTCACCAACCGGAAAGCATTCCGCAGCGGGAAGACCCTTCAGCCACCCTTGGCAAAGCCACTCGATATTGCGGGTGAACGCTTGCATGCTCAACTGCACGACAAAGTTTCTCATCACCAACAACTAGCTCCCAGAGAACGCCTCGCATTTTACGGTATACTGGACGCGGGACTATGCAACAGGCAGCCCTTTTTGTTGGAAATTTTTCAAGATGTACCATCCAACGATAGCAAAGGGCCGACGGTCCGTTGGCGTTTTCTGGCGGGTCGGGGTCCGTTGAGCGTGAGATAGCGGCGTTGGTTGAGGGGCTGCGAAGGAGGGGTGTGTCAGTTCAAACTTCAGATTGCGTTTGAGTCTGCAGAAGCTAAGGTAGCCCAGTGAAAGGGATCAGCACATACGTGGACTCGGCCCGGGCTTCCGCAATTTCCGTCACTATGGCCAATGCACCGTCGTTGACGATTGTCGCCGCCGTCGCGCTCACCCAATGCTCGTTGCCGAGTAACTCGTTTACCCTGCTCATACTGGCACCCTATCATAGTAGCCCCCAGACCTCAGTCTGCCTGAGTGATGCTCGATCATGCTAATGTTGAGCTGGATTCAAGTGTCGCTTAGAAGGGGGGAGACTACCTAAGTAAGAAGGACGGCCTATCATTGACCGTAGATCTGCATGATGCATCAACTTAGCTCCCTAAGCTCCGTTATTGATTAAACTATCTGCTGTTGGTTCTCGATGTATGTGGTGTTGGCAGTGCATGGGCGTGCATGATATAGATGCATCAACTTCACCCCCAAGGTCCTGGTTCATGATGTTTGATTGACTATCTGCTGTTGGTTCTCATTACATGTTCGTAAGTGTTCGTAGGTAAAAGACAGAAAAGTAACGCAATACTCAAGCATGAAAGGCGAGACATCTCTCGCAACTTTGAGTTCAGCCTGGCAGGAGCACGAGATCACTTACAGTGCCTCTCAGGCTTGCCCAGCAACATCGAGTTAAGCAAAGACTCCCTTCCATATCAAACACAGCACGGTCCCATCGTTAAGTGAGGTCGAAGCAGTACGTGACTCACTGACTTCATTACCAATTTCAAGCCCCAGTCCATCTGATTCATGTTGCTATTCTAGGAAGGTCCTCATATTCCCCGTCAAGATGCGCCTCCGCACCCTCGCAGTCCTCAGTTGTCTTGCGTCTTTCGCTACGGCCGACTATATGATCGCGAGGACCGAATGTTTTGCGCGGTGCGATAGCAGAGCCTCCACATGGTACACTGCGTACGGGTCATACTGGATTGATGCGAACGAGGGTTGCCGGGATCCGCCCGACGTTCCGGCCATGAACCAAATCTGTATGGATTGGGGTAATCAGCGAGGACACTTTTACTTTGACGGCCAGTCCAGGCGTTGCATCCGGAAGACCTCGGAGTGGGCAGAAGGTACTCGAGCGGTATCGCGGTGGGACGAGGTTGCTTGCACCTGGTGATCGTCACCAGCCGATGATGGAGACAGGAGCATGCGGATTCCATGCACTTTAGTAGCACACGAAAGAGAGCGAAATACACAAGACACCAACCGAATACAATATTGAACGACCTGAAACTGAGTTCATCAAGACTTGCCCTAAATCAATTTCCCAAAAGTGAGGAGAAAAAGAAAGAAAAGGAGACCGCGTGTGACGCATGTGTAGGTAGTGTATCCGCCTTCCAGGAGATTCGAGCGGTCCCGACATGCCAGGCATATTAAACAGTGTACAAAACCAGAGCAACCCCCTTTCTATTCATCCGCGTTTTCCCACGAAAAGCCCCATTCCCCTACTCCCTCCTCCGGAGAAAGGAAGAAGCACCATACCCCCCCTTTTGATTTAATTCCTCCTAGACGTCGTCGTGGCCTTCGCCGTCGTCTTCAGCGTCGCCGTCGCAGTCCTCGTCCACGCCATGATACCTGAGTAATCCGTGGCCCCGGTGCCGGTGACTAGCGTGCCCCGAGTATCGTCGTGGTCCAGGCTCGGCTGGAGCAGGTGTTGCTGCTTCAAAATAGAGGGCAAGCTCATCTTTTCCAAGTCGATAAACCTGCTACCGACGGACGGCCCGACGATGAGCGCAAGGAAGACGACAAGCAGGACAAAATAGAGGATGGCGTAGCGAATCACCCGTCTCCTCCGCAACTTTGTCTGCTTCATTGAGTAAATTGGCGGACGGATTTGTCGACTAGAGTATGGCTTGTTAGTCATGCGCTCCGGACTAGTATTTGCAATGGGAAGGTCGGGGTATGAGACATACCTTGGACGCAGCCAGAAGAGCATCACTGAGTGCAGCTTATCAACCTGAGGAATCAGGATGACCGGGCACAGGAGGAACAAGATGAAGTGGCCGAGAACGAAATCGGCGGCAAACATGGTAAGCTCGGTGATCTTGCACAGAAACTCGCGCGCAGGTTGGGAGACCGAGTGCCAACCCATCGAGTACCACTTGCCCGTCCAAAAAGCGATGTTGGATTGGTCCGTTTTGAACTCCCTTGTAAGCGCGAGGGAGACGATCAACTTGAAGACGAAGCGCTGGATGGCCACAACCGCGATCATGCCCAGGAGCGTCGGCGCAAAACGGAATCCCTGCAGGAAGAAGAGGACCTCGAAGAAGACGAGGAGCAGAATAACTGCAATGGCATGGGCAATCGCCGCAAGGACGGAGCCAAACTTCTTGCAGCACATGCTCAGGAGAGGACCCATGAAGCAAGCCATAGCGAAAAAGACCAACAGGACGCCAGCATTAATAACTATGGGTGCCAGGGCGACGATGCCGATGCGTATGAGCGCCGCAGTCTCCGCGATGGTTTTTCCTTCGTTCTTTGTAGCCTCCTTGACACCCGTTTGAGCGTTGATGAAGAGATAGGGTATCAGCGTCACCGCCACAAGGCAGAGAGGCGAGAAGATCTCGGCCCAGAAGATGTTGGTAATGGCGGCCCGGGGAACGTCGCCCGACATCTTGGCCGACGGGTCACCCAGCGCTTTCCGCTTGTATCCAGTGATCCTCGTACGGGAGAGGCGGCAAAACGCGATCCATGACGACGCATGTGAGCGCGAGTTACCACGAGACAGCCAACGGAGATAGTCGCGATAGTCGATAAAGAAGTCGTTCCAGGCGAATTGGTGAGGATTGTAGAGGAACGGCGAGACAACCAGAGCCACCAGCGAAACCCAAAAGTAGACGAGAGCCGCCTGCCAGACTGTCACGGTGGCAAAGAGCAGCATCATAAGTACGCGGGCGCCAAAGTAGATGGACGGTCCCGCAAACCGCGAGTAGAGTACCCCGAACGGAATGCGGGCCGTGGCGAAGCCACGTCCAGTGCCGATGTACCTGGCCCCTCCGAAAGTGATGTCCTGCTGCACCGAGTTGGCGTAGATCTGGCAGACGAAGACCTCGAAGAATGGTGAGAAGGAGCAGAACTGCTTGGCGAAACGGGTCAGGGCGCGCAGCGGGCCGCGCTCCGACGCTTCCTGGACGACCAGAGGAACGAAGGAGAGGAAGAACACGAAGAAGATGGACAGGATACTGCGATAGACCCAATCCATGAGGGCATCTGTGTTGGAGCAGCGCGTTGGGAACAGTTCATCTGTGATAGGAACCCGCCGGTCGTAGTCGCAAGGAATCGTCTCATGCCGGAGAACGCCAATCTGGAGCAGGCAAATCATAAAGAGCTGCACCGACAGCATGATGAACATGTTGTTGACGTGGAAACCCGGATGAGCATAGTAGAACGAAAGGAAGCGGTCGAGCGGCAGCTGTGTTCCCAAGTAATAGTACTCTCTGGAGAGCATCTGCTCGCCCATGCCCGTGCCGATTTTAGTCGTGAAGTTGAGAATGGAGCCAAAGCCCAGATCACGACCTTTACCGCACTGGTAGTATTCGCAGTGCTTGATGCGACCGCCGCGCAGGAGAGCGTTCATACCGGCGTAGATATCCTCGTTGAGATGGAGACCTTTTTGCGCCTTGGACACACCGCCACGGGTCGTCATGAAGATACCGTTGAGGAAATCGGGGTGACCATAGTGGAGCTTGCCACCAATCTGGGCAAGAGTTCTCGCAAACAGAGTGCCAAACGTCTGTTCCTTGCCAGCGGCCACATCACCGAGGATGCCAATATTCTCCGAGAAGATGTACTCGCGAGCGCCCAGAATGGCGACGGGAGAATTGGTCACGTTCTTGACTCCGGGCGTGTACGGCGATACATTGTCGGTCTTCATCTCCTCAAACTCGGCGAGGACGCTTCGAATTTTGAGACACTCCTCGAGATAGTTGTCCTGGTTGGCATCAATGAGTTGGATGTACTCGCCGCGGTAGAAGATGAGGGCGTGGTTTTGGTTGTCTGATTTGCCGTCACCGAGGATCGGGTTGCCAGAGAGCTGAATTCGGAACTTAGGCCGGCGCATCCCGTTCTCCATGATCTCGGAATGGCCGTCGATGAGGGCAGAGTAGAGGCGGGGCTCTTCGCCTTCCACCAGCGGCGGCTCCTCGTCCAGGTAAGCGATCTGAAGATCCGGGTAGGCGCGGAGCAAGAACTCGGCATTCTCCATCTCCTCCTTCTTGAACTTGGCGAAGCGCTGCATCGACACGATGAGCTTGAACTTGCGGCGGGCCATGCGCTCCAGTTCACGTTCGAGCTTGTCCGAATTCCCGCCGAACATCTGGACGACCTCCGGGTTTTCGACGCGGTAGAGAAGCTTGATGGCCCGACTGTAGTTCATGAAGCCAGAGACGGTGCGGTACAGGGTCTGGAAGCGGAGCGACGCCCAAATCCGGGTCCTGAGAGTGTACTCGGGGGCCGACGACTTGAAACCAATGCAGTAGAAGGGCAGGTCGTCAATCTTGCTCTTGGCCGTATCCTTCTCGTTTTTGTCGTCCTCACCGTTGAGCTGCGATGTCTCGTCGGCCAAGATCTTGGTGTCCTTCACAAAGCAATCCCACTCGTGAGGATGGAGCTGCTTGAGGTACTCGAGAAGAGTGACGCGCGAGTACGGCTCGTCCTCACGGATAATCTCTCTGAGCGAGAGGAGAATCTTCTCGCTGTAGTGAGGAATCATGACAGTGAAGGTGGGCATGTTGTCGACCGGAAGGGGCTCAGGAATGGGCGTCGAAAGGGACTGCGCAAAGAAGGAGATTCTCCGCTCGGCCTCGCTATGACTGGGGAAGAACTCGGTCTTGAAGGAGTTGTCGTCTTGGGAGACGAAGAATGTCGGGGCGCGAAGGGTGCGCTTGCCCTCTTGCTCAGACGGCACCTGGTGGTAAAGGAGTTTCTGAACATGTTCGATGGCCAACAGATGCTCACGGTACATGGAAATGACGATGGCATTCCAAATCTGCGAGATGAGCACCTTTGGCTTGTACTTGATCTCCATGTCGGTCGTTGCCAGAATCTTGGAGTACATGCGCTTCGGGAGCCGGGAAAAAACGTTTCTCCAAGGCGTCAAGATGGAAGATCCAAGGTAAAACGAGCGAGCTACCGAGACCGTCGTGTTGACCAGGACGTACCAAAGGTACGTGTCCAGGAAGAAGAAGATCAAATCCGTGAAGAGGAGCAGACCCAGAGTGATCTGCGGCTGATATCGGCAGAGATAATCTTTGAGGATCGTATCGCCAACGCATCGGGTGGGAGCCATGAGCATAAGGTAGCGAATTGGATCCCTGATCGAAAGAGTCAGGTAGCCATATGACGCTCCGAATTTGGCGATGAAGATGATGAACCACATGCCGTAGGACAAGGCGATGTCGTTGCCCTTGAGGCGCGGGTAGCTGGCGGTGAACGTCTGGCTGGCAACATATCTCCTGGATTTTTTGGCCAGGTAGCTTCCGAAAAGACCGCCGAGGGGCATTATGGAGAAGAAGATGTACGTCAATATGGCGATGACGAGATGGACAATGCTGATGATGAAGGCGACCTGGGTGTTCTGCCTCTCAAGATATGCGGACGTCGGCGGCATGAAGATGTAAACTCCTGGAGCAACATTGATGACGAAGATGAGAAGGAGAAATAGCAACCGCTTCGTCAAGTGCTGTGCTCCCGCCCATTTGCGAGGAACATAGGCCCACTCCGCGAGAGTCGCCAGGACCTGGATCAGAGCGGCGATGGCGCCGCCGAACGCGAGGAAGGAAAGAAAAGCGGCCTTCGGGGGGTCATTGTCAACCTCCTGCTCATAGTTTGGCGTAACGAGCGTCGGAGCGTTGCCAGCCGTATAGAACCAGAACATTGATACATGGATGATCCAGATGCGGTTGAAGTTGACGAGCATGTGAAACCATGAACGCGTCTCCTTGTATGTTTTGAAGAAGACCTTCTTCCATTCCACATCTTTGAGCTTGAGGTACCGCTCAGCAGGCGGCACGTCGACCAGCTTGGTTTTGTCGTGAAGAACGATGCGCTCAATGCCCTGGGGGTACCAAAAGAGTTGGTTACAGTCGTCGTAGCCAATGATCTTGTTGTGGTCCCTCTCGCGGCGAACATAGACTCCGTTGGAAATCTCGTATCCCTGGTCCCGGCAGTACTGGTAGAGCGGCGTGATGACGTTGTTGAGAAAGGTGAACTCCTCGACTGGTTCCACCTGATTCTGGCACGCCGGCGAGTTCAAGTAATCGTCGGCGCACTTGAAAATGAAACACAAACACTCTGGCATGAAGCGGACCTGATTGGCCTCTCCCCAGCATAGGAGGTAAAGCGCGAGCTGGCGAACGCGGTCATGTTGAGACATGCGGTTCATCCTCGTCTTCCAGCGGTACTCGGCAGCCTCGAGAGAGTCGTCACCTTCCAAGTCCTCAAGAGCCTCGGCCTCATTCTGTGGATCCGATTTCTTGTTCTTCTTACTCTTCTTTCGGCCTTTGCCTTTGATATTGGCAAAACCAACAGCATCGTCTAGATCCAGGTGGGCAGCGAAGTACCATTTCCGGTAATTCGCATTGTCGCCACCAATGTAATCAGCGTGGAGGGAGAGGAGCGCCTGATTCGGCGTCATACGCGAGGCGCGAGAGTCGAGGAGCGTCATGAAATGGTCGTACATGTTCCGCATGCTGTCGCGCTGAAAACCGAACTTGGCCGTTAAATCAAGGAAGATGTCTTCCACTTCCTCTTTCGAGATGGGAATCTGAGCGTCGGACGTCCAGGCGGGGTACGGCTCACGCGAACGCTGGCCGGCGGGAAGGACATTGGCGTAATCCATGCCATAGTTCGGGGTTGACGCGCCTGATGACCGGTTGCCGCCGTATGAAATTTGTGAGGAAGGCGGCCGATACCCCCTACCGCCCCCATGGCCGTCATTGTAGCTGTCGTAGCGTTCGTCGCCGCGCCCATAGTAGTCCATCTCGGCAGCCCGGGCCATATCGGAGCGCATGGTGAAGTCACTGAATGTCTCGGAGTCGTCCTCCGCTCCATTTCGATGGCCGTGACCGTTCCCGTAGCCGCCGCGGTCGTAGCCCTGGTCATAGTAGCCATCGTTGTTGTTGTAGTAGTCGTCGTGGTACTGATCTTGGTTGTCATAGTATCCGCCGTCCTGGTGGTAGGGGTTGTTGGGGTCCGCATTGTAATAACCACTGCGAGGTGTCAATGCAAGCACGGTGAATGCACAGAAAGGTAGGCTTCGCGACATACGACTCGTCATAGTACCCTTCGCCCTGTTGTTGTCCACCGCGGTTATGGTCGTAGTACTGTTGGTCGTCCTGATAATACGAGTCGGTATTGCCGCCAGGATGGCCGTAGCCGTCATCGTAGTCGTGATGGCCGTGGTCTTGGCCTTGGCCTTGACCCTGGCCGTGTTGGTATCCCGACATGCTCAGCCTAGCGTCTGTGGTGCGAGATAAGGGTTAGTTGTCGAATGACAAATACCAAGGCCAGCAGGACGCTGCAAACTCTCATCTCCTAACTTACCGATCAATCAGTCATGGAAAACGAGAGAAACCATCAGCGAGCGGAGTGTTTAAAACCGGTGCCGTTTCTGACTAGAGGCCGCAATTGTTGATGCACAACACTCGCGATGAGCGGTTGGGGGCGCGGTGGGGCGTAGGGTTGTGGTGTTGGCCGAGAGATGCGGTCGAAAGTCGAAAGCGCTGGCAGTGACGGCCCAATCGACCTTTGACAGAGGACCTGTGCAGCTCTAATCCGAACCTTAATAGAGACGACGGTCGCCCCCCAGAACTCTTCTTCGAACGCTGTCGTTTGTCGTTCCAAGAATGCTCGTCCTCCTTGCGTATTAAATGATGGACAATATCGGTTCTTTTCCCGCCAGGCTTGCCCCAGGTGTCGTGTCTCGTGTGTGTCGGCTGGCAAGGATTGGCTGGCGGCTCACGGCACGATGGTCGGTTTGCCGCTGGAACTGGTGCCGCTGCACAACCCCAGGAAATCCTTCAAATGATGACCCAAAACGAGAGGTGGGAAGATGAAAGATTGCGAGCGAGTGTCAAGAGTAACCAAGGGAAAGAATAAGAGTCCGGCCAAGGGGAGATTTCAGGTTGTGGAGGGAGCAGGAACAGGGAAACGTGAGGAAAAAGGAGGCATTCAGGATTGGGTATGTTTCACAGGGCCCAGCAGTGATTTGTTGGCCACGACAGGGGTGACTGCAGCCCAGCCAAAGCTTCTGGAAAGGGGAACGGCGGCCAACTGACCAGCAAGCACGGTGCTGCCACACTGTACGGGCAGGAATTGAAATCCCATACATACGGACAGGAATACCGTAGCAGACAATGGTGACAACACGACTCTTACAGATAAGGTAAGTGAACTTTCGTTTTCTTGTATCATCAATGATTTGAAAAGCGTACCTCAATTGAGAATACATCTCACCTGCAGTTATCAGAGCACTTCTCAGACTTACACAGTACATATTTTCATCAGGCTCCACCACTACTGTGTAGGGCTTCCCTCTTGCCAATGAACCCTCACTCGCCTTGAGGTCCACTTGAACCCCGGCAGGGCAGCTGTGGCTGCAGAGCCGTGTACACATGTGCCATGAACACAAAACACGGACATTCTCGATACTCCGTACTTCTGTTGAGCTCGCCCTGGTCGAGGCCCAAAGTGAGGTTCACAGTAGAGACAAAAGTCGGTGGGCCAATCGGACACAGCACGCGTGAGCTTGTCATAAGAAATCATGTAGGCATTGTTGCAGGTGGTCTGCCTTTGCCTGTCAAGACGAAATTTGCGTGCGTCAGATTCACTGCTCCGCCACTCCCGAGCCCCTTGCTCTCCTGAGCCAAGCGCGACTGAGGTTTCGGCCAGGTAGTACCCTTGACATGCTTGGCCACTTTTGCGGCTTGCCTTCTTACGGCTTGGTCCAGCGGCGCGATGACGACAGCGTCGAGGCCTCGAAACCAGGAACCAAGTAGTTACCTATAATTAACCTTGAAATCGGAGACATAGCGGGATCTCTACACTCAGTACAGAGGTATCATTATCGAAGTGGCTGGTTCGAACAGTAACTGCCTCTGAGATGGTAAGAAAAGGTCGGATGATATGGTTTCGCAGCCCCAGTCCTAAATTTTTCCGCGCCCAGTCTACACACGGTCTAACGGATAACTGCTGCAAGCGGACACGAGCAGGCTGCATCACCAGACACAATCACGGTGCCCTTCGAGAACACGAACTGCTTGGGTACTGAGCTGTATCACGCGCTGCAGCTATCCCACGCAGTCTCCCGCTCTGTGAAAATGCGTCGTGCGGTTGAGCGCCCACTGCGATGATAGCGATTTCTGGCGGCCTGGAAAGCTCTTCATACATGGTTCCTGTTGTCCCCGATCCATCCGAACACTGGCAGTGGACACAGTGCGCATACATAACGTACCTGAGCTCGCAGTCCACTTCGCTCACCTCCTTGGCACATTTGCCATCTTCCCCTGAATACTCACGTCGGTCAAGTAGCACCAGAGATTGGCCAGTCATCAATGGATCCATTTCCAGTTTTTATATGATGCAACCTGGAAACCTTGGATAGTGCTCCCGCAATGCAATGCCACCCGCTGCCAAATTCAATATCCAGCCGTTGGACAATCCTTTTCAGGCATAGTTCCAACCAGTTCATTGAGCAATGACGAAGTTTCTAAATCTGTTGTGCCCTGTTTGATGAACTTGAAGCAGATAGAGCAGGAAACGCCAAAACAAAAAAAAAGACTGATCGACAATCTAAGCTTGCCCACCATCTCGCTTGGCGGGTTGAATGCAAAGAGTTAACTGCAAGCATGTCTAGAGCCCAACAAGGGGAAAGATGGCTTTACAAACATGGCCTTGCTGCATTCATCTTCTTTGTGGCGGTAGTTGCAGGATAATCAATAGGATGCGGTGTGACTGGCGATTAACGTGGACATTATCATATCAGCGTCCAAAACAGGTTGCCATACCGTCGACTGGCGCGTCGAGTCTGGTCGAAACCTACAAGAGGGTTCACCGTAGAACAAAGTTGAAAGGTGAGAAGGAAGAACGAAATTAGAGAAGAGGAAGTGAGAAGGTTGGAGGAAACCAAACAATCAACTAGACAAGGAGTCTGCTTCCTCTACTTTGGTTGGAGTCCTCCACCTCGTGAGGTCCTTTACAGTACAATCGAGAACCTCGCGTGGCATAGCAGTTCGTCCCGTGTCAGATAAAAAGCGGCCAAACGGTGCTGCTGCTGACCACATGGCATCCTCCAAACGCCGACGTGGCTACGCGTGTAGATGGAATTGTCTCGGGAGCTGCAGGAATAAGATCGAGAATCGTCCGGAGAGTCTCCCTGGTCTGCGGTGTTTCGTGACACAGGGTCGAGAATGCGCTGCCGATGGGGTAGGTGTCGGCGCGATCCTCTGGCGCTTGCAACCAAGATTCGCCGTGAAGCAATGTCGAAATGGCGCTTCCGGTCGTGATTCCGATGTGGAGCACGGAGAAGCACCGAGAACCGAGAGCCGGAAGTTCACCGACGGTCCGGACAAGGTACCTTACTCCATGTCCGACGGAATGAATAACATGGAATGCAACAGCTACCGGTACCTCAGAGTAGCAATTTCGCCAAGCTAGGAATCCGCCAGTTGAGATGACTCTTACCGCGTGCTTTTGTCTCGAACCTGAAGCTAGGGGAGTGGTACAATCAGGCAGAACAGCGCAGCTGGGAAAATGTGGTTGCCCCTGGCAACCCCCTCTCATGCCTTCCATCTTCCAAAAATGCCAGGCCAACAAAACACGCAATGGCTTGTCAGATTGCACTCGACTCGGTTTCGACCCTCAACAACTTAACGTTTGTTACCTTATGCAGAAATCCAAGCGGAAATCAAGCTCCCTGATTCTCACCACCGTCGAACTGATCCTCTGAAACCCGCTCGAGCGATTCCTTAAACATGGTGGGATTGGCGAAAGCATCAACATTCGGGACCGACGATGACGACGGGTTCCCCGACATCGATGCTCTTGTCAGCAGCAAGGAATTGCAGGCCCAAGCGGTCACAGACAAGGCACAAAAGCAACCAAAGGAGCGCTCGAGTACGGAAGAGGCAGCAAAGCCAGCCACTACAATTCGGAGGCGGAAACTGGGGCCTTTGACGGACAATTTGTTGTTGAAGGCGTGGACACCAGACAGCGCGGAGAGCGCCGGGGTAAAGAAACATGCGGGTAGGGGGCGGGAGAAGAGTGAGCCGCGACGGACGAGGGTTGAGCTGAGAACCAGGAACACGAAACTCGCGGTCGTTATCCCTTCATCCCCGGCCGACTTAGACGATGAATATGTGTCGGCGCAAGAGGAGGCTAGCATCATCGAGGATGTGTCTATGTTCGACGACACATTCCACTCCTGTGGGTCGGAGGGCTCAAGCTTGGAGAATAACGGTCACGAAGATGACGAGGATGGTGAGGATATCTTCGGCCCAGATATCCCTCCAAAGAGATCGCCGGTAAAGCCAAGGTTGCCGCCCAAGGACAGAGTGCAAAGAGGGCGTAGAAGCCGGGAGACGTCAAGCGAAGTGCAGTCCATGCTCGGCACAGAAGAGGATGGTCCATCTCAGCCAAAATTGAGCCGGACATCTTCCGGGTTACAGGGTCCCAGGTCCAACTTATCCACGGGACGCGGAAGAGAGCTCAATGCCAAAGAGACGGACAAAGGTTTTGCAGAAACCCTGTCCAAGCTTCGGCTGTGAGTTGGGGCCATTTCCGAGCTACCCTTTGAACCAGCGTAATATTGACTGTTTCCAAGTGATGAGACCGAGGAGAAGCCAGGGAGGGCCAAGGACACCAAGCCAGAAAACGGCGCAGCTACACCTCCCTCGACACCACCAAAATCACGGCCTGGACTCGTCTCACCGAGGAAGCTACCTCGAATCCCCGTCACACCCCATCGTCCGAGCTCCGACATGTTCTGGAGTCAGGAGTTCGTCGACGAATGGAATGAAGAGCATTCCCCTCGGAAGCAACTATTCCCAGACGCCGCCGCAGCCAGGCAGAGGAGCCCGACCAAGAGCAATCCCGAGAAGAAACCACAGAAGACCCCAGGGGCAAAAAAACCATCCGAGCGAGAGGCAAAAAAGGCCTTCGAAAAGATCAAGCACGAACTTGCCCAAGCCTTCCTCCAAGAACTCGACGAAACCATCACCAACGGCAAGCTCACCGAGCTAGCCGCCTCGACAGGCGGCATCAGGCTGATGTGGACCAACAAGCTCAACACGACCGCGGGTCGCGCCAACTGGAAGCGCGAGACGATCCGCAGCACCGCCCGCCCCGCCGACAACCCTTCCTCCTCCTCCTCCTACTCCTCATCCCCATTTATCACCACGACGAGCACCACCACCGCCCCGAAATACAGACACCATGCCTCGATTGAGCTCGCCGAAAAGGTCATCGACGACGAGCACCGCCTGCTGAACGTGCTGGCGCACGAGTTCTGCCACCTAGCCAACTTCATGATCAGCGGCGTGACATCCAACCCGCACGGCGCACAGTTCAAGGCCTGGGCGGCGCAGGTGTCGCGCGCGTTCGGCGCCAGCCGCGGTGTGCAGGTGACCACCAAACATTCGTACGACATCGACTTCAAATATGTCTGGCAGTGTGTGGCGTGCAAGATGGAATTCAAGCGGCACTCGCGCAGCATTGACCCCGCGCGACATCGGTGCGGGAGTTGTAGGAGTGAGCTTGTGCAGACGAAGCCTGTGCCGAGGAAGAAGAAGAAGGAGGACGGGGAGGGCGGTGGTGGTACTGGAAAGGTGAGCGAGTATCAGGCTTTTGTGAAGGAGCAGATGCGGGTGGTGAAGGCGGAGAATCCGAAGAGTCCGCAGAAGGAGATCATGAAGATCGTGGCTAGTCGATGGGCGGCGAAGAAGGATAAGGCGGCGACGCTAGATGGAGGGATGCAGGCGGTCGAGGAGGGTATGCGGGAGCTCGCGGTGTAGGTCGAGCGGGAAAAGCAGCATTATACCCAATGTATGGAGTAGCAAGCGTGAAACATTGAATAAACTGTGCCATCATTAGTGGTCATGAGCTCATCAAACCAGCTGCCCGCCCTCTCCATCCAACGCCGTGCTCTTGATTACCCAATACATATAGCTTCATCAGCGAAGCTCTGAGATCAGCCGCCCCCCATTCCTCGTCGCCCTTGATGCCCTCCCGCCCCTCAAACGGCTACACCTCGTCAAACAACCTCCAATTCCGCACCTTGAACGTCGACCAGATACGCGCCGCGTACTCGACCGCATCCCCAATCAGCTCACCCTGCATGCCCAGCGCCAGGTCAACCTCCTCCTCGTCATATTCGCCCTTGATATGCGGCACGTTGATGGTGATGAGGATGTCGGCCTTTTCCTTCTCGAACCGCAGCAGCGTCAGGATCAGCGCGGTAAAGTCGGGCGCGGATGCCCGTCCGGGCTCATCGGGGTTGGAGGGGGAGTGGGGTGTCTGGGTTGCGATGAGCGTGTAGGCTGGTGTGTCGTCGCTGCTGAGCGTCACCGCAGTTAGCAAACTGGAGGAGACCTTGAGGTAGGCGGAGAACATGAGCCGTACTCAAGGTGGGTGAACTGTGTCTCGGTCGTGTTCCAGACCTTGACGGTGTCGGCGTCTTCGCCAACCAGATCCTCCAGGTGAATTGTCAGGGCGCGGCCGTCGCGCTCGAGACCTTCCCCGGGGGCGTCGACCCGCTGGGTGATGTCGAAGATGATCGAGGTGAAGCCGTCCTTGTCGATGTAGACTTCCTGGTTGTCTGGGACCTGCCGGATGGTGCTGCGCGAGTCGAATGTCAATATCTCGAGACTGAAATGTCAGGGCCGGGGCCTTTTGGAGTCCCACGACAGAGAGAAGGGAGTGCGCCGGGAATGGTAGAGGCGTACCTCACATCGGCAAAGTTGTCGGGGAGCTCGCATTCGAGCGCCCCACCAAAGAGCCCTGTCTTCTTGTAGCCGCGAGGCATAACGTGTCTCTCTAGAGTGCTTCGGATGTCGCGATCTAGAATCTGGAGTTTCTTGCGACGGAGAATGGGGTTTGAGGTACAAAGTCAGGTTACAGAGGCACAGCAGTTGTTCGCAAGTTGGTTTGCGACTGGATCAGGCGGTGACATCAAACGTGCAGGATGGCGGGGCCGCGTACAAGTCTCCGGCCACCCCGCATTTTCCCAGCCATCTACCTTTTATACATTCAAATACCTCTGGCCATATCTTCTTACAGGGAAAGGTTTGGCAGCGAATCTGATAGTACCAAGTGATCGTCAAGTACAGCGCTTCATTATTTTGTATACCACCTCTAGCCTTCTTGACAGCGCGCAGCCGGCGCGGTATGCTGGCCTAGTCTATAGCCCACCACGCCTCTTACAAGTATCTGGTGAATTCTTCAGTATCAGTCGGTTCTTTTTTAGTTACCAGACGTTAGGGAACATCGTTTTCATCTTCCTTTTTAGGGCGGCTCAGACACGTTCAATCTGGTTCAGATCTGGGCTATATATGGGCTATTCGATCTAAGAAATCTGACGGGCTTGCAGCTACTCTTCTGTCGAGGTATAGACTTGAATCTTTGCGTTGTCTTGTTGAAAATGGTGAGTTAAATTTTAATAGGGTAGAAGACCTACTTCTGTAAGAGCCTTTTAGTAAGATTAGTATCCTAGCCTTGGGGTACTCCTATCTGTAAGGTGACGCCACAGGTTCACCAAGGAAGATGCACTGAATCTACAACGAGAAACAGGCATGACGATTGTATTGTGCGTGCACCATTGACCAACAGACTGAGCCTTGAGAGAGGAAAGTTCCAAGTTCCAATATGAGTCTCCCGTTTTCCAGATATCTTCCCTCTGTTGCGAGTCATGTCGCTTCACCATGAAATCCACAGGGCCCGTGACACTATCTTTGTTGCAATTGACTCGCTCCTCCCTGCGTCTCAGATCATTCCCTATCTATAATTGAGGATTTGCCTTTACGTATAGCCGGAAGTTGACGAATCATTTATTGAACTTCTCGGAAGGGAAACAGAACACCCAGGCAGTCGGATTCGAGGTATTGCTTTGGTAGGAAGACTCGTCTGAGCTGAGAACATAGTCTGGATGGTTAGCAGGCTCGAAACATGGGGGCACCTTAATCAACAAACTCGTAAGAACTCCTCGATATTTTCAAGCCAATCGCATATGAAATCATACCTATCCTTTGTCACTTCCTTAGTCAAAGGGATCTTCTTCTTCGCTCTCCATTTACGTAAGTTATAGGCACGGAGGCAACGCTTGATAGTCGAGTAGGAGACTTTCTTCCTAATAGCTTCGATTAGGGCCTTCTTTGCAAGCTCTCGGTTCCTTTTGACGAGCGTTATTATATAACGTTTCTCTACTCGCGTAAGAACTGGAGGACGGCCTTTCGAGTCGGAATTATAAAGCTTCGTAGCAGTTAATTGCCTTGGCTACCGCATCGTGGGAGACGCGAAAAGCTCTGCGACGGACCGCTCGCTTTTCCCAGCTGCCACGAGGGTGCAAATGGCTGCAGGGGACCCGGGCTATAATCCCTGGTTTTACAGCGGTTTGCCGTTAATTCTGCTACAAATTCGTTAGATTACGCTTCATGGTGGTATATTGTGGTGGTTAGAAGAATGGCAGGTGTCGCGTGGGAGCGCGACTCGCGTTTTAAGTGATGTGGGTTGGCCGGAGACTTCTGACCCTCACTGTACGATGGCGGGGTATCAAGCCCGGATTCAGCAGCTGCCGCCCGCAGACGGTTGGCCTTCAGTCTCACTCCAACGCTCAAGAATCGATGCGTTACTGAAAAAAATGTAGGAGAGGCACGAAGGTACACTGGTTGATTACTGAAGATGTTGGTATAATTAGGTGGCCAAAGAAAAGGCATGGTTTCGAGCTGGACAGAGCATGGTCTTGAAGCCGGGTATAGTTCCCGGCCCCGCCTAGTTTACAATCCGTCCCGTCTGAACCGCGCATGACTCCAACTGGATATTCGCATCGTCGAATACCTCAGGTAGCCTCTGTCGGATTGACCTCCTTCCAGCCAATCGTCACCGTATCTAGTCAACCTTCCTATGGCGAACAAGATGGCCTCCTGCATTTTCTGCAAGATCATCAAGGGCAAGTCAATCCAATCCAAGCTCCGAAGACGAGCTCTGCACAAGCTATCATCCCTGCTCCCCCAACAAACTAACCTAAATACTGTTCCAACCACCAGGCGAAATCCCCTGCTTCAGGCTCGCCGAAACTGAAAAGACGCTCGCCTTCCTCGACATCAACCCGCTCAGCCAGGGCCATGCCGTACGCATCCATTCCTTCTCCCCAGGAATCGACCAGGTCGCAAAGCAGCTTACACATGCTCTTTCGCCCACCTCCAGCTCGTGATCCCCAAAGTCCACGGCGAGAAGCTGACCGACATCCCCGACGACCACCTGACCGACATTCTGGTACGCCTGCCCTCAAAAGGAAGCACAATGATTCTCGCAGTCACACAATACTCGGGTGAAAAGGGAACTGATAAATAAACTTTCCCGCCCACAGCCCATCGCCAAGAAACTCGCCCTGGCCACGGGCGCACACGAGTACAACATTCTGCAGAACAACGGCCGTGGGGCGCACCAGGAAGTTGGGCATGTGAGTACCAACTTTGGATGCTGTGATCCCTCGGAGGTTTCGGGACTTGGTTTCTTGCACCACAAAGAGCATATGCGCTGACATCAGGAAAACAACAGGTACATTTTCACATGGTACGGTACTCCAAGGAGCTGCTAGACCACCCGGATTGAGCTGAGTATCTCTAAACTCTTGTGCAGATCCCCAAGCCCAACCCCCAGGAAGGTCTCGGCATCAGCTGGCCGCAGCAGAAGACCGACATGGACAAGCTCAAGGCGCTGGCTGAGGAGATCAAGTCCAAGATGTAGATGTCGAGCGGGAGTAGGTTGGTTGGTTTGTATTGAGGTGAGGTGTATCCTAGACTAGGTATGCTCAAGTGCTGAACAGGGGCCGCTACACCCTCTGGCTAAAGGTAGTCGGTCAACCGCCAGTGCATCAATGGTGGCCTTGATACTGCCTGACTCCGTTGATTTGCAGCGTAAACATAACAATTCCTCTTTAAACCCAGCGTCGAGCCGTGCTATCGAACAGTGATATGTATATATACTCCTTGCCGGCACTCCATTACGTCTAATCAACATCGTCCGCAGCCGTTTCAGGCGCAGGAGGCGGCGCCGCTTCCGTTCCATCCACGCCCGCTGCTTTCTTCGTCTCAGGGTACCAATCCACCTTCCCCCCCGGCACCAACACGCCGATCCTGTCATAGTAGGAGCGCGCGCGGAGGTAGGGATCGACATTCCAGTAATCCTCACGGAGTCTGGCCGCGATGGCGTTCCGCCTCGCCCTGATCTCGTCCGCCCTCTCGCCGCCCGGGTTCTGGATCCACTCGAGCGTCGCCGCCTCGTACTCCTTGTAGAGGGTCGCGCGCGCCGCCAGCATCCGGTCGCGCGTCGCCGTGTCGCGCAGCCGATCGTTCTCGCCCTCGGTCGGCTCGACGTACTGGTATGTCCAGTCCTCCTCGCCGTCCAGGTCCTTAGGGATGTGCTTGAGAGGGATAAAATCCTCCATCTCCTTGGCGCTGTTGGTGAAGTGCACCTTGTTGGCGACCACCGGGTCGAGCCAGCCGCGGATTACTTTCCAGATGCCTGAAGGGGAGGTGTTAGTGGAATGGTTGAGAGTGAAGGAAGGGGGATTCTTGCCTTGAAAAATCCAGGGAGCTTTGTGGACTAGGACGGTGCCAAGGCACTCCGGGTAGTTGGCCTCGAAGCACTTAATCATGAACTTGACGGGAGCGTAGTCCTATGACGGTTAGCAACGGGTTCAACCGTGCGACTTGAGTCGAAGTGGAACGTACCATGTTCGCCATGGAGAAGTTGGTCATGTCGAATACGATTGTCTATGGCAGTTAGCGTGCTGTGTAACTCTATCGAGGTGAAGCCCAACCTACAGCTGTATCAACTGGCGGCTGCAACATCATGCGGCATGTCTCGATGAGGTAGACTGTGTATCTCTCCAGCGCCTCCTCGGCCTGCTCGCCCTGCCTGTGCAGCCTGGTATTGACGAAGCAGAGGGGCCTCCCCTGCTTGTCGTGTCCATGCACGTAGCTGATGCCCTTTCTGATCTGAGCCATGAAGTCGTGCCCAAGCTTCTGCGCCGCGGCGTCGGTGCCCTTCTCAGCCGCCACTGCAGCTTCTTCGCCATTCCTCATGATATCCTCGTCGACCTTCATCTCCTGCGCACGCCAGTTCATAGTCGAGACCAGCATAATAAGGGCCCTCTCAACGTCCCACTTTCGAGCCCTGAGGAAGCGGAGCACGAGGGCGTCCGGGTGGTCGTGCTTCACCATGCTCCAGATGGTATCCCGTATCGAATCGGGCGACTGGCTGGACAGCGTCTCGTAGAATTGCTTGGTCTGGCCATACTTGTCACCTTCACCGTCCTTCAAGCTGAGCTGCACCGGTGCGTTCGTTGGTACTCCTGAAGCCGAGTCCATGTCCGACTCCTTCTTTCCCTTGCGCGAGAAGAAGGCCATGCGGCTTTTCTTCCCTTTCTTAGTGTCCTCATCCTGCGCCTTGTCGTTCACAGCGGCGCCATTGTCAGTGGCGGCGCTGTTCTGGTCTTGACCAACCGCACAGACTTGGAAGATGAGCTGCCACAGCCGCCTGAGCTTCTCCTCCTGCTCAGGCGTGAGGGTCTCCGGACGGCCCGGAGCTATTTCTGGTGCCATGGCCTGGACAGACTCTGGCTGGTCCACAGTGACTCTTGCAACAGGCTTCCGCGCTTGGAAAGTATAGTAGGCCGACAATGCTACAGCGGCCGCTAGGACGAGGAAAAGTTCTGTTGCGCGGGCGGTAAGCGGACTATAAGTTTGAGGTGTCGCCTTGCGCTGTGTGCGAGTCGCGTGCCCAACTGGTCCGGTACTGGGTAAGAAGTAGCTGAACGAAGCGGCAGAGATACGTGTGCGGCTGGGAGGTGAAAGTCGAATGTCAGGCGGGAGGGCCAGACCAGGTCCAGAACTCCTGGTGATAGCGACAGCTGTGAGAGAAGAGCCAGCAGACCGCGAGAGGCGCAGAGACGAGCGCATAAGAAAATACTACGAAGGATCTCGAGAATGCGAGATGCTTGCTGTGAGCGCAGCCAACCAACACGGTACTCGATACAGGACCCCAATGATATGGTACGTCGGGATCAGGCTATCCCGGGCATGCCGTGTCAGCTTGGGGGCGCAAAAATCAGCAGAAGCATAGAGCACAGCGCAGCCGAAGACAATTTTGGACTGGAAAGTGTGGAGGGATTCACATACAGATTGAGTCTACACAGTCATTTAGGTGATAAGGAGAATCGGTGGCCGTTGCCAAATGGTCGCGTGGTAAATCCAATTCCGTTTCAACGGACGGAAGTGCGGTACAGATAAGGAGATGTACTGTGGCTCATGTGGTGAAAGGCTGAGCAGTGACGACGGAATGTGATGCTCTGCGCTTTCTACTTGGGTTCTCTTGGCAATTGCTACGCAGGCCCCCTAGTACTCTGAAGTTCCCGTTTACGAATACTGTGTACATGAATTGGAGAGCGGGGCATTACTGTGGTACACGACGGGCTTGCCGTCCCCAACCAGGTAGTCAACTAAAGATTTGGTCAAGAGAGAGGCCCGGACTTTCGGGTTGTGCGAATTGTCCAATTTCAAATTGTTTTCTATGTCATGTTTTTGAGGATTCACTTCCGGCAACTCCGAAACTGCATCATGGTATGAACAGGTCAACAGAACGTCGACGAGTCTCCACTGCCCGGGCTGCCTCTCTCGCCTTGTCATTGCCCCTTGCATAGTGGGGTTGTCGAAGCCATCAAATTGCGGGGCAAATGCCAAGAGGTTCGCTTGACGAGATAGGAAGTGAAGAACAAACACCAAATAATCAACTTTGAAATCAACACGCACGTCCGACCAGCATAACGCAACGCCTTGTCACCTCCCCCAACAATGGCACACGAAGAAACGTCCTACCGCCGCGCGCGGTCAACCTCCCGCTCCCGACCGACAACTCCGCTCCGGCCCTCGTCGCGCTCATCCTTCCGCGAATCGGCCCGCAGCATCCAGGGCGATGCGGCGTCCTTCCCGCTTAACACGTTCGAGCCTGCGTTTGCTGAGCTGTCAGATGCCTTCGCCGACCTCGAGGCAAACATGATGCACTTTCAGTTGATGCACGAGAGTCTGGCGCGATTCAGCGAGAGCTTTGCGAGCTTCCTGTATGGTCTCAACATGAACGCTTTTTGTGTTGATTTCCCAGAGGTACTTGAGAATCTCACCAAGGGAGGATGAGGATGGCTTCTGACTGGGATATCTGTGGACAGGGGCCGATGGCAGAGTCGTTCAGACGGATGAAGCTGAAGGAAGAGGAACAACAGAGTAGGTAGCTCGAGATGTGGACTGGGAGATGTCGGGATGCTGATAACTGGTGGCGGCTTCAGGTGCGACGAGTAACCCGGAACGGATGATTGGCGAGGTTGACACCGAGACTACATTTATGTGCGCAGCCCTAACAGCGCGCTTTGGGTTCCAAGACTGACGAAGCCCAGGACAACGGACACCTCCTTCGTTGAAAATCCCCCGTCGACCAAGTCGTCGCTCAGGTATCGAACGCCAGCACCGAACCATCAGTTGCGAGTACCGGCGCCTTCCACGAGCACCACAGGGTCGACATCTACAAGGGGTGTGGGGAGGGGCGGCAGGGGCGGCACCCGGGGAACGCGGCCTAGTGGGCTTCCGGCTCCCAGGGGTCGCGGTATCAGTTGAAGCGTCCCGACACATGGATTCCGTAACAGAGCTGCCCTTCGACTGCTGGTTCATGGACTGGTTTTTGAGGGCGGCAGCTATTCCGGGCCGGGCCTTGGGATCTCTGAATATCGGTAGCCTGATCCGCCTCCGTGATTGAAGATGATGAGACAGAAAGCTGGTGTACCGCTGGGATTAAGGCAGGATAAACCGCCATCAGAGCACCACAGACCGGGTGAGCGGCACGGGCCAAGAGCTCCCCATCGCCTTGCCCAGATACTCAGTCGCCAACCTAAGGCACTCTTCCTCGCCCGAGTTGACCCAGCCTCCCACAGCACTGACGGTCTTGGTCCTGGACTTGAGGCCATGGACAATTCGCAGACCTGACCTGGGGAGATCGAGAGCCTGAGGGCGGAATGAATACGTGCAGAGAAGAATATGGAGCCAGGAGGTACACACCTCACTCAAAATCTCCATGACAGCTTTGTTGGCCTCGCCTTTGCGCGCTTGTACCGCAACGCAGATCTCGACAGCTTCCTTGCTCACCGAGGCAATACCCTCGCGGTTCTTGCTCGCTCCTGGCTTGACGTTGCAGAGCATGTAGAGCGTATTCTGTGCCGATTTTCTGGCCGCGGCCACGTACCAAATGGCGCCGGCGGACATAGCTGTAATCATTTTTTATCCAAGCGACATACTACCGAATTGTGATAGTGTTGAATCCTGACCAACTTCTCTCGAATCATCTGCGCCCCAGGTATAAGAACGCTTGTAACCCTAACCCAGATTGAGCTGCCCGAAGTGATGTCACTCGGTCAACGGCAGCTTGGAACTGCGAATATCGACATGGTGCAACATCGCCATTTCAACCTCGTAATAACCAATTGTTCACTCACCAAACTCTCGTTCACTCAATCTAACCCAACACCCCATTCCCACGCTATTTTCAAGCACTGAGAGACACAAAAAAAAAATGTTCCGCTCAACCCTCCGCCCGCTCACTTCCTCCTCCATCACCGGCCGCGCCGCCACCCTCCTCACCCCGACGGCTCGTCCTGTCCTCCTCCAGCACAACCACGGCTTCCACACCACCCGCCCAGCCTTCGTCAAGCCAGGCGACCCGCTGCCCGATACGGACTGCCTGATGGAGAGCCACCCGGGCCAGCGCGTCAACCTGGCCGAGGAGGCCGCGCGCGTCAACAACATGCTCCTGATCGGCGTGCCGGCCGCTTTCTCGCCGGCATGCTCTGCAACACACATCCCCGGTTATGCAAGACATCCGCGGGCGAAGGATTATGAGGTGGTTGGAGTGGTATCGGTGAATGATGTGTTTGTGTGAGTATATCCTCCCGCGCTGAACCTACGGAGTTTTTTGGTTGTATCTGGTTAAGTAGGGTGGATACGTGTGAAAGGGAGGTTCGGGTATTTTCTTGGTGACGGTTTGCTGACTTGGGCACGCGGAACAGGATGAAGGCGTGGGGTGATCAGCTGGATCCGGCTGGGGATTTGGGGGTGAGTTCTCTCTTTAACCTACCTTGATCTTCCAACTATTACCTGTTTGCTTACAACCACTCAGATCCGCTTCTTTGCCGACCCAACCGGCAAGTTCACCAAGATGATGGACATGGCATTCGATGGGTCGGCCATCTTTGGTGGGGACCGGTCCAAGCGGTATGCTATCGTGATCGAGCAGGGCAAGGTCAAGTCGGTGGCGGTTGAACCCGACAACACCGGTACTGACGTCTCGCTGGCCGAGAAGGTGTTGGGGCCAATCTCAGGCTGATAGGATGCTGCCCATTTCTGACTGTACATAAAAGCTTGGCCCCTTGCAAACGAACGGCACAGCGTATCAAGTTGGGCAGCGCTTTGTCATGTCTGCTGCTTCAAGAGTACCCAAAGGCTGATGATGAAGAGGGTGAACACTCAATATCGCCGTTATGGTATTTGCGGCTAACTGTTTACCCAAGGTATCTCTACAATATGTGCAGGTTGTTGCAAGGTGCAACAAAAACCCAGCCAATCCCCAAACTTAACACCTCATACAAACCCACTTCAAAGCATGGGCTTAAGGTCGTCAGCCACATGGAAGGGCGCTTCAGTCTTAGCCTTGATCTCATCCACCGTCACGCCATCCGCGATTTCGATCAGCGTCAGCCCGTGGGCAAAATCGACGTCAAAGACACCCTGTTGTTTTGATCACCACGGTCAGCACCTTGTGTCACAATATCTCACGGCGAAAAAGGAAAGATAGGAAGACTCACCAGTTCTGTGATAATCCTCGACACGCACGCCTTGCCCGTCAGCGGAAAAGCGCACTGCTTAACAATCTTGGGATTGCCCTTCTTGTCCGTGTGCTCCATAGTGACCACCACCTTAGTCGCGCTGGGGTTGCTGACCAGGTCCATGGCGCCGCCGAACCCCTTGACCTTCCCCGGCAGCATCCAGTTCGCCAGGTCGCCCGTGGCGCTGACCTGCATGGCGCCCAGGATGGTCAGGTTGATGCGGCCGCTGCGGATCATGCCAAAGCTCTCCTCGGACCCGAACACGGACGCGCCCGGCTTGAGCGTCACTGTCTCCTTGCCCGCGTTGATCAGGTCCGCGTCTTCCTGGCCCTTGAGCGGGTACGGGCCGAGCCCGAGAATGCCGTTCTCGCTCTGCAGCTGCACCTCGACGTCCTCGCCCACGAACCCGGGCGCGAGCATCGGCATGCCGATGCCCAGGTTGGCGTACATGCCGTTCTTGAACTCCTTGGCCGCGCGCTTGACGATGCGCTCGCGCTTGGCCTTGGTGTCGCCGGTGCCCAGCGCGGCCGCGGCCTTGGGGTCCTCGGCGGCGGACTCGCTCGGGTCCTTGCTCCACGTGTACTTCTCAATGTTCTTGGGCGCCGTGCTCTGGATGACGCGCTTGACGTAGATGCCGGGCAGGTGGACCGCCTCGGGCGGGATCTCGCCGGGCTCGACAATGTGCTCGGCCTCGACGATGGTCATCTTGGCGTTGCGGCCCATGGCGCCGTTGAAGTTGTTGGCTGCCAGCCGGAACTGGCAGTTGCCGAGGCGGTCGGCCTTGTACGCCTTGACGAAGGCGTAGTCGCCCGCGATGGCGTGCTCCAGCAGGTAGCTCTTGCCATTGAACACCTTGACGTCCTTGGGGTACGAGAACTGGTCCGGCGTGCCGTCGAGCTTGTTGCGCAGCGGCAGCTCGCCCGTCTGCACGACGGTGCCAAAGGCGGCGGGTGTGTAGAAGGCCGGGATGCCCTTGCCGCCGGCCGCGCACCGCTCGGCGAGCGTGCCCTGGGGTGTAAGCTCCAGCTCGACCTCGCCCGTCAGATACATGGACTCAAACGTCTTGTTCTCGCCAATGTACGAGGCGATCATCTTCTTGATCTGCTTGGTGCGCAGCAACTTGCCGAGACCGCTGTTGTCGGTGCCGGCGTTGTTGGAGACGGCCGTGAGGCCGGTGATTTCGGGCTTCTTGAGAACCTCGTCGATCAACGTGTCCGGCACGCCGCAGAGCCCGAAGCCGCCGCAGAGGAGTGTCGAGTTGGGCTTCATGTCCTTGAGCGCCTCGGCGGCCGAGGGGTAGACCTTGTTGATCTCGCCGCGGCAGGCGGTGACCGAGAAGGTGCGCGCGAAGAGGGCCGCATGCTGATGAAGATGGGTGTCAGGCAAAGTCCTGAGGCAGGGTCCAAGGCAGCACTCACGTTTTGCCCGTACTTGGCGTACGCCCGCAACGTCCTCATGCACATCGCCGTCGACGGCATCTTGAATATGATTCCGAGCTTGTTCGCGTAGCGGTGGGGGAATGTCGTGCGACAAGACGGCAGCCAGATTTAAGCACCGGTTTATCACGGCCAGCGACACGAGCAAGCAGATGGGGGGAGCACAACGGCACACGACGCAAAGAAGAAGGTTCAAACGGGAAAGAGAGAACGGTTGAACAAAACAAAGTTCAATCCAATGGCACAAGAAGTCATCGCAGACCTGACTCCATGTGACCTCCCCCAGTTCCCCAGAGTTCCCCCCCGGCTGCAGCGAAGCCGCGGCGGGATGTGGTCCCTGGCCCGGCATGTCTCCACCCTCGGGAAACCGCTCGGTATGCACCGGGAGAGAATTGACCCATTTCAGCAGCTGCGGGTATCAGCGGACATTGATGAAGCCGAAAGGTACAATACAATACGGTCACCGTTGTTAGGTGACACTTTAAACACATTTGATGTAAAGTTAATCAAGACAGAAATAATAGAAGAACAGTTAAAAGCCTTTCTGGTAATCAAAAAGTTGAACTAGTCAATGCTAGAGCATATCTTTCTCGGCCAGCCGTCGCATAATGATTCTTCCCCCCTAGACCAGGCCCCGGGACCCGAAGCGGGATATCGACAGGCGAAGTGGGGTTGACGAGACCCAACGATCCTGCCGTATACCGCTGTTGACGAACCACCGCCTTGCCCACATGAATCCTAAAGTTGGGTTATTTTTCCCAAGCAAGAATGCATGAAGCACACCTCTTGTGCCCGGTTCGATCTTTGAAGTCCATGGTCTTCAGCATCGCACTGTTAACAAGTGGTCAGTAGGGTCGGCGCTTGTCGAGCTAAAGAGAGTCGTGTCGATGAGTATGTTCCCACGGTGTGAGTGTTGTAATTTGGTGTGCAAACTTCAAAAACAACCTCCATCTCCGTTACCCCAGCTGACCTGACGCTGTTCAATCCCATCTAATAAGTACACGTGCATGCAACAAACCGAGGCAGCCAGCAAATGGTCAAACTCCAGAGATGTGCCCAATCTACGGATACGCCCGTCCTCTCACAATCCTGGTCAGTCACGGCTTGTGGCAACGAGCTCTAGCAGTCCCAAAAATGCACCGCTCTGGCCCAAACCCGCAGTCCCCAACCCGTATTCCTCCTTGGTAAACCACCAGTCTGACTCGTCATGATAAAGGAAAGAGTGAAATAAGTCATGCTCCGCTGCAAATCACCCATCTAACGCCGGCTGCTCGATCCGCCGTTAGCCCCCGAGCCGGTCAACTCGACGTTGAATGTCCACCGTCCTAGTCACTTGTTAGCCATACGCACCGACCAAAAACTGATCCGTGTCCTCATACCTTCAGCGAGGTTCTGGGCTGTGTCGTCCAAGAGGATCACCCTGCGTTTGTTGCAGTACGACGTCTTGTCCATGATCTCCACCTTGAGTTTGGGGTCCGCCAGCTCGGTGATGGGCCTCTCAAACATCTCCGAGAGCGCCTCGACCGCCATCTCCAGGTCCTTCTGGTTGTCCTCAAAAATCTCGGTGAGGTTGTTGCGGGCGAGGTAGAAGGCGAACGCGTACGTCCACATCAGGGTCTGGCGGCACGTCTGGAGCGCCTGCGACGCCGAGTTAAGGTACTGCACCTCGATCCAGGACATGCCCGACTCCTTCTGCAGCTGCACCATCTTCTTCTCCGTCTTATGGTAGATGTCCTTGTCCAGGCGGGCCGACTGCTCGTGGTTGGCGTAGCGGTTGTAGTAGTGCAAGTAGCGCTCCAACGATATCCGCGACCGAGCCTGGGCATCCCGGGCATCGGTGCCGCTCTTCTCCTCGTATCGGTTGCAGTTGTACCAGCTCGTGCCGTGTTCTGACCAGAGACCCATACACATCCAGCAGAACTCGTGTTTGCACTTGCGGCAAGTCATGTGGTTGCAGCCGCCGTTCTTCTCGATGGTGCTGTTGCATTTCGGGCACTCCTTGGTGTTTGCCGAGATCCAGTTGGCTGTCTCGGAGTCGTCGGCGCATTTCTTGAGCCACCTCTTCACCAGCTCGCACGGCGCCGGTTGGTGGTCATTCAATATGCAGCCAAAGCAGAAGCGATGCCCACAGAGGCACGTAACCGTCGGGACAACCTTGTCGAGGTCCTTCTTCTTGACGGCACACTCGATGGCGTTTTGGCAGTCTGGTGCTGGGCACCACTTCAACGTCTCCTTGTCCTCCACGTATGTCCGGTGGAGCAGTTCGTGGTATCGCTCCGTCAAGTCTGGCGTGACCAGGATGTCCAGCGACCGGGCGTCGATGATGAGGTTACAGCCCTCGGAGGGACATTGAATGCGCGCCGCTTCTCCCTCCCCTCGGATCTTCTGTGCCAAGTAGTGCCGATAGCAATGCACACAATACCGATGGCCACATTTCAGAGCAAAGGACTCAAGCCCCGGCTCGTCTTCGCAGCAGATGTCGCACATGAAGTCGGGAATGACCTGCATCTTGGGTGGGCCGGCTGAGCTTCGGGAAAGGCCAGCCGCATCGAGCACCTTGCCCGGCCGGTCCATGTAGTCTTCGATCAATCTCTCCTTATTCCACCTGAAGTGCCGGAGAAGAATCGCCGCCTCTTCTTTGGAGATGTCCAAGATCATGTTCACTTCGTCTATGAGGTCATTTTGCTGTTTCTGCACGTCGGCTGGCTGGTAGACCTTGAAGCTGATATCGTATGCGGCCTTTCGTTTCTCGGCACCGTCCTTTTGCGAGTCGATGATGTAGTGGTCGGGCTCGTCGTCAAAGCCGAAGTCTGCTTGCCGAGTATGTATTAGCATCTGCTCAGAGGCATCCAAAGCCAGCGAAGGCCTGAGCTTGAAAGTCCAAGACTGACCTTCGTCACCAGAGAGGTCGTTATCACTATCATCCGGAAGCATGTCGTCTTCGCTAGAGACATTAGACATGAACTCGTCGTCTGTATCCATGCCGCCGTTGGACGCTGTCGTCACTGGGGTCGGGGGTGCCGTTTCCGGGCCGGCTGAGGCGAGGATCCTCTTGTTAGGAGCGGTGGCAGAAGAGGATATCGTCGCCTCAGCGGCTTTCCGCTTGCGGGTTGATGGAGGAATGGTGCCGGCTTGAATGTGTCGGTAGAGAGTCAAGCCTACCCCACCGACAGAGAGGAGTCTGGCGTGTCGGAGAACACCGCAGTATGACTCTACGAGGAGAGCCGAACTGGCGGCCGTGCTGTAAGCAATACCCAGCGTCAGCCGGGAACGGGTGCCAGGAAGTGATGAAGCGAACCGGGGTATTGTAATTACTCTGGTGACCTGGAGGAGTGCACCGGAAATGGAAGGGCGGCGGTAAAAGGTTGGAGTGGAAGGAGACGGTGATGTTTGAGGGCGGGAGTTCAGTGCTGGTGAGAATTGACCGAAAGGACAGGCTTGTCAGGTTGACGGATGGGAGAGTGCGAGTTTGGGAAGGCTCGGCGAACGGTGTTGGCGCATGGAAACCAGGCGAGGCCGAAAGCTGACTGATGAGAGCAGGCTCGGGCATGCGCTGGGCAGCGCCAGATGCCAAACGGATTACCCTAGGTAACCAAGGCCCAGGCAGTCACGCTGTCACTGCCCCACCCACGGCAGGCATACAGATCTGCCATGAAAGCGCTAGCTCGCCCCACCCGGAGCGAGAGGCAAACCGCTACCTTAGCGTCGAGAGCACACCTCAGCAAGCAACTCCCGTCAAGCCCATGAATGAGTTGAGGTACAAGTCGAAAATCGCCGAGGTGTGCTGCGAACACTTTCAATTTGGAGCAATATGAGGCCAATTCTTTAACGATCAACTCTGAATAGCACAGGAAATAATCACAAACGGCAAGCCACACGTCGGCCGTCATGGATGATGGCGCTCTGGGACGCAGCGATTGGAGGTCCGGTCGCAGGAAGCATGAGGGAGAAGCGGCATATGAGATGGAGGAGGAAAAGAGGAGGTATTTGGATGGCGAAGCTAGTCGACGCATCCATCGCTCTCGATCGAGAGAACGAGGACACCGACGACGTTCACGAACACCAGAGTCGAGGGACCGACGGCCGCGGTCGAGGGACTGGGAGAGGAGAGAACGAGCCCGCGATCGTGGCGATCGTAAACGAAGTGAGGAGCGAGATGGTGGGAGGAGAAACAGGGGTTACGACGACGACTACAGAAAATATCACCGGAGTCGACGAAGCCCCAGTGGCAGGTCGTCGCGGCCTAGGTCAGAACGTGGCAGTGAGGACGAGAGTGGCACGCGGAACGACGGACGAAGCCTCGTCAAACGCTCGGGTCCATTACCTTCTCAGGGCGATTCTTTCGCATTGAGCAAAGGCGAGGAGTCCGAAAGGCCAAAAGAGAAGCCCAACTTTGGAAATTCTGGTGTGCTGGCGGCAGCATCCAAGGCGGTCACTCAGGCAGACGGCACAACAATCACGCTGAAATATCACGAGCCGCCGGAAGCCAGGAAACCACCGCCACGAGACGAGTGGAAATTGTTCGTGTTCAAGGGGCAAGACATTGTGGACACAATCGAGCTCAGCACTCGGAGTTGCTGGCTGGTCGGCAGAGAGCTGGCCGTCGTCGACCTCCCTGCCGAACATCCGAGTATCAGCAAGCAACACGCCGTCATACAGTTTCGATACACAGAGAAACGCAACGAGTTTGGCGACAAGATTGGGCGGGTGAAACCGTATCTGATCGACTTGGAGAGCGCAAACGGCACCATGCTCAACGGGGAAAGGGTGCCTGAGAGCCGTTATCTGGAATTGCGGAATAAGGACATGATTCAGTTTGGCTCAAGCACCCGGGAGTACGTCCTTATGCTGGCTCCCAAGGAGTAAGCAGCCATGGCAGCAGGAGGCATCACGGGGTGTTGGTCATGCCCTGAACCAGGAACTTGGATCAAGGGGCACCTTGCCTTTGCGGCCCCAGCAAGATTTGTGAATACCTTCAGCTATCGCAACACCCACGAGGTCCATGTCACCGGGCGCGTTTATGGCGATGCCGAAGCAGCCCGTGGCGTCAAGCATGTTATCACGGTCCATTTTCGCCCTCGGCGTTGTTGCACAGATGCCCGGGTTTTGGGCTTTGTACGACGGTCGCTGCCTTGGTCAACCGCAACGTCGGATTTTAATGCCGGCTTGTCCGACAGCGTGGGATTAGAGTTTAGCGCCGCCTCTGCTACCTGGCACAACGGCCGCCCACGGTAGCAACTTCCTTCGTGTTGCGGCTTCGTTCACGATGTGTACAGAGTCCTATACAAGACCAGGTTACATGATGACTCGGCTTAGGATGTCTCGTGTCAGCATATTGAATCAGCTCGGCCCAACTCACCTCTACGCTATGATCGTCTTGCTGGACATCGCCGGGCACGACCGAAACCTTGTTCCCATGCTAATTCGGGGATATTGCTTAGTTGGGATGTGGTGCACCAGTCGCGGTTCAAAGAGGGCCATCGATCGTAGCGAGGCACTGCCATGCCATCGCCTCAGGAACCTGGTTCATAGGATTCACATTCGCTATTCAGCGCGCTGGGCCGAGCAAGCGACCAACAAAGCTCAGATCCACCCCTGGTTGCCAGGCTTCCCGAAACATGCACCTCCTCACGTTGGCCCCGTCTTCTGTAGACTGCGGTAAGGAATGTTGATGCCCACCTTAGTTTTTGCGGCAGTTCTCAATTCCGTTGAGATTCATGTTCTTGACGTCAACGTCTCACCGATATCCCAGATTGCAATGCCGCAATCTGATTTCGCGAGGCTCATTAACTGAGGCGCCACAGCATTCACCATGTGGTCAAGAGACGGTCTTCAGAACGGCATCTCCTTGGCACCCCTGCGTGCATAGCAGTCTTGGCCGGAAGCAATCCGGAACCCGGTGTGGGTGAACAAGAGGTCGGTGACATTTGGAGACACGCCGAACCGGGGCCTCTTATTCGCCAAAGCTGAACGACACTGCATGCTACGCCTCCGCCTTGCAGGCTCGCAGCGTCCCGCCCCGTTGAGATGGCAGCCAACAACAACCGGGAGGATTGCAGGCAATGCAGGAGGCGACTTGAAAGGAGTCAACGGTGACCTGTCATATCCATTCCTGATTTGTCGGCGTCCTGTGCCCGGCATTTCAGACATTCAATACAACCCCTCCTCCTCCTCTGATGGTGGGATGCCCCTCAAAAGGAGGGCTCAGCTGCTACATTTCGGTCACTTTCTCAGCCGCCGCGTGACAAGGCTTCCCCACGTCGACTTTCTGCAGTTGCACTTTGCCTCTAGGGCAGCTGTCTCAGCGGGGAGTCTTCCTCCTGGGCAAATGCATGTGCGGCCGTGTGTCGAGGTCCGCTGATGGGCAATCAGCGGGCGATATTTACCGCGAAAAGCAGGTCAGGAAGCGCCTCGCGAGCGACGACTCAAGTCGCACGTCACTCTCCTGTGAATCTTAGAGACTCTGCTTGTCATTGCAGCGTCGGCCACGCTCTCGTGGCTGAGCTTCCAGACGACGTCGCCGAGGCATATAAGAGATTCCTGGACACCCTTTCGGCTCAACTTCGCCGAGCCATCCCTGATTGCTCAGGTGGGAGAGTGCTGGGAAATGTTCCTGACCTGCTCGGCCGCCAGCATCTAGCAAAGCATGGTGAGATTTTCCTGCTCCGATTCAGCCTTCATCCACAGGAGCTCCCCGAATGGGCGGCGTCGGCCGTCTCCCAATCCTTCCGCCAACATGCCCAGCAGCTCCCAACGTCGCAGCTCGGGACGAACTAACAAAATCACAGGCCACCATCAACAAGCACCCGAACCGGTTCGAACTTACAGCCGTCTACCAACACCCAGAGGCCAAGGCCGACATTGTCCTTATCCACGGCCTCAACGGCAACCCGGAGAAGACATGGACGGCGCCGAACGGAGTCTACTGGCCAACCGACCTGCTGCCTGCGTCGCTGAAGGACCAGCATGCGAACGTGCTGGTATACGGCTACAATGCCGACGTGTACGGGGGGTTCTGGGAACGTCCCGCGAAGAGCCCAAGTGACAACTTTATCCACCATCATGCCCAAACCCTCGTCGCGACGCTCGCACACTACCGCAAGAGCGAGGGCACCGAGAGGAACCCCATCATCTGGGTCGTCCACAGTCTCGGCGGCATCGTCACCAAGCGAGCAATCCTCTACTCGAACGATCTCAGAGACCCAAACCTGGAAGATCTCCGGTCGATCTACGTGTCGACGTACGGCATCATATTCCTAGGCACGCCGCACACCGGAGCGGGTGCGGCCACATGGGGCGGAGTAATCCAAAGGATGGCCGACGCCCTCGTTCCTCGGAAGCTCTTTGAGACTGAGTCGGTGTTGCTCAAGTCGCTTAAGAAGGACAACGAGACGCTGCAGCAAATTAATAACCACTTTTTGGACATCTATCAGAAGTTCAAGATCCACATGGCGCATGAGAACCAGAAAACGGATATCAGGGGTTCCAAGTAAGTGGCGTCCCCCCTCGAACTTGGGGTTTACCCCCCCAATACGACTGCGTCCGACGTGGCACAGAGGCACACGTCCATGTGACGCTCGTACGCAATGCTAAATATCTCCAGGATCCTGGTTGTGGACGCTTCGTCTGCGAGCCCTCAGCTTGTCGGTGTTACGTACTACGGCATTGAGGCCACCCACTCGGGCATGTGCAAGTTTGCGAGCGAGAATGCCCCGGGCTACCGGACCGTTTCCACGGCGATTCGGGAGTGGGTTTCCAACGCCCCGAACGTCATACCCATCCGCTGGGAAATGGAAGACGACGAGCGGCGGGTGAGGGCGAACCTCGACAACTTTGAGCGCAGTCGTCTTTATGTACGTCAACCAAGACAGCCTCTCTCGGGTTCACTTATCTCATGCTGACTCCACACCAGCAGGGTTCTGCCCTAGGCTCCGGGGCGCATACACAAGCAATCGGTAGGTTACTGTTACCAGCTGGTCGATGGTGATACCAGGCATGGCCTTCCCAGGGGACGGTGTTGCGTCGGGCAGAGGACGAGCACGAGTGGTATCACCATGGATGCCAAAGGAGACGACCTCAGGTTCTGCTTTTAAGGGGCACTCGCTGATTTGTTTTGATCTTCTCGACTAGTCGCCCAGAGCAATAATGAAACCGCATCAACCCAACACCGGCCCTCCCTAATCGAGGCCCAGGCCCAGTCCTCAGAGCCGCGCAGCATCTCCGCGCCGCTCCTGATCACCAACACCCCCGACCCAAACTCACATTGCTCCCCACAACTCCTACCTCATGCCCACCCGGACAACGTCCCCCAGCCCAACAACGAACAGCAACAACGACGGCAACCACCACCGCCTCCAAGCCACGAACCGCTCTTCATCCATCCCGAAACATTCCGCCCCAACTCGTACTTCGTCGGCCGCGAGGACGAGTTGCGCGGCCTGCACGAGATGCTCATGGACCGCAAGCGGCGCGCCGAGGGCACCTCGGCGGTTCTGATCCGGTGCCTCCCCGGCGGCGGCAAGACCCACCTCGCGCGGCAGTACGTCTTCCAGCACCGCGGGGACTATCCGGGCGGCGTGTACTGGGTGCGCGCCAAGTCGCGGGGCGAGCTGGAGTACTGGTTCTGGCGCATTGCGAGGAACGAGGCGCTGAGGGGTTACTTGGGCATGGAGGAGGAGGAGCAGAGGGATGTGGGGGAGGAGTTGAGGGATCCGAGACGGATTGTCAGTGTGGTGAGACGGTGGCTGAGTGCGCAGTCGGGCTGGTTGATGGTGCTGGACGGGGTGCAGTTTGATACGCCTGGGTTGAGCGAGTTTATTCCTGATGCGCGGGACACGAGCCTGATTTATACGTCAACGGAGAGGGCGGTCACGGGAGACCCGCGGTTTGATAACCCGCAGGTGATGGAGCTGGGGCTGTTGACGGCGCAGCAGGGGCGTGATTTGCTGCTGTTGGAGATGGAGAAGAAGAAACCGTGGAGTGAGGAGGACCAGGCCATGGCACTGGAGCTGGTCGGGCTGATGGGGCGGCTGCCGCTGATGATCCATGTCGCGGCGCAGCATCTGAAGGCTACGAGGGAGCCATTGGCGAGGTATCTAAAATCGTATCGGAGCCGGCCGAAGGCCGGGGGGCTGCCTGCGTATAAGGCCGTGCGGGAGCAGCTGGAGAACAGGGGGGAGAATGCGGCGCTGAACTTGATCTCGTTGTTGGTCTTCTTTGACCAGCATGTTCCGGTCGAGATGTTGGCACTTGGTAGGTCTTTGCTGGTCCTGGAGAGAAGATGGATGGCTGACGATGGAATAGGTCTCTCTGCCCTCAACAAGGCCACTCCCGTCAAAACATGTGACGCCATGCACAGAGAGGCGAACTTGAACAACACGCTCAAGGTCCTGATAGCCTTCGCTCTGGTTGAGCGGTCCGAGAGCGACGATATTTCGCCTACCAGCTCACACAGCTCTAAGCGCAGCTTTGACAGGCATGCCGACTATCTCGACCTTCTCCGTGTGCACAGTGTCGTCCAGGCCTTCTTCATCGACTCGCTCCACGAGCAGCACCAAGTTCCTTTCTGGCTGGAGCGGGCGACCGCCGTTTGGTGCCGTTCCTACGACGATGCGGACAAACGCATCCAGGAGGATCCCAGGGTCGGACTGCCAGACGATTACCGTCGCTTCTACATCCACGGCGAGAAGCTGCGGCAGCACCTGAGTCGGTTCGAAAGGCGTTACCCAGGTCTTGCGAGGGTCAGATCGATGCTGGACCAACGGCTGGAAAGGATTCAGGGGCAGATCGACCACCTCTCCCATGCCATCCAGAAGAACATCCTCGACGGCTCTCCGGAGGAGCACCCGGCGTCCGTGTTTGACCGCATCAGCAGTTCGTCGCAATCAGATTCGACCACGATGGAATCTCACAGTAGCGAAGTGAGCGCGGTGTCTTTTGAAGACGGTAATGGCGCCCTGGTTCAGTCGCCGTTGCTGCTTGAGCCGGGCCCGCAAACGGAGATCCCATATCCTACCACACCTGTCATGCCAATGGTACCTGAGATTATCGAGGATGACCGGGAGACAGTCGTCGGGACACAAGTACATGTTGGGGGCACCGAGATCGACGTCGTTCCATTTGCGCCTGATCCCCCTGACGTGCAGGAAGAGGCGGCAGCCTTTGATGACTGGCACGACATCATCCCTCACCACAGGGTCATCCGGCGGCAGGAGACCCGACGGTACCATGATCGCGCCGGTGCTTGGAGAGACAGGACCATCAGCGATCCACGCGTCGGGCTCAGTCGGGAAATTGCGCTCGGCTCCATCTCAAGCAAGAGGGAAGCTTCGAGGTCGCCTCTGGGTGCCCGCTTGACAGCGCAAAGCGAGGCAGAAATGGAGCTGAGCAAAATCAAGCTGGCATCGCCGCCGTCGCCCAAGCTGAGGGCGAGCTTCAGCTCGCAGACTCCAATTCGACCTGAACTGCTCATTGGCAGGAATAGCTGGGCACTTCCACAAGCCCAGAAGACATCGAGCACCGAGGTGGCCGAGATCCAGCCTGAACAGTTCTCAAGTGGTCTCGCTCAGATTCTGTCATCCCCCAAGAGCTGGACTGAAGCGACCATCAAGCTGCTGAGGAAGACGGTGTTGCCGTCCGATACGCCCGCCGGTACACCACCCCAGCCTTGGCGGCCGTCCGAGGAAGAACTGATCGTGCCGCCCGCGCCCATCTTCCGTGGCAGTCGCTCGGCCAACTCTAGCCCAGCTAGCCACAACTCCCCCTTCCCACCGCCGTCCTTCGCTGGCATCCCCACGGAAGATCTCCTCCCAAAGGCATGCCATCCCGTTGTCGTTCGCCGCTGGGACACGGTAGTCTACCCCGCAGACGGAACACCCGTCGCGTCATCCGGCATCGAATGGTCTAGCGCACCACCAGACCCCCTCTCTTTGTCCTACCCAACCCTGCTCCCAAGCAGACAGCAACAACCCAGCATCCTCGCCACCCACACCGGCGGCCAGCTAATTCTCCGCAGCGGGCCGGCCGCAGGGTACTCCTCCCAGCCAATGTCGCGCGACGGTTCGCACCCTTCCAACCCCAGCATCAACATTCACAGCCCCGACGCCGCCATCATACATCACTCACCGCGCTCGCGCTCACGCTCCCCGTCCCCGTCTTCACTCACCGACCACCAGATCGCCCCACGCCACAACATTTCACCACCCGAAACAACAACAGCAGCAGCAGCATCAAGAACACGAACAGAGACAACAACCGCAAGCCAACCCATCCCAACCCCAACCACGACCACCCGCCTAGGCTTGTCCCCGTTCGTCCAACGACGACGAGGACGACCCCCGTCCTACACCGAAACGGAGCCGTCTCCGAGGACAATAACAGATATGCCGCCCCCATTTGCTGACGTTGACACGAGTTATCGCCGCTGGGAGCAGCTTCATGATCATCATTATCATCATCATTGGCAGCAACAGCACCAGCAACAGCAACTGGGACAATCGGGACAACAAGGGCGGGGGCTGCCTGTCGGGAAGTCGTCATCGTTTCCCGTTCATCAGAGCGGGCGTTTGGAGAGGGGGCCGGGGGGCAGGACGACGGTTCGCGGGAGGACCTCCGGGAGCGGGGCAGTTGGGAAGAAGCGGTCGCAGTCTGTTTCACCGGCTGGGTTTTCCCGTGATGAGTCTCTGTCCGGGTCCAGGTCCGGGTCCGGGTCAAGGTCAGGGTCAGGGTCAGGGTCAGGGTCAGGGTCGGTATCGATGTCGATGTCGCCTATCCCGCCGTGGCCATCGGCATCGGGGTCTTCCCCGCCCGGTAGTGGGACGAGGGGCAGGGCTCAGAGACAGGCCCCCGCTGGCGCGGGTGCCGCCGCCGGGGTTGGCGGGTTGGGACTGGGTGGTGAGGGAGTCGAGTATCAGCACCATCCTCTTCATCACCATCAGAACTCGCAGCATCCACTGGCGGAGTGGTCTGCCCCAGAGAACGTTGACCAAGGGTTGTTGTTATCCGGCAGTGCGGAAACCGGGACACCCGGTACTACTGCAGGGAGTATTGCAGAAGGAGGAAGGGAGCCGATGGCGCCGTCTGCGTCGGCGGGGAGTGGCAGCGGTACGGCGGCGGGTGGTATCCGGATGGGAGACGGGACGGTGGTGGAGTTTGGGTCACCTCATCTGGGATCTGGGGATGAGTTTGGTGCCGGTTTTGTGTCTGGCTCTGGGTTGGGCGATATCCGTCGAGAGGGAGGTGGAGAAAAGTTGAGGAGGGGGTTCACCTGGGATGAGTTTTAATGGGCTTGTGAATTCGGAGTGACATGTGTAAAGGAGTGTGATTTTGTATTTTGAGCAACAGAAGGGTGTGTCTTAGGTACGGATGCGCGTGTACTATACCTGGTTCAATAGGGATGGATATTCCGTTTCTCTTCCTCTTTCTCTTCTACTTCCCCTTAACTTTCAAGTCATGAATGGCCAGGGCGGATGGCCGGGGATCTCGTCAATATTTGTAAAGTCCGGCGAACAAAAAGGAGAAAGTAGAGGACACCACAAAAGCTCACCGACGAGCCCTCTTTGCGCGCCGTTCAAATAGGCGTAATCCCATGTCAAGACCTCTAAAGGCGAATTTTACTTCTTCAGAGGGAATCAACCTACATTATTTTGGTTGCTGAAGTCCCAACCAGAGGCTTCGATGAGGAAAGCTGAGGTCGGTGGCTGACTCACTGGAGGAAGACGGCGGCAGTGAACGCACACATCTGTACAAAACCCTGGGCTATAGGTCGCTTCAAGGTTGTCACAATGCCCGTTGCCGTGGGATGGACACTTTCCATCTCATATGGACAGGGCTTGAGATATCAACTTTCCAGCAAGGACCAATGCTGCTTCACCTCCCATACAACCATTTGCCCACACCTAAGTGAATGCCACACCATCATTCCAACCAACAACACCCCCGCTTCATGGCCTCAATCACTATTATGCCACGCTAAACTCCGGTATCTCGCCCATCTCCTGCCGCAGCTCACCCCCAACCTTGTATGACACCCGCCACCTGAGCTTGATAGTCTCGACCCTCTTGTCCCTGGCGCCGGCATGACATACATGCATTGATTGCGTCACGCCCCGGCTCTGCTTGGGCGCCAGCGTCCTGCCCGACTGCGGTTTCAGCTGCAGCTCGTAGCCCTGTCATCATGATTTACGCAGTCAGTGAGCTGATACATCCACCTCTAGGGTTGAGATATAAATGAACAGATTGGGGGGTGGGGTTACCTTTGTCACAGCCAGCTGGAAATGAAGTTCCGAGATGTGCTGTGCCGTGTTGTTTGTGAAGGCAAATACCAGGCCGATGGACGGGTCCGTGCTGAGTTGCCGGTTGGCGACCATGTCGATCTTCAGACTAGTGTTGCTGACGACCGCCCTGTGCTCCTTGGGTACTTGTGGGGTGATCTCTGGAGGAAGCGCCGAGGAGAAGTTCCACTCGTCGTCGTCGTTGGTTGCAGCAGCTGCCGGCTGAGTGGCGGCTGCGGGTTGCTGTGGGGACAGAGATGCCAGTGCCGCAAACGGGTCCGCAGCTGGCGTTGACTGCGTTGGTGGCGAGAAGGCTGAGGATCTTTGAGGCGGCTGTGGGGTGGCTGATTGGGATCCTGGAGCAGAAGTGAAGGAGGAGAAATTGGAAAATGGAGCTGGGGATGGTGCGGATACGGGGACTTGTCCCTTGGCGCTGTTTCCTTGTATGACGGAGGAAAGCAATGCCGGGCCAGGCACGTCTGGCATTGTCAGCAGAGATACAGGCACACTGGCGATTCACGGAACTCACTGGTGTTGGCGCCAAATCCCAGCGCAATCCCGCCCGCTTGTCCATAGCTGCTTGTGTCAGCTATTGAGAGACCTAGAAGGTCGTTCTCAACCCCCGCCGTCTGGGGAGCTGCTTGTGAAGCAGCCGCGCCGTTTGCATCTGTATCGTCAAGGTCTATCAAGGAGAGCTCGTTGGCTGTGCTCTTTCCGCCGGTCGTCGAGACTGGATTGCCCTTGGCTACTTTCTGTGCCCCCTCGATATCGCCCTTTTTGAGTAGCTTGTACCGCTCAACTGTCCGGTGTATGCTGTCGTTGATCTCGAGCAGCTTAGCCACCGCCTCGTGGTCGTCGGATTCCTCCTCGCACATCTTTTGGATCTTTGGCTGGGCACTCGACAGTGCTGCTGCGAGCTCCGAAAAGACATCGCCATCCACCATCTTGTCACCCGGTTTGAACGCTTCTAACCTCTCCTCGAGTAGCCGCGCCTTCTGCTGGATCTTGCCAACCTCCTCGGCGGCCTTGGCGCGATAATCAACCTTTGACCTGGTGTCGTATCCGGCCATGACCTTCATCAGCTGGTTGGCTTCCCTCAGGTCCTCCGGAGTGCCCCTCCTGATGAGCTCCTGCAGCTTCGCCGATTGGGCCTCGCGCTCCTCTTCCTCCATCTCCTCGGCCGATTTCAGATTCTGTGATGGTTAGCGTAATGTGCAGGTATTCACGCTCAAGACTCGCACATACATCGCTCGGGTTCAGCACAGCAGCATCCTCCCGCCTGACCTCGGGGAAGGTGTACCCCTTGTAGCTCAGCAGACGGTGCATGTCGCGGATGAAGCCCAGGTCCTCCCTGTACCGGCTTGTCTCGCAGATGGTGCTGCGCCATTCTTCAATGGTCTCGAGGATTTTGAGCTGGACGCGCGAGGGGCGGACGGGGGGCCGTTCGGGAAAGCGGCGCACCAGCTCGTTGAGGAACTCCTTGGTGCTGATCTGCAGGTGGAAGGGGTAGCCGCAGTTCTTGACGCAGATGTCGAGCAGGTTGAGGGCGAGCAGGGCGACGTTGGGGTTGCGGTGGTTGATGTAGTTGACGATGGCGACGGCCGCTTCGCGCGGGGCCGAACCCTTCTTGGCATTGATTAGGTCGGCGATCTCGAGGTTCAGGGCAAGATTCGGCTCGTAGTTCTCGGGGCTGCAGGCAGCTTGGATGAAGCGCTGCAACTGGGACGGTGCCGGGGTGCCCATCTCACCCCAGCGGTCTCTCGCGGCGTACCGCGCCGAAGCCGCCTCCATGTTGCGGCCCTCGGATGTTGTTGTCGCTCTTCTTCTCTGGCGGTATCCTCGCGGGTGGCCAGATCGCCGGTTTCAAATCGACTCTCGACGAGAATCCGCTTTGCAAATTAGGGCGTAACGGCAAGTCCCAAGCTTGTTCCTGCTGAGGAAGCGATAGATGAGCTTGCAGCAGCCCGTGTGGTGGGCGTTTGGGCTGTGGTGTTGACTGCAGGAGAAGGGCGAGGGAACGTTCCCTGTGAATGAGCTCCAGGGGAGCCGGGCTCAGCCGGGCTGACTGACCCCTGTCGGGTGGTGAGCTGCGGGGGCTTGTACTGTACGTGTATTTTTGGACAAGCAAAGAGCGGCGGGGTCTTTTCTTTCCAGAACCCCACTATTGAACTCCAAGCTCTTTGCTGTAGATACCTAACTGTGCGTTGTCCGGTTTTGCCGTGAGAGTAACTACAGTACATAGCGTTAGTGTTTGTGCTCTGTTTTCCATGAACTTCCCGACAGCGGGTCCCGAGGTCTGGTTCTTCCATCTAGCTCCGTTGTAATTATGACGATTCTGGCGCGCGTGGATGTAGAACTGCAGCTAAGGATGTGTCTGCAGATGATATTTTTGCTCCTCCGAACCTTGGAGCAACAACATTACGTCTAATCGCCACTGCGTCGGATTCTACTAGGGCTAGAATCTCTGCTACTAAAACACCAGGCGACTCCAACCCTCGTAGTGGAATCTACTACCCACAACCTTCGTAACTGTGCCTGCATCAAACGCGGTTACAGTTTTCATTTCATTTCTCATTACGACTCGACCCGCTCCCGATTTCCATCAGTAGTCCTCCCGTCGGAATACAACCACCATGGTTCGCCACAAAAAGGACAACTTCTCGTCGCGGGGCAAGCACTACAACCGCGGACCCCCTCGCCATTCGCGACGACCCGAGACGGACATCAACCACAACATTGACGGCAACAACAACGATGCCGCCTCAGGTTCTAACCCTACCAACTCCTCCTCCACCCGCCCCGCCTTCAAAGCCGCCTGCTGGGACCTAGGCCACTGCGACCCGAAGCGCTGTTCCGGCAAACGGCTCATGAAGCTCGGCCTGATGCGCGAGCTGCACCTGGGCCAGCGACACTCAGGCGTCATCATCACGCCCAACGGCAAGCAGACCCTCTCCCCGGCCGACGCGCCCCTCCTGGAACAGTACGGCGCGGCCGTGGTCGAGTGCTCGTGGGCCCGCACGAAGGAAGTCCAATGGACCAAAGTCGGCGGCCGGTGCGAGCGCCTGCTCCCGTACCTGGTGGCGGCCAACACGGTCAACTACGGCAAGCCGTGGCGGCTGAACTGCGTCGAGGCGCTGGCGGCCGCGTTTGCGATCTGTGGGCACCTGGACTGGGCCGCGCAGGTGCTCGCGCCGTTCTCATACGGGTCGGCGTTTCTCCAGATCAACTCGAGCCTGCTCAGGAAGTATGCCGCGTGTGAGGATGAGGCGGGGGTCAAAAGAACTGAGAAGGAGTGGATGGAAAGGTTGGATCGGGAGTATACCGAAAGCAGGGAAGAGGGGGATCCGGATGACTTGTGGGCGGGCGGGAACGTGAATCGGAGGGCGCCGGTGGAGTCGGATGAGGAGGACGAGGCAGAGGATGAGGAAGGGAGTGACGAAGATGGAGACGAAGAAAAGGACGACGACGACGAGCGTATAGACGGGATCTACCTTGGCAGCAAACCGCCACCACAAACCAAATCGCCACAAGAGCAGCCAAAACAAAAAGACCGCTACGCTCTCCCTTCAGACGGCGAAGAGGAGGACGACGACGCCGAAATGGAAGCCATTCGCCGCAAGATCCTCGCGTCCAAGCCCTTCTTCAACCCCGAGCCAGAGGAAAGGAAGCCGCTGGAAAGCATCCCCCGGCCAGAGCCAAAATACAAGCCCGACTCCGACGCCGAGCCCGACTCGGACAACGGGTCCGACAACAACGAGTTCGATAACATCATCGACGCCACGCCCGTGACGGATCGCATCGGATTGATCAAGCTGGAGAAGGAGCGGGCACGCATCACATCGACGTCGAGGACCTTCTCATCCGGTGGCGCATCTGCGCCAAAGAGGTGGTAACTTCCGTTAATGAATGAATTGAAAGGCTGCTTGATGGGAGCGTTCTACTGTACAAAGATAGTTTACACAGGGAATTGCCTCCTTCCCCGCAGCATGTACGCCATCTAAAACTACCCCGGGTAACGACTGTATTATCCCAAGTCTATATCTCCCCATCTTTTATGCTTGTATCATCAGTGTTACAGATGCCCCTCGTGATCTTACAGCTTCCTCTTCTCCGTGAACTCCTCGTACATCTGGATCTGATCCCCCACCTGGAGCTCATCCCAGTCGGCAAAGGACATACCGCACTCGCTGCCCTTCTTCATCTCGTCGACGTCCTTCTTGACGTGCTTGAGCGTCTCGATGACACCTATTTGCAGTGTCAGCTTTCCGTCTCACAACAGACCAGGGGAGGAAAAGTCCAAAGATGACATCGGAGGGGAGAGAGTGGACTTACCTTCATAAACATTCTCTCCGCCCCGAATAACCCTCGCCTTGCTGCCCTTCCTCACATACCCATTTCCAATCCTGCACCCGGCAATATTCTTGTACTTCCTCCCCCGGATATTGATGGGGAACACCTGCAGCACCTCGGCCTCGCCCACCACCTTTTTGATCACCAGCGGTGGCAGCGCCTCGGCCAGCCGCTCCTTCACCTCCTCCACAAGATGGTAGATTACGTTGTGGTCCATGATTCTCACGCCGGCCTCGTGCGCGAGCCGCTTGATGTGCGACGGGATGTTGTTGTTGAAGTTGATGATAGCACTGCCCGACACGGCGGCGTGCTCCACGTCCGACTCGGTGATCTGGCCGGGCGCGGACACGAGCACCTTGGCGCGTACCTCATTGTTGCCCTGCTCGAGCAGAGCGGCCGTGACCGCCTCGACCGAGCCGTGCACGTCGCCCTTGACGAGGTAGGTGAGGTATTTGGTCGTGTCAACTGGGTTGTCGTTGTCCTCGGACGGTGTCTCTTGATCGGTGGTGCTGTGTTTCCTGCGGCTCTCGGCCTCGGCGAGGGCTTTCTCGCGCTCGCGCTCCCGGCGTTCCTGTTCCTGCTGCGCCATCTGGGCGATGACCTCGCCGCGCTCTTTGAGTTCTTGGCGATAGCGCACCGCGGATTTGGCTCGCCCTTCGTCGGGCGCTTGCAGGACCTGGTCGCCTGCGACGGGCGGCTCCTTCCATCCCAGAACTTCGACGGCAGTGCCGGGGGGTGCCTCGTCGACGTCGACACCCGCTTCGTTGCGCAGGGAGCGGACCTTGGCGTGCACGCACCCGGCCACGATGTAGTCGCCCGGCCGGAGCGTGCCGCGTTTGACGAGGACGGTGGCGACGCGTCCGATGGGCTTGATGGTGGATTCGAGAACCCAGCCCTCGGCCATCCCCTCCCGCTCGGCTCGGATGTCGAGCAATTCGGACAGTGTCAGGATAGCCTCCTCCAGGTCGTCCATTCCCGTGCCGGTCCTGCCGCTGACGCAGACAACCTGGACATCGCCGCCGTAGTCCTCGATCTCGACCCCGTGCGCGGCGAGATCCGACTTGACGCGGCCCACATTGGCTTCAGGCTTGTCGACCTTGTTGATGGCGACAATGATGGGTACCTTGGCGGCGCGGGCGTGCTTGAGGGCTTCCAAGGTTTGAGGCATGACGCTGTCGTCGGCGGCCACCACCAAGATGACCATATCGGTCACGATGGCACCACGCTGGCGCATCGACAGGAACGCGGCGTGGCCAGGCGTGTCAAGGAACGTGATCTGCTTGCCGGACGAGAGGCTAACCGAGAAAGCACCGATGTGTTGCGTGATGCCGCCGTGCTCTTGGGATACGATGGACGATTTTCGTAGGTAATCGAGCAGGGTAGTCTTGCCGTGGTCGACATGTCCCATGATGGTCACAACAGGCGGCCGCAGTGGCAACGAAGAGGGATCCGCAGCGGGAGGCGCTGGCTTGAGATCTTCAGCCTCGCCTGAATCCACGGTCGGTTCGAATCCAAATTCCTGCGCAACCAAGGCAGCCGTCTCGCCAGTGAGAATGTTGTCCTTGCCGACATCTTCAAAGCCAAGTTCCTCCAACTGCGTCACGAAGACATCGATCTTCTGGCCCAGAGCGACAGCCAGATTCGACACGCTGATAAATTCGGGTAGAAAGATGGGCGTTGGACCGGATGCGGCAAGCGCAGCCTGCCTTTGCCTCTCCTTCTCAGCCTTCCTCCGGCGCTTTTCCTCGTAGAAGTCATCGTCCCAGTCATCATCCACCTCGACTTGCCTGCGCCGGTACTCCTTGGGCTTTTTGCGCCGGTCGGGCCGTTCTTCACGGTCATATCGGTCTGACCGTCGGTCCTTCGCCCGATCATCTCTATCTCGGCGGACCGGAGCAGTTTCAGGGCCAGTTCCTTCCTCGACAGGTTTCCCATCTTGTCCCAGCTCACGCGCTATGCGTTGTGCCTTCAATTTCCTGGCTTCTTCGGAGTAGTCATCTGCCCAATCCCAAGTATTGGTATCCTCCACCGCCGTCCGCTTTTCTTCAATCTTCGCCTGGTTCTTGACCTGTCTTTCGAGCAGCGCCCACTGGTCTACGCCGGCCCCTGAATTCGGCCTCTGAGGGGCCCGGCCAGAAGAGCGTTGCTCCAGTATACTTAATGGGTCTCTCTCGGTGTTGAAGCGACTGGAATGTGACCGACCGTCGAGAAAAGGGTCCGGCCACGGCTCAGATGAGAGCATGCTGAAACCTGGTGGTGGCAGTTTACGTTCCCGCCGGGCCAAGTTTTTCCACTCGCCCTCGTCTGCCGAAGTCTGTGCAAGAGGGATGCTCGCCCGGGGTATCTCTGGCCGGAAGTCACGGCGAGGGTGAGAGCTCACTCTGCGGATCGCTGAGCTTACCGCGGGAACTTCTTCTAACACGGACGTGTGCTCATGCTGCGTTTGCGAGGATCGCGTGAATGACTCAGGACGCCGGATATGGTTCTGCCTCCAGGGGTCCTCGCTCCTAATCATCCGTCCGGGCCGGCTATGTCGAGGAGTATCCTCCGAAAACTTGGTGCCCTGCGGCATAAGCGTGTCTGAAGCCAGAGGCCGTTGTGCTTTTGTGCCAGCAGCAGCCTTCTCCCGCGCCAGACGCTCATGTGGAAGGAGAAAAGCAAGAGGGTCTGCCTGTTGCGGCGGTTTCCCCGTCTCTAGACTGGTAGCGGCCGGTTGTGATGGGGGAGCAGACCCCGACGGAGCGGAGGCCCAAGCTGGCCCACGATTCTTGAGTGTTGCCGCAGGTCGAGGTTGTATTCGGGGCCGAGGAGCAGGCTCACCGCTGCTCGTAATCTGGGGGGCCGCAACACCACTAGCCCACTGCACATCAGCGGGTCTGGCCGGAGGAGGTTGCGTGCGGCCCATAGCCCGGTCTCTTCCGGCTCGTTCGTGTGGGAGCAACCCGCTATCGGCTGCACCGGGCTGCGCATTGTCCGCGGACCTGGCCCACAACGGTTCTCTACGCCCAATGCCGCCGGCCTTGACGGCCCGCTCATTTGGGATCAACCGGCGATCTCTAGAACCTAGCGGCACATTGCCGGCGCGTGTGGCCAGCGGTGGTGGTGCCGCCGGCGGTAATGGTTGTGGCCGGGCCATGGCCCTCTCACGTGCAGCGCGCTCGTGTGGAAGCAGTCCGTCAAGGATGGTCTTTGGCTGCGTATCGCGGGGGTGTGTGAGCGAGGGTTGTGCTGGTGATGGCGGTGTTGGTTGTGCCCGGGCCATGGCCTTCTCACGTGCGGTGCGCTCGTGTGGAAGCAACCCATCATCGCTGAAGCTTGGGTGCACCTGTTGTGTCGCCCAACTCGGTAAGCCGGCCTTCGAGAAAGCCCTCCTGCCTAGCCTCCCGTTGCCCGGGCCCTTCAATCCTCCGACGCCGGCGTCTCTCCGCGGATTCGGTGTGCAGCCGAATTCTCCCTGCCCGCTCCTGTCCGCAACAACAGAGCACAGCCTGGTCGAGTGTCCGACGGTCAACGACGGCCTCCGTACGAGGGAGTTCGAGTGCGGTATCCTGTCCTCGGGGCTCGACGAGGAACGAAGCGCGGGTCGGGTGTAAGGTCGGTAGCCATAGCTGTAGCGGCAGCGCAGGCACGCAGAGGGACGCTTCTGCTTCTGGCGGAAAATGTCAGCTTAAGGCGGCGCGCAAGTGGCATTGAAAAATACCTGCTGCCACAGTCCACGTCGCATCATGGTCGGCTTTGGCGGGGCATGGCGCGCTCAATGGGAGAATGGGAAATGACTTTCCAAGTTCCTCGCCCTCGACGCCAAAAATTCCCGAGCTTGCCAGTGTCTGGGCATTCAGCTGCAGGGGTTCAACCCGCCCCACCGCCAAGACTTTAACATGCAAGAGAGAACTAAAGGGTTAGGGTCCAACTCATCATTAGGAATTTGTCCACTCCTTCTGTTCTCTATCTCCTCCGTCCCGTTTCTGTTGACTATCAACATTAAGGAAGGAGGACCGTCGTCGACACAATAATCCATCCCTCTCGCCACCGTTCTTCACTTCTCAACTCATTGCCTCTCTTCCGTTTGGGAGGTTTAACGCAATCTTTTACTGGCCATCTCACCATCATCCACTCATTCATCAGCCTCCAAAAAACTCACCCCAACACGGCGATACCACCACTACAATGCCACCCAAACCCAAATCCCGCCTTACCCCCTCCTCCTCCTCCTCAAAGCAAAAACCGCCCGCAACCTCCCCACCCCCCCCCTTCAAACCCGCCCCCTCCTCCCTTGCCCCCTTCACCAACCTCCTCCCTCCAGGTCACGTCTACATAACCCACATCGACCCTCGCCCGGCCACCTTCAAGCGCAAACTCTTCCTTGTGCCCGTGGCCCTCAACCTAGCTGTCCTCCTCCTCTTCTTCTGGCGCGTGTACCACATCGGCCCCTACTACCTCGCCCTCTTCACGTCGGCCGCACTAGGCCGCGACAACGAGACCACGCTCCGCGCAGCCGATCTGACGTACGGCGAGCTCGCTCGCGTGATCGCCCGCCGCGCGGCGACGTTCCTTTTGGATTTCCTCTTGGGCGTGTTCGTCTGGCCGTGGCCGTACGAATTCGTCGTGGGTGCGTCGAGCGGCGGGCGGGGGTCGCCTGTGCAGTGGCGGTGGGCGGTCGGGTTCCGCGGGAAGGAGGTGTATGTGCGGCGGAGCAGGGACAGTTGGGATGGGTTGTTGAGGGAAAATGGTGTGGATCTGTTTGATGGAGAACGGAAGGAGGCACGGGAGGGAAGGGAGGCGGTGCTTTCGCGGGTGAGGGCCGCCACGGCGCCGATGCTGTTGCAGGGCAAGACGGGATATTTGACGATGGACGGGGACTGGGATTTGGATTGGAAGGCCATGGTGGATGCGACGAGGTTGGTGGATAAGAAGGAGATCGCGCTCGAGGCGTTTGGGACAGTAGTGATGCTGCATCATGAGCAGTTTGGGTGGGTGAGCGTGGATCTGGGGGATGGACCGATGGCCGAGCAGGACGAGAGACGGAGGCAGTTGTTTGCGTTCCGGGATGCGCTCGCCACGCTCGGCAAGGAAGACTTGTTCTTTAGGTGGGTCGAGATGGTTCAATTTGAGGCCACCCAGCCTGGTGGGTTTACGCCCGAGAAGCAGGTTGTGGCAGCGCAGAAGATCCGGGATCTGTTCAAGTCGAAGGGGGTCGACTTCGACGAGCTGTGGAAGGAGTCGGTCGGGACCGATGGCCTGGCCGGCATGCCTTGAGAGGCTGTGTACAACAGAGGCTGTATTTCTACACGGAACCAGATTGGTTATAGAGCGAAGGATATCAAGGGAGTGACCACGGAGCAGGCAGGCAAAACTCGGAGTAATTGTAGGAGCCATGGAAGGTACGGACTATTGGAAAACGTAGCCTGGAAAATAGACAAGCCTCATTTCTTCTTCGCGCCCTTCTTTGGGCCAAGAGCTGCCTCGCGCCGCTTGGCTTCCCTGGCCTCAATCTCCGCCCTCTTAGCCTTGTCTTGGGCCTCTTTCTCTTCCTTCTCAGCCTGTATGTAGTGTTAGTGACCAGCTGCTGCTGATGAACTTGGTTAACAATGAGTGTGGCATACCTGTTTCCGGGCTGCTTCGGCCTCTCGTTTCTCCCGGATCAGCTTCAGGCGAGCGAGGTCCGCCTTGGCCTCGTCCGTCTTGCCAGCCTCGTGCAGCTTGCGATACCTCTCCTTGGCCGCCTGCGCCTCCATTGCCTCGCGCTCACGCCTGCTCGGGGCGACGCTCAGCTTCTTGACTCCCTCCGCGGCCTCGTCGACGCTCGCTGCCTGCTTAGTCTGGTTGCGGGCCTGGCGCGAGTGGTTCGGGTTGGCGGGCATGGGGGCGTCGTCCTCGTCCTCGTCCTCGTCCTCCGAGTCGCTCGGCGGCAGGTCGCCGACCTGCACGGGCTTCTTGGCCCTGGCGATGGCCGCCTCCTTGCGCGCCTTCTTCTCCTTCCTGCGCTCCTCACGGCTCAGCTCGGCGGCGGACTGGGTTTGTGTCGACGGGCCGGCGTCATCGCCGGATTCCTCCTCAGACTCCTCCTCCTCGAAGTCTCCCTCGCTGTCCTCGTCAGACGCCCCCAACTTCTTCTGCGCGTCTGCGCTCCACATGCTGATTTCGTTGCCGTCGGCATCGAGGGGCCGGAGATCGCGCGAGAAATGCTTGCCGCCTGGAGTCGCTGTCAGCTGTGTGCGCACGTGGTCACGGTGTTGCATAAACAAACCTCCGCGTGTGTACTTCTTGAATTTGCCGCCGCGACCGCGGGAGCTTGACCCTGGAGCACCGCCTGCCATTGTTGCGATTGTATGCTGTCGAGCGCTGATGGTCCTACGGGGATTGAGGGGCAAACGCGGGGTATCAAATTGCGATGTGTTTGACAGAGAAGCGGCAAGTTGCGGCAATGCTGCGAGGATCCGGAAAATATAGGTAACTCCGTACAGTTATTCAGACGTAATCTCGCAATCCAGCAAACCGAGACGGAAGCGCTGGAACTGTAACTTTCTGGAGCGCGATGCGAAGTTGCGAGCGTGCCAGAACACTCGTTTTTCAGGGAGTTCAGGGCCAGATCGACCCCGCTATGCATCCGCTGTGGGGCGGTTGACGACGTCAATGTTCCAGAGATGTGATTGACTTCGGGCTCTGAGGTCCTGATTTTGACCATCATGTGCTGACACCATGCAACGTGAAACACCTTTAAATTAAAGCCTCTAAGGTTTGAATGAGGCTTGTCATCCTATATAAAGGATTCCATATCACGTCGAGGGCATGCATAGTGTAGAACAAGAACAAAGCTCTGACAAGTTGTAGTCACTCGGCCGGACAATGCATGAATTTCTAACAAGATGGTTTCGGTATGCGGTAAAATCGCGCTATTCGTTGATATTATGCCTCAACTGTGCTTATATCTGTATATCTGGGGTGTGTAAATGCGCCGCGGAAATTGTCCACTTAACCCTCCCCATCCCGAACGCGTCAGCATGCAACACCAACGCCCAAAGCACCCAGCAAAGCCGCAAGAGAATATATATGCAACCCAGGGATCGAAGAGGGCAGAAACCACCAGACAAAAGACAAATGGTGCCCCGGCCAGAAACCTCCTCCATCGCAATCCAAATGCATCCAGCCCATGGAGAACAACCGCCCCTTATTAGCACCTCACCGTCTAGGGAACGATGCCCTCCAAACTCCACTCCCCTTTCTGCGCGCGGTTAAGCACCTCCCTGCCCTTCTCCGTCAGCGACGGCTTGCCGGCCTTGTCAATCGCCTGCTCGAAGAAGACGGGCTTCCACGTCTCGCCCTTCCGCTCCCGCTCACGGGCCTTCTCGCGCTGGGCTTCCTCAAGCTCCTGTTTGACAGACGTCGCCTGCGAGTACTGCTTCGACAGGATGGCCTTTGTCACCTCGCCCCAGAGAGTCAGCGACTCGTTGGGGAGCTGCTGCTCGGCCGGAGGAAGGACTTTGGGTGCTACCGTGAGGGGGGCGATGTCAATGATGGTGGTTTGCGCCTCTGGGGGGTGGGAGTTCTGCGTCTTCGATTTAGCTTTTACTCCGTCTGTGCGAGCATTTTGCGTGGTGTACGTACCAGAGGCTTTGGACCGAGGGTGAAAACGATCTTCTCCTTCCATGCCCCCCCTAAACGCACAAGAATATCATCCTCTGGGACGTCGGCGATACGCTGCTTGTTATCATTTTCCGGATCGTATTGAAAGATGATGCCCTCCACCTTGTTCGTGGTCCGACCAAGCCAGCCGTCGTCGTAGTATTGCAGGATGGCCTTGAGCTTGGTCTCCGGGCAAGTGATGTAGGCCATATCGCCAACCGTCACGCTCAGCGCACCCCTAAGAATACCGCCGAGATGGGCCGCAGGGTGCGTCAGCTGGTATGTCTCGTGGTCGCGCCGCTCCACGGTGATGAAAATGCCGAGATTGTGCTCTCCCGGCATCACCTTGATTGACGTGCCGGTGAACTTTGCCGTGATCTGGTCGAACCCCTTGGCATGGAGCCCTTTCTCCGGGCAGCTGATGTAGAAGGCGCTGACGGGCGGGTGGTGCGATGTCTGCTCCGTCAGGTATGAAACCCGGACCGGCTTGGTCGGGTTGGTCACCGATTGTGAGACCGACACGCTCGAAGCGCCACGGGCACCAGAGCCGAGCCCATTAGGGACCGCGAGCTTCGCTGACTTCGTACTCGACGCGCTGCTGCCAGGCGCGCTGTCCCTCGCCCGTAGGGCCCTCGTATCAATCCTAGGAGCGTCGTCCTGTGTCTCCCAATTGCACTGACAAAATCATCCCATCAGTATCTTGGCCATGCTGGCTTCACCTCTGGGCCTTTCGCACACCCCATCCGGCTTCCACATACCCTGAAGAACTCGCCCAAACAAGAGTTGTATGGTTTGCATGGCTTGCCCTTTGCATATTTCAGGTCTTTGGTGAACCAGAAACGCAACACCTCCAGCATGCGGTCGACCGGGTCGTCTGCTGTTCCAATAGCGACAAACGCATTCGGAGAGTCGAGGTAGTTCCAGTACTCGAGATTCGGGGTCGGCTCGAGAAGCTGTGAGGGTAGTGAAAATCGGACCGAGGCGAGGTCGGATACTCCGATGAATCTGCGGCGTTGATATTATTATTAGCGTCCAAACTCGCCTCACGTCAAAGTATCAGATGAACGTTGTCCTGTCCACACCGGCTCTTGTTGGATAGCACTTGAGACTCGCGGCAGGAGCTTGACCATCGTTTTACTGACTTTCTTAGGATAGAGATGAACGTCCTGAGTTTGGAGCCCTCATTCTGGTTCTCCTCTGCCGAGACGGTATCTGGTGGCGGCGTGGCCGAAGATGAGGAAGTTAATGCTCCCCACATGATGCTGGCTCCGAGCCACCCTCGTTACGGTGTTTGATAGATACAAGTGGTTTGTAAGGAGGAAGGGGTCCTAATGAGTTTCGATGATAACAGCAGCTAGCAGAAGCCTCTCGCTAAGCAGAGCGGGGATGGGTGAGTATTTTAGGGAGAGGTGTGAAGTGGGCGGTCAGAACCACACTGCCGCCGGCTTAGCGGGTGCTTAAGCGGGTCGGAGCTGCCCACTGCGGCCGATCCGCGCGGCCGGCACGCCACCGAGGTGCAGCTGATAAGATAAAAACCTGTGATGGAGGGGCTCTGAAACAACCATCAGGTTCGCCAAGGAGAGGGCCATCCAACTCTTCCCAAACTTCAGGATGGCGACTTTCCACTTCGAATGATATCAGAGTCTCAGAAGATCAACGATCTCTCCAACGACCGGAAGCTTGTGCCATTGGAGAGGGATGGACTATAACGGCACCGAAGAACAGGGCTGGTGTGTATAGAGAACCAGCGGATTGTTTGCCGGGCGATAACTGTGCATTCTAGTCAGCATCCCTCGGACGAATCACAAGCCAATCATCCGACCACGAGCATTGGCCTTGAGATCCAACCAGCTCGTCAGTGTTTCAACGACAGGGGCGCTTCCAGACTTGGATATTGTTGTGTACTGAGTCCAACACCCTCCGGGAGTCGTCGCTGGCCAATCACCCAAGTCTTCAATGACACGAGGTCGATGATGGTTTGAAGAGTTCGCAGTGTCTGCTGTGTAAAGCCGCCCAGCATACATCGTTCTCTGAGTGGTCATGTTTCGATTCACACATGACTGAAGGAGAAGGCCGGTCTCGAGTGTTCAAGTTGAGTCTTTTCCATAGTGTACAAACTTAAGACGCAGTCTAGGTACCTCCTAGGATTATTCGCTCCAGTTGTTGCTAGGGCATGTCCAGCTTGCACGTGAGTCCTCCCTCAAGTCGTTGGCAAAGGATCAAACAACTGTTCTGAAAAGACTTGAGAAAAGCCGGAGTCGATTCACACAACAGGGTTGGTGATCTATGTTATATCTTGAGCTACCATCGAAGACATAAGGTTGTTATATTAAGTCTTAATTGATATTATCGTGTTCTCTATCTTTTGGCATATGTTTGGAGCAAGTTGGTATGTAACTTGACTAAGAAATGCACTTTTGGTTGAGGTTGGACTAGATGGTGGTCATGATGACAATGTGGCGCGAACAAACAGTTCGGCGTTTTTACACGGCGCCCACTGTATATCCCCGAAACCAAGCAACCCCTAGTTGCGCCGTATAATGGCGGCGCGCCAGCTACTCCTGGCGAGTGAGCTGAACTTTACCTCAGTATCTTTGCGTTAAACTTTCGACAAGAAATCAGAATCGCACACACACGCTGCGGCCCAGTCGACACCCTGCACGGTATCGCCGTCAACCGTTTTGGGGTTGAACCAACAGCCCAATGGACTTGAAGGAGACAGTGAGGCGGCGGGTTGCAGCTATCGCAACAAGCAACCTCAGGGCATTGCTTCCATTGTCAAATTTTGTTCAAACCTGACGGACCTGACCAATCGTGGTTCGAATATGATACGCTTGAACCAGACCACATCCGCGTTCTGTCGTTGCTTCCGGCAGAAGACGATTCCGCATCCGCTGCGAGTTCCTGTCCATACCAAGAGGTGATGGTGTCGTCGACTTCTCGGCACTCTCGTACATTTGGAATCCTGAACCGCGAGATCTGGAGACAATCATCATTCTCGGTAGCCGTGTGACCCGATCTGCATCAGGATTTGGTCGCCTTGCGACGCACGATGCTATCACACAGAAAGGAGCCACTGCACCTCTCTGGGTTGATGCTGTGTGTATCAACCAGGCGCATCTGACTGAGAAGACGGAGCAGGTCCGTCAGATGGCTCAAGTCTACGCATCAGCCTCCAGAGTTATCGTCTGGCTGGGACCATCTTACGACGACAGCGGCTATGTCATGGACGTTATTGCTGCCGAGTCCGTCTCTGAGTATACCACACCACGTTTCATGGCCGCCGTTCTTTCCATGCTCGCATGTCCCTGGTTTACCCGAACTTGGATTGTCCAGGAAATTGTGCTTCCAAGGACGACACCGCTCTTAGCATGTGGATTTAACCCCAGCATTACCTGGAGGGCTTCGTAAAGGCGTATCTCACAGCTAACGCTATGCTTGAAGTTTACGGCACAGGTTTGGAGGACCTGCCGCCAGAGCACCGCAGCGCATACTTGGTAGTCTTAGGAAAAGCGAGAGAGCTCGTTGAGTCCAACGCCCATATGCTCAATTCGATGCGCAAAAGCTGACACCATCCGGACCGACCAGAGCATGGTGGAGTCTACGGTGTGCCATCCTAGGGGCTAGAGCCCTTTGCTACCGATCCCTAAGACGAAATATACGAGATTCTCACCCTCACTTCCCAGCAAACCCGGGACCTGATAGCAGCCGACTACGGGAAGTCTGTCTCGGAAGCCTTTCGCGATGCAACCGTCCACATTATCTGCGCCGAGCGTTCAGCCAGCCTATACCACATCGTCCCCTTACGGAGCCCGCAGAACCCCCATAACCTGCCTTCCTGGGTCCTCGATTTCTCCACCTCATACAGCTTCCGCGGTTATGCACCCGGCCCTCTCCTTGACGTCGACCGGCTCTCTCTGCACCATCCAAACTGCGTGGGCCTTTCCCCATGCCGCAAGCTACTCATCACAAAAACCCTCGTCTTCGACTCAGTCGACTGCATCCACACCACACCACCCTCCTCTGATTCCCCACGATCTATCCCGTTCATGCCTACCCTAAGATTTGGGCCGTGATCATCTCCTCTTGGGCAAATGCCCTTCTAACCTGGAACTTATCAGAGATTTTGTCCTCATCAGACTACTTCACCGCGCTCTCGCAATACATGCAAACAGTTGAGTCGTCCAGGTTCCTTTGCAAAATCGAACGCCGGGCCGGTTCGCGCGCGCTACGATGGGCTACACCGGCTCGGTCGAGCCCTGTGGAAGACACTCTTCTTTGCCGTCTTGCAAGGGCAAGAGCATCATTTCGGCGGCGGTGCAGGTGCAGAGCAAACGGCGCCAATGGAAGAGGAATACCACGAAAATTTGACGTGCTGATGCACTATATGCGAAGCACGGCCGAAGGACTGGGGCCAGTAAGCTAGTGACGACGGTGGTGGGCGTCTGCTGCAACTGGACAGCTCGGACCATCTACAGGCGTATCTTTCCGTTGACACAACCGGTGGCACTGAGGATTCGTTCTGTATTCGCCTTACAGAGAACCTTTGTAGCGGGTCTCGGGGTTTGGTCTGGCTTCACGAAGGGGGAGGTGAGGGAGGGTGATAAGCTGGCCTTACTGTTTCCCGGGGCGGATGTGCCATTTGTATTGAGGAAGAAGAAGGGGAAGCAGGGCGAGGCGAGGGGGAGGTTTGAGATGGTGGGCTTGGCGAGGTTGCCTGAAGGGATGAAGGCGACGGCTGTGAGGCAGCTGAAGGACGCTTGGACTGAGACAAGAATCGAACGAGCCGGCCTATGTGCTTCTCCTCTTAGAAGTGTTTCCTTAAGACCCGGTGATGAGAGTTTGCAGTGATTGACGTCTTTGATTGAGCTGTTGTTACAAACTTGAGGAGTCTGCCACCGCAACGCCACTTGATGGTGCACTTAAGGGAGCGGGCGATGATGACACCCTACAGGCATTCATTAAACACAAACCGGGTCACATCCGCCAACGGTAAGAACAGAACGTACCTGGATATAGGGTCGTATACAGATACGGCGGTTATAGACCAGCTTCACTACGTCGCCATCATGAGCAATTCCCGGCCCATGCAAGTCGAGCCAGATGAGCTGAATGAGCTGCAGACAGACATTTTACACCAGCAGCATACATGAATGATTGGCACCTCGCGGAGAAAACGAAGTAACGTTGAATGCCACTATGTTGGGTACACTGTTCTGTACAGGTGTGAGGTGAGTGCTCGTCCCCCCGGACTCCCGTGCTAAGTGCTGTACCTACGTACTCGGCCCGGGTCCAACACGCCTACTACTCAGTCCACTCCCCCTTCCGGCCCAAGAAACTCGCCCCTGATCACTTCCCCCTGCTGGCTGGGACCGGATCATCAGGCAAGATGGCGCCCAGGTGAGGCTGAACACCTGAATACGAGCCGCTGTGGCGGTTCCGTGGCGTAGCCGGCATCGATCGGCAGACATCCCGCCTTCCAAGTGCCGGCAGCAACCCAGGCCAGTAGCGACACACCCGTTTCTCCCACCCCCGACCCGCCGATCGGCGCCGTATGACACGCAACGGATGCGGCAGACGCAGGGACAGCTCAACTAGAAAGCATGGGTTTGCCGATGCTAGAGTGCTGATCTCCTAAAAATATAAAACGATCTGCTAGTGGTAAGATACAGTGGAAGAGAGCACACTAGTCCATGCGATCCTCGACTACCTCCTGTGTAGTTCAAGAGCCTCGTGAGACACACAAGCATTAGCCACACTTCAAGATGACTGATGTGAGAGTAAGGCCGCGCAAACGTTCCAATGCGACCTGTACGCGCAAGCTGGGGTACAAGATCGACAAGCTGACATGCATGTGTCTTCAAGTCGGCGTTATTTGGCAAACGAATGACAAAGACACCAGGTACACATGACCTTGTGGATATACGTGACTGACATCGACCTCTCAAACGGATATCTGAATGCTACCCAGCTGCCCGTTCCTGGCCACGGTCACTCCATCTTCCTCTTACACCTGTAAGTGGTCGCGCCGTTCCATGTCAAGCCACACTCGTGTGGTGTATGTGCTGGCCACCACCAGACCAAACCCCAAGCCATTCCGGGCCGATGGAACGCCAGGGGCGTTTTGTCAGTCCTGACCGAGCAACCTGCTTCCAAATTCCGCAATCGAAATGCAACCCCCCGGCAGCAGCAGACGCTCATGCCTCTGGTGCGGTCAGACGGATAGGCTGTTTTGTCACGATTCTAACCCACCATCCAAAACGAACGAAACAGCGCACACAACGGGCAAGCAGAGCAACGCCAGTCGGGTATGTGTTTTGCACAGGGAGCCTCTATCAGCAGAGATGAAGGGTAAACCGCTGGCAGCAAGTGCGATATCGCTCAGCTAACCCTGGTAGTCAGTCCTCCGATCTGAACCGAGAGATACGCGCCTGAGCATCGAGAGACGACCAGAGAGAATCGGAACCCACAGAAGAGCCCACATGCCCGCAAGACGAGGTCCACGCTGATGGTACTGTAATATAAAGTTAGGCACGTGGAATGCAGTTCCGACCAAACTGCCGCCGGCTAAGAGCAATGCCGGATCCGCCTCAAATAATGTGAGGAGAGTCTACCGGGTTTTGATCCGCTGCTCGACTCTTCATTTACAGCTTCTTCGTGCGATGTTTGTCTTTCCAAAACTCTAGACTCTATCCCATCTGTCTCGTCTGAATGTACGTTTGTACAGGAGGGAGCGAGCTGAGACGAGACAATGGAATCCAGCAACCGATTAACGGTTGTGGAAGTTGTGGAGTCGGAGTTAGCATTAAGGGGACATCAGCGTCCGTGCCCCCTGCAGTCATCTCAAATTTTGCGCTTCGACGTCATAACTGCAAGGATTATTCTCGTCTTTCAATTGGCAGGACGGAGGCTCCAGTCTGCTTAACAATTTCATTTGCGGGAGGTCACACAACGGATGCTTATGGAAAATCGGACCCCTGCCCCTAACATTAGTGTGTATACCCTAAAGTTAGCGCCTCCAAAAACGCGACAGACAATCCATGGATAGACAACAGCCGGCAAAGCGATGGGAATCTGTCACAAATCCCATCCTCCTTGAGAGTGGTGTAAGTCGATTATGACGTAGCGGCTGCAGTAGGCAAGCCCTCTCCACGAACGAGCGAGTCGCACACGACCTGGTTTACGCAGCAGCTGTTTCAATTTGATCAGATGATGGGGTTGCCTGTTGTTTGCGAACGACTCTGCAGCACAAGTCTGATGCTGTGCGACCCGTCCATCCATCCATCCTAATACGGGAGGGGGAAGCGGTGGAGTTGAGGCGGGGGTGTTCAATTGGCAATACGTGCCTAACATAGGATGGGGCCAGATGTTTTCTCTCTTTCGCGAATAGGGACACGTTTATACATCGAGTCTTTTTTCGAAAAGCAGTGTCTGAAGCGGCCTGATTGACTCACTGTTATGTCATGGATATGCCACGTCGCATTCCCCTTGACATCGTGGCATGCCTGCCGGCGGATAAAGTGCAGCAGGAGCGAAATCTCCGGGCCGCCATGCGTGGCCTTTTTTGGCGTGACTTCGCAAAATTGCAAGGGGGTGATAGCTCGAAGCTATGACGTCATGCGGTTCTGGGCTAGGGCGCTAGGGAAGATGGGGAACACTATGTGATGCTGAATTGCCGATCTGGCTGGTGACAGTTGCGTTTGTATGAAGACGGTAAAAAATTAATGTATCACCGCTCGCACCGTCAGGAGGCTGCAACGGGTATACAAAGTTGACCTGGGTGATCTGGAGAAGGATCTGCTAGGGGACTTTCAGGGTCCTCGCATACTCCCCTGTTTTGACTCCATCTGAAGCGTGCAGGCACGTCAATTGTTCCCAACTATGACACTCTGAACGTCGTCCCGAGAAGCAGGATAGCAACGTGCGTGCGGATCCATGTCAGTCCCTGTCTTGGCAGGATTGTCGCGATCGAAGCGTGTGATCCCGCCGCTGCGTCGTTCTGTCGCGCTTCTAAACCACGGCGTTGCGTCGACGGCAGCGTATAATACATGTATTGTATTGTACGTGTACATATATACACAGTAGGCTATTCTGCCGGTCGGCAATGATTTTCGAGTTGCTGGTCTCGGTCGGGAGAGCCTGGGCCCTAAAGACGGGAGGACCGGGCTCCGGCGGGTTGGTGCGCACTTCACGGTTCGAGCCATATAGGGCCCGCACGCAAGCTCCTCCAGCAGCACGGCAAGCTCAGACTCGCCAGAAAAACTAGGGCATAGCGGCAGCCTTATGCTCGGAGGGTAGCGTGTGCAGTCTGGCTTTGTCGACAAGTCGGTGACACGGCGTAGGCGAGTGCTCCGTACATTGTCGAGAGAGCATACACACCCGTGACACTCCGCTCGGGGGTCTCTGGACCCTAAGCTCGCCTGAACCCCAGGTTCGGAATGCTTGTAGAAATACTGGAGCTAGCGGGACCCTATTATACAGCACAGTAGTGGAGGCGGATCGACTTGTCTGTATATACGTGTATCCGTGCCGAGCGCAGCAAGTTGGGGAGACTGAGCTCTTGAGTTGAGGATTTAGTCATTATCTACTTATAACCTAGCTAGCATATTCACTCCAAAGCTGTTTATCACAATTTCAACGAAACAAACTCTAGCAGCCACCAAAGCAAAGGCAATATGTGATGGACTCGATATCGGTCTGGATAACTCCAAGGGATCGATCCCCCGATCTCCGTCCATGTAACGCTAAGCGAGCAGCGGGATGAGAATGTGCGCCATGACGTCACTGCTCATGTCCCGCTCAGCTAGCGTATGCAATGGATGCGGATCCCTGCAATAACATTTCCCGACACCAACACTGAACAATCCTCTGCGTGGCCGCCTGATTACCTCACATCAGATATCCCCTGTTGGTTGAGTATATCCTGAACAACGTGTCCACGTGTAGGATGAGTTGCCGCTAAATCATACATCTGCTAGGTCTGCCGAATTTCGGTATAAGGCGCACACACCAACACAAAACGATAACGTTGCCGGCAGCTTCCGTCCCAAAGTTGCATAAACGACCCGGGGTCTACCCAAAAAGGAAAACACGCCCTGGGGTCTATGTCAAACGGATCAGAAGACCGGTGTGCCACGGTCCAAGCCACACAAGTTGGCCACACAAGCCGCTCGCCGCGCGGGTTTCGTCGGGGAAGGCCTCATGGTTGACGAAACGGCCGTCTTCAGTGTCGTAGCTGTGGGCGAAAAGACGATCGTCACTGGAAAAGAGAGACTCAAAGAGAGTAGCGCTGAGGCTACTGTGGCTCAGTGTGGCACGGTATGGGATATGTGAGGCGAAAAGGCAGTGCACAGCCACGTCGACACGTTGCGGTTGGCTTCGGTTTGGATTAATGTCAAGACGAGTAATGCCTTACTTACCGGAATTACTCATTCCCTTCGGGTTACTCCATACACAGCAAATTCGGTATCCCAATAACAGACGTCCTATACCCGTTCCAGGGGCATTGACAATGCCTTTCATCAATTTCTGCATTGAGTGTTTGCTATTGTACGTGTAGGCTTTTGCTAGCTTATTTGTTCCATACAACTGAATGAATGCCCCGACATGCGAATATTGCAGTACTTTGTGACCGTATTATACACTACACCCTCGGAGTCTCTATTAACGTCTTCGTCTGAATCCTTGGCCTGCGACTCTGGAAGGGCAATTGCCTGTGGAATACACATCTACCGCTCATATCATCCTTAAATAACTTTCGCCTTTCCTGCCGTCATTCTTGGGACAGGTGGCGCACAACTTCTTCCGCTCCAGTGATATTCTCTTCACGAGAGTTTCTCCTGCAGGACAGTTATCTCGGCCCGTTGTGTCGAAACCCCTGTCCCTGACAAGCCCCGCTCCGGTGAAGACCCACACGGGCCCGCGGCCTTCCACTGCTTCTCGGTTCACCCCTTCCGTCAATCCAAGACAGCCACATCTCGTTCTTTCCACTCGAGAACCCTCGGGTCCTTCGCCGGGGTGACAAGTCCCGGTGTTCGCAAACCCCACGGTATTAGGGTACCTGCTCGACTCTCCATCTTATTTCCCACGTCTGCTCCACCCTTCCTCCGCACCCACAGATATCCAGACTGCGGTACTGCACTCGGGATTGCGGTGATTTGACCAGTGGAGAGCCGACGAGCCGCTGCGTCTTGGTATACTTATACATCAGCCCCCGGCACGCCCACCCGCGCGCATCTTCTTTCCCATGCGTCTTGAACGCCTGATCCCATAATTGCCGTTGGATACTCAACATCTGGCATCTTGGCCCCTACCCTCGTTTTGCTTCCCGGCGACTCTCGTTTGGAAATAGTTTGGCGCGCATCTGCCGGTATCCCACCAGCTTGGCTCGCTTGCTTCACTGTGACACACAACACAGGATACGCAGAGCCAAAAATTTATTTCTCGGGAAACGCCGATCGTCCGTCGCTTGCCTGCATGAGAGTTGTGCGCCGCTCGGAAGAATAGAGAGACGACTGCTCCACCACACCCTTCGTTCGCCGATTGACAGTGCGCCAAACATTGGTCGGGTTTGCGACGCCGCCATCGACCTCTCTAGACACTCGACACATTCAGACCCATGTTTCGCCAAAGGTACGTTGGAGCCCACGACATCTGGGTGGGCGCGCGACCTACACTCCGCATCCATCAGGTCGCGATGTCCTTATCCTGGCGAGCACTCAGGCTAACATTCAAACTCTCACAGGACAAGCTCACAGAAGCCCGGGGATGACCTGCTGGCCAACTTCAGGCAACAGTTTCCTGAGGTGGCCGCGGTAGGATCATCTACCGCGGCGGCCGCACCCGCAAGAACGGCAACCAAGGGCCATCCCGACGTCCCTGGGGAAAGGTGCGACTGACGGCCGAGTTCCTACTTGGCACTGGCCTTGCAAGCACTGCGAAACTAATACATATTGCCGAGTACAGATCGCATAGCTTAACCCATGAGGCATTTCAACGAGATCAAGACCCGACGCCGCGGGCATCGAACGACCCCTGGAGGTTTACCCCCTCGCTGCTCGACCCGGGCAATTTCTCCTTCACCAACTTTGCAAGTCATGCGCCGGGCTATTATCCCCCTACCCCAGGCGGGACAACCACCATCTACCACCCGCAGGCCGGTGATCTTCACACACCCACGCTCGGTTTAAGCATGGGCCTTGGGACCCCGTTGTCTCTGCCAAACTCTGCAGGCGCCGTACACTCGGGCGCCGGGACTATGGACATGCCTGGCTTCCACCATGGGTTCCAGCAACAACAGTTCCAGCAGCAGTTCAACCCCTTCATTCAGCCGCCGCCGCCCCAGCCCTCGTTTGCCCCGTCGTCGTTTATGCACCACCAAGACACAGGCTACGAAACGATGGATCAGGGATCGCCAATGGAGTCGGACCATACCGACGAACGGATCGGTTCCATAGACAGCAACTTCCAAGGCCAGACCAACATGGTGGCTTTCCAGACAACACAGTTCGGAATGCCCATGTCTGTGCCCCTCCCGGCATCGGCGGAGAAGTTCCGCTTCCATGCTGTCCTTAACGCGCCGACCGCCATGATCCGGCACGCCGATGAGATCCCGGTGACGTACCTGAACAAGGGGCAGGCCTACTCGCTATCCATCGTCGACACTACACCCACCCTGCCCATCGTCCCGGGGACGCGCTTCCGCACATTTGTGCGCGTCTCGTTCGAGGACGAACAGCAGCGACAGAAGCCAGGGGTGTGCTGGAGCCTGTGGAAGGAAGGTCGCGGCACCAACGAGGCACATCAAAGGGGAGGGAAGCTGCAGGCCGTCGAATATGTCGAGGCAGGGCAGCCAGCCGAAGGCGACGACAAAAAGACGCGGATGGAGCTCGAGAGCTCGTCTTTTGACGGCTTCTCCGTCATCTGGACCCCGGGCGTCAATGGCGCTGTCGAGTGCAACATTGCCGTCCGCTTCAACTTTCTCTCCACCGACTTCAGCCACTCCAAGGGCGTCAAGGGCATCCCCGTCAGACTCTGCGCCAAAACGCATCAGCTCCCGGCTAGTTCCTCGCCGCCAGGGGACTCAAACACCGCCCCCGAGGTCTGTTACTGCAAGGTCAAGCTCTTCCGCGACCACGGCGCCGAGCGCAAGCTCTCCAACGACGTGGCGCACGTCCGCAAGACCATTGACAAGCTGAAGCAGCAGATCGCCCAGGCCGAGAGCGGACTCAAGGACTTCGGCAAGCGCAAGCGCGCCGGCGGGTCGCAGATCAAGAGCACCAACGGCCAAATACGACCGGGCAAGATCCAAAAGCACAAGCGCACCTGGTCCATGTCCTCGGCCAGCTCGGCGGGCGGCAGCCCGCGCGTGCCGCTCGAGGAGGACCTGCACTTCAAGCTCCAGACCCTCCAGGACATGTTCACCTCGACCCGCCCCGTCAGCGTCCTATACCTCCGCGGCGACGAGCTAGACGACCCGGACCTGCACCCCGTCTCCCTGCCGGGCACCGGCGACGCCGCCGCCGGAGCCTCCCCGCTCCTCGACCTGTCCAAGATCCCCTCCCGCGAGAGCACCGCCTGGCGCAGCGAGCACAGCTCTGTCACCGGCGGCAACGGCGGCTCGTCCCTGGTCTCTCCGTCCCCGTCTTCCCTGTCTCTCCATTCCCAGTCTTCTATTGGTGGGAAGCCGCAGTGGCAGGATTATCAAATCACAGACTCGCGGGATAATGGGCATCATCCCAACCAGCAGCAACAGCAGCAACCAACCCGCGTCCCGCAGGTGGACGAGGCGGGAAACCTGACGGGCTGGATCGAGGCCCTCGGCGTCGACCCCACCTACCAACCCCCGCCACCGCCGCCAACCAAGCCGGTTGCGTGCTTTTACGTTGTGCGCCGCAGTAACAATGAGAATAATAACGGGAGCAAGGAGCTGCACCGCGCCGTCTACTTGTTGCAGCGCAGCGTGCGCGACCTAGTCACCCGACTGGCTGCCAAGTTTGGCGGGTTTAACCCTTCGCGGGTGGTCAGGACGGTGAGGGTGGTGAACGAGCACCTGGAGGTGGAGGTCGATGATGAGGTTGTGAGGGAGCTGCCGGAGGGGTTGGGCATGAGTTTGGAGGTTGTCGAGGTCGTCAGTGGTGATGGTAATGGTAGGAGTCCGGTGGGTGGGGAGGGTGCGGACCTTGTCAAGAGGGAGGCGTGGGAGATGCATGTTGATGCTCCTGGCGAGGTGGATGGGAAGTTGGAGCCTACTGGTCTGTTGAGTGGTTCGGTGGGGCCTGTGTTGGAGTTGAGATTGAGGTATTAAAGGAGGAGGGGGTTTTGGCGGGTGGATGGTGGGATATTATACGTGGCTTTTGATGACCGGATGGCAAAGGGTTTAGAACGCGTTTCTGGGGGTGGTGGGTGATGTGAAAACATGCGTTGGGTTGTGGTCGGTTCTTTTTGATCTCCATGTTGATCGTCTTCTCTGAGATACCAAGACCCCTGACGGGCTGTCGTTGTCTTACGTTCTTTGGTGTGTATTCCACGTTAGATAATGGGCGGCTTGGTGGTTTAATGGGGCAGCGCATTTCTATTTTTTCTTTGCACGCTTGGCTAGGGTACTCACGTTCTATGTTCGGTCATTACCTTGCAGTTACTTGCGTTGTCATACTCCAACGGCTGTTATACGTTGACGACGCTGATGTTGTCATGTGTTGACTTGATACCCTTAAGCCGGTCATACGTAATGGTTTATTGATGTTGATTTATTTGGGCTCGGCGGCGGTATGCAGACTGTGTGGTAGACAGCCTCATAGCCTGGTTGAAGGGCAATGTGCTTGATGGCATGAACCACGGATGCCCCTGGTCCACTACCTGCGATGGTTGTACTGATCTCGAAGATCTAGCTGGACTATCAAGGTCTTTTCAAGCTGAAAAGGTCGTTGGATAGGCCTTCTTGAAGGGTTGGTTTCTGGGGGTTGGGTCTAACCCGATGGTTTCGACCTAATACCGTCTGTGTTGTTTTTGGCTGATGGATTTGGTTGCAATACGATACAGTAGTTACACCTAATGGGTGTCAGCGACTAACGGTTACAGTAGGCATTGGCTGACGCCGAGCAGCCGCCGTTGGGCTTCGTCTCCGTGACTCACAGCCCCAACCACAGTCAAACAAACGACCACATGGACGCTTGCGAATTCGAGGGCACAAGCCTGCTCCAGCCGAGCACACAGCTTGAAAGTCACAAACAACCATGGCAGAATCCGTGGCCGAGCGAGCTGCCAAGCTCCAGCTTGACAAAGAGACGGGTGAAATGGTTTCAAAGAATGAGATCAAGAGACGTCGGCAGAAGCGGGACAAGAAGATAGCCGCCGCCTCTCGAGACATGACGACGGTATCGACCTCGAAACGGCCCATTCGGGCCAGCCGTTAGCCGATGGGAATCCCCTAGCTTTGACGAGTCTGACCAGGACGCCATGTTCGCGCGGGGATTCCTTGGCGAGATCTAATTACAAGCTGCGGTCTTCGAAGGAAATCACGACCCGATTCCCTCCCGAGCCTAATGGTATTCACGTGACGGTTCCTTTCATTTGATCGATTGTCCCCTTGGCATTGTCGCAAATTCACGTGGACTTTTAGCTCGGGTATTCCAAGGCGATTGCGATCAACTTGGGCTTCGCAAGGTATCATGGCGGGAAGACCATGAGTTCACTCTCTGATGCATCATTTTGCATGAGCTAGCTACACATATAGCAGGTTCTTAGGTACATACTGTAACCACCTTCTCTTTTTACATACAGCCGGGCCGAAGCTGCAACCCCTTGGCGCCATCACCTGCAGCGGCACGAGTTGAAGTAGCACCCCATATCATCGATGGCCCCTTTCCCTAGGGCACCAGCTCCCTGACCATTTTGGGGGACACCTCCCAGGCAGTTCTCAACCGCTATAGTACCCCTGCTGCCGCGACCATCGAATCGCCGTCCGGTGAAAGGAAACACCCACACCGCTAACTTGACATGTCCCCAGGGGCGAGTAGGTTGGTCACTGGGACATGAGGGCAGGGAAACCAAGTGACCCTCGACTGAACACACGCTCACACCCCGATGCCACGGGACCAATGGTTTGTCTCACCCAGATCTGGAACGGTTTGTGTTCCTACGGATACAGCTACCCCACCTCCTTTGATCTCCCAGATCGGGCCATGTGCACGTCGATCACCGTGTGGGTGGGTGGGGAGCGGTAGTGCAGTCCCGGGACGGGCGAGTGAGATGACGCGCAGCTGGAATCACTTTGGGTGGTGGATGGTAGGGGGTATGTGTCCGAATGGGCTGTACAATACGCAGGATGAGCAATGGATGTCTGTGCAGTGAAAGGGGGATGGCAATGTGGAACCGCTCCACTTTGTCGTCCGGACGTTTCGTCGGTGGAAGGGTCAGATATCGAGAGTAGGCCACGCATGTGGTGGTTCTGTAGGCCCAAGTTCGGGGGGTGTGGCTTGGGACTGATGAAAGAGGCAGCAATACCAGTGTCGTCTCACCGAAACAGCAACAGATAAACATAATGAGATATGCCGGCCAAACAGTTCAAAAGCTTGCCATAGCTAGGGTAGTTAAACGCTTGAACCTCCGCAGCGCGATGCCCCCTTTCCACACGTACATCTGTCTCATGCCGCCACAACCTATATAGTAGCATATACCAGCGGACCAGGATCCTCTGGACTTCAATCTACTCTCCCTACCTCCTTTATCGGCAACCATGCCGCAGCCGGACGGATAAATATTACCACCCACACCCTCCTGGGCCGACGACGAATAACAGCCATAGCCGAGGTACATGCCGGGGTAGATACTCGTCACACACACCCAGCCCAAGCTAAGCTGTTTAGAACTCGGAGGGGTGGGGTGTAGCACGAGGAATTGGTTAAGTCGGTCGGTATGCATACATGCATGTATGTATGACATATTCATCGTGACCTCCCTCACACAGGTTGGGTTACATGGCCATGGTTACACACATCGATCCATACGCCATATGATGTGCGGGAAACGATAGGGGTTCTCCCTCTGGGGTTAGCTTGACGTATTATTACGGTAAAAGGGGGTTACGGAGGAAGGAGGTGTGGGGGAATGTACGTAGGGAAAATGGGACCGAATAAGGGGGTAAGCGGGGTGAGCGGGGACCTACGTGGCCGTGATCTGTAAAGTACTGTCTGGTTCCATGGATCGGCAGGGGTTTAGGGAGGGTCCCGATGCGCCGGGGGAGAGATATAAAGAGAGCATGAGGAAGGAGATCTCCGACTGCACCGAGCCGGCTGGGAGTGGGACAGGGTAGGAAGCTTAAGTGTCCTCGGGAACGCCTGGGCGCCGAGGTCCATCGGCATCGGGTCCGTTATGGGCCTATGCTATGTAGGACATGCGGCGTTGGTGAGCTGGTCATCTCGTTCTACCTCACCTCAGCAGAGCGGTTTGTCGTGGCCTAACCATGTACTACCCCAAGTTGCTCAGGGGTCAAGGAAACAGGGGTTCAATACAGACAGCAGCTGCTTAGGTAAGAACATTACCACTCGGTGTGTTAAGAGACCGCAGTGTTTGTCGTAGTGGACGCACATGCTCTGAAAATGAAGCTGGAGGAGCAGATGAGCAGAGCTCCCGCAATCCTCAACCAGATAAGGTGGCAGGTTATCGACAAGAAAAGGGGGAATTTAGTAGACGTCACAATGCAGATCAACTTGCCATCCCGTTAGCGACAGTCACAAACCAACCAGCAGGACCAAAACATTTGTAGATCCGTCCATTCCATTCAGTTAACAAAAACAAGCGAGAAAAAGTGAATACGTAAACAGTAAGCCCATCGACGCCAGTGGGGTATCACCATCATCATCAGTTCATCAATCGTAGCCTGAGGGGAAACGCAACCAGACCGGACCAGGCCCAGTGTATCAACCTCCAACCCCACCAAGACTCCTAAACCAACTCCAACCATCACCAGATCCCGAAAAATCCGTTTCTCCGTCCGTCCAAACGCCGCCATACTACAGAAGAACTGAGAGAAGTCATGAGTGAGTGGCCTTGCGGGGATGTTGAGTATGAGAGAAGGAAACCCAAATGTCCAGCCACATCTATCCGTGTCATGCCACACCCGGCGAGGCTAAACCACCGAGCCAAGGATAGAAGATGATGAAAGGGCTCCCCAACCCATCATCAAATCTCGATCCATAGCTCTGTCTTGCCTCCGTTGGCTGGCCGGTGCATGCGCGATCCGTTCAATATGGAATGTGATGTTGGTGGTTCCCCCTCGGATCGATTCATAATACAAGGGCTAATTCGAGCATGCGATATGCCGTTGCATGCGAAACGTCGATCTCATCCTGCTCTTTTGCCATGCCATGCCATGTGTGCACCTGACAAACCGCTTCGGATGAGGAAGACGGTGGACTGCAACACATAACACAACAACCGCATTTTTTCTCGCCCAAGCTAGAGAAGCATAGGGAGTGTGTGCGTGATGAGGTCAGGGTGGCAGATGAAACCAGAGTGGAGAGGGAAGATGGAAGGAAAAGAAACAAAATGGAATGGTGGTGTACTCTGACATGCCGGTGACAGTCATCGATTGTGACCTCTTTGAGGAAGGTAACGGGAATCGTGACGTCGCGGCCTCGAGAAGAGAAAACGGATGCCGGCAGTGTGGATAACCTCGGAGACGGGAAGTGGTGAAGGAGCTTGTAACCTCGTAGCGTCTTGATCGCGACAGAATTGCTGCAAAAGGCGATAGGCTTTGCCTCAAGCTCGGCAAGACGTCGATCCGGCTAATGCTCTTTCCCGCGAGGATACGAAGCCGCGTGATACAACGCCTCGGCCGAAGGGCTCTTGAACGGGCACTGCTTCAGGAGCGACTCATCACCAGCGGGATCGCGCCGGGCGACGCCGAAGCCGTTACCGGGATTGAAACCGAGGAACTGCCTGCCGCTCACAAGCTGCCACACCATCCAGTAGATATCCTCCAGGCAGGGGTCGCAGAGCTCGCGCCAGACGGGGGCCGCCGGGCCAAAGTAGCGCGGCTCCAGGCCGCCGGACCAGTCGAGCCGGAGCGGCATGACATGCTGCACCTGGGGCCGGAGAAGGCCCTCGTACTTGCCGAGCTTGGCGCTCGTGTTGCGGTACGAGCGCTTGTGCTCGTCGCGCCACTTGATGCGCTCCTCGAAGGGCGGGACCACCCAGCCGCCTTGGGCGATGAGGGTGCCGTAGCGGTCGTCGATGCGGGGGCCGGTGAAGTCGTTGACGACGTTGCCGCGGTCGGGAATGGCAACCATGCGGACGGTGTAGATGAAGGACTTGCTCTTACGCTCCATGAAGGCCGGGTCTTGGAGGAAGTGGAAAATTTTTTTGAGTTCCTCGTGCTTGGCATGGGCACTGCGGTCGAACTCCTGACGATGGCGATGAAGGTCGGCAGCGCTGATGGCCGGCGTACGGTGGGCAGGGATGAGTGCCGCAAAGGGATCGACGTTGTCAGCCAGATAGATGGAGCCCTCGTCCTCATAGGAACTGCCGGTTGGAGTTGGGGATATCACGCGGTCGTCAGGCTCCTCATACTCCATAGAGTCGAAGCTCCCCGGGGAAGGGAGAGGCTGGCTGCGAGGGGTACATGTGCGAGGGGCGGTGGTTTCGACAGAAGGGATGCGGTTAGTTCCGGCTTGCTGACCGAGTGCGAGATTCCCAATGTTGGGAAGAGGAGTCCGCTTCTGGGGAGATTGAGCAGACGCGGAGGACGTAAAGACTTGCGCCGCAGGGTTGAGGGTCGCAACCTGATCTTGAGGAGCGGCGGCTTTGCCCTTGCCCTTGTCGGCAGAGCGCGTGAGAACTTCCATGGAGGGAGTGGGCGCTGGAGTGGGCGCTGCAGTGGGCGCTGGAGCGGCATACTCCTCTTCCTCGACCTCGGGAACGGGCTCGCAGGACGTCTCAGCGGGAGTGGGGAGCTCACGGTGAGGCGCCTGAGATCGGAGCTCCTGCCCAACGACGGGCGGGACGACAATTGGCGTGACCGCCGGAGCCTTGTCGTCGTGGAGGCTCAGCCAGACGTACTCGGGGCTGATGCCGCAGTTCTCGAGTAGGGTGTCGTCGAAGCCAGAGATCCGCTTGACTTGTATCTCGACGAAGAATTGGCGGAAGCCCTTGTGGTCGCTAAGCCAATCGCCAAGAAACATGGCCTTGTTCCACTGCAGAAAAAATGGTCAGCTTATCACTTCTCAAATCTATCGTGCTCGGTACAAAGGCGCGAAAATGGCAACATCGCAAACTGCAAAAATTGCGAAACACGAATCGGTGAAATCGCTTACTGTCATGGTCTCGTCCCACTGGGGAACGTTGTAGGTGATGCGCATGACCGATCTGGCCACGCTCTCGCTGAGCCGCCGGTCTTCGGCGCTCATGCCACCGTGGGCAGCATTGCCGCCCACCTTCTTGATGGGATCGCTCGGGTTGCCGGCGATCCTGAAGAAAGTAATATGGTCAGCAATTTATTTTGTTCTGGACAAGAGGAGTAATTGGCTTACCAGTCGACGTGAAGAATCTTGCGATTCTTCATCTTGTCGTAGTCCAGGAGGTCCTGGAACTTCTTGGTCATCATGGCCACCACCTGGTCGTGGTGATGACCGAAGAAGAAGGCATTGGTGGCCTCCATTTTTTCCCGATCGCTATACTCGCTCGACACCTCGGGGCGTGTCAAACGGCCGGACCTCGAAGTGATTGACTCAGGCGGCGAGGCCGCCGAAGGGAAGGGAGAGATGCTGTGGGCAGAGCCACGGGCGAAAGAAGAGGAGGAAGTCGAGGAGGGCTGTTCCTCGTGCGTGGGCGCTGCTGGTGTCAAACAAAATTCAGCTTTTTCTGCTTGTTTGTGAGTGTGAGAGACAAAACAGAAAGCAATTTCGTGAGAAAACGCTCGAAAAATTTAAGGGCCACTGGGCAGGCGCGGGTCCAGGGCTGATTGCTGCGGATCGCGTGAGTGGCCGGTTCCAGACTGGTTCGAAGTGAGTGTCGAGCCGCACTTCTCAAGCTGCAGGTGTTGAGCATAGCTGGCAAGCCGCAGGTGTCAGTATAGGGGAGAGAGCTGTGAGGACGGCGAGCCACCACCACCGCACCATTTACACAAATGTGCTCACGGCCGTAGGCCCGCCTTAGCGACACCCCGCTTCGGCCTCTCTCGGTCGAGAGCCAAGGGTATTATGCTGGAGTCCCCCAACAGTCATTACTCTTGGCCCTCTATCGAGAGCAGAGGGTCCTATGTGTCGAGGACTTGGATGCGAAAGATGTGGCGGGCGGTCGTGCCCCAACATCATGACTCTTGGCCCGAACCCTTGGGTGAGCCTGATTGCCTCTGAACCCTTGATTCCCTTGCTGCCTGGCCCGTGGCCCTCTACATGGCCACTTGGTCATCGTGTAGTGTCCCCCTCTTGCTGCTCCTGGGAAGCAGATCTCACGGCGATGGACTTACCAGAACCCTCGCCAGCTCCGGTCCCCTGGTTTGACACCAGGTTCTCGAATCCGGGAGGGGCACGCAGACCTGGCAGGCGTCTCCCAGCACCGCTGTGATGGTCCGCCATATTTTTGTAACTTAACTGTTAGTCAAGTGCTCAACCGACCGTTAAACCCGGTGTTATCTGAATCAGAGATCGAAGAGCAAAAAGACAACGAGAACTAAAGGTGGATCGATGAAAGGTCAATGTCCAAGCGATAAAAGGTGCCGTCCTGTGTTTAAAAAGACCACCTTCACTGCAAGCTTAGTGCATGCTGGCCTCCCGTTCTGACGCCCGACTGGAACCAAACTCACGGCAGTCGGTTTCATGGCTGTCGAACCCATGGCTGCCGACCCAGAGCTTTGTTCTCAGCTTGACGTTTCGAAGATGGACATTGAACACCACGGCACCGATCAGAACCATGAGTTCCGCCATCCCCGATGTCTCCTTCAAGGCCCTTCGCAACACTGAGCCCTTTGCGCAGACCAAGGGCTTCCCGCCTTCCCCCCCCCGCTCCCCCCAAAAAGAAACGGCTCTCAGGGTGCCACGGGAGTGCAAATAAGATAATACAAACATAAGAGAGGAAGAATTTACTTCCTTGACGATGTCTTTTGATCAAACTTTAAGACAAGTTTGGACGTGGCAGCAACAAGACCACGAAGAACTTCGCGATGGATTGAGAGAAGAAGAAGGAATCTCGAAAACAGCAAAGCGATTTGAAGTCGTAGCCCTGGGGTTGCACGGTTTACGTGAGTTGGAGGTCTGTCGGGAAAAGCTTCGATTTTCCTGCCGGTCCAGTGACTAACACGTACTTTTCGTCTGAAGCCCCCTGACGGTAAACCCATCCTTGGTCCTATCACTCTCCCCATCTTGGGCAGGTGATGTTGATAGTAGATCAAACCTGATGCTGCATAGGGGGTCTCCGTCGACCAAGGCTTGAGCCACGCCGCGGCTTACTTCCTCGCATTCGCTAGGCAGGACTAGAACAGAGAGAGGTGAGCATAGGCGGCTGTCTGGGGCTCTTAGACATCTGAGAGTTGTTTGGCTCTGAGCCTCTTCACAGCTGTCATGTTTCACGGCTAACAAACAATCGATAATATGGGCTTGAAAGATCGATAAAATGGGCTTTGAAATCGATAATAGGGCTTGAAAGATGAGTGTGGTATAGCGGCCCTGATGTACTGAGCATGCTGCTGAGAGCTTGACAACTGGCCAAGAAAAGGTATGCTGGCACCTGTAGGACCTTGTCCCGCAACAAGGCACTGGTAAAAAGTTCGGTGAAGCTTGGATCCAGAACACGTGTCTTCTCCATTGTCGAGTCTTGGACGGCAGAGTATGACTACCCATGGGAGAAAAAGAGAGCAGAAGAGCGCCGGGAGGTAGAGACAGGCATGACCTGGTTCCTAATAGCTATGTCTCTGTATTGTGCCCTCATTCTTATGGGTCCAAGACGCCGAAGGCAAGGTATCTGAGCAAATACTCTGCTCAGGAGACCTCAACACTTGGTCAAAGGTGTTGTGAGACTCAAAGTGAAGCTAAAGTAACAGAACCATAACAGGAAGCGGGAGGTCTCCTCAGCGGACTGCATTATGAGTATAGATGATCCTGTCCTATGTGTTCTGAGGCTATGGGAGCGAAAACCAGGGACACCAAGAAGCGAAAGCGGCCAGAGATAAACAATAATAAAAGGGGTTGAAAGGGGCTGAAAGAGTCTGAAAAAGCCTGAAAGGGCCTGAAAGGGCATGAAAGGGGCAGAGGAGAGAGCAATGAAGCACCCAGGTTCCTACAAACCAAAGTTATTGACTCCTTGTGGCTGAATGTCCTTTCAAAAGAGGCAAAGGACGCCAGAAATGTATCACTGCTAGGCACTCCACCGCCTTGCTGGTCGCCATGATGGACGACGATGATACGGATACTCAAGACTATCCTAAACGGACGTTGATGCGGCTGAACCATGGCTGCCGGAATCGTGTTAGCGCGAGGCTTGGCTTCGAAGGCTGCCGACCACCCCACAACGGCTACTTCCGTTGCCAGCCCTATCTGGAAGGTTTGAACGCCTCTAATTTACCCCCGCGAGGGCTTGAGAGACCGGACCGGTTTAAGGTCATTGACACCATTATAACGAGCAGAAAAACGGTCCATATTGCTGTAAGCTGAGCGGAGGCTTTCTTGCCTGAATGGTCCACATGCAGGCTGGGAATTACTCGATCTCTATTGGCGCCGCTCGAGGCTCTAGTAGGGGATCTAGATAGCAAGTAACGGAAGAAATAGTCATAACAATGCCAGGCAAAAATATACATACCCTTGGAAGTCATGGAAGACCACAGGGAGACAATCCCCATTGAATATCGGGTGGGCTGCCTTCATCTCGAGAGGAGAATAACCTTGGACGAACCTGATGTGCAGTGCTCAAATGCGACGTTCCAATGCAACTGACTAGGCGTCCATGGTGCGTGCACCGAACATCAAATACGAAGTAAGAAAAAGGGATGCAGTTAGGCCCCTGGGTTCGTAGAATAAAAAATTCATATTGTGATGTCCCGGTTAGACACGTTCCATCGCTGTGAGTGATCATTGATGCTGGATCTCTACCTTGGAGACTGGACTGGCCTCTCAACGATATGAGAGGCGAATCTGATGCCAAGTGTAGCGGCCCAGCCAGGCTTGGCGGATGCCAACAGGTCTCGAACCAATGGAGCCAGCAGCCCTGCGGTGCCACAAGCCGTCTCCACCGGGCGCGGCCTCAGCCATGTGAAAAGCTAAAAAAAAATGGTCGCAAGATTGTGGATCTCCGTCGTCTTGGTCGTCACTCCCTTCCTTCCTTCTTTTCCTCTCCGTTCCCTCAGCCCATCCGGTCCAACGCGCACCGCCCGTCAACTTTCCCCAAGGGCCCTTCTCTTCTTTACTGTTCCCCTCTTCTTGCCGGTCGGTTTTCCCCCTTCGGATCCAAGCGCGGCCTCTTTGTCAACCTCTCAAAGGTCCACTGCGTCACCCGACACCCATCACCTCGTCATCGCCTCTTTGCCGTCGCATGGTTAGGTGCATTCCAAAACTGAGACCCTGACACCTCTCTAACAAATCGGCCGCCGCCTCCTGATCGCTTTATCCCAGAAACACCATTGACTTGGTTGGGCACGTGCGCTTTGATTGAGAAACAAGTCATCCTTCGGGGAACAGCAAGAGGTGCAAGAAAAACAACAGTAAACACCACACACAACCTGCTATCGCGACCACCTGTGGCTTTGACTAGTCATGGCGAATCCGTTGCAGTTTGCCTACCGAACCCAGAAGGCCATCGGCGTCTTCGACGCCGACCCTGTCTACGAGGCGCTTCCTGGGTTCGTCAAACCCGAAGGGAACCTCCGGTGCTGTGTCTACTCGCCCTGCGGCCGCTATTTCGCATACGCCTCTAATGAGGGTGTCGTCGTCGTCGATGCCTCGGTCGGCCATGTACTGACATCGCTGTCCATCCCGGCTGTCTATGAGCTTGGCTTCTCCCCGCGCGGTAACTACCTGAGCACCTGGGAGCGCCCTGCCAAGGACGAGAACGGCGACGCCACCAAGAACCTTAAGATTTGGCGCACCGTCGAGGACCCTGCCGAGGGCGCTGAAAAGCAACCGATCGGCAAGTTCGTCCAGAAGTCGCAGTCCGGCTGGAACCTGCAGTACACGGCCGACGAGAAGTACTGCGCTCGCATCGTCACCAACGAGGTGCAATTTTACAACAGCGACGACCTGTCGACTGTCTGGAACAAGCTGCGCGTCGAGGGCGTGAGCGACTTCGCCATCACTTCGGGCCAGAACCAGAACGTCGCAGTCTTTGTCCCAGAACGCAAAGTAAGCCTCTCGGGCTGCATTCAGGTCTCTCCTCTCATTCTGACTTTCTATAGGGACAACCTGCTGCAGTCAAGGTTTACAATGTCCCGTCGTTCAATAGCCCGATTTCGCAGAAGACCTTCTTCAAGGGCGACAAGGTGCAGCTAAAGTGGAACGGGCTGGGCACGACTCTGATTGTGCTGGCACAAACAGACGTCGACAAGTCCAACAAGAGCTACTATGGCGAGACGACCATGTATCTGCTCAGCGCCAATGGATCGTTCGACGCTCGCATCACGCTGGACAAGGATGGACCGATTCATGACGTTGCCTGGTCGCCTAACTCGACCGAGTTTGGCGTCGTCTACGGCTATATGCCCGCGAAGACGACCATCTTTAACCACCGCGGCGTAGCCATCCACTCGTTCCCGATCGCTCCTCGCAACACTATCATCTTCTCCCCGACTGGCCGTTTCGCCCTGGTTGCCGGCTTCGGCAATCTGGCTGGTCAGATCGACGTTTACGACCTGGAGAAGGACTACCGCAAGATCTGCACTATTGAGAGCGGCAACCCTAGTGTTTGCACCTGGAGCCCGGACAGCCGCTACATTATGACGGCCACGACGTCGCCGCGTCTGCGCGTGGACAACGGCATCAAGCTCTGGCACGTGGGGGGCGGCATCATGTACAACGAGGAAATGGTTGAGCTGTACAACGTCATGTGGCGCCCGATCCCGGCGGGCAGCCTTCCCGCCGGCCAGGATCCGCTGCACCCGGTCCCGACCCCGCATCCCTCGGCGCTGGCGTATCTCGGCACGGTCAAGACCCCGTCCAAGCCCGTGGGGGCCTACCGCCCTCCCGGTGCCCGTGGCACCTCAACACCGCTGCACTTCAAGCGCGAGGACGAGGGCGGCGCAGCGCACACTGTGAGCAACGGCACTCCCTCGATTGGCCCCAACGGATTCGGCCGTCCGCGCCACATGGTTCCCGGCGCGGAACCGGTCGTGCGTACCGTCCCGGGAGCGGAGCCTGTCGGCGAGGGCAACGCGGGCAAATCGAAGAACAAGAAGAAGCGGAACAAGAAGGCCAAGGAGGGCGATGCCGCCGCTGCCGGAGGAGGACCGGGAGGAGGAGGAGCTCCCATCGAAGGCGGTCTTGCACCTTCTCCGCGTGACCACGGAAGTGGCTCGGGCACCGAGGGCCGCAGCCCTGACCGGCGCGGCCAGCATCACGCCCGCAGCCGCTCGCGGCACAACAACAACAACAACAATGCCAACAACAACACGCTGCAACCTGGTCCGCGCAACCGCAGCAACACGCACCGCACCCGCTCGCGCAGTAGGACCCCAGGCCGCGCGGTGCAACATCAGAGCGGCGGCGCGCCTGTCGCTCCTGCAGCTGGTACCGGTGGTGCCGGTGACGACGGAGCAACAGCGGCCCAGAATCCCAGCGCCAAGAAGATCCGCGCCTTGCAGAAGAAAATCAGGGCGATCGAGGACCTTGAGATGAGGCGCGCGGGCGGGGAGAAGCTCGAGGATACACAGGTTAAGAAGATTGCGACTAAGGAGTCGGTTCTGGCCGAGTTGGCTGCTTTGGAGAGGGGTGCTTGAATTCACCCAGTACCAAAACAGGCCTTTGGACCCGGGGATCCTGGGACTCTGGGATGTGTGCGTGGTTGACGGGAGAGTGATGGGTTGGAGGTACGAGGGCAAAGGGGAAAGAAGGGATGCAGGGTGTGAAAGCCTTGTCTTTGGGTTTTCTCCTCCTTTATTACCCCCAAATACCCGGGCAGAGGGACTCGCTGAGGGAGGGTCGGTCCTGGATTAGTGGACAGGAGTGGGTTGGTGCCGGGGTTGTTCATCAACCCACCGAGGGCTGAAAAGGCTTGTGAGAGGGAGGAGTAGGACGTTAGGGGTTGGAAGCTGGTAGAAGCAGTACGGTAGCGGTTTCGTAGCGAATTGATAAGACTGCTGGAGTAGCACGGATAACATGTTTTGAAGACTTAAAGGACTGCATGGGTCTGGACTGGCGCTTGTGGCGCGTTCCAAATGTGGTTAGTGCTAGATACCTATTCATTAGACTCTCGCTCCTCATGGGTAGCATTGATAGGAAAGGAACGACACTTTTTCTTATCCTTCTCCCGCAAAGCTCTTCACTTTCGAGAAACCAGGCAGGCGTCTGATATCGAATGCTGCCTTTTCCTATCTCTGTATCACGGCGCGAAAGCTCTCCCCGCGCAACCCGCTCACCCAATCGCCCACTATCTCATGGGTTTCCACCCGTCTCTTGGAGCATGACCTCCAAAAAGATCACACAGGTCCATTTCGTGCCCTCATCTCGAGGTACATGTGTGTATCGGCGTACTTGTACCATTTGTGACCCAAGCTTCTTCATCTGTCCGGCCGTCGTGATGTACATGGAATTTCACCGAAAGTTGCACGGGGCCTGGCCGACTTATGGGATATGGCCGGACTCGGGGTCGGGTAGCTTGCAGAACGCTGCCGACACGCAAGGGAGGTGCCCCGATCTACTTCCGCCGTGAGGGCAAGGCCTGGACTTCTGCCGAGTGGCAGTTGCCGGTCGACACTCTGCCTCTCGCCTTATAGCCTCACGGGGATATGGAGACTGCGGTTAGTGTTCCTCTTCCATCCTACGAAACCGTTAATTCCACCGTGAGGTTCTCGAAGGTGTCTAAAGAGCCTGAATTTGTATGCCCTTTGGTGACCTATCATCAATTTCGTCTTTGCCCTTGTGCAGGATGACGTTAGCGGAAGATACACATTGACACTCCTCCCTTGGGAGGAAAGACTCCCCGCGACTAGGACGTTGTGGATCAAAGACCGCTGTTAATGAAACAATGTGACAAGCGCAGCCAATCTGACCCTGAGGCCGTCGATGGTCTTGAACATTGCTCACATAGTCTTCCCAGCCACGACTCCAAAGGCTACATCAAGCTGACGCTCCGAGAACAAATCACGATCCTCTTCCTCTGGGGCTTCGCCTACGGCCTCCTCGACGGTCATTGGCATCATGTGATCCCTCTCCCCAACTTGCATCATTAGTAAACAATGAATAAAACCCTCCCTCCCTTGCCGCGATACTCAAACTCGCACCTCCACCAATCCGAACTCAACTCCAATGTCCGCCTCCATGGCGGCCGGCCCCTCCTCAGCATACTACGGCACCTACTTTCGCTGCCCGTCGACCGTCTCGGGATGGAGCTTGCGCCGCGTCGGCTTTTCGGCTCCTCTTCATGGACGGGTTGGCCCTCTTTTGTTGTGGGCTGTTTCCTGCTCTGGCCTTCGGAGCTCCGGCGCTCCCTCGGCGGGTTTTGTGGGAACATGTTTGCCGTCGGCACTTGGCTCGCCACGCTCGAGACCGCGGCTGACCCCCTTTTTGGCATTTTTTGGTCCGCCGCGGTACTCGGAGATGACGTTGAATCTGGCGCAGGCTGTGGAGGGGGTACGTTCGTTTGTTGCGCCTTTGTTTGGGTCGCATGTGTATTTTAAGAAGGTCGTTGATGAAGACCGTTGGTCAAGGGCTTCATGCCTTTAACCGCTTCGTCGCCGGCGGCCTCCTGACCCTTCCTGCGATTCAACCACGCTACATGCTGGCTGTCTACCTGAGGCTCTGCTCTATCTTTGTTGTGGCGTCCATGGCCAGCCCCGAACCGCGTCCATGGCCATTCTGATTCTTGTCTTGTGCTTCGAATTGTGCTGCTTTGCCACCATTTCATTTCCACCCTCGGTCTCCCCGGGTCGGGGTGGCATACAAAGCTGAACGGTTCACTTCTGGTGGCTGCCATCTCTAGGGGATGAAGTTCCCGCCCATGACGGGAGCAGTCCGGATAGGAGAGATGCTCATATGATGATGGCCACCCCGATGATGGTATAATCTAGCATGGAATGTGAGTTCAGGATGCCCTCCTGCTCTCGTCTGAGTGTTACTGACTTGGGCTGGTAGCAATCCTTTCGATGTAACATTTGGAAAAGGGGTCTGATGGACAGTCATTGGCGACTGAAGTTGACATCCAGCCGCCCGCGGTTAGTGACAAGACGTTGCAGCCGGAGGCCCAGGTTGCCGAGCTCGCGAACAACTCAGACAACGACGGAGGTTCAGGCTGTGGCGGGATAGCCGAGGAGAAAAACGTCATTCCCCATGGGATAACTTGACGCTTCAATGAAGTATAGCTGGATATTGGTATAAGCCTGTGAAGTTGCACTGACATTGGTCTGAAAGCGGCTGTAATTGATCCTTGCAATGCCTTGTCTAACGGTCTCGGCGAAGTCATCCAGCTACGGATATATCGATATTTCCTTCTTGACCCGCATGGGCATAATTACGGTGAGTATCGTGGGGTTCAAGGCGGAGGATCTGCGCGAGTTTCTGTGTGGGAACCCATAGCCAAGCTGAATCACTGCGCTGGCCCAGCCTGGAATCAAAAGTGTCGCGGGTGAAGAATGGTGACCGTGCGTGACGTGTTAGAGGTAGGGATAGGTTCTTCAATTGATAGGTAGTGAAGCCATTTTCCCCAGACCTCCATTTATCTTCACTTCTGTTTCCCGGATTTTGTTGGATTTTGAGGTGGTGGTGGCAATGGAGGTGCCCTTGCCCAACCAAAGCTCTCATTCGACCCTCCCCACATTAACCTTTCCTCCATGCTCGATGCAACATCGAAATAACACCAAGCAAGCAGAACGACGCGTCTTCTTCTTGTGCTTATTGTCAAAGCAAAATTGACCAAAACAGGCGGTCGAGCATTTCCATCCTGTTTCTCGTGTCTCGACAGAGCCGTGACGCGTCTCGGTGAGGGCGGCGCGTGCCCCGAGTTCATGGCGTCGGTGTTCGCTTCTCTGACCGCTCCGTATCAAAGTGGCAGTAACTGGTTTCGGGTGCATGAGGATGGCATTTCTTTCCCTCCTGCCCGCAGTGGGAGGGAAACCAAGGGCCCGCGGCCGTTGATGGCCATGTGCATACGCTTGCTGGCAGACAACATCAATGCTGCACCGAGGGCCTCGATCAAATGCCTCCCTGAAAGAGTGAAGTGGGCTATGTGGAAGGAGCTCCATCCAAGGTAGTTCCAGTTCCATTTCCATAGCATCCTCCATTCCATTTGCCGTATAAGTTGTACTGACACGTAGCCTGTTTATCAGGTCCATGCCGCTCCATGTCTGGCACATACTTGCGCCTAGCCTTCTGGAGGAGGAATATCAGAACGCTACCGGCTGCCTCAACAGCAAGGAGTGGTTAGGAAAAGGTGTGACTCTTCCGATGGCACTCTACCGCTACTGTCAGGAGATTGTCGACCCGCCCTGCCCGCTGAGCATCTACATCACTCCCCTGCAGCACCTCGAAGACTGCCTGGTGCGCCTCTGCATCGACAAGGTCGACCGGTATGAGACTCATGAGCTCATTCCGCTCGCCAGACTGCCGCGGCTAGCTGTGTTGGAACTTGTTGAGCACAGCAGAACGAGACAGGTCATCACAGACCACCTGATCAGGGGCTGGAGCGAAGTCGGGAAGCAAGGTCAGGTTTTCCCTTCGCTACGTGTCCTGCAAATAGCCACTCACAACAACACCTGCGCCCTTGCAGCGAACTCGCTGCATTACATATTGAGGTTCCCAGCCCTGGAAGTACTCGACACCTTTTTCAATAAGAAACGACGGCGGGATGCAAAGGATATCGCTGCTAGCTATGGATGGAACGTTACCAAGCCCAACACGAAAGGGGCACTGTTCGTGGCGTATGCCGAGCCTTACCTTGACGGACTGGTCGAGGTGAAAATGAGAGACTTCTGGAAGCTGCGCGATGCGTTTAAAGACGACAGACAGCAGGTAACCTTGGTGGACATCTCTATCAAGGAAGGGAGAGGGTCCGACGCATCTCCATCAGCCGGTCCACCTCCAACGACCGGTGCTGCCGAGTTCCCTGAAGGTGAGGAGAATTGTCTGATGGGCAAGTGGTTTGTCTTTACCGGCCTGCTCAAGACCCTCAGCCGCGAGGAGGCCTGTCTCCTCGTCGAACGATATGGTGGCAAGGTTACTGGCGTACCAAGTCGCAAGACGGACTTCGCCGTCGTGGGCAGTGATGCCGGTCCAAGCAAGCTTAGGGAAATCAAGGAGCATAGTATCGAGACGATTGATGAGGAAGGCCTGTTCCACCTCATCAGGACAATGCCCGCTCATGGCGGCGTTGGCATGAGGGCAAAGCAGCCTCCAAAGAGTGTCAAGCAATCAGACGGCTCGAATCTCGATGATGGCTGGCGGTCCTTGCTACAAGGCACCCATCTCTGCGCAACAACCGAAGCAGACGCCGAGGACCAATTCGATCTATTCAGCAAATGCCCTCTGAACATGACTGAGGACCAAGCCTTCTGGCTCCTTGGGCTTCTGGATCAAAAGAACCGTGACGCGGCATCCAGCATACAGGCGCAAGTGGAAGGCGTCACGTTGCCGCGAGAGCCATTTGTGAGCCTCATGCTGCGCGATTCGTGCCATCTCACCATTCAGCCAGGGACCTGGCTCCATGAACGCTCCATCTTCACGCGGCGTCGAGTGTCCCCGGCGTCTCCAAACAAGGAACGGAATCGCAAACCTCAGACATCGAGAATTCCTCGCCAAGACAATAGGAAGGTGACGGAATGCCGGCCCCGCAAGCGGCAGAGGACGGCAGCGGATCTTTTGTCGTCGTTCGGGACTTCTTCGGGCAAGTTGAGATAAGGCGTGGCACTAGTCAGTTCGACACAAGCGTATTGTCGTTTCCCGCATGTGGGCGGCAGGTAGGTTAACCGGCGCAAGAGGACAAGTACCCATACGGAGGAGAGGCTACAAGTCGGTATTCTTCAAACATTGTAGCAAGTGATGAGGGAGGGCATGTATCGAGCAAATAATTTCTCTGTTCCCCGAGGAATGCAGCGAGCTGCCAGAGACAGAGGGTAAGTGCAAGAAAGTTGGTCTATCCTCCAGTTTCCCCTCCAGAATGCCATGGCGTATGACTTGGACCAGAGTGAATATGAAGGAAAAGTTTTATGTGTTGTGAAGAAAGAAAGAAAAATGAGAAGCTGGTCGGTGTTCGAAGGGTTTTGAAGGTCTTTGTGAGTGGGGCAAGTGAAAACCAATCAGACGCGGCCCAGGCCGCCGAGAGCTTCAACTTGATAGATGGCTGGCGTAATTGGTTTCCATATGCACCTAGTGCCCAGTGAATGCCGGATTATGGTTGCGGACGAAGGAGATGAAATAAATGAAAGAGACGCCCGTGAGGGACAGTGATGAATTGACTATAGAACAGCGGCGCTTGGGTTAAGGTTTATTTACAAACCCCTCACTATCCGAGGGTCGATTACACATTTCTTACTAGAAGCACACAACTCTTGAACTCGAGGATCTCGTGTCCCGCTTGGCTGTTTATTTCCTGTGCTACAAGGAGGATGTAGCAGTCGAATACTTCGGTTCTCTGAATTTGTTGTCAAGCGCTGTATCTATCGTGACCCACATTTGCGTATTCAGTCCAGGCTATCGATATCAAAGCCGCTAACCGTATTTCGACATGTTCATGCGAGCCGTAGCAAAAAAGGAGCAAGAAAAAAAGGTGTTATACTGTGGCACGAGACAGCGGGAAACGCAATACAAAGGAACAAACACCAGCTTTGACCTCTGATTCCTCGATACCCCTCCTCGAACGTCGCACTGCTGCAATTTCGACGTTAAACCATTGACCTCGAGGGAGTTGGCCGTGGGATTCCGACTTACGACTTGCCAAGCAAACCCGCACTGGTTCCGTTTAAACCCCTAAACTCGACCTGAGCCATCCCCGGAGGCCAAGCCAAAGAATCTATTAAACTCGCGCGACCACAAACCAGGGCCGTCACCCCCAGACCCGAGACCTTACCACAAGGAGAGGAGCAAAGTTTGTCGCTCTGCCCAGGCCTCCAACCCATTATCCGCGGGGAAAACGAGAGAAAAGAAGAGAGAACAATCATGGCGACCACCACGTCGGGCCTGACGCGGCGCAGGGGCGGAGGGGGAGGCGCCGCCGGTGACGGAGACGCCAACGGCATCGGCTCGCGCACCAATTCGTCGCCAAACGTCGTCCGGGACGCCTCGACTGGGCCCGAGACGAGCTACGAGAGCGGCGAGAACGGCCACCGCATCGCCTTTGACCCGCGCGACATCAGCGAGAGCGCCGAGCGCAGCAAGCAGCCAAAACTCACCCTCATGGAGGAGGTGCTGTTGCTTGGATTGAAGGATAAGCAGGTTTGTGGTTTAAAGCTGTTGTTTTTTTGCTACTGTTATTGTATTTTTTCGCTGGATGCATCAAGATGGACTGCGTAGGCTGGAACGGTGGGCTGACTGTGGTAAACGCAACAGGGCTACCTTTCCTTCTGGAACGACAACATCTCGTACGCTCTGCGCGGATGCATCGTCCTCGAGCTCGCCTTCCGTGGCCGCATAGCCATGCAAAAGACGCCCTCGAGGCGGAGCTTTCCGCTGCCCGACCGAATCATCGAAGTCATCGACGACACTCTGACGGGCGAGGTGCTACTGGACGAGGCGCTCAAGATGATGAAGACGAGCGAGAAGATGAGCGTCAGCAGCTGGATTGATCTCATGAGCGGTAAGGCTGTATTTTCCACTGCCACCGAACAGACACACCCCCAGCATGCAGTGGGCTAACCCCCCGGCGCGCGGCGCCGCGCGGTGTTTTTCCAGGCGAGACATGGAACCTCATGAAGATCGGGTACCAGCTGAAGCAGGTGCGCGAGCGGCTGGCCAAGGGCCTAGTAGACAAGGGCATCCTGCGGACCGAGAAGCGCAACTTCCTGCTGTTCGACATGGCGACTCACCCGGTGGTTGACAGCGGCGCCAAGGAGGAGATACGGCGGCGGGTGCGCAATGTGCTGACGCAGCGCACCGTGGTGCTCAACAGCTCGCAGTGGCTGCCCGAGGGGCTCGAGTTCCGCTACCTGCGCACCGTGGCCATGGTCTGCGCCGCCTACGCGGCTAACGTCCTCGAGAACGCGCTGTCGACGCTCGGCCACGAGGCCCGCGAGAAGGCCTTCAACCAGACCGACGAGCTGCTCGCTGATTATAGCCAGTGGCCGTTTGGCCGCAAGGCTACGCTCAACGATATTGGGGAGAACCTGCCGCAGGTTATCGCGGAGGTGTGTATAACCGGCGTGGCCCAACCCTCGATGTCCTCTCTAGTTGTCGACCACCCGAGTTATGTTACTAATCTCGAGAAATTGTAGGAGATTGCCAAGGCCCCCGAGAAGGAACTCCAGCTCGAAGTCGTCGCCGCCTGTCTCAACGTCTTCACCCGCCTCGACTCCCTCCTCTAGTCGAGGGTGATTCCGCCCCTTATCTCCGCCTGACACGTAGCCCGCCCACCTGGTTACAATTCTGTGACAACCGCCTGCTTGTTGGGCACTATACCCCCATTCTGACAATTTAAACGTACCTCTTGATTCGGTGGGTGAGGCGCAATTCAAGATATGCTGGGAAGAACTCAACCAGGCGCAACTAGCTATCTATCCCCGGACTCAGAACGGACTTTTCGCCGGACGACCCGCTCTTCGTCAACCTGAACTACGCTTCGACCTGAACTAGGAGAGGCCGAGTTGAATGAGGAATGAGGAAATGGAAGAAACCACCAATTGAACAGGTAGCGAACAGCGTGGATCGACCGAGGCAGATGACCAGGAAAGTCTCGTGAAAAGGCCAAATGGCTCGCAAGCTAGCGCGGTGTACAGGGGTTCGCGCCATCGTCGAACTCACGGTGTCGAGACCGGTCGTTAAGGGAAGGAGGCGGGAGGGAGGGGGGGGGACAGGGACCAAAAAAGAAGGACCGCCATTTGTTTTGAAACCCGGCCGCCTGCTTTGGCAAATGGCTCGCGGGAGGTTAAATATGGCATGGGCGGGATACCCGATTCAGGGTTGGTATGGCATACGTATGTTGGACTCGGTCACACCCAACTGACCTCGCTCGGTCTACGGTTCTGCCCTGTGCGTTGGGGTGGGTGGGTGGATTGGTTGGTTTGGGCTGTACGAGCGACCTATCTAGAAGGTGGCCTACGTGGTTGGCCTGGTTTCTTTGTCTGTGTTTTGTTACTCAGGGATGCTCTTGTGGTTCGCCGGGAACGGAGCAAAAGGGAGTCTGTTTCTTTTCCTCTTTTTTCTGTTTATCTGTGGCTTGTACTTTCTATTTTATCCCATGCAAATGATTGAAAGTTGTCGTCATGAGTTTCGAGTCTTGTGTAGTTCTCTGTCCCTAACATGCCCTGATCCTTGTGGTAACGGCCAGAGATACTCCTTGAATAGAACAGCCGTTTGACATCAGCCTCAGACCATGATATTTTCCTATCCACTAAATTCCGAGCAGAACATAACAGGCCAGATGCCGCCCAAAATACAAACAATAAAGCCCAAGGAAATACCGCGATGCATCCGGTATTAAATCCGCGCCAGACGCCCAAGCAAGCGGAAACAAAGACCCCAACGACAACCATCAGCAACTCATGCCCCTGCAACCCATTCCACCTCATCCCGAAGAAAGAAAAAGCAATCCATCTATTTCCTCCCCGCACCAAACCCTCCCTCAAACCCAGGCCTATTCTTCTTCTTGGTCTGAACCCCCTTATTCTTCTTCTTGCCGCCCTTATTAGCCGCCTTCTCGTCGCGGCGCTTTCGCAAGTTCTCCTCGCGCTTGCGTTGGCGGTCCTGGATGGCTTTCGTCACGCCCTCGGCACGCTCCTTCCACTCGCGCTCCGACTTCTTCTTTGCCTTTTCCTTGCGCTTGAGCGCCTTTTTCAGGAGCGACTCGCTGTCGTGCACCTTCTCGCCTTCGGCCCGCCGCCGCGCCGCCAGCCATGTCTCCTTCTCGAGCACCTCCTTGCGCTTGTTCTCGTCCATGCCCTGGAGGCGCTTCTTTTGCGCCTCGAGCTTGGCGAGCGCCGTCTTGGGGTCCGAGGGCCCCTTCTTGGCGCCGCCAGGCGTCTTTTCGTAGCTCAGGTCGTGCGACAGCTGGGTGCCGTCGGAGAAGGTCAGGCGCCCAAAGGCAAAGTTGGTGGGGGTGCCGTCGTCGTCTTTCTCGAAGAGCGGGCTGAGGCCCGGCGAGTCGCGGGCGCTCGCTAATGCTTCCTCCCTCTTTTTCTCCTCCTGCTCCTTGGCTAGCCGGCGCAACTCCTGCTTGTGAGCCTTGCGCTGGGCCTGCTTCTGGCGCCGCGACTCAATCAGGTCTTGTCTGGTCCGGATGGGCTTGCCCTCGGGGTCGTCGGCCTTGCGTTTTGCACGCAAGGCAGCGAGCTTCGCTTCTAGGCGGGCGCGGAGCGCAGTGGTGTCGGCCGGGATTTTGAGATACTTGGGTTTCTCTGATGGGGGAACGGCAGAGGATATCGAGGTTGTGGTGCTGGCGAGCTCGACCGACGCGTTCTTGGTGGTATCGAATACTGGCGAATTTGGCTCCGAATCTGCTGATGATCCCGCAGGGCCGTCGTCGTCGTTGATGAGCCCGGATACATCAATGGGCGCCATGTCTCCATCATTGTTGTCGGCTTCGGTGGATGGATGGACTGGGCCGTCTTCCGCTTCGGACTCCTCAGCGCCGCTCTCGGCATCTTCCTTGTCGACAGCAGGCTCCTTGGTCTCGGCCTTCTCCGACTTCCTTTCCTTCTTGGCTCCCTCCTTTTTCAGCCGTTTATCCTCCTCCTTCTTTTGCTTCTTGGCGAGCTTCTTCTCCTCTTTAGCCTTCTGCTTCTTGCCCAAAGAATCCTCGCTCTTGGCCTGTTCGGTCTCCTCGACAACCTTCTTCTCCTTCTTCGGTTTCGCGTCCTCCTCTTCCTCGTCCAGCTTCAGCTTCTTCTTCAATCCCTCGCCCGGCTTCTCCTTCTCTATCCCGGAGATATCGCTCTCGTCGCCCTCGTCGGATCCAGTCTCGCTCTCCTCGTCGGCCTCCATCTCCTGAAGCTTGCGCTTGTTCCGCGCCCGCTCGTCGAGCACCTCCTTGGCATTGCGGTTAAGCTCACTGTCGGGGTCAAGCTTTCCCCTTTTTGCGGCTCTGGCCTGATCCTTGGTCTGCTTCTTTTTCCTCCATTGATCCTGTTATGAGTAACAGTGCGTATCAGCAGCTGCTTTGCGAAGTGAAGCAGAGAGGATACAGAGGCGAACCCCTCATGGCAGGGAGCAGGTCGACGGAGGAGAGCTGGGTAGCGCGAGAGAATAACATACGCTTGTGTCCTCCCCGTAGTACATCTTGGCGGGAATGAGAGAAAGGAGGCCATCAAAGGCCTTTGCATGGTCGCGCAGGCGCTCCTGATGCGATTGAACAAGGGTCAGTTGGTGAGTTTCTTAGTTTCAGTTGATTTTTTTTTGGAGCCAGCGCTTACCTGCAATGCCGTGTCCGTCATTCTCCGAATCCCGTAAATCTGAAAAAAATGCGACTACGCAGCAGTATTGACGATAGTCCTCGGCGTACTTCCTAGGGTGAACAGTCCAGGCAAACGTGGGCTCGGCGTGAAGCTCTCTCTGAAGGAATCGAGCGGACGAGACAGGTGCTCGCAGTTGAATTTTATCGCCAGCGAAATTTTGGAGCGGGAGATGTGGAGAACACACTGCAACCCCACATACGCTCGATAATTATGCCGGGCGGTCAGCATGCAAGTGGCAGACAATGGGGAGAGGTGGTAATGAACGAGTTGAATAAAACAAAAATCAAGTTGGACAATAAACAAAATGAGAACCCTATAATCCTATTGTTGACACATGCTCATGATGTCCCTAGCACTCTTATGATTGAGTACAAACGAACATCTCCAAGACGCCAATGAATACTCCCAGATCCACCAACCATCCTTTGTTCCTAGCAAACGCCCCCAATCATTACCAAGTTACCTTCAACTAAACATAAGAACAATACCCATCATGATAACCCAGAACTACTCATACCCGCCATCAAAATCCCACAACGCCTTAGTTGCCATTCCAAAGAACCCGGCCTAGAGACGCCAGCGCTATGCACTGTCCCGCCATATTGCCACCCTCGTCATGATGATGACCCGGGCCAACCAGTTCCGACAAACACACAAACGAATATCAAGAGTACAAAAACCCTGCCAGATCCAGCCGGCGTCCTCCCGAGTTTACCGCTGTCGGCCCATCACCCAGAAGAACCTCATTCTCCCCATCACTTTCAGGAAGAAGTTGGTCTTCGCTTCCCAGCGGCCTGTTCAGCGCCTCGACCTCCTCAATATCGACCTTCGGTAGCGGGACAAACGCCGGGTTAACAGGCAGCGACTCAAACGCCGGGGCCTTTTTGTTTGACAGGGGCGTCGTGGTCAAATTCGAAGTCGTCGACTGAGGCTTCGGCCGTCGCAGCGCGCAGGCCCCGATGCGCTGCAGGGGGGTCAACATCGGAGGTTGTGTGTTGGTGTTCGCAGGGCTGCTGATGCTCCTGGGCGTTGCAGTCTGCTGGGTGCTGGATGCCGGCGTGGACAAACCGTGGACGACCCGCGTCCGGGGTCGTGCTGTCTCGTACGAGAAGGTCTTTAGAAGTTCCCCCAGGGGCGTCACTGACGTGAGGCTGCCACCGTTGTCGTTGCGCTGCTTGGTTGGTCCGTGTTGGTCGGAAGATGGGGATGAGGCGGGTATTTCCACCACATCGTCGGTATTGCTCTCGGTTGCCGGTTCGACTGCAAGTGAACATCGTCGTGGTTTCTCCGGAGATACGTCTTGTAAGATTGCGATGTCATCGGCGGGGTTGGCCGGCTTCTCGGGGCGGCACGAATCCAAGTCCGGCAGACTCCGGAAGGCCTCCTCGATGAAATCATCCGACATCAGCAGCTGGTCCGCCTTCTTTATAGCAGGTTTCTTCTGTTTGGTCGACGAAAAGAACCTGCTCTTCTCCGGGGCAGCGCTGGCGACTCCCTCAGAAGCCGATTCCTCGCACAATCGCGCTTTCTTTAATGGTCTACTGGGTGACGCTGGATCCTGATACACTTGAATGACTGGCCCGGTTGTCCGGCGGCGATGTTCCGGAGACTCGGCGAAGTCCAGCCCGAGGAGTTTCGAGACGGGCTCCGTCTTGCGGCGAGGAACCCGAGCATTACTGGTGTACGGCCGAGCTGGACTTGCCGAAGCTTCTTCGGCGCCGTCCAGGTACGGTCTCGGGAGCGGAAACACGATCGGGCGAGGAGCGTCTTCGGAAGTGCCGTTGCCGTTTTGATCGGGCTCGACCACGAAGCAGTTCGGATCCATCTCGCCGAGGGGAATCCGGCGTGCGCTCCGGTCTTTGAAGTATTCGCTGATCGGTTTCCCCAGACTCCTTGGGGGACCGCTTGCTGGCGCGAGAGCCTGGCTGATCCTCCGCTTCCCTGGAGAACGCGGGACAAGGATGCGCTCTCGGGTGATGGGATTGACATCGCCGACAGCAATAGACCTGGCCAACTCGGCCTCTATGGGTGCTCCGATGAAGGGCATGTCGTCGACATTGACCGAAAGCTCAGGCTCCGTCAAGAGAACAATGTCCTGCTTTTTGGGACAAAATACACGCTGGTGCAGAAAGGTGAGCTCGGCTTGCTTAAATTCGTCAAGATATGAATCTGGAATCTGGTGCTTTCCGTCAAAACGAAGCATCTTCACAACGCGCTCAGGCGTCTTGTGCTTGCGGATCAAGCGATAAGCCGTCTTCAAGCCAATGTTGTTGACGCCTTTTAGGTAGTCACAGCCGCTGAGAATGGCCATGTGACGAAACTCGTTGTCGGTCCAACCGGTCAGGGAGATTTCGCGTACGGCGCAAAAGTCCCTCCGGTTGATCTCGACACACTGACCGTGCTGGTCCATCTTGGTCAACAGACGCTTGGCGCCGAACACTAACAAGTCCGAGTCCTCCGACACGATGCCGCTGATCAAGCCTTGACGTTCGAGGTAGACCAGCTGAGCATCTGCTTCGTATGGAGCAACCACATACGGGACGTCGGCCTTCTTGAGCTCCTCGATCAGATGGCGGGCCATTTCCGGTGTGACGTCGATGGCCTTTTGGAGCTCGGCATAAGCCTGCGATGGCTTGCCAGCCCGGAGGAGCTCTAGTCCAAGTCGTTTGCTTTCTTCCCGGCGTTTGGCCCGGGAGGCTTCTGTCTTGGCCTTGCTGGGCAGAAAGTCGCCGTCGAAGACGACATACGGGGTGACCCCGAAGTACTTGAACATCCTGACACGGTGCATTGCGAAGTCGACATATCTGATGGAGGGGTTAAGCCGGGATTCGAGAAAAAGGAGCTCAGGACTCACTTGCGGGTTGGCTTGCCTTGGGCCAGCTCAATGGCACAGGCAACGGCGCCTCGGTGGAGCCAGCCATAGCCGTCGATTCCGAAGGTCTCGCCTGCATACTTCTTGAGCTCGGTAGGACGATGTATGGACTTGAGTAGCGGGAGGAGGCCTGCGAAATTCATGAGCACATGGACCGTCTGCAGGCGTGAAAAGGGAGCCTACCTGAGATGCCCATCCTGGAAGCTCCAAGAGCAGGTTACAGTGGCTCGTTGCGGAATGGCTCGGCACCGGATAGCGAACAGTTGCTAAAAAGAGGGCAAGGCCATCGAGTATCGGCGTGCCACTGGGCAGTGCAGAGATTGTTTGTCGAGACGCGGGGCCGGGCGTGTTTTCGTGGATTGAGATTTGACGAGTGACGAGAAGGATACCGGCGGAGAAGAATGCGAGACAGCAATGCTTGACAAACCGCTGCTTAAACAAGCAGCAAGTCGAGTTGGTCAAGTGGGATGCAGCTGGAGGGCAATTGCAGTGTGGTTGCCAGTTCCCAGATCCTAGGGCCGAAGGTCGAATCTCCAAATTCACGGCCAAGCAAGCGCGACGGGACTGCAGCGCGTCGTTCTCCGCCGTTATCCCCGCGACGGGCCCACAGTCTTGCCCAGGGTTAGCTGTGAGCTATAGTGTCTGAGAAACTGTGGAAGAATGGATTAGGTTGGATGAAGTACCTAGGTATCGATATCGGATGGACTCAAGCCCAATCAATGGTGGGTATCTCAATTGAATCCCCCGTCATCTGACTTACCGAGGATAATAACACAACTGGTTTTGCTTGTTTACATACTCTGATTTCAGTAAGTCGACTCTCCCTGCACGCTGCACGCACTTGATTTCTCAGAAGTCTTATCGGGCGACCGCCCCACCATTATCGCCTTTGCTCCATCAAAATTTCCAGGTCCTTCCTCACAGGTCGTCGATCATCAGCGACTCCCCAAACCGGTACCTTATATCGGAAGCTTAGGGCAGCATACAGTCAGGTCTCCATCATGGCAAAGACGCTGGAAAAGACACGCAAGCAGATTGCGAAGAAGAGAAATGGGACGATTGATGCCCTTCACCAGAAAAGCCGGGATTCGAAACGGCTTCACCGAGCCCAGGTCCGGGACGACCGTCTCGAGAAAATTGCCGAAGCAAGGCGAAAGAAAGACCAGCCCCTCCGTTTGTCCTGCCATCTTCCATGATCTTGACTTCTTAGGCTTGACTGACCGTAAAACAGTTGCCCGTGCCGCATTCTTTCAGACGGCCGTCCAGGACAATGGAGACAAGCCTCTCGCACTTGAGGCTATCCAGGCCAAGATCAACGAGTGAGTGTGCCTCATGCCGTTCTGCATAGGAGACCTACAGTACACGTAGATTTCGCTCAGCCCACCCTATACTAATCAAGGCCCCAGATTCGTACATCAACACGATGAGGAATATGAAGAGGTGAAGAAGTCGCGCCGTCCAGGGCGGCCGGCAAGCACCAAGGAGGATCTCCTGAGAATGAAGATCTCGGCTCTTGAGAAAGAGCAGCGCGACGGGTTTTGTATGTTGTCCCTCTTGCCTTTGCCACTCATATTGACTGATAGTTTTCCAGATCTGCCGGACCTCACCACCGAAGCGAACGTGCAGCTGCTCAGCAGATTCGAAGGGTCCTGGTCGTACCTGACCAATCTGGCCTGGGTCAAGGTTTCAGCCGCAGGCCATGTTAAGCCGTCCAGTTTTCCTCCTCAGGGGCTTTAGCACGGCCGTGTTGTCGTTTCGAGAGAGCCATGCGACGTCCATGTGCTCACCACGCAAACCGCAACCAGAGCCTCCATGGCGGCTCCTGGGCTTGCTATCTTGCATGTCGGATGTCGTTGCCAGCAAACTGTCTGAGACATTCTGAGACACCATCGGGCGTCAGCCATGACCGTGGCGGATATGCGCATCTACCTGTCGTGCCGCGTCCGGCGCCCTGGCAGCGCTTTCCTTGGTCGACATGTCTCCGCTGTCTGCGGCCGGCCGTGTCAAGTTGCGTCTCCAGGCGTTGAGAAGCACACACCTGGAAAGACTCGCATTTTTATACTCCGCAGTTTGGAAGCTCAAACACAGGGTAGACATGCAGCTCCCCGAGCCTGCGCCATCCCAGGGGTAACCATGCACGGGTAGCAGGTCGAGCATGCGCTTGCGTTTATCAAGGCCGGCTGTCAACGCGCTGCCGTATGACGCGGTTCTGGCACCCTCACACCGTCAGCGGCTTGACAGACGAGGCAGAATCGGGGCCTCCCGGCGCCGCAATTGGCGGGCAGGGGACATCCCACAGGCGGGGACTGCGGCAGGTAGCCGGATGCCAGCCACGGCCCGAGCCCCATCTCATCTCTCTGAGACCGGCGCTCTGGGAACGTCGTCAACAACCGTGGTATGCCCTTGCGTCCGAACCCGCCGAGTCGGCTCTTGCGGAGGCCTGTAGCTGCCATCCCATAGGCGAGAACAGGAATGTATGGGATTCCAACCTTGCGTTTCCGCCATGTCTTGCTCCGGGGCGTGTATTACAAATCACTTGGGTCACTTGTGCGTCTTGCCGTCTCCCATTGTTTCCTCATTGCCATACACCCGCGGATACGTGCACCGAGAGAAGCTTGTGCTCCGCAACTTGTCGCCATGTCTGACTGCAACCCCATACCCACCTCGAGGTGGTATACCCTACCTGTGCGATTCCTCCACCTCCGGCAGTACAACCCATCCGCTGAGCAAAGGGTTCATCCGTATGGTCGGGACGATGGGCCATGTTCTCGCAGGACGACTTGAGTTGACTCGACTAGAGGATGTGTGATGTGGCAGCGGGTCGGATCGAGTCGAGTCCAGCTGTTGTGTTGTGCTTGTGTTCCCGGATCTGAGATCGAGGGTGCTGGACATATCAATTATATCCTTCAATTGACTGGTTTCCAACTCTTTCAGGGTTTTCTCTATCCCGCACTCAAGTCCTCCGAACTATCCACCTAACCGGCCGAGATCAACTCTCCAGTCTATGAACTTTACGCCCATAGCCACACCTCTCTACGGAAGGCAAATCATTCACCTTACCTCCCTGACCATATTCCTTTGTCATTGTCGAGACTAGACTACCAACATCCTAAGACATCAAACCAGCCACACCAGACCGAATTCTAACCAAACCAAACCTAACCACACCAACCAAATCACTCCACACCCATCAACAACAGCTCCCAAGAAGAAACCCCCAACCGAAAAAAGAAATAAAAATGTGCACCTATACAACGCACATCCGCATCTGCGCCCGATGCGCGCGCGAGGACACAGTGCTCATCTCAGAACAGCTCTGCCCAGTCGCCAAGGCCTCGGGCATCTTTGGCAGCTGCCTCGAAGGCATCCTGTGCCAGCGGGATGCCACGGGGTGTCTCTGCTGGCAGTGCAAGGAGAGCGGTATCAGGGTCGTTGCGTGTGTTGGGTCAGCAGCGGCAGCGGCGGCGGCGGCGGCGGTCTGTGGTGTTGGTGGTGTTGGTGGTGTTGGTGGTGGTGGTGGTCGTCGGAGGTTTGCGAGTACTGGAAATAACCTCAATAGTACCGGTGGCAGCTTGAAGAGAATGGCGGCCGTGAGGAGGAGGACAATAGGGCCTGGGACGGGAATCGGCGGGAGGGGGAGGGTGGGTGTGAATGTGAATGCGAATGTGAATGGGGTAAGTGCAGGTGGGGGGAGTGGTGTAAGTGGACGGTGGAATTGAGAACTGAGGGTCTTGTGAATGGATGAAGGATTGATGCTTTTGAGCGATGATGGTTTAGGAAGGCAAAGGAGCAAAGGGGACAATTAGTGGTGCTTTTATTTTGGCGTTTGGGTGAAATCTGCTAGGAGTTCTATGAAGTGATGAGTGATGAATATACCCCCTGATGGCATTGAATTCACCAAGTTCAAAGTTGCAATTAGCTCTCTCATCACGGGCCATTGGCGCCCGGGAGTTGCTCCGAACATTCGATCTCTTGGCGCTTTTATCGCCATCCTGCCAGCTCGATAAGACGCTGCTGTGGTCCGTGCGCTCGATTTTTTCGTGCTGAGGTCGTCTAGAAGTTCACTTTGATGGGGTCAGTCTCCATCTTTCATCCCTCCATCAGCACGTTCGTCTTCTATCCATCGGCAAGGAATCCTTCCACTCTTTCCGTTGTATTTTAATATACACATAAAACAAGTACCATGATGTCTCTTCGCACTCTCGCGCGCTTTGCGCCCCGCGCTTTGGCACGTGCTGCGACCACATCCGCCCTCTCGCGCTGCCAGAGGACAAGCAGCATCCTCAGCGCCCGCCCCTCCTCCTTCCTCCGCACTCAGCAAGTCTCTGCCTTCTCGACATCAGTCTTCCGGAGAGCCATTGCCGGCGAAGTGGACGAGGAGGTGTCGGCCAAGCTGGCCAGCGAGATCGAGTTCGAGAACGACGTCAAGCAGAACGAGCCGCTGCCCGCCAGCATTAAGGACTTTATGGACAACAGCCCCTGGAAGATAGAGGATGTAGCAGGCAAGGAGGATGTCATTTTGACGCGCACATTTGGCGACGAGAAGTACGTCTTTTCCCAGGCTTGACTGCAATACACGAAAGCTGACTATGCACTTGCAGGATCACCGTCTCGTTTTCCATCGCCGACCTGCATAACTACGAGCCCGACATGATGGAGGATGACCAGGCCATGGAGGACGAGCTGGACGACATTGAGACCGGCCGCAGCCCGCAAGATCAGCGTGGCGGCGCCGCCGACCTCGCGAATGAGGCCAACGAGGACCTCGAGGCCGGCGCCGACGAGGCCGCTGTCCCCGTGCGCCTCAACGTCGTCATCGAGAAGCCCAACAAGGGCGCGCTCAACGTCGAGGCGCTCGCGCAGGACGGTGCCATTGTCGTCGAGAACCTCTATTACTACGCGGACCCCAAGCTGGCGCACAGCTCCGATGCCAACGCCGTGCATGCCGCCCAAGACACGTACCCCGGCCCGCCGTTCGGCAGCCTCGACGAGGACCTGCAGATCCTGATGGAGCGATACCTCGAGGAGCGCGGCGTCACGCAGCAGCTGGCTCTATTCGCGCCGGACTACATGGACTACAAGGAGCAGAAGGAGTACGTGGCGTGGCTCCAGAATGTCAAGGGCTTCATCGATGCCTAGGCGAGCAGAGTTGTGGGAGAATGTGGATGAGCGCTGTGCGATATGACTGTATTACTTGCCACTCTACTGGATGTCTGGATGTATGATAGATCCAAGGACATGGAAGACATGCTCTTGTCAATGAATATAAACTTGTAAAACGTGTAGAAGTTCAAAAACGCGACATCGACAATGGGCTTTCGATAGTCTCGTATTCTGCCCAGCCAAGACAGTCTGCAGCTCCATTCGCTTAGTCATTGGCTGGCCAGACCTCGAGAACCTCAGCTGAGGCTAGCTGACTTTTCTTCCCCCTATCTTCACTGAAACATCTGCATTGACCGTGCTGCTGTTGCAGGTTTTGTTCATTCACTTACCCATCGTTCGAGCTGTGTATATCTTCGATGTGGCTATAAACTGCTCGTCTCTTGCTCTTCTTAACCTCTGAGCACCTATAAGACACACCCGAGTAAGGAGACGCCGCTTTCCCTGAACCCCTGTCGCCTCGAACACTGAGATTGGCCAGCACATGCAAGACACGACGCCGACTTTGATGGGGTTTCATGTGAATGACACTATCTTGCGCGGCAAGCAGTTGGAACAATGACTCGGGACAAGACAGCCCGGTACAGTGACAGGGGAGATGACGTCCAAGTCGACCTGGCCGAGGTTGCAGACGAAGAAGCCCAACTGTTGGGCGACGAGGATTATGAGCAGTTCGAGCTGGACGATGGGTCCCGTCCGGTCCCCAGAAAACCCACACCACCTCATGACAGACCAAGATCAAGAGGACTCTTGATACGACGTCGTAGCCCAAAATGGCTCGCCTTCCTTTACGGCCCTGACCCGCCCAAGATTCAAACCTTCAAGCCCCTATTCCCGTCCGTCCAGGAGCTCCCCGTCAGGTGGCTCGAAAAGACGCTACAACACCCCTGGCAACGAGCTGTCTTGTTGTTGGTGTTTCTGCTGGCTTGGGCTGCGTCGCTAGCCGTCCCTCTGATCTTGAGTAAGGGAACAGCCACCGACGCATCCGGAATCGCAATCCGCCACATCGACTGCGTCGACACGCTCTGGAAGCGCAACAACGAGTGTGGCCTCGACGGCGTCGATTGCCGCCCCTTCTCCAACGCGTCGTTTGCCTTCCGCTGCCCCGCCGACTGCGCCAGCGTCCGCGTGCTCAACCCGCACCACGTCGGGCGCCAGGACGTCAACTTCCGCCCTCTGGTCATCGGCGGCGGGGGACAAGCGCCCTACCGCGGCGACTCGTTCCTCTGCGGCGCCGCCATCCACGCGGGCGTCATCGACGACGCCAAGGGGGGCTGCGGCGTCGTGACGCTCACGGGGGAGTACTACCAGTATTTCGCCTCCTCCCAGCACGGCATCGACTCGATCCCCTTCGACTCGCACTTTCCGCTCTCCTTCACCGTCACCGCCGACCCGTCCATCCACTGCACGGCCCCGGATCCGCGCTGGACCGTCTCTCTCCCGCTCTCCCTCCTCTTTACTATCTGCCTCTCCCTCTGCACCACCTCCCCAACCCTCGTGTTCTTCACGACCTTCCTCGGCATTTTCACCCATGTCGCTCTCGTCTCGGACCCGCCCAATTTCTCCGCCCTGTCCTCCACCACCTTTTTACCTTCCCTCATATCCTCCTACCTCGCCCGCCTGCTCCCGGCCGCCTTCGTCGCGGCCATCCTCTACCGCACCACCGTCCGCAAGACCCTCGCCAACTTACCGGCGACGGCAAACGGCACCAAGACGCTCTGCTGGCTCCTCCCCTTCTGGCTCGGCGCCCTCTCCAACCGCGCCATCGAGCCCCTCATCCCCATCGCCCGTCTTACGCCAGAGGACCTGACTGCCCAAGGGCAGGGCGCGGTCGTCGCGCTGGTCGTGGTGGTGGGACTCGGGGCGGTTCTGGTGGCCGTACAGACGCGGACGCTGTATTGCGAGGGTCGTCTGCCGCGGTATCTGGCGCTGTATGCCGCGTTTGGGGTGGCGTTGGGGTTCTTGGCTGCTTTGCCGGATCTGAAGCTGAGGGTGCATCATTATGTGCTGGCGCTGTTGCTTTTGCCTGGGACCGCGACGCAGACGAGGGTGGGCATGGTTTGTCAGGGGTTGTTGGTTGGCGTGTTTGTTAATGGGGTTGCTAGGTGGTATGTTATCTTTTTCTTTCTTTTGTTTCTTTACGGGTCTGTAGTTTTGCCTTGGTTCCTTTACCCTCTCCTGCCGCCCTACCCGTTTACCAGGTTCTTCACGGAGTCAATTGACTTGCCTCTGATACAAGTGCTTTCTTCTCCATCGGACTCACCCAAACATTCCCTCTGCGTGTGGGATATGGCTGACTCTTGTCGCGCAGGGGCTTTGCGTCGGTGGTGGAAACCGCCGAGGCGTTGCGGAACGATGGCGGTTTCGGAGGCGTGCTGCTTCCGGAGGTGGTGCCGCCTCTGATTGAGCGGCTGGGTTGGGGTCCGGATGGAATGAGGATATCGTTCAAGTGGCGCTCGTTGATGGCGCGGGTATTTGTTGGGGGACTGCCGGTCGAGGGCATCAGCGTCTTGGTTAATGATGTCGAGAGGTATAGGGGGTGGTTTGCCGAGAAGCCGCTGGAAGAGCATGTGTTCTCGTGGACGAGGAGAGTCGGAGGGGTCGTGGCGGACGAGTATTTCCGGTTTGGGTTCGTCACGGAGGGGGGGAGGGGGTTGGACTATACCGAGGCCGGGACGTGGTATGTGAATGGGAGTTGGAGTCAGGGGGCGGGATATTGGTAATGGGCCTGTGTTGTGTTTGCTTGTTCACCTTCCAGAGGGAGTTGCCGTGGGTGTGTACATACTTGGAGGGAAACCCCTCTCTCTTCCATTCCCTCCGGGGCGCCCAACTTCCCGCCAGTGCTCTGAAAGAAATCCCTCGCACTCCCACTAGCACCAACTACTCCCAATGAGCTCGACACAGAGTTGGCTCAGCAGTATTGGGAAGAGCTCTGGTTGACTCAGCACTGAAATCATAGGGGTTCGACTCCCTTATGAGTCGAAGCAAAAACCGCAGAAGGTTCTTACCAAACACCTCTACTAGACCGGCGCGGGAGTAGGGCTGGTTGGTGAGGCTTTTGCACCACCCCACAGCTTCTTCCTCCACTGTATTCATTCCACGCCCAGGTACAGGAAACACTGGGTTCATGGTCCTGTCATTTCACCGAAGTGGATCCACCACTACGAGGAACAGTAGCACCGATACCACTTGATTGTGCGTCTTTATCAAGATAGCTCTCGGTTGAAGTTCAACCCCTTTGAACCAAGCTGTCAAAGATTCTTCCCAACGTTTCCTGCGATTGCTGCACCCTCCCGCATCTGGTCGTGGTAAGCAAACGCTGACGCACAAAGCATCTCGCTCAGAGTACACTCGCTCTTATATTTCCCGCTACGTTGACCAACTCTAGAGCTCATCTTACAGTCTAATATTCAGCATCACTTCACGATCATCCCCAAGCCCCGTCCAACCCTGCCACTGCCCGACCAGCTTCCACGCAGCATGGAAATACAGCCTCCCGTGCACGACGCCATACACCTTGGAGAATTCCCGTAAACTCCTCAACATCCTCCAAAACCGCCAATCACCACCACCCTCCTCCCCCTCCTCCAAACCGGCAACCCGACCTCGAACCTCCTCCATCATCTCCTCCCATCCCCGCCTCTCCTCCGCCAGCTCCTTCGAAACAAGCAGCCTCCCATCCACCACCGGCCGAAGCTGCGTGACGTACACCAGCACCACCACAAGCCAAAGCCCCCTCACAAGACTTTCCCTCTGCCCCGCATCATCCACCCAGCTCTCCATCACCACCAGCGCGCTGTGCACACAGGTCGGCAGCCGGCTCAGGTACACGTCAAACGCCGCCTGCCCGGGCTTGTGCGTCGCGCAGGTTAGCAGAGTAGAAAGCGCAGCGAGCTGGGAGAGGACCAGTCGTGGGTCGGACGTGTCGAGGCGGTCGACGTACTCGGCCACGGCCGCGCGGGCGGCCGGGTTGGACAGGATGTGCGAGACGGCCTGGGGATGGAAGCCCGGGCCGGATTTAATGACGCCGCTGAGGCGGCCGTCGTAGGCGAGCTGGTGGAGGATTTCTTCGGGGGAGAGGAGGGGGAGGGCGAGATGGCGCTCGCTTCTTCTAGGGAACCTCGGCGGCGCCGATGTTGTTGAAGAGGTGTGTGGGTTGTTGGCCATCAGCAGCTCGGAGATGGGCTCCATCCAGTCTACGGCGGAGAGGGTCAGGGCCTGCATGACGAGGATGGAATTGCGCAATTCGATGCCGTCACTGAGTAGGGTCAGTGGTTGGCCGATGCCGGAGAACAGGCCCTGGAGCAGAGGCTTGTCGCCCGTGAAGATGTGGGTGAGAGCGAGCGCTTTGGTGTTGCCTGCGAATCGGCCGTTTTCTATGCTGAAGTATGTCATGAATGCCCGTTGGAATCTGGGGGGTTCCATGTCAGATAGGGAGGGAAAGAGGATGGGGATGGTGAGCCTAGTGTGTTGTACCTGGCATCGCCCAGAAACTGCGCCTTGGTCTCTTCGTCTGCTATGTTCCTGGGTGACGGCTCCCAGGGAGCGAGGCTTCCCTTCAACAATTCGTACGTGGCCTGGAGGCGGTCCTCCTTGCCGCCAAGGAAGAAGACGGTAGCCAGGGCCTGGGTTGTTAGTTTCGGGGCAGAAGCGTCTGACAGGCCGCGGACGTACAGCGGGAACCTCGTTACGCCGTCCGTCTCCCTGAACCAAGGCATGCTGGACATGTGTTTTCGCCAGGAGGCTGTCAAACACAGCTTGTGATCCTGCAGGGGCCATCATACAGCCAAGTATACACTTCCGTCTAGATGAACCTGTGGTGGATGCAATGAAACGGCCGTCCGCCAACTGGTACCATCCTGATGGGTAGCTTTATATCACACCAAGGCGTTGAGCTCTCTTGGCCCTTGATGTCGTCAGGGGAGATCGAGTACTTGATCCGCCAAACCCCGAGACTATACGGGCTGAAAAGAGGATGGGCCGGTCTAGTCGCCTCGAGAGGCTTCGACTAGTGGCGATCCGCAGGAGTGTTTGTGGATTGCTCGGCATTCCTGGCAACGGCATGCATCATGTCTTGGCCTGGGAGGATAGGGTACTGGGCAGTGCTCGTCTTGATGGGTTGGATAGGGAAAGTCGGGATTCAAGGGCAGCTGAGGGGCGGGAGATACCGGTAGGCCAACGGGGCGGGGGAGGAGCAAAGGCGAGTCCGAGGACGGTGAATGGCTAAGCAGATGGATCGAAAGCAAGGCCGAGCGTTGATGCTCACGACCGGGCCCGGAGACGACTTCAAGGGGTTCGCCATGGCATCACCGCCACCGACGAGCAGGTGCCTTCGTCGGGCCGTGAACAGGTGTAGGAGACTCCATGCGCGCAACGTTGCTGGTTCCCAGGAGACGAGAACAGCGCTCGGGGTTCGGATTGGTCCCCTGACGACGCCATGACTGAGTAGAGAAGCATCATGGTCGACAAAGTTGGATGACGATGGGAGTTGCTGATGACTGATCAACGGTCAGCTTGACGATGGTTCCCATGTTTCCTTAATTAGCTTAGAGCTCATCTTCCAAATCGACTAATCCACTCAATTGGTTCGTCGATCACCGACGGTGTCTGAGATCAGGCACATACCTAATCCCCGAGGTAATGTTCAGTTCGTTTTCCAGAAGAAACCATAGAGGTGCATGGGGAGTGTGGTATGGGCGCCTTAGTCATTTGTTTCTCAGCGTTGCTTCCTTCAAACGTTTGCAGGCCTACTCCGTCCGGGCTAGGCCTAGTCGGGGTTCCTGAATCGCCAATCAGGGTTAGCGGGTTGGCTGGATTAGTTATCGGATCGGTGATTTGGAATTTTACACAGTACGGATTAGATGCAGGCCGATAAGTCAGCGGGTTGATGGAGGAAGGTTCGCTCCAACACAAAAGCTTCAAGCATTTCCAACTTTGTCAAAGTCTTCCTGCCTCACTCATCCCCAGTCATCGCTTAGGGATCACGAAGCCGCCATCACGGTGCCATGAGGAAAAAACCCGGAGATCACCGGTCCAGCATCATCGTACAGGGTTGTCGTCTCCAACCTTGGCAATTCCAAATATACCCAGGTCTCGGCTTTTGCTCGTTCTCTTCGGAGTACCTGTATATTTCCTTCTTTTCCTTTTCTCGTGGATTAAATATCAGGTCAATCTCTAACGACGGATTTGACGGTTGCTCCTCATGACCTGAATCAAAGTTTGAACTATTATCAGCATCATGGGAGATGCGATCATTGGATGCTCTCCGGCAGAGCTCCAACGAGTCTCACACCAGCTTTTGATCTCAACCATACTCATGATTTGCCCCTCGCCCTTTCAGCGCGCATGCTCGGCTGGCGACCTAAGCAGTTCCCGACTTCAGCGCGATAGTCGTCCGATGCGGCAGTCTTCCCCTCGGGTGCCTCCCCGTCAGGTGACACTGGACGGCCGACGTGGCGGGTACCGGCAGATTGTCTCGAAACGCTGGCCCCTGACAGCGTCAAGCCTGGGATCACGCAGCAGACGTCTCTGTGCGCCCTCACCGCTGCATTCGAATTGTCTTCACCACCCTCTGATCAACTGGGAGGGTCATCTCTCATGACCGGAAGGGTTCCGACACGAACGAGGCGTTTCTTGAGCAGTTCGCTGCTGCTCTGTGCATTGAAGGGTGGCGGTTCCGCCATATGTGGCTTGGTAGAACCTTGCCAATGAAAGACGGTTGACCTGTGGTTGCGCAGTCTATGCTGCTTTCGAACGCCATCTCTCGTCGATGCTACAAGCATCGGGCCAGCATGCCATACGCATTATTCATCTACCATCGACTTCCGTCGACGCGACCCGATTCAGTTTGGGTGCCATTCTTAGCTGAGCACACGGAGAGGGTAAAGGGTATGCCACGGCGACAGGGACTGGGAGGCACGCCGCCTGAAATGCGGGAAACAGTTCGCCCAGGGCCGTATCACGGTGACGGCACTGTACCCAGCTTGTGCCATGGTCTTTGCTGGACTTCTGTGAGTCTCATGGAAGCAAGGTCTATCGGGGGATGTTACGTGGAAATTGTTGAACGGCGCATGGGGCCGTAATGTCAAGGTTGTTACCTTGAGCACCCCTGATCTTCACGGTGCAAGTGTTGTTGTAGAGAGAGCACACATAACTCCCTCGCCCACTGCTCAACGGTCCCTCGGCCTGGTTCCTTCTCGTTTCTCTCCGCCCTGCGTTCCAGGCTAACTTTGCGACCGTTTGGTTGTTTGCACAAAGCGGCTGGCCAGAACTGACTTTCCGTGAAGCTCCTATGCGCACTTCACATCACCTGCTCCTGGCCTTGGCCAGCTGGTTGACTGCCGTCTATGGACGGGACGCCCCTTTCAGCTACAACGATGCGTTAGGTCTCGCGGAAACAGATCGCTCAGTGGGGATAGATTTGGCCGGTACGTCAGACGAGGGTTCCATGAGAGGAAGACGAATTCTGCTAAGACAGTCTCAGCAAGGTACCCAGTTCCGGAGTCTCAGTGCGACTCCTGGGTCGGCGTCGAGATGATTGTTATGGTTGAGGTCACCGAGGTTTGCCCCGAGGGATCTACCGGTAGGGCTTCTGAAGCCTTTGACGATGAACATGTGGCTGATGGCGCCGTCAGTGATCGAGACCCTCACGGAATGCATCGAAACCCTGACCCGCTCCATATGCGCGACGTCGGCAACGGACCTGCCTTGCTACCCCTGTGTCATGGGCACGCCGCTGTCGTCTGATACGGCAACGGTCACCGTGGTAAGCATGATTTGTGCCAAACCCACCACCCATGACAGAACACTATCACTGACGTGCCCTGCTCGGCTCCAGACTTCCCGCTCTTCAGTTACCGAGGCAACCGTCACGCTCACCCTGCAGCTCTGCAGCACCTGCACCCTGACAACCTACGTCGGCACCGTCCCCGGTTATACCCCCGGCGCGCCCTGCCACCGGTGCAGCCCGTACGGAAGCAGCAGCAGCCCAGCTCCTCCAGCCACTTCATCATCAACCAGCTCGGAAGGCAGTGGTGCAGCGACAAGTTTTGCTCCGACAACGACGATCACATTGATATCGACTTTGACCAGAACTGTCAGCTTAGCTTCGGGATGCCCCACCGCCACAAGCTCGCCGCCGCCTGGCAATCCGGGCTTGCCTTCTTCGGCTACTGCCAGCGCGGGGTGTAGCCTGGGCTCTGGCTCGAGCTCGTCCGTCACGCCGACGCGTATGCCTTCTGCGGCCACCACCACGGCGGCGCCGTCTGTTGCTACGGCGGGTGGCGTGAGGAATGGGGCTGGGTATGTGGTTCTTGTCGTGGGCTGGGTCGTTGTTGGATGTCTTCTTTTACTGAGGGGGTGAGTTGATGCACTTGGGGGCTTTCTTGCTTAGTTTGGTAGGTTTGGCAAGGTAACCCCCCTTTTTCACTTGGTTGTAGGACCTTCGAGAGTTCTGAGTTTGGATTGTGCCCTACTTTTTACCCCCATGTTTTTTGTTCTGATTCGAGGCAGGAAAAATTGGAAGTGGAAGATTTTCGAGTCAAGTTCGGTCTGTACTGATGCTGGGCTCCGATCTCGGGCCCGCGGAGGGATGCAGGCGTCCCGGATGCTGGCTCCGGGTGCCGGAGCGGACTGAGCGGTTTTCTTGCGGGACATCGACTCCGCACCGAGTTACATTGGCCAAGTCTCGATCTTGACAACCTACTGTGGTAACCCATCCGCGATTAGCCGGAACACTTATTAAGCCCTAAGACGCAAGAACGCATGTTCCCTGCTCACAGTGGATGAGGAAGTTCCTGGGGTAGCACCGGCGAAGCGGCCTGGGCTGGTCTGATATCGTCACTGATGTGTCATTGGCCTCTCCTCACCTGCCACTCGCGGCGGCATGAGGGTTGATCGTATGCATTGTTGAGGGGTATGGTTGCGGAGATGCATATCAGAACGAGGGGAGGTGGGGGTCACATCTTTGGGCCGTCAGGAGCCGCGGGAGTTGAAGATGGTATTAAAAGGGGGCATGTCTGCTGAGTCCTGAATAGGCCTTCCTTACCTCTTCCTCTTTGCGAACGACGACTCGACACCTCTCAAGCGCAAAGAACAACGAATTGCTCATCCTACTCCACAAGTATTGTCGTGCGCACTGCACTCCTCCCCCTCGCCATGAGCTCATCTAACCACAGCCCAGACTGACCTCCCGTCTGGTACATGATGCCGTCCTCCCGCGTGCTCGCCGGGGAAGCCATGGCGACCTTTCAATGGTGTCCTATCCCACAATGATCAGTCCTATCATCTTCAGGTAACTATCTGAACGCATGAGCCGGTGCCAATCCGGTGGCTGTTGTCACGGCTGTATGTGTTTGTATCTGTATATGTACAAGCACAAGTACAATACATACAGATTTGACGACAGCCCCGGAGCGGCTGAGATCATACGGCGGAAACTTGATCTGGATAATACCAGCGAAAGGATCATGCTTCTCCCCCCTGTCTTGCTCTGTCACGGCAGGACCCTAACTGTCACAGATACCCAACCAACCCAATAACAACGACCATGGCTCCCGGCGCCATCTCTCCCGCTCAGCAGCACGCCCAACTCGCCTCTGCCTCCAAGAAAGCCAAGGATGCCACTGCTGTGGCTGAAGGCACCGGTGGCCTGACCAAGCCCCTGGCCGACCTGATGGGCAACTGGGACAGGTTTTCGTTCGCCCCGATCCGCGAGAGCACCGTCTCGCGCGCCATGACGCGGCGCTGTAAGCTCCCTTCTTACCCCTTTTCTATCATCAGCAGATCCCCCTCCCCACACCAACTCTTCCTCCCCCTTCGAAGGCAAATCTCACTAACACAACTTCCTTGACCAACCCGGGCAGACTTCACCGACCTTGACGCCCACGCCGAGACAGATATCGTCATCATCGGCGCCGGCTCCTGCGGCCTGTCGGCGGCCTACACGCTCGGGACGCTACGCCCGGACCTGCGCATCACCATCATCGAGTCCGGCGTCGCGCCCGGCGGCGGCGCCTGGCTAGGCGGGCAGCTGTTCAGCGCCATGGTGATGCGCAAGCCGGCCGACGTGTTCCTGCGCGAGGTGGGCGTGCCGTTCGACGACGAGGGCGACTACGTCGTCGTCAAGCACGCCGCGCTGTTTACGAGTACTGTCTTGTCGCGCGTGCTGGCGATGGACAATGTCAAGCTGTTTAATGCCACGGCGGTCGAGGACCTGATTACGCGCCCGGCGGAAGACGGGAAGGAGGAGGGAGGGGTGAGGATCGCGGGCGTTGTGACCAACTGGACACTGGTGTCGATGCATCATGATGATCAGAGCTGCATGGATCCCAACACGGTCAACGCGCCCGTGGTGATCTCGACTACCGGGCACGACGGTGAGTCCTTTCTCCTCCCATCTTCTTTACCGTCTTGTGTCTAATAAGCGGTGTGTGTGACAGGCCCCTTTGGCGCGTTCTCGGTCAAGCGCCTTGTCAGCATGAAGCAACTCGAGCAGCTACAGGGCATGCGCGGGCTGGACATGCAGCGCGCCGAGGACGCCATCGTCAAGAACACGCGCGAGATCGTGCCCGGCCTGATTGTCGGCGGCATGGAGCTGTCCGAGATCGACGGCGCCAACCGCATGGGCCCGACCTTCGGCGCGATGGCTTTGAGTGGTGTTAAGGCCGCCGAAGAGGCCATCCGCGTGTTTGACCTGCGCAAGAAGCAAAACGAGTTCTAAGGCGCGATGTGGACAGGCGGTATTGACTGGTATGAACTTTGTTGGTGGATGATGGCTGCACACGGAAGAGTGGGTCTACACTCGCTTGTTCAGGTAGTCAGCAGAGGATGCTCAGGACGCTCTTTGAGGATGAACTCGTTGTCCTTTTCAATATTATCAAGGCTCGACGGCCCAGTAATTATGTCTAGCGTCTAACTTCCCCAAGGTAGATTTCTTTTTTTCCCCTCTCTTTACTCATTTGTCCTTCTCACGGCCCTTTCTCCCTCACTTCCCCTTTCCTTTCGTAGTATATGTCTGGTTGATGAAAGCAGACGTATTCGAACAAGTCTATTGTCTATCCCACCACCTTGACTCCTCCATCGACCCCTACCCAACAATCTCCCTCCCCACCTTCTCCAGCGCCTTCACCAACCCCTCCACCGTCCCCCTCAACGTCAGTGCATTCACAACCACCCTGAAAAAGCTCCCCCTCTCCCCCGGCGCGTAATCAACCATATACCCCCTCCCCACCAATCTCTCCACCATGGCCCTCGTCCTCCGCGTATTCTCCTCCTTCTCCTCCGCCACCTTCCCTCCAGGGGCATAGTAAAAGCACACCTGCAGACACGGCGGCGGGTTCTCCGAGACCAGCACAAAGTCCGCGTGCTGGGATATTAGATTGGCCAGGTGCGCGGCAACGGCAAATGCCCCATCGACTTGTCTTCCGAAGGCCGCCGCACCGTAGTAGATCCAGCTGAGCGCGAGCTTGAGACTGTCTGCGCGGCGGCCGCATTGCAGGGTGAGGTCTGCCATGTCCCATACCTCCGGCACGTTGGTATCGGTAGCGTCTCCACCGTCCGGGTGGCTGGTGGCAGCTCCGTTTGCTGTTGCTGGTGGTGAGGGTGAGGTCTCGCCGGGGGAATGGAAGAGATACCCGGCGGGGAGGGTATTCGCCCTATGAAAGACCGCCATGTCCGGACCGAGGAGGAACGAGCAGGTGACAGGCACGTTCATCATCTTGTGCGGGTTGACCGTCAGCGAGTGGGCGAGGTGCGAGCCGGCGAGTTTGTGGCGGTGAGTCGACGAGAAGACGGCCGGGCCGCCCCAGCTCGCGTCGATGTGCAGCCAGAGGTTGAACTCGGCGCAGATGGCGGCAATCTCCTCGAAGGGGTCGTACGAGCCAAGCACCGTGGTGCCGGCGGTCGCGTTGACGTACAGCGGGGTCTTGCCTTGGGATTGGGCGCGCTGGATGGAGGTGCGCAGCGCGGCCGGGTCCATTCGCCCTGTGGCGTCGACGGGCACCGTCCAGACGGAGGAGGAGCCGAGGCCGCAGGTGACGGCGGCTTTTTCGACCGAGTAGTGGCCGTGGACGCTGGTGAAGAGGACAAAGGGTCCTGAGGCACAGTTATTGCCTTGGGTCTTGGACTCGGGGTAAAGTGTGTTGCGGGCGATGACGATGGAGGTCAGGTTGGATGAGCTCCCGCCTTGGCAGGTGATGCCTCCTGCACGAGGCCCGGTGAAGCCGAAGAGCTTGGCCAGCGATTTGGCTGTGTGTTTTTCGATCACTGTCAGGGCAGGCGAGACTTGGTAGACGTGCACCTTAATCATGTTAGTGAGCTTTTCCTGATAAGGCGCAGGGCTAGGCCGCTCACATTCGTGTTCAGGACCCCGAGTAGGAGCTCAGAAACCACGCCAACCTAATGTCTTGGAGTCAGAGTCTGCGAAACCTTCTGACGGTAGGCTGGAGAACGCACTGGGTTGGTACTGGCGTACAGCTTGTCCATGAACCCTTGGTCCCACGTGTTGACACTATACTTGAGAACATCCTTGATGGCAGCGAGCAACCCCTGTTCGCCACGCCCTTCTCCTTCTGGCAGACACAGGGCCAATTCTCGAGCCAGATCCACGGGTTTTCGGGCGTTGACGAGCGCGTTTTGGGCAAGTCCCTGGGCGTTCGGGAGCAATTCCCCGGCAGCCCTGGATTCCACCGCCTCGTCGGCTGCCCGGATGAAGGGGATAAGAAGAGCTTTGACGGCATCGATGAGCTTCCTTCATGTCAGCCTTGCCCATGGTAATATACACGGGTTTACTTACATGTTCGACCTCGTCCGCCCTGTTCAGGGGCTTTGCCCCATGTGAGCCGTTCATCTCGACAGGAAGGGACACCGTTAAGCTTCGACGTCGACAACAGGGTTCGGGTTGCGGAAGTAGCAATCCCCAGACCGGAGTCAGAGTCAATTTTTTTCACGGCTCCGGTTCGGCCGGCACCGGTCCCCCACGCCCCCACATCTCGGCTCGGTCTACCGACGGTTTGGCCACATCCGTAACAAACGAAACAGCCGAAACAGGGGTGAAATGCCGCGAACCAGAGGGTCGTGGGGCTCGAGGTCTACTGCTTGTGATGACTGTCTTCGGATCATCAACGGTACGGAGAGCCTATGGTTTCTCCAATGACAAAATGGCAGGTTCCTGTTCAGCTAGAAGCCGGGCTAGAGGTGTGGCCCTAGCATGGTAACCGTGCCTGGCGCGCGTCAAGCATTTACTCCTTGGCTGGTTTGCGACCCAGCTTCTCCAAAGCCGCCTGCAACTTCCTACTCCTCTTAGCGTGGGCCGGATGGTCGAGAAAGTACTTAGACAAGGGCGCGTATTTGCCTGGTGGCGGACTTCCCCATGTCTCCAACAGCCACTCTGCGACGAACTCTCTGTTCATAAGCCAACTTTGCGGAAACCAATCTGCCCATGAGCCCCGGTTTGTGACGATACTCCAACCAGGGGAGAAAGGCCAGAATTGCTCGATAGGCGAGTGGGGAACCGGAGGGGCACCGTCCTTGTACTTTTGATGCGGGCGATAGTAGAACGGGAAAACGGTGGCGCGGTCGAAATCGATCAAAACGATGCTGCCGTCAGGCTTAACCATGACATTGCGCGGCGCCAGATCTCTGTGGAGCACCTCGGCATCCCACCAAATGGAGATGTAGGCCTCAAAGGTGTTCTTGAGGACGCGGAGACGAGTTTCCTCGTCGGGCAGCAGGTAGTATTGGACGGCCTTGTTCTCCTTGGCCTTGGGAATCTTGTCGAAGATAGTCTCGCCAGGTACGAGCTCAAGAAGAAGCATGCGCACCCATCGACGGATGCCAGGCTGATCGGTGTCGAGCGAGAAGGTCCAAGCACCGTGGTACTCAGGCACGAGCATCGCGCCCACTCCTTCGACGGGCTGCATGGTTCCATAAGCCCAGGTCTCGATGGCATAGTCGACGTCGGCGAGCGTCATGCAGTCCCACTCAAGCCAAAGACCGTCTTCATCCTGCAACGGGTAGTACACGCCGTCGTATATTTTGGCCAGACAGACGACCTCCTTGTCGCCATCGAAGTAGCCGCTGACCACCTGCGCGCCGCCGGGGTCGAGCCCGGGACGCCTCAGTGTCTTTGTGCCCGTGATGGTGAAGGTGTGCTCCTCACGGCTCGGCGGCTCCGTCTCCAAGGGCGGGTGGTCCAGGGCAAAGTCAACACGGTCGTGATACATTTGTCTTTGGCTGATCGCAACTTTGGCCCGAGGACATGGTCCGTGGCCGCTGCCAAACGGCTTTGGGGGAACGTGGTGTTGAATCCGGAGCTCGACTCCTTCTCGATATGGCGTTGAAAAGGTGCGTGCATGTGTTGTAGTTGACATGATGACCTGGTTTCGCTGGGTTATCGGTCAAAGATAGGTTTGATTGTTTGGTAGGTTGGTAGCCGGCGGATAGATTACGTTGCTTGGGACAGTCCCACGCGTCCTCTCATCCTCGATTCCAAGATTCGTTGTTTTCAAGAAATGGGATTGGAGGAAAAGATGTAATAGAAGAGAAGTATATGAGGAAAGAAGTAACTCTAGGAAAGAGAAAAGAGAATACATGAGTGCACTGGAGGAGAAAAACAAAAGGGAAGAGCCACAAAAAAGGAGGGCATAAAACGTAACGTCTTGCATCTACCTTGTCTACCTTACGGAGGTAGAACCGTAGAGATACACGTGTAGATACATTGACATGGTGGAGACCAGTCGTCATTATTACGATTATTTGATTGGCTGGGGAGCTCACCATTGCTTTTCCGTCATCTGCAGTCACAGACACCCGACCAAGACCGGGACCAAGACACACCAACCCGTCCTTCCTCCTCTCAGCATTCCTTCACCATAGTAGCATTTTCGCCAAAAATCCCGCTCATTTCAGCACCGTTCTTCGGTTTATACGATCTACAAGCCCTAACCTGCGACTCATTGTTTGTCCAGTGACGCCGCGTTCCCAGCCTTGCGACATTTGTTATTAGCTCGCGACAGCAAGATCCCAGCCGCTTTGGCCCATTGACACGGACGCCACCCAGCTTGCTCTCGACGCGCACACTCCCAGTTTGTTGTCGCGCGTCCTCGATTACACACCTGCTTCGTCATCCACAAGCACTCATTCCCACGCGTTTTATTCACCCCGCGCAATTCGACCCCACCTGGATATCGACATTCGTCTGACCGCGGCAGCCGCTCTCGCGGTGCACGCGCCGCCTCACTGACCACTCGACTCCTTCTCCTTCTGCAAAACAACAGTCCAAAATGAAGGCCCCGCACACCCCCTCGGCGTCAGACGCCTCCCAGCCCCCTGTCCCGATATCCATCACCATATGCGGCGACGGCGGCTGCGGTAAGTCGTCCATCACGCTCCGCCTCGTCCGCTCCGCCTGGACCAGCGACTACGACCCGACCATCGAGGACAGCTACAGCGTGACGCGGCGCATTGACGGCATCGTGTACCACCTCAGCCTGACCGACACGGCGGGGCAGGAAGAGTACCGCGGCATGTGGGCGTCGTCCAACCTGGGCGCCGACGCCTTCCTACTCGTCTACGACATCACCTCGCGCGACTCGCTCGACGCGCTCGACTACTTCAACGAATTAATCGACATGGAGGCAGAAACGCGCCTCGACAATGCGGCGCGCGCGCGCAAGGCGGGGCTGACTAACGTCGCGCTGTCCCCCACCATGCCCGATCCCGCTTCCTCCTCCCTCATGATGAACCACCGCGGCGGCGCCGGATCCGGCGCCAAGACCATCCCGCCCGTCAAGATCGTCGCCGGCAATAAGTGCGACCTCCAGGAGAGTCGCCGGGTGCCCGCGGCGGTGGGGCTCGAGTGGGCGCGCAAGCGCGGGTGCGGCTTCATGGAGACGAGCGCCCGGCTCGAGGTCAACATCGAGGAGACTTTTGCGCTGATAGTGCGGCGCGTGGTCGAGGCCAGGCGGCTGGCGCAGATGGGGGTTACCGATGCCGAGCTGGCCGCGAGTAGCCGCGGAATGACCAAGCCGCTTACGCCGCTGCCGCCGCCGGGGGAGGACGAGGATAATGAGAAGCAGGGGCGCGGGCCTGGGATCAGGGGTCCGAATATCAAGGGGGATCGCGTCGGGAAGGGGGATGGCGGGTTCTGGAAGAAATTGCGATGCTGGTAGGACCGGGCGCGGCACGGGTGTGGGAAAGTTGCGAAGGCTATCAAGATTGGGAAGGTTGCTTGTTGATGGTTGGCTGGGAGTTGGGAGACATGCTTTTGGGATGGAACCAGGGCGAGCGTGATACCACGGATGGTTGGGTTTATTGGTGGACATGACACCCACGTGTCTTTCTTCATTGCTGGATTTGCTCTCGGCTGGGTGATTCGGTGTAGGGATACCTCGGGCGTTGTTGGACTTGTTACAAGGGACAGCGGGATACCATGAACTAGTAGATCGTCTGAAGCGAGCTCTTGTGTGTTCTGTTGTCTTATGTGTTACTGCTACCGAGCACTTGCGACGTGGGAAGCCATTCTCATGCGGTCGATTACTGAATTCTTCTTAAGCAGAGATACCTGTTGTACGGCTCTGTTGTCGTTATTATGGCATGTCTAAATCATGCAACTGTGTGGATTGTCGTCTTCCGAAACGAAGTTGAAGCCAAGAGACCTTCCAAACCCCATGATCGTGCCTCGAAATGGGAGCGCGTAGTGCGCAAGCCAAAACATCGGCGTAAGAATCACCACCACACCTCCTTGGTAGCATCCATTTTCCCAAAGCCCAGTCCAAAACCTAACCAGACCCTTCCCAACGCCCTACCCATGCCATTATCTGATAATCCATGGACCCCTTCACTCCCCTGTGGCGCCATCTCCCGTTTGACCCCTCTAATTTGGTCTAACCCGTCTAACCCCTAGGTCCCCTACTACATCCCTCAGGTAGGTAGCTCACTTGCCCTTTCCCTCCACCCACTCCCGCCACCTCCTAAAGTCGGCATACGCCATCTTCTCCTTCTTCCCCTGATACCGCACCACATCCAGCTCAACATCGGTCCACTTCTCCTTCCGGCCAACCCACCCCGCTTTCCGCATCAGACTCACCACCGTCTCCTCCTTAGTCCACCCCTGCTCGACCGGGACATCGGGGAGGTAGGTTGCGCCGTACCGCTTGCCGTGATAGTAAAATGAGATGCGCAGGCCGTGCGTGCCGAGCTCCCAGTCAAACGCGTCGGCGGCGTCTTCAAAGTCGGTCAGCAGCGTGACGGCGCACTCGAGGACGGGCAGTTCGCGCGGGGTGATGGGGCTGAAGCGCATGTCTTGCAGCGCCGAGATGAGTGCGTACGACGAGAGCCCTTCCTCGAGCGGCTGCGGTTCGAAGGTGCCGATGCAGCCGCGCAGCGAGGCGTGCCCGCCGTGGCGCGGGGACAGCGTGTTCCAGGTTACGAAGAGCGGGGATGAGGTGGGTGGGGTGGGCGGCGAGGAGGGGTCGAGTTCCTCCTCCTCCGAGGTCGCGGGGGTGTCCGGCCCCAGTGAGAGAGTGCTGTCTGAGGCGGAGGAGGAGGCGATGCTGGAGGTGGACGAAACTTCGGTCACGCGGTGGAGGGCAGGCAGGCGCTTGGAGAACTTGGTGTTGCTGGCTGTGGCGCCGTTGTCGTCGGCCGCGGCTTCGGTTCCGGTTGAGCGAATGTACTGGGCCCAGGACTTCTGCACCTCGGCTAGCGACATGGGCTTGCGGTCCTCGAGGTGGGCGGCTAGAACCTCGAAGCAGAACAGGCAGTGTTCTGCAGTCGCCATAGTGATGGTAGGTTGGCTTGGCCGTGCCGCTGATGAACCTGGTCTGGGTCTTGGGCCTTTTGGCTCTCACGCGTGAAGTTGGGGAATCAAGTAAATGATGGATGTGGTCTCCAAGAACCAGAAGAAGCAAAGGGAACGACACGACTCAAGCCAGCCCGATATGTTTGTCGGCGACGAGGGAGAGAGATCAGGCGGGGCAGGAAGAAGAGGGGCAGTGGACAAGTCGGGATTGTCGGGTTGAACGGGCCAAGCTAGTGGGGCATGGCAGGGCGGAGCTGGAAGCCCGGCCTCCATCAAGGCGATGCGGGGCAGCTCGACATGGTCGTGGTGATTCCAGACGGGAGTCCAGACCAGTCCATTCACTCGCCCCAACGATAGACATCCAGCTACAAGCTGAGCCCCACCTCTCGCCTGAAGGACCCCTCCAGCTGAGGCTTTCTGAGGCGCGCACCCGACTTCCACAGAAAGTTCAAGTCGCAATGTAGACTAGTACACAGCCATGCGGACTGAGCCCATTGGAGACGGAGACATTATCATCTCTTCTTGAAGAGAAGCTGTTTCCGATTGCTGAGTATGGAGTTCTACTACAAGCAGAGCCTTTATTCTCCGATTGGTTCGATCCACACCCAGTTCAATATTTTCTGCAAACGGAGCAGGATGCGTTGTGTTTAATCTTTGAGGTGTGACGGCAGTTGAACAGTCGGCGCCAGCTGGAGGACTGCCTATGAACCAGCTGATCGTTTCAGCTTTTAGCCGCGTCCAAGGGACAACACACAAGCATCCTGGCACCACACCCTCAGGAACTTGTACAAGCTTTAGCTTTCTGGGCACCAGGATCCTGCGACACGGAAGGCTAGACTCCATCCTGATTTCTCAAACATACCAAGACCCGGATTCGACGCCTTCCGGCCGCCTCCTCCTCCCCACGAGCGGCTCTCCCCGATGCGACACACAAGACGGACACGCTGCCGGTTTCATCCCCCCGTCTTGAAAAGCTTCGCTCCGCTTGTTGGCCCACCCATGGACTTCTCCAGACTTCCCGCCCGATGGTTACGCTTGTTTTAGCTTCGCCGCCCACGGCACGGTGGCATTGGCCCGCGCAGGAATTCAAGCTTAACGGCCTGCTCAGTACACATCAGCTGACGTGTACAGTATTTTACATGGGACCAGAGCTGCATATGCTGGAAGCTCAAGTACTGCGTTCCAGCGTCTCAGATGGGCATCGCTTCGAGTTGAAGTTCCAGTCCCTGCGCTCCAAAATTCGTGGGGTTTTGGCGACTGGAGACGCCCCAAGTTTGGACGGTCTGGTCGGTTCCAACAGGTGCTTTGGTGAGGTGGCAGGGCTGGGCAGTTCTTGGTGTGCGTTCCTGAAACGCATCTTGTCTATCAAGCGCTGCGGATCCTAATCTTCGGGTTGCCGCTCGAAGCATACTAATACTCAATGCCTCCTGACTTGGTTTCTTCCCGTCTTCTATCCCTCTGCACGTCCATCACCACTCGCTTCCCACCACTTACTTTCCTTCCCATCTTTTCTGTTCATCCCCTTCCGTCCGCAATCTGCTCGTCGCCGGCCGACACATTCGCTTTCTTCATCCCTCTCTCGAATTACCAGCAATACGCCTTTTAATCAGTCAATATGAAGTTCATCGTTGCTACTCTCTTGGCTTTTGCCACCATGGCCCTTGCCTACCCGGCGGTGGACAACAATGGTTGGTGACATTGTCACTATCTCTCAGTTAAACGTCCTAATACTGATATGCTTCTCGCAGCGCCCGTCCGGCGCCAGAACATCGCCGCCGAGGTCGACGCCCAAGTCCCTTCCATGTCGGACGGGAATGGCAATGTCATCCCGTTTGATTCCACCAAAGTCAAAGCCGCCGCTGCCAACAAGGCTTGAGCGGCCAGGTCACATCCGGCAGAGATAGTGCATTAAGACGCTTCGGCAATGCGCCCACAGATCATCATCAACGTCAACTAATAGGTGATTTGCTATTAACGATGGCGGCGTTCGAACTATTACGATAATCATGTCTACCCTCGCCCAAGAACCGACCAGCACAAGCGAGAGCGAGGAAGACTTCTAGACTGCGACATGCTTTGAGGCGATGCAGCATGAGTGCGTGATCCAATAAGATTGGAACTGGTGTAAGCGACTGGAAATTGTTCAGCGGCAAGATCAATCTATTTTTTCATTTTCGAAGTTTGTCGTGGTTCTGTATGGTCGCTTCTTCATGTGTTGAATATGAATTCCTGATATACCCTAACCCTCGCTTCTGGGTTCCTCGAACCAACGCTGACCTGGAAGATCTCCACATCCGCCAACTCTGTCAGCTTGCACCCTGTTCATCAATCCAGACTTGAGTCTTATCAATGTCATGATCCCCTCCGCATCCCAAAACACCCGACGATTGCATTTCGTCTCGGCTCAGATCGCGGAGAAAGCCCAATTGGAAGCTCGGCGCGAGGCGCAACAAACAGCCGACCACGGCCCCAAGCCTCTTTTGCTGTGGCAGCTGCATGTTGGTGGGGTTATTGGCGAGCTGAGCCCTAGCTTCCTCCTTTGGGGTGTTGGCACCGCCATCATGGAAGTAGCTGAAAGGAGTCTCCGGGGGCCGCGGCTGGATAAGGCGCCCCCCGCCTCGGTTAGCGCCAATCCTTCCCCGCGAGCGGCGCGAGGTTTAAAGCAGACGAGTGTCCCGAATTCTGGCCTACCCTACCCTGGCCTCTTCGCGAATTGATGACCCCGGCCGTCCCTTTCACCTCCCGCAGTGAGATCCGTGCCGCGTTAAGCGCGCCGACGGCACGGCCGAGTCGTTGTGTTCGGATGAGCTTGGAAGAGACTTGCGCCGCCCCCGGTTAATCAAAACAAGGACATGTCGCTCGATCTCGACCAAGTGCTGTATGCGCGCGCGGGATGGCGCAAGGCGGTGCTGATCCCGCTCTGGGTGTTCCAAGTCGCCGTGCTGCTGTGTCTGATGGGCATCTTTGCCTACCGCTTGGCCGAGACGTTTGAGCACTATGAGGAACTCGACAAGCTGGGCGAGGTGCCCATTGTCGAGGTTGTGTAGGCCACCACCTTGGTATTTTCAGTTTGCTTGCGCCATTGCTGACTCCGTCCGCAGCTGGGAGGGCACCAACGTGCTCTTCAACCTCGTCGCGCTGATCCTCACCATCCTCGAGGTCGCCCGCAAGGCCACCGAGCGGCTGACCCCGTTCTTCATGGTCTGCAGCCAGGTCGTGAAGCTGACCCTCGCCCTGGCTGTGCTGGCTCTCGACATCGTCGCCTACCTCCGGCGCATGGACGGCCACTACTCGACCATCGGCCTGTCTCTTGACTGCGGGTTACTGTGCGTCTCTCTGCACCCCCCAGACCTTACCTGACTGACTGTGTCTACGGCTGTCGTCCAGCGCGGCAACCCTGGCCACATTCGCCTACGCCCTCGTCACCTACCGCCGCCTTCTCAAATACGAGGACTACCACCTGACCGCCAACGCAAAAGCCCAGGGCGGCTATGTCCCAGGCGGCGGCGAGTCCGTCGAGCTGGGCTACAACAATAGAGCCAGCTACTACGCCCACAACTACCCGAGGAGCGAGGAAACCCAGCAGGGCATCATCTACTCCGACACCTCCTACCGTTCTCAAACACAAACCCGACCCTACTCGGAATCGTACAAGTATCCGCAAGTTCAAGTCCAACCCTACCCCGAATTTACTACCGGTACCTCCGCCCCCGAAAGCCACCATCACCAGCACCCGGCCCTAGCACCGTCCTCGTCAACAGCGGAGCTGAAGAAGCAGGTCGACCAGGCGATAAGCTATGAATTCGGCTGGAGCAGCAGTCCCGGTTCCAGTCCCAATGGTACTGCTACCGGCAACAATGGCACGACAACGACGGCGGCAGCAGACCACGTGAACCGGTCCGGCAGCGTGGTGCTGGGCAGTGGGACGGTGCCGGTGCGGCATGGCATGGTGGCGAGGCCTGCGTTGGGGGTTGCGAGGCAGCAGAGTTGGTATGTATTTTTCCTTTGTTCTCTGTTCTTTTCTTGTCCATTTGTTAAGGCCCTTAAACTCTGGTCACGGCGTGGCTCGGCTTGACTGACGTTGGATTCGATTCGATGTAGGGTTACGGAAAGGGGTGTGATTGCGGAGCCGGACGAGGAGGAGGAGGGGGGGCCGGTATTGGGGAGGGGAGCTTTTGGGCATGGGCATGGGCAGGGAGGCGGGAGGATAGAGGAGGATACGGAGATGCTATTGTCGCCGACGAGTAAGTGAGGCGCTTGGTGGGGGACGATTGAGGTTGCTTATGATACAGTAGGTTTGATGGGATGGAGTTTGGAATTTTGTGTTCTCTTCAGGGGTGGGACGGTATTGCTGGATATGCTATGGCATGTGTATGTTGTGTATATATGATGGGTTATAACTGACGAAACGAAGACGATGTTAAATGTAAAAATCAGAGACATTCACCCCCCTCGCTTCCTTCCCCCTGAACTATCCTTGCATACCCCTCCTCCATCCCACCTCACCTCACCTTAACCCCTCTTTCCCTAATAGCAGGTAATGCACCCCCTTTAGACAACAAAGCTGAGCAACCAAGGTGAGTAACTACCTCACCTTCCACCGAACCCGCCCAACCCACGCAGCAAACGCCCGCACCTCGTCCGCCTCCAACAATCTCTCCACCGTAAAATACTCCCTCGCCAACTCCTCGTGGCCCCTGAAGCGGTGCACAAACCGATGACACGCCCCGCACAGCCACGCAACGTTCTGCAGCTCGTCCTCGCGGTGCCAGCCGCGCTTGACCGCTTTCGCGTGCACCATGCGCGGGATCAGGTGGTGGTACGTCAGATTGATCCAGTCGCGGCCGCAGATCTCGCAGGCCGTTACCTTGCCCCTCGTGGAGGATGGCGGTGGCGGCGGGGTGGTGGCTGTCGTGACGTATGACGACAAGACCGGGGCGAGGAACTCGGCTGGCGTGGGTAAGTTGGAGGGGGCTGGGGGGTTGGAGGTGATGCCGTAGGCTGTGAGGGAGTCTGGGATGGACGGGTCGAGGGTTTGGAGGAGATGGGAGGTGAAGTCTGGAGTGAGCGGGAGGGGGTAGAGGGATTCTAGGGATGGGTCGTCGGTCCAGGTGTAGTGGGTTAGGGATTGCAGGGCCGGGGGCAGGGTCTGGAAGATTGCGGTGGCGATGTAGCTGGTGAAGTCGGCCAGGTCGTCGGCTGTAAGTTCAGTGTCGTCTGACGAGGCGGTCGAGGGCGGGGAAGGAGACTTTCTGGAGCGTCGTTTGGGTTTGGGCTTGGGTTTAGAAAAAGGGCCGGTCATGCGCTCGATGAGGAAAGATGAGAGAACGTCACGGAATTGTTCGTAATTGGTAGTGTGCTCTGGGGGGATCTCGTCGGACATGGTGGGTTTTTGTATTAATGTGATTGGGTTAAGTGCCGGATGAAACTGAGGAGAGTAGTATGATGTCAGGAGAAAGTTCGTCTTTCCATCTTATATTTTTCTGACCCCCATTCCGCGCCCTTCCCAAACAATCCATTTTCCGTCTCGGCCCCGGCCCCGCACCGCCTGGGCACCGCCCGATTGGATCCGGCATCAAACACCGGGCTCCGGCCGTCAGCCGGTCAACTTCACCCCCCTGCAAACTCCGGGACTGAGTCACTCACCGGCGAGACACCACCAAACACCAAACAACAACAATAACAACAACAACAGGACTAGCCTCAACGACACCCTTTGCCAATTGACTCAACCCACGCCAGTCTCGTCATTCGCTAGTTAGCACGCGAAATCGCTTGAGCATAGGGGACGCTCCACAACGCTACCGACTCGCATTGTCTGAAAACAAACATGCTCAGTTTGTTTACTTGTTTACTCAGTCTGTTTACTGGTGCCAGACTACTGATGTACTACAGTAATGTGTTCACGAAGCTAGCGCTTAGAGGCCCCTCCCTGGGAATACCGTAAGGTACTTGACCCTCTTACACCAGACCAGCCAAACGCCATCCCCCAAGCCCGAGTATCTCTCTCGCCCCGTAACTCATCAAATAATCGCATTCCGAACCACACCATCCACCCCTTCCTCACTCAGGCGGCGCATCCTCCGGACTCCTCCCATTTCGATACTGCCAAAGCCGACTCAGCTCCTTCACCTTAACCTTGACCCCCTCTCCCTTCTCCCTCCCAGCAGCCTCCCGATTCCCCAACACCCCCTTCCTTTCCAAAACAGGACTCACCCCAAGCACCTCCACCCCCGCCGCCACCTCCTCCTCACCATCCTCTTCTCCCTCCCCATTCCCAACGCCAACCAAAACTTCACTCTCCATAAACTCATTCCCCTCCTCCCCCGCACCCCACGGCACACCCATCTTTCCATCCCTGACCAATTCACCGGTAACCGGATCCCGCCTGAGCGGGAACATGCCGTCCAGATAGTGCTGCACCATCTGGTGCCCGCCTCGCAGACTCGTCCGCGCAAACACGCGGCCGATGAAGCGCGGGATGAAGAGCGGCGAGGGGGTCAGCGACGTGGCGAAGTGCAGCACGCCCCAGAGCGCGACAAAGTCGGTCGTGTGTGCGTAGTGCTCGATGTGGCCTATCGCCCGGTCTGAGAAGTCCGATGGGTGAGGGGTGGCGGTGGAGCTTGTTAGAAGGGGGGCGGGTGTGGTGGCGGTGTTGTTGCCGCGGTGGGTTGTGATGGGGGATTGGTTCTCGTTGTTGCGTGGTGGCTGCGCGTCGGATGGGCGGGAAGAGGACTCGAAACTGGAGTTGGGACTGGAATATGGCTGGGGCTTGCGGAGGCCGGGGACAGGGCTGTGGTGAGCATGGTTGGGATCGAGTTGGGTTGAGTCTACTGAGGCGGCAAGGGGGTTGCGCTTGGCTAGGGTCTGGGAGCGGACATGGCGGTGCGGATTGTTGAAATGGTTGGCTGCGTTTCCAAAAGTGTAGACTTCGAGTTTGCCGAGGATGTCCTGCGGGAGTTCTTGAAGCAGCCAGTCCAGGATCAGGCTGCCTTGGATACCGCCCTGCGAGTGGAGGATGAATATGACTTTGGAGTACTGCGGGTTATATAGCTTTTGCTTGATGATCGAATAACAAACCCGCACGTCTTTCGTGGCGTAGCCCCAGTTGCGCTGGAGAAGGCATTCCAAAACGTCGAACAAGATGCCGGCGCTGGTCACGGTGAGTACAGGCCGAGGGGCTATTCGAGCTGTGTGGTGTCTCACGTCTTGTTGTGGATGCCCAAGACTGGGCGCTTGAAGGTGACAGCAAGACGGTTGAGGTTGCCTTGCATCCAGTGTGCCCTGACCACAGTCAGTCTCCTGCAACTGCGGATCGTGGTGCACCCAACGACTCACCCGGCCGCGACCCCATTGATAAAAATCCATTGCTCATGTGCATGTTCCGGGAGCGCTGGCGCGTACTTGGGATCCGAGTGATACTCGACGCCTTCGCCGTTCAACAGCATGCACAGCGCCTTGTTCAACAGCAAAAAGGCGGCCACGGTCATGGCTGCTGCCCAGACCGGAAGCATCACCAGACACGGAAGTGCCAGAATGCCGGCCAGCTGCACGGCGCACAGCACAACATGGATGGCGATGCACCAGACATTGCTCAGTGTCGGTGAGAGCTCACTCAACTCGCCCGAGTCGGCGGGAGAGAGCGGCCACAAGATGTAGGGGATGGCCCAGAAGAACTTAAAGAAATAGTAGATGTCCCACGCCATGAGCTTCCACGGCATGTCGGTGTAGCCATAGTTGATGACGGTCCCCCCCCCTATCTGCGATCCAAAGAATTGCGTGCTGTTGTCAGAGTTGGCCTTGCTTGGCCGTGTGGCGAGCGGCGGTGGTTGAGCCATTGTGGTTGTGTGTAAGCGCGGATTCTGAGCAAACGAGAACGGTCCATTGGTACTGCAGGTTCGGTCGAGAAGCCGGCATTTTATTTAAAGCTCTGTCCCCAGATCAGATCGACGGCTTGGAATGTCACTTTGACCCTGCTCACATGGCGGGCTGGAGTGTCAGCAGGATGGCTGAGGGCTTGGCAGTTGTGTGACAGCATCAAGTCGTTGCAAATGACCATGTCGATTGCGCCCACAGGGCTGAATGACGCTAACTGCAACTACTGCTGGCTGCACTAAATAGCGGGTGTCCCGGTAGTGGCAGGAGCATCCATCCGATCGGGATAAATCTGGGGACGGGAGTAGAGTGGCAGTCACAGCCCGCATCCAGCACTTGTAGTTCCATGAGGTCATTTCAAGGTCACTTCCGAATCGATTGCAACCTACGGTAGCAGCTTATTGTTTGTTCTCCAATAAAACATGCCCTCTCTGAGTGCGACGATATTACTTCAGTCTGATTGCGGAATCAGTCGTAAAGTCGTAGAAGGCGTCCTGTCACCATGAAAATCAGGGTCTCATAAAAATCTTCTTTGACAGCAAAGGCGCCCTGGTGACGGTTAGGACTTTGAGAGGTTGCGCTGACTTTCAAAACAGCTAGGAATCTCGAGAGGGAAGTGGAGTTGTGTGTATCCGTATTATATTATACAACTACCGACCAGGGTTAGGTCTCGATAAGATAACATTTCCTACTGTAACTTTTTTGCAGCTCCGACCATTGAACCTTTGATTCTCGCCAAATGGACCACCGACAGGGAGCATCATGGGCAAAAGCAGAAAATCCAAGCGGCAGCTTATCCGCGACGAAAAGCGAGCCAAAAAGCGCGGACGGGAGCTCGCCGAGGACGAAGAGCGCAGCGCAAAACGCCAGCGACACGACGACGACGACAACTCCTTCTACACCTTAGACCCCAATGCCGACTTCATCGCGCTCGATGACGACGAACAGACCCAAGATGTCCCCCTTCAGCACGACCGTGGCGGCAACTTTGAACGCGAGTTCTTTGGCATGCTCGCCGACGAGGAACAAGAGTACTTCCGCCACGCCGACGAGTTGCTTGAGCTGAACGACTTCCCCTCCCCCGAGGAGCGCCACATCTTTCTGCAGAACGTCTACCGCGAGGCCCGCGGCAAGGAGCTCAAGCTCGCCAGCAGCCAGTCGTGCTCGCGCCTTATGGAGAGGCTGATCCTGCTGTCGAACGCCCGGCAGAAGAAGCGTCTGTTTGGCGCCTTTGCCGGTCACTTCATGACCCTCGTCACCCATAGGTTTGCGAGCCACTGCTGCGAGAAGCTGTTCTTGATGAGCGCCCCGGTCGTGACCCAGGAGCTGAGCGGGGAGGCCGACAATGACATGGAGATGGGCGAGGAGGACGGGGACGAGCCGGAGGAGGTCACCGAGGCCATGAAGACGTCAATGGAGGATTTGTTCCTGTTGACGCTGGACGAGCTGGAGGAGCACCTCTCTTTTTTGCTGTCAGACCGCTTTGGTTCGCATGCGCTGAGGGTGCTGCTCGTAGTGCTCTCGGGACGGCCACTTGACCAGGCTGGGACCAAATCGCTGCTACAGGGCAAGAACAAGGAGTACATCACGGTCGAAGGCGCCTCGGCCATTACGAGCGGGCTCAACTCGCAAACGAGGACGGTACCATCGTCGTTCTCCATAGCGATACAAAAGATCATTGGCGACTCTACCGCCAGCTTGGACTCCACTGCGCTGCGGGTGCTCGCAAAACACCCTACTGGCAACCCAACCCTGCAACTGCTGTTGGAGCTCGAGCTCTCCTTGATCGTGAAGTCGAAGAAGGGCGCCCAATCAAATAAGGAAGATAGTGGCAAAGCGGTCGAGGGCGAGTCAAATATTGTAACGCTGCTCGAGAAGCTTGTCCCTGATGCTCCTGCTTCATTCAGCGACGAAAAGTCACAGGCTTGCGAGTTCGTCAACGGCATGCTTTACGACCCGATAGGTTCTCGCCTCCTCGAGACCTTGATTGCCCACTGCCCCGGCAAGATCTTCAAGGGTCTGCACGCCAATATCTTTGGCCCGCGGATCCAGAGCCTTCTGCGGAATGATATTGCCTCGTACCCAGCCATCAAAGTACTTAACCGACTAAGCAAGGAGGACCTTGTCGACGCCGTGCAGAAATCCCTCCCCGAGATCCCATCCTTTGTCGAGAAGGGCCGCTTCAACGTCATTAAGACCTTTTTCGAGCGCTGCAACGTGCGGGCTGCCACCGCCGAGCTTGGCACTCTGCTCCAAGCCCTCACAAGAGCATGCGGCGGCACCTGGAAGCACCTCATCCCCAGGCTCTGCCTCCTCGACGAGCCCGAGCAGCCCGAGCCCGAAACCAAAGACAAGAGATTCCAGCCGCCCGACGCCAAGAATATGACGGCCCTCGTCTCCCACGGCAGCCAAGTCGCCTCGACCCTCCTCAGCATCCCCGGCCAGCCCTCCAAAGCAATCCAAAATTCGCTCCTCTCGCTCTCACCAGACCAGCTCCGTCGTCTAGCCACCTCTTCCGCCCCGACGTCCTTTATCTTCGCAAAAGCCCTCACCGTCCCGCCACAGCTCCCTCACTTCCACAAACTCCTCGTCGCCGCCATGCAGCCGCACATCTACGATATGGCCGTCTCCCAGCACGGCAACGCCATCGTTACGGCCATCATCGCGACGCCCTCAAAGGCCCCACACGACGACAACGGCAGCAGCAGTACGCCTACCACGCATGTAGTAGTGCCGTTCCATCTGAAGGAGAACATCATGTCCCAGCTGGAGCGCCGCGAGAGCGATTTGCGGGCGTCGTGGCTGGGCAGGAATGTGTGGCGCGCGTGGAAGGGCGATCTGTGGTGTCACCGGCGGCAGGAGTGGGTGCGGTGGGCCAAGGAGAGGGATCCTGAGGGAGAGCGGGTTGCGGGGATGCCGAAAGCGAGGGTTGTTGTCGACCAGGAAATGGTGGAGGGCGGGAAGAAAGGAGTTGGTGGGAACAAGATTGATCGGAAGCATGCCGGGAGTGGGAGGGAAGGAGGGAAGCATGGTGGGAAGGTGGTGAGTGGTAAGGGGGCGGTGAGTGCTGTTCTGGCTGTGCGAGATGTTGAGGATCTGGGGGCGGGGAGGAAGGAGGGGAAGGTAAAGGAGGTGGAGGAGAAGAAGGCGGTGGATGGGAGGAAGCAGAGGGATGAAGAAAGGGAGGTGAAGGAAAAGAAAGAGGGGAAGGAAAAGAAAGAGGGGAAGGGAAAAAAAGAGGGGAAGGGAAAAAAAGAGGGGAAGGAAAAGAAAGAGGGGAAGGAAAAGAAGGAGAAGAAAGAGAAGGAGAGAAAGAACAAGGAGGACTGGAAGGAGAAAAGCGAAAAGAAGGAGAAGGAGGACAAGGGGAGGAGTGCCTCCAATGGTGAGAGTGATGACGGGAAAGTGAAAGAGAAGAGGAATGAGGACAAGTCAAAGGCGAGAGTTGTCGAAGTCGCTGCTTAGCCTCCTCGTTCTGTAGAAGCGGTTGATGGAGCAACGGCATGATACCCGAAAGAGCGCGTCCTGGAGAACAAGAATACTCAACAGTCTTGACCCTAGACTTGCACATGTGGGCGTGGCATGCATGGTATGTATTCCGGGTACCTTAAGCAGCCTGTGCTGCCACATAGAGAGCCTTTGACTGACGGGCCGCAGGAAGGATAACCGGGCCCTTTGACCTTAGCTGCTAGCAGTGTAACTGTACATTCTGCTGCAGGGAGCCGCAGAGGTCTCTTTGCCATGTTGGCTCTGAATATAAAGCTCTGCTTCTGTGACCTCTCTTGTAAGGGACTCGCAGCCAGCCACAACGCCGGACCTTGAGCGAAGTATCCTTCATACTGACCTGCGTTTTTTCACACTGAAGACAAGTTTCTGGATTCTTTGTGGGCGGTGTCCATTTAGTGCTATTAGTGTAAAGAACTATGACAATGTCTCGCTTTGCCCCAGAGTAACAGGCTCTGGAGAGCTTTGATAGACCAGTGCATATATATAGACGTCCCGGGAGGCAGGTGAGCAGGCAGCCCATCAGTGCTTCGAACACTGACCTGCCTCCCTCTTCAGCAAAGCCTCCGGACCTTTCTGGTCTCTCCCGGGACACTCGAAAAACCAAGCCAGACCCGAACCACATCTTCACTTGAGTTCTCGGCCTCGTAGACCTGGTGTCACACCCGATTCGAACTCCCACAAGCAGTACCTACTTCTGCTGATTAGTATCCTCACAACTACTCTTGTCAGGCTGCATTTCTCAATTGTATCTCCTTCCCCAAACAGAAGACCCGACGTCTGCGTCTCGACGTGGGAAGACGAAACGCAAGACGAACTACAAACCCAACCCAGCCCAACTATTTCATTCCGCAAAACTCATTGCACCACACCACACCACACCACACCACGCCACGCCACGCCACAAAAGCTCCCCGTCGAGCCGTCTCCATATCCACAGAAAAGAACAATGCCCCGATCGGGATACGACACGAGTGGTTTCCAGAGAAGCTGGTCAAACCACAGCACACAAGATCCCCCTGCTCCTCCTCCTCCACGTTCTGAAGCAGGAGGAACTAGGTTGAGGGGAAGGGGTAAGAAGGAAAGGGTCAGAGGAAGAGGAAGTGGAAGTGGAAGTGGAAGTGGAAGTGGAAGTGGAAGTGGAAGTGGAAGTGGAAGTGGAAGTGGAAGTGGAAGTGGAAGTGGAAGTGGGAGTGGGAGTGGGAGTGGGAGTGGGAGTGGGAGTGAGAGGGATGGTAAGGTGGGTAGTCTGAGAGAGAGGGATGAAGGGCAAGGGAAAGAAATGAAAGACGGGCCTGGGCTTGGGATGTGTCAAACAGGAACACGAGTACAAACATGAAAACGGCCGGCCGGGCCAGGGCGGCCTCAGGGGTAAATGCTCTCTTTCGGTATTCGTTCTGTTCTGATAGCTTTCTTGAGACCTGGACTGACTCTTATGGTTGGGGATCTTGGAAAGACTCTTGCTGATCAGGACGGAGTGCATGGAATCGAGCATGGGTCGCGGATGATATTGCTGTCTTCTTATATAGGACCAGAACTAGCGATGCCTTTTGAGAAAACGCAACATGAAGGATGTGGGTTGGGGTTGCTAAGAGGGACCAAATGGAACAAGGACTTCATTGGATGTCAATTGTGGAAGTGTTGCTTAGTCGTTCATCTCACAACCCGTCGGCAGGGCTGGTGAGAAGGGAACCGTGAATCTGATTTGTCAGATATAAGTCTTGGTCAGAGTCTGACGGAGAAGGGTAAAGGGAATGGGCAGTGGTGATGTTTTCTCGACTTAACCCTTGGAGGAGGGAGGAGAAAAGGGGTCAGAGAGATGTACAAGGTATATGTCACCAGGACGCGAGAAACTTTCAGCTTGGACTTCAGTTACATAGAGAATAACATGACTGAAGGCAAAGAACAAACTGCTGGCAATGAGAGTCATGACAACACCATTCCTCCAGACCAAATTTGCCTGGGCAATTCTGAGAGCCGGTGTTCGTGACGTCTTCCACGCAATGAGTCACCACAATGTGGTGATATCATGAGTGGGCGTGGCGGGCTGTCTCACGGGCTCTTCGCTAAGCACCGTGAGACACTTTATAACCCCTTGGCAACACCTTTGATCCTGTCACAACAGACTCTACTCTCTCCCGTCCAGATCAAATTCGACTTCATGAATACTGCATAAGAAATCATTACTCCATTGAATTTTCCACTACAAATGCCATTGAACGCCTCGCTGAACACCCACCCAGCGACCGAGTTGAGCAAGATACATACCTTCCTTTCCTTGAACTCCTTTTCCCGTATTCCTTATCCCTGATGTCAGTCTATGTTCCATGTTCTTTCTCAAACCTTACACCTTGACGCCCAATGGCTGGAGACCATCCCCATCGAGATTCACCCAATCGGCCCAGGGCTCGTTGGGCGGAGTGGCAGTGACTGCTCTACTCGCTTCGGTGGAAGCATGCACGAGACCCGCGGAAGGAAGAATGGCAGGATCGACCAAGGTTTGCGATTCTGGTGCTACTGCCGGCAACGCAGTAGTGGTGGCGGACGTGGTCTCGACAGGAAACTCGAACTGCTGCAGCGCGGAGGAGATGGAGAGGTTCCTGCCGTGCCAAGCCGCGCCAGTTGTCGGCGGCAGACCCTCGCTGCTAAGCCAGGATGGACTACCTGTTGCTAATGCTGAGAAGTCAACTGGAAGGAAGGACGTGGACGGTGCCGATGCTGTCCTACTGGCGCCATAGAGATATTCTCCCTGGGCGTCGACGCTGTCGTCCAAAAGATAGCCGGTACCTGCGCTGGGGTCTCCGAGAGTGATGCCCAGGTCCACCGTCGCCTGCTGCGCCGGAGCACTCCCCCTCCTCGACCTCGACTCCAATATTAGGGGAGACATGGAGCCGGACTTTTCTGTCTTCACTGGCTGGAGGGGGTATGACGTAGGCGGAGTGAGCATAGGCGACCCCTGAGCTGCCTGTGCCGACAGATCCTGCGAGTACCGGGCAACGAATCCCGGGTGCGGCTGAAGCTGCTGGGGATAGCTGTGACGGTGTATCTGCGGGGCCGCGTTGTGTCTGGACGAAAGCTGCACGTTGGGAAAGTGCTTCTTGAACAACGCATCGACCTCAGCATAGCGGTCTTCGCGGCTTGGCATGTAGGAGTCGGAGAGGGTGCTACTGGTGGTGGACATGCTGAAGCGGCGGGTGGCGTGGTCGTCCTCCTCGCTCTCGTATTGTTCGTCGCCCATGACAGCCTGGCGGGTGATCTTGAGACCCCTCCCTGTCCGCTTCCTGCGACACTCGGACGCTTTCATGGCGGATCTGATGCGGTGTTCGATGTCACGGTCGGCCCGGCGCGAGGCAGCGATGTACGCCCGCTCCTGATTTTCCTCGTGGGTTCGGTGCGTCTGTTCCAAGGGAAAGCTGTCAGTCAGAAGGTCAATGCAATGATGGCGGGAAGGCAGTTCTTACTTTCTTCAACGGTAACTCTGCCACATCGCCAAGATCAGAGGATGGTGAGAGGCGCTTGGTAGGCATTGGTGATAGGTTTGTGGCTAAACGGTCTTTCTGGGTGAAACGATGGGAACGGAGATATGCGGATGGAATTGTCCAGGAATGTCAGAGGCGATGATGACTTCGCTCGGCTCCCGTAACAAAGCACTCGGCCGATAGTTGCGTTTTACTTGTTGGGAGAGGATCAAAGACTTCTCAGATGGTTTGTAGATAGGTGAGACTCGAAATTTTCTGACGATGGGGGAATAGGCAGCAGGTACACTCGCCAGAGATGAGCAGCAAAGGAAAGATTGCTTTTGTAACCGTGTCAGACTGTAGTGTAGTATCAGTTGTAGAGGGCGGAGCAGCTTCCTCGGATCCGACTTTGCAGGTTAGCAGTTACTGCAGCGTTGCAAAGTCTGGAAGGCTGGCCAATTCTGTGCGAGAGATTCGTCAGTTTCTTGTTTTGAGACGGAGGGGTACTGTAGCTCAGGCTATCAAAGATGGGTCCGATCGGTGGGAGGGAGTGTGATTGTGTGTTTGTTTGCGAGATCTCGATCATAGCGTGGGCTATGCGCCTTTACGTCAATTGGCGGGGCCCCCGGAACTGCTTCCTCGCATGCTCTGCTCTCTGCAGTGCTGCCCTTTCAAAGCAAGTGGTCGACTACCCGCAAGCTGCAACTGGCAACCCCGCACTGTCCTTGAGCACCTTCCCGGCTCCTACCGGTAGCTGTTAAGAAACCTCCTCCCTTACCTGGCGACGATTTCTTATCGATTTTTGACACTATTCTCTGTCAATGGGCTTCCCATCCTTACTCAGCTGAGTCGGGCTCGGTTTCCTGGCTCGATGTTGATGAGCGCTGTTGCAGTGTCCAGGTTTTGCCGGGAAAGGTCCGTTTCCTGATCCCTCCACGTTATACCCATGGAGTGGTCGAGCTGTGTCTCCACAGCTCGCAGCACGGCACACTTCGTCGGAGGTGCTCTGTTTTCCCATCATCGGGAATAGGACCGTGTGCCGTCCAACCCAATTGGCCTTGCCCTATCCCGTTCTTCGCGCAGCTCAACCCCTTGTCTCAATTGATCAACCTGATTGGCGACGGCTGCACAAAAGCTGCAGGTGCCAACTGCTTTAGACGATGCTTCTCGTCGTTTCAAATGGTTTAGCCTTCGGCTTCCGGATCTCGTGGCTAGGATCGAATCTATCGGAAAGAGCAGAGACACTGCGCTTGCAGCTCTGACTGGGCCGTGCGAGCGGGGGTGCTGCTTTTGCATGTGCTCGGCACCGAATTCCTCTCTCAACACGGTCTCGCACCAAGGTACTGTAGCTTCAAGGACCGCATACTGTGGAAGACGTGCATGTTACGTCACTCTTACTTGAGGCTTACAGGACAATCTACAATACTACTCGTTCTGGCCCAGTTGAGATGCGCTCCTCGGAATTCCGTCTGGTTCTGTTGGGCTGGTAAATTTATCTGGATAAGGACACACCATTATCCAGGCAAACAAGATCTTGAGCTGGTCCGGAGGTGGTCTCAAGATTGCCGCGTTTCACAAGCCGGGGCCCTCGACAGAGCCGCGTGGCACACGCTAGGCAATGTAACCCGTAATCCAACGGTATGGCTTCGTTTCCCAGCCGGGCGAATCTTCTCGGCCGAGAATCTGCTGGGTAACTGTACAGCTCAAGGACGGCCAGTTGTTTGTAGCTGTACACTACCCTAGGTATTGCGCACAATACACGTACACATGATGTCAAGGCTTCCAGAAGTGCACCGATCTTGAAGTGACGTCACAATTCGAAGTGGAGCTGATGCATGGACCGCCGAACATGACCGGAGCTTTTTGTCCGTATTTGGGCCAGAACACCGCACGCTGTATCTCCACCTGCCCGTTCAGAACCATCCAGCCAACTTCAAGGTTGGGTGCCCCGCTCTGAAACTTGATCAAGGCCAGCAGAGCTCGAACACAAATCAGCCCCTTGTGCTGAGAGCCGCAGTCGACCCCCCTGAGCCGCCATGTCCGATCACACTAGTGTATGTATTGAGCTGAGGATCGTACCAGGAATGCATGACTAGTGTGTGTGCTGTTTCGCAGGGCGCTGACGCCGTTATGTTGACAAGACAGGAGAAAAGGGATTTCCAGAAGAATCCCGTCTCCCCACGCATGGGCATTCTTCAACGCCCATGCATATGCCAAGCGCTTGGCTCGCTCTTGACCCTTACCCGAGACCTTTCCGTTTTGGGTTCGCTCTTACACGCCAAATGTGCCTTCGGAAATCTCAACACCACTTGTCATTGCCAATTGACGCCGAGTCGCCGACAACCTCTCCCATTCATCAGAACAAGTGACCCAGATGAACACGAACGGGGAGGGAGCAAGGTCATGAGGCCCGTTAGGAGACGTGAAACTACCGACGTCCCCAAAGATTCTGGTTAAAGCTCCAGTTGAAGCCCGCGCAGCCAACCGGTACGGTACAACCGGTGTGCGGCAGTTTCGATCAAGACCGGGAAAACCTCAGAACACCCTCCGTCGACAAACAACACCTAAGCCGCCCTTATCCCAGCATCACCGTCTTCAGATCAAACTCACAATCAGCTCAGCGACGCTCACAATACCCCCTCTTACACCCCTCACATATCCTCCCCTCATGCGGCGGTCCGAGTCCATCACCATTAAACTCCGGCCTCTCGACTTCGACACAGACCCGCTTCTTTGTTTGATACACGACCCTATTAACATACGACTTCTCATCAACCCTCAACGTGCCAATGTTTTGGCATGACATGCACCGCTACTTAAACACGACGGCATCGTACCCGTTCTCCTATTATCACCGGATCAGAATACCGATCTTCTTGCTGCCCCATCATTTTCAGGGGCAATTGGCGTTGCGGCACTCGAAGCGGCCCATGACTTACCAACAATGTCAGCCGTAACTCTCCTATTCCCGGCTGTGTCAGGATATTCCCGGGAGAGTCTCTTGAGCAACTGGGCAGTCTCAGGAGCAGGATAACTTCGGAGACAGCCGTGAAGAGGTGTGAACTGTTCACACGTGAAGAAGCCTATAGCTCATGTTGGTTGAGCAGTCCTCAATGTCGTCACGGTCGTTACATCGTGGTCGAGCCACGGCGGGGGAAGGATAAGATCGTGGTTGAGGCCTTTTCAACGTCTTCGTGGAGAGAGGGTAACGTGGCCGTCGCAGCACGGAAGGTCTCTGCTTTCGGCCTGTAGGGTCTCTTGCGGGGCGCCATGCTGAGAGTTCTGTTTTGCAGAGTGTCTCGACTAGTCGAATGTGGGGTTCCTTTGGAGTGATGGAGAGTGTGCTGGGTTGGGTCAAGGCGCGCCGAGCATCAATGGAGATACCACACTCGCCAAGGGCGTTTACTCTCTAGGCTGGCGTCCAACGCATCATGCATACCCGAACCCGACGGGTCAAGGTGCGTGCAAACGGCGACGGCAACTCATCATGGGTAGAAGGCATGCGCCTCTTCGAGAAGCTAGGCTACGTCACTCAGTGGAAGGCGGAGACAACGAGGCGGCTGACCTCAATGTATCGTCTGTCCCGTCCAGTCCTTGGAACGAAACTTGCGGCATCAGCGCTGTCGCTAGAGCCAGTAAATCATGCGGGCGCCACCAGACATTTGTCCACGGTTATGACCCAAGCGTGGGCTGGTTGGGTACTCACCCTGCGGCGAGCAACTACTGCCCCGATGGACTACATGATCAGCACTATCCGCCTCACCTCATCCACAAGGCCCATTTGCTGGATATGCTTGTCGACGCACTCCCAGCAGACATCCTCTGGAGGGAGGACGACGGTAGGCCTTTGCAGCCGGATACTGACTCCCGCGGCGGCAAACCGACCGAGCCAGTTGCCCGCGGCGCGCACGACCGAGATGGCCTGGTCCGTTGGCGGGGTAAGCAGCTCCTCCCAATGGTCGACCGTGACCATGTGGGAAAGTGGGCTCTGACCCTTGACGGGCCGCTACACCATTGTGACTACAGACCACGCGTGAGAGCAGCGGGCTCCGCAGGGTCGAGAGGACGTCCAGATCGCAGACCCAGTCGCCGCCGTCGTAAACCTGGACCAGCGTCTCGCGCAGCGCCATGCATTCATCAATGTAGTGCTTGTCCTGGTACAGGCCGTGGAGCTCGGGCTTGTACTGCGTCAGGCGCAAATGCATCGACGTCTTGCCGAACGAGTCCTGGATGGCGCCCGAGAAGCCGTTGTGGCTGAGGAGTGTCCAGGCTTCTTGTTTGGCCTTCCTGACGAGGGGTTCCGGGGCCGGGACAAGGAATGACAGGCCCGGCTGGCCGATGTTGCCGTGGACCCTCTTATTTCGGTTTTGATGGGGACCTCGTATGGATCGGAAAGCATCGGGCTCGTAACGAAGATGGAGTTTGCCGAGAGTATGGCAAAACGTGTTGGAGGTAGGCCGGGTCGATGAGGGCCCCCGAGTCGAACATGGTGATACAGGCGAAAGCCTCGGGCCCCGAAATCTTGACCCGGAGCGGCGATGCGTTTGGCGGTTCTCTCTCGGGGATCCACCTCGCCCAGAGCAGGGAGATGCTGCTGACGATGGATGAGGTGACGGTTGTATCGGGTAGTCGCCCGTACATTTCGACCGCAGCAGCGCAGGCGCGTAGCGATCGAACAAAGATAGAGTGCCGGAAGCGGAAATTTGTTGTGAACCATTCGGTGAGTTTGAGGTAGTCAAAGTCCTGCGGCCGAAAAGCTTGCTTGATGGTGTTGCGTTCCAGGAACAGACCGGCCTCCCTCGTTCCGCTCCCTGGACGGCCCTTTCGAGGATCCGTGTTACTCTCCGTCATCAAACCAGTCATGACAATTAGGGCACTTTTTTGATCGCCGGCACAGAAATCCAAGCTGACATAATTGGTTCCCCCATGACCTGGGAACGGTTACATGCGGTCAGCTGCCAGTCAAGGAGTTTTTTTGACATGCTCCCCTTCGAATAAAACGGGGAGACATGAGACGCATACGGCAGGTGTCTTGAAGCGCGGTTTGAAAGTCAGGGCCCCTTCCAAACTCGACTGGGCCTATTCCTGGATTAAAGCCATGAATAAATCCGCCGCGAGGGCAGACAGTGCTCGCCCAGGTTCCCTATATGATTGATGCGGGCCATCGATTGATGCGTCCAAACAAGTCATTCCGTTCCCGTCGTGGCACAACGGAGAGCAGCCACCCTTGGCAAGGCATGGGCAGGGATTGTCCGAGTCCTCGCCTCGGCCCGGTTCTGTGCTTGTGCTTGCGCTCTTTGAGCCCTTCACTGGAGCTGGCAACTGCAGGCTGATTCGCAGGTGCATCGCTGGGGCAGTCTCCCTTGGAGCATGATCCACCGCACATGCTTTGCTGGTTGAAGAAATTGCCTCGGGTGACGCAGATAACCTTGCTCGTGGGGCTCGAAGTCTGCGCTGATGGGTTCAAGACTGGCATACTCGTAGAGAGTGCCCGAGTAGTAGTATCGGATTAGACAGTTCCCGTTGGAGAGTCCCATGTCTTTGGCATATTGCCTGAGATAGGCGATCCGGGGCTCAGGATTTCCATGAGGAGATAGAACAACGAGGGAATGTGCGACAGCCAAAAAGGGCGCCGGTTGGGATCCTGCGTCGCAGAGGAACGCGCCGTGGCGTCTTCCATGTTCTATGAGCTTTCTGGCGGTGTCTTGTTCGAGTTCGCTGCCCTCGGCGAAGTCTTCCGCCGCGCTAAGGAGCTGGCCTATCCAAGACGTCTTGCTGGTAATCTTGTGCATTTCCGCCAAAGACAGCCGTGCCATTTTCGGGCGATCTCTCGGGCCACCGCAGGGCTTCGTTCAGCCGCGAGACAAGATCGACTGCGTCTGTAACCGACTGGGCAAAGCCGGTTCAGGTGAAAAGAACGCACCCGAGCAGAACATGGCGGAAATCATCCATGCATATGCGACTGAGGCTGAAGCTGACCCTCTGCGTCACGGTAACTGGTTCTCAGTAATGGCGCAAATAGGACAGTGGGAAGGACCAGACGATATTGCCGGACACGTCAGACGGGCTTTCGAGATCGATGGTCAAGATTTGCGATGTGCCCTCCAGCGGGTCGTTTTGGTGGATGATGTTGGGTCCCTTGCTCAAAACGCACAGATCTGGGTATAGATGCGCGCATTCATGGCGAGCAGAATCGCGCCGTTGCGAACCTTCTGCAGGATGCCCTTGACCACGCGTTGATGGATATCGTTGCGTCTTTCCAGGCCTGCATGACGCTCTGGTATGTGTCGCGGATGACATTCACCTTGGCGCCGGCTCAGTCGGTGTTCAGCAAAGCAATCTTGCGCTCTTCAGCCTTTGCAGAGTTGGCAGTGTGGATCCAGGACCGACAGCTGTTGTCCACATGGCAATCTCGGCTCGAGAGAACTCCTGTTTGGTCGCGAGGGCCATGGCCATGCTTTTGATCTGGTTGGGCTCCTTGTCGATGGTCTGCTGGATCTCGACCTTTCTTCTCTCGATCAGCTCCCACCTGATGGACACTGCATGGACGTCATCAAAGACCTCGGCGATCATGCTGGCCAGGAGGTGGACGGCAATGGCGTTCGTTCCGGAAGTGGCCGCTGCCCAGAGGCTGGCCGAGTCGACGCCGGCAAACCGAGAGAAGATGCCGTGCCGTGCTCACTCTATCGGATCGATGTTCTGCGTGTCGCATATCTCAGACACACGCTTCCCGAGGAGCTCGGGCACTAGTGGCGAAACACCGTCGAATAGTGCGCGGAGCTTTCTGGCCGTCGGGTGGAGGGCGCCGCTCTCTGCATTTTCACGTCGGTGCTCGGTCAGGCTCTGGCTAACGCCGCTGAACTCCTTGGGCGCCTCCAGCCTGATCAGCGTGAAGTCGAGGTTAAACTGGCGACCGCCAGCTAAAGTTCATTCTGTAGGGACGCGGCGCTCGTGATGAACTTGGAGGTAAGGCTCGATTCCGACATGGATGCTCAGAAAGGTATTGTAACTGCTCGGCGGCTCCAAACCTTGAAAAACATTTGCAGTTTCTCGCCATGCCCAGCGGAAAAGTTTATGCAGAAGTGAGGGGTTGAGGGCTGCTCATTAGAGCCGAAAGCTGGGCGAGCAGCTACGTAGTCTGCGGCGCACCGACTTGACGTCCAATGACGGGTTGTGCGCGCTCTCCTCTCCTCAGCCACGAGATACCTCCCAGCTCTGCCAGACTGTGCCAGCGCGGCACAGCAACAGTGTATCGCATCTTCCGTGGGCAGGAACGGCCCGAACGAGATTTCCAGCGAAGGACACTTGGTTCGATGGGAAAGAACAGCCTGAGGAAGTAACTGGTCAACTGGGCAAGGTTTCTCATGCCTGACCCAAATAACTCAAATGGCTACGTCCCGTACTTGAGTTAAATTGCCTGCGGCAGGGGTTTGATATAGATTTGTAAGTTGATCAAATTAGTCGCAACTACAGCCCGAAAGATACGCACCCTTAACCCTAGCCAGCCCACGTCCTTGTTTCACCCATATTATGGATATGTTCAGCATCTTCAACCTAGCACTGGCTCGCTGGCGCTATGCGGTAGCTGAATCGCCGTAGCACTGGTAATTTGAAGGTATACCTGGTGGCTCGGCTAAGGGTATCTTGCAGCAACTTAGCCACTACATTGGGCAATCAATTGCAAAATAGACAAGCTCAATTTAATGCCTTGAGAACACTCACATTTACCTACAAAAAAACCCCGTTCAGAAGTGAAATTGCCCCCCTGGCAAAGCTATAAAATCAACCAAAATACTTCCCAAAAATTTAGTCCAATCGTTTCAACGGGAATTGAGCCCGATGCGGGGGTCGAACCCGCAACCTTGAGATGAACCCTGTTTTAAGAGTCTCACGCTCTACCGATTGAGCTAACCGGGCAGGTTTATTGTTGATGTAAATTATCTACTAATGTCTATATAACACTTCAATTTCTATCTGAAAATTCTTTGGCGCTTATTATCAATACTATTGTGGCTTGAACTTGTCGATATGTTAGATCGCATCCATCTGGATTTATTCGGAAGTGAAACTCGACAGATCAATTGTAACGAGGAGTACTTTAGATAGGCAGGTACGGTGGTTGCCAGCCAGAGTCTCAGGCAAGTGCGACCGGCTGTAAGTTGTCAAATGGGGAAAGTGCCCCCCAATCATGACCAACCACGTATTCCCTGTTCACATGCTGCTTCCAAAATTGCTGCTGTCGGGTTGTAACTTCCCTTGCTCGCTTCATACTTACAATACATAGGGAGCTTGGGCTCATTCTCGCCGCTCCAAGATCCTTCATGGCGCCCAGGCACACTGTTCATAGCCATTGTCGAATTCATCACACTCTTGAAAACCACCTGACCTTGACTACCTTACACTATCCGCTTCGAACTTAGGCGACGACAGCTGAAACCTATGAGCCCAAGCGGCTGAATGCCATGGGAAAATAGGGTATGGCCCACATGTCTGAGCTACCTCACTTGAGTGCCATGAAGCCGTTGTTGGGCGGTTGGTTGCGAGCTCACGTCTTGAGCTGTCTAAATCTAACGACGCTCCTGCCTTCTGAGCTGGATGTATACCGCTCCTACCCATCTAAAACGCTTATTCTTTGGATCAGCTTCAATATGCTCGAGATAGAGGGCTTTTCGGCGAGCGAATAGATTATGGTTTACGGGCGCTTGGTTTGCCTCTAAGAACTCAGTTACAAGTCACGATATATAAGCTCTATTTGAGGCTCGTCCATGATCTTGATAAGTAATATTTCTTCTTGTCAGTCAATTCTAAGCAAAAACAGAAAGTAAAAAGTACAAACCAAGAAAAAGAAGAAGAAAGAACGAGGGAGATAGCGCCCAACGTCCACCCACGTACACCGCACTGTCTTGATCACCTTACCCCATCAACTTAGGAATGCTCCTCTGCAACAGCCCCGTATGAGGCCAAATCCAATTCTTCAAAAAAGCCGGATCAATCCCGTCCTCAAAAGCCTGATTCCTCGCCTTAATCTGCGCGCTATGCAGCGCCTCCCTCGCCGCGGCGCCCCTATTCCCCAACCTGTCGCCCAGCCGATCAATGGCATCCATAGCCAGACTGAACCGATCCGTCTGGTTGCGAATGGCCAGCTCTAGTGGGGTGTCAATATTCCCCTTCTCCTTGTACCCCCTCACATGCAGATGCTTGCTTGCGCCGGGCCGCTTGTACGACAGGCGGTGCACCAGCCAGGGATAGCTGTGAAAGTTGAAGATGACGGGGCGGTCGGCGGTAAAGGTCGACACCCACTCGGCATCCGTCAGGCCGTGCGGGTGGTCGATGTGCGAGATGAGCTTGAACAGGTCGACGACGTTGACGCAGCGGACCTTGAGCTCGGGGAAGTGCTGCAGCAGCAGGTCGATGGCCGCGAGCGACTCGTGCGTGGCGATGTCGCCGCACGACGCCATGACCACGTCCGGCTCGGCGCCGACGTCGGTACTGAACTGCGGCCAGATGCCAATCCCCTTGGTGCAGTGCACAATGGCGTCCTGCATGCGTAGATACTGGAGGTGTTCCTGCTTGTCGGCGACGACGACATTGACGTAGCCGGATGAGCGCAGACAGTGGTCCATGCACGACAGCAGGCAGTTGCCGTCGGGCGGGAGGTAGATGCGGACCACCTCGGGGCTTTTGTTGGCCACCACGTCGAGAAAGCCCGGGTCCTGGTGCGTAAAACCGTTGTGATCTTGGCGCCAGACAACGGCCGTCAGGAGAATGTTCAGCGACGCCACCTTTACCCGCCACTCCACCTCGAGGCACTTCTCGAGCCACTTGCAGTGTTGGTTCACCATCGAATCGATGACGTGGATGAATGGCTCGTAGCTGTTGAGCAGGCCGTGGCGGCCGCTCAGGACGTAGCCCTCGAGCCAGCCTTCGCACGTGTGCTCAGACAGCATCTCCATTACGCGGCCGGCGGGCGACAAGTTGCCGCCGTCGTCGTCCTCCTCAAAGTACTCGCCCATCCAGACCTTTTTGCCGGTCTCGTACACCCCGGCAAGCTTGTTGGACTCGGTCTCGTCGGGCCCAAACAGGCGGAAGTTGGTCGGGTTCAGCGCGATGACGTCGCGTAGGTACTTGGCCATGTTCTGCATGCTGGCGCCCATGGTGCCGGCCGGTTTGTCCACCTTGAGGGCGTAGTCGCGGAAGTCGGGTACCCTGAGCGGTTTCCGCAGAATTCCGCCGTTGGCGACGGGGTTGGCAGACATGCGACGGTTGCCAGTCGGACACAGCGCCTTGAGGTCCTGGCTGACTTGGCCGTCGGCAAACAGACGGTCCGGCTCGTAGCTGCGCATCCAGCTCTCGAGCAGCTTGAGGTGGTCTGGGTTCTCGTGCACGTCGGTAATGGGCACCTGATGGGCGCGCCAGTAACCCTCGAGGTACTTGTCGTCGATCCTGCGAGGGCCAGTCCAGCCCTTGGGGGTGCGAAGGATGACGACCGGCCACAGCGGACGGAAGGGCTTTCCCGACTCCCTGGCTTGCTTTTGATACTTTCTGATCTCCAGCACGCAGTGCTCGAGCGTGGCCGCCATGGCCTGATGCATTGACTCAGTGTCGTCGCCTTCGACAAAGTAAGGCTGGTACCCGTATCCGATGAACAGGTTCTTAAGCTCCCTGTGGCTGATGCGGGCAAGGACGGTGGGATTGTTGATCTTGTAGCCGTTCAGGTGCAGCACGGGCAATACGGCGCCGTCGGTGATGGGGTTGAGGAACTTTGTGCTATGCCACGACGTGGCCAGGGGACCTGTCTCAGCCTCACCGTCGCCGACCATGGTGAGGGCGATCAGGTCCGGGTGGTCAAACACAGCGCCAAAGGCGTGGGATATCGAGTAGCCGAGCTCGCCGCCCTCGTGGATGCTGCCCGGGGTTTCTGGAGTGGCGTGCGACCCGACGCCGCCGGGGAACGAGAACTGCTTGAAGAACTTGCGCATGCCCTCCTCGTCCTCGGACATGTCGGGATACACCTCGGAGTAGGTGCCCTCGAGGTATGCCTGCGACAGCACGGCGGGGGCGCCGTGGCCGGGGCCTGAGATAAAGAAGGCGTCCAGATCGTACTTCTTGATCAGCCGGTTGAAATGCATGTAAGTGAAGATCTGACCGGGAGCAGAGCCAAAGTGGCCGAGGAGCCGGGCCTTGAGGTGCTCCTTCTTGAGCGGCTCTTTCAGGAGGGGATTCTTGCGTAGGTAGATCATGCCGAGGCTGAGGTACAGGCTGGCCTTGAAGAAGTCATTGTACTTTTTGATTTCATCCTCGGAAAGGGCCGTGCCCTTGACCGTCGCCCGGGCTGGGCCAAAAGCGCTGATGCTCTCGAGCTCTTTATCGCTCATGGTGAACGATTATGGGGTAAGGTTCGAGCTTTGGTGAGTAGTTTAAACTCCAACGGACCGGGACACTTGGAGGTTTATGTGAAACCAACTTTTCCATGTATGGAAACTGGAATGGGAATGGGAATAGAAAGCAGGAAGGAAGGGACCGTTGCGGCCTTTATACCGTGCTTACCTGAGCTGCACTGCATCATGAATTCATGAAAGCGGGCTCGTAGTTGGGAAGGATAGGAGATGGGAATCCGGTTGACTCGAGGCCACCCGCTGTCGACGTCTCCAGTCATGCCATGCAGAGTGGTCACTGTGGTGTGGCCAGTTGCCCGACAGGGCACACTGACTCGCATCAGCATGTTGCAGCCTCTTGTACATACAGCGTCGCCAACCTGGAAACACTGCGGTCGCTGCGTTGTGGTGTCGTACCCCAATTTCCTTTCACTGCCAATTTTCCGTGTTGGTTGGCTCTTTGCATCTTCAGACGGCGAAGACCGAGTACTGGAGCTCCCAATCCGGAAGCCGTGGTCTGATGTCGGCACGATTGATGGCACCGCATGCACGTATCCACTCTGCCACTCACGCCGCTGTCCGGCCGCCTGCGGCTGCTGTGGCCAATAGACAACGACTGGACACCTGATTGCGGTGCCGAACACTGCAGTCTCGGCCTCTCCCGTCTCCAAGGCGAGTCTGATCCCGCTATCTCCTTCCCCATCGCATCACGAATCAACTCACCCAAATCCCCTCGCTTCTAAATCACCCGTGAACTGATCTTGACATACATAACTTCGATGGAGGTGAAGTCGTTGACCGTTGTACGAGTATCCGTAGTTGTCCCGATCATCGGGTAAACCGGATGGGAGTTGGAGATGCCCGACGTCATCAGCTCGTCGAGGTATCCGAACACTCCGGCGCCCCTCGTTTAGTCCGCGGGTTATTCATCCTCCTACAGTGTCAATCTTTTGCCGTTCTATACCATCCGTCGATCAATATGTGCAGTCGACCGAGCCACACAACTACGTTCAGGATCAGTATGCCTCAAGATGAAAAGATGGCTTTGCTGGCGTCGGTACGGAGTGCACAGTGCCGGCGGTGGGACCAGCCAACGGCCGCTAACTTCATCCCCACGTGGATCAGCTGCAGCGGTTTTCTGTACTGCAGTAGCCGTAGTTGCCGGACCAGAGACACTTCGGTAGCTTCCAATGTTTGGGTATCAAACTCGAGACGCTGGGGTCTGACCACAGGGGGGCGCCTTCACATTAGCGAACTTCTTCTAATCTACGTTTAAGCTCTCCCGTTTCACTGCGTCCCTTGCTGGGGTATATATGTTTGGACCCTTGCAAGGCATCGAACCCAGCGCTCAACGAACAAGCCATCATCCCCCTGAGCATACCACACATAGAACTACCAAACTGCAACAACGATCCTCCACTGTAACAGGCAGGCAGCGAAATAAGGGGAAACAAGTCACATCACAAGCCCCAAACCCGGGAGATGGCGCAAGTCAATAAGTGGGAACAACAGCAGGGCCCTTCCAACTCTACCAACAAATAACAAGCCACAACTAAGCCACCCCCGGACCAGCCGAACAGCTGCCACCCTCCTCCTACAATTACACCCTCCCATCCGCCTCCAAGAACCTTACCGTATCGTCATATCCCACCGACTCGCCACTGCTGCTCCAGTCGTTGTAGCCATGCTTCTGCCTCCCTCCCTTCAACCCCATCCATTTGCCAGCTAGAGCGGCATCGACTACTCCCCGAACCAGCAAGATCCCATTCAACAACCCCCTACACCCCGTCCGCCTGCCAAGCTTTCAGGTTCCTCAGCTCACATATTAAAGATAAACATATACGCAGACGCATGTACCGCCCGCCCCGAATCCCAAACTCATACCATAAAGCAACCATTCCAGTCCGCCAAACCACGAGGATCAACCGCATGCCAGCCACCCAGGACAGTCGCAGGACCCCGCTTTAAATTCTCAAGCGTCGGTGCACTGCCAATCCGAGATCTAGGACCAAGTCGACAACATTGTCCCTTTTCGACTCGCGGCGGAGGGAATGAATGAAGACAACTCGTTCCGTTTCGTTTCGTTTCGGCTCGACTATAGCAGGAGTTCCGAGGGATTTGCAGCATGCCGCCCAAGTAAAAGAGAAATGGGGGAAAAAATACTCAAGATGAACGATAACAACAGCAAAAACCCAGGCTAGCGTGTGTGGTATCAAAAAAAAGTGCCGGACCATGAAACCAGCGCGACACGAAACATCAACCAAACAACGACCACGGAATTAACCAAAAACACGGAATTAACCCACCCGCCCACATCCTCCCCTACCCTTCCCAGGCCATGTCCTTCCCTTTCGTACCCTCAAAACCAAGCAGCCACCCGACCAACCCATAAGAAAAATAGAGAAAATAATTAAGTTAGCAAAAGAAAAACAAACGCCATTACCGATCCATACGCTTCAAAAAATGAGAACGAGAAACACAGAAAAAAGAAAAACATCACCAACCCTCCACCTCCTCCTCTGCCCACTCATCACCGGCCCTGCCACAGTCATCACAGCCACAACCCTGGCGTCGACAAAGGCAAAAAGGGGCGCCCTACCACCCCTTTTTCCTCGCAAACCGCTTGTTGAGCAGCGCCAGCACCTTGGGCACGTTGAATTGGACGTACTCGAGATCCAACTCGTCCTGGTTGTCCTTTTGCATCTCGAGCAGGTCGTCGAGCTTGAGGTCCAATTCGAGCAGGCCGCGGTTACGTCCTACAAAACACACGTTAGAATCCCAGGGCTCAGTTAGAGTCTAAGCGGAAGTTGGGTGGTAGCTTACCCTTGTAGTGCAGCGAAATGACAAACGTCCCCGGCAGCGGGCTGGTAAAGTTGAAATAAATATTCGCCCGCCGATTATCCGGGACATTGCTCTTCTGAATAACCCCTTCCTTCTCCAGCTGCTGGTGCGTAAACTTGTACGGACCCAGGACCTGATGCTTCTGCTGCTTGCGGCGGGTGCCCTCGCTCTGGCTCCGGACATTGTGCAGATAGTTCTTGTACGTCTCGAGCTGGCCGACCAGATACGTATTATGATCGCGAATTGTCTTGTACACCTCATCCAGCTTCTGCGTCTCGGCCAGGACGCCCTCCTTGAGCGAGCCGAGGTGCTGCAGCTCCTGCTCGACCTCGTCGCGCAACAGACTGAAACCGTCGCTCTTGTCGACCACGCGCAGCTCCTGCAGCTGGCTGAGCAGCTCCATGGCGCGGATGCCCTTCCGCACCATGACGGCGTCGTTCTTGGACGTGGCTGCCGCGTCGGCGATGCGCTCAAGCCGCAGGGGGCGCTTCGCCACCGACGACGTCGCGGGGATCGTCCGCAAGATCTGCACAAAGATGGACTTGGCCTCCATGAAGAACACCTCCTCCTGGGTAATGTCGAGCGCGGCCGTCAGGTCGTCAATGGCCGTCTCCCACTTGCTGTACAGCGGCAGGTTGATGACCCTGTTCTCCTTGCGGGGGACCTGGGGCGGTGCGGGACCCAGCTCGGCCATGATCATAGAAAGGTGCGAGTTTTCGTCCTTGCAGAGCTCGTCGCGGTGTTTCTCGATCAGGGCGTGCATGGCGTAGATTTCGTTCAGCGTGATGGACAGCTCGAGATCCTTCTTGGACAGCGCAACGTAGTTGTCCATCTCGAGGCTCTCGTAAAAGTCCTGCACCTCGCACAGGTCGAGCATGAACTTGTTGACCCGATCCTTGTTCTGCTGGATGAAGGGCTGCAGTTTGGCCATGTACGGCTCCTTGGAATAAGAGGGCTTGTTGGCCAAATTCTGCAGCATCTTGGCTATGAGCGTGAGCGTCCTTCTCGGGCGGTCGGCGGGGATGCCATCGATGAGCATGTAAGACTTGGGCGTGACGATGGCCGGGTTGATGAAGCGGAGGAAGAAGAAGCCGCCAATCAGGGTGCAGATAACCTGGTCATTAGCATCAGGGTATTTCCTCTTGGTCAGGCTACGGATCTGCTTGCAGATCCACCGAATACCATATGGCGCCTCCTCCAGCCCTTCAATGATGGTGGTCAGGAATCCGTTGGCAATCTCGGTGAGCATTGTTAGCCGCGGCTCGATGATGGCCTGAACCTGAGGGTTCTCGGCGGCCTGCTCCGCGGTGATGCCCTTGGGCAACGACGCCGGCAGGCTTCCCGTGTCTTGTTCGATCTGCTCGATCATGCGTTCATAGACCTTGAGCGGGTTGATCTCCAAATCCAAGTCCTTCAGCTCAATCAGGCTGTTGATCCTATCGGCCAGCACTGACTTGAGGAAGCTCTGGCCGGGGCCTCTCCTTGTGTACGTCGTCATCATGCGCGAAACTGGCGTGTTGGCGCGCAGGAGCGACGAATATTCAGGGGTGTTATCGAACTGATACGTGAGGACGGACTGTATGCGAGCATGTCAGCTATGCCGGGCTTCAGCTGGCTGGAATCCACACACCTGAAACATGGTCAACAGCAAATGCTCTTCCCGGCTTTCGTACTGGTTCCCGTAGATGGTGAACATGACGGTTTGCAGCAGTGAGTCGATCTCGGCCATGGACACCAGGCGACAGAGATGAGCAATGTGTCTGGGCTCCGACTGTAGCATGAACATCAAGTTCCCGTATTTTTGCGTTTTGTCGTCATTGGGAAAGGATCCTTCCTGCATCTCGGTGGCGTCTTCCAGGTGGCTGGCGACTTCATTTTGCTGACAGCGAGTCAGCGCAGCGTAGGAGAACGACAAATGGGCCCAGACATACCTCTTCCAATGCCATCCGGTTCTGGATCAGGAGCGCGATCCGCGAGTCGAGATATCGCACGTCTTTTTCGAGGACAAAGTTCTTCTTGGACTGCGACGAGATTTTGGACTTGAGATCGCGCAAAACTTTTTGCGCTGCAGAACCAGTCAATACACACGTGCCTCGCTGTCACAGTCTGTTCTGCACGGCGCACCTTTGGCCAGATCATCTTCAATGACCAAGTCGGATTCGTTGGCTGACATGGACATATACAAAGCCGACATGGAGTACCGCTTCGACTGGCGGGCGGACCGCGAGCCCTCGTAGGAGGACATTGTGTTCTGGCGGGATATTGGCTGGAAAGACGAGGAGGATGCGGTCGAGGCTCGGGAAGGCGTCTGCAGCATGACAGACATGTTGGCGGAGCCGGGGGCAGGATTCGGAGGTGGTCAGGCTGCCAGGCCCGGAGCCTCTCAAGATGGGGGCGGCGAGATGTCGGCACCGGCGGACGGGCGCGATTGACAGCTTTAATGGGTTGTGTCCTTCCTTTGGCGTGCGCCGTGTAGAGGATGGAGAGTGCTAGTTCGGGAACTCGTCCCTTTGCGCGGTGGCTATGCAAGCACCACGCGGCACCAAACAGTTGGGACGGTTCAAGGGCGATCTCGTATTGAATTGGGCAAAGTGCGCTGGGTACAGATGGCGGATTGAGTTCGGACGGTTGGGTCGGGAGCAGCCACACGATGAACGGCTTTGTTCGGGCTTTGCGCTGAAGTGGTTCGGTCGGTGGGAGAAGGGGACCCAATTGCACCCTCGCGCGCTCTCAGTGGGGCAAACGAGCGAGCGCAACAAAGGAGTAAATTAACGAAAGAGAGGACGGGACAGAAGCCTCTCAGGGGTGAACTGTTGGCCTGGAAAGGGTCGCTTAGATGGGGAAGGGCAGGGTCGATTGCCCTGATGTAGTGTGGACTTGTTGGGATGTTTTGCATAAGATGGTCGGGTGAGGGAGCGTGTGGTGAATGGGTTGAAGACTGTGAAATCTGCGTCTTCAACGCACGGGCGGATATGATGTGGGTGCGTCAAGGGGACTGGTGGACCCCTTGCAAAACTTCCGCTTGGGATGCAGCCAGTGGTGCCAGGCACAGCCGATACAGAGCAAGTATGGGGGTGGACCTAATTACTCGGTACATGCTTCCAGAGGTGGCCAAGTAAAAGCTTGACTATTTCCGTATTCGTATACAAGATTTATTGGGGTCAGATGCATGGCAAACACAGATTGTTCTTTATTCAGAAGACTTGTTCGCTATGCCAACTGAAAAGAGAACCTAATGTCGCATGTAGCAACGCGGTCAATTCCTGCAGTCTCGAGACATTCAGGGGTTGAGAAGGTGAAGCCAAGTACCTAATAAGGAGCTAAGTACACGTGGGCTGGAGTCGGTAGCATCAGACCGGCCAAGGGTAATTTACCTGATAGCATTTAAACACCACACATGCAACTTACGTAGGTAGAGTTACAGATTATATGCATGTGTACAGATCCGTACTAAAGTCTTGCTTTGCTTTTTTCATCGACACTTCTGCGCCACGCAGGCTCCGGGAGCTGTCTTTCTCGCTTGTGTGTTCTGAAACAGGGGAAACTGTGGAGCGCACGTTGTTCATGCAAACGGACCCCGTGCCATTCCCATCAGTTCGCAGGAATGAAGTCCTTCCACCTACCATTGGCCGGCAAGCAAGCTAATAATTGACCGAACCATAATTTAACGTATTTCTCGCTTTGCCGGCAGACACCGCTCTATCATGGAATGTCGTCGCTGCATCTAGCATCTCAGGTGTTGCGGGACGTTGTTGGAAGCTTGAGAGAAAGGACGGGATGACTTGCCGAATGTGAGATTGCTTGGCTGGAGGCACCTGACAAATAACAGCGCACGGTAATTGGCCAGATGCAGCCTCCACATCAACTGATGCAACTCTGGGCTTTTGTTAGCGAGGCACATGTCCTAACGACGAGGAAAGGAGAGGCGAATGCTTAGATATCGAGAGGTACAAGAGCAATAAGAAGGATAATAAAATGAAGAGAGAGAAGAGAAGCAAGAGATACTCCGTAGTTAGGGTGACTGTCTTTAAAGAAGAAGAATTTGTTTATTCTCTACTTCGATTTACACGCTAACAAACATAGAAACCACAGTAGTACTACGCTCCGCACCTATACCCCCTACCTGGCAGTCAATGACAAACATCAAGTCAACACGCATATCGAAGGCGACGTCCCAAATGAATTACACAGCAGATAGGTAATATACGGTATATGAAGGCGAGGTCTGGCAGGCCGCTCAAGCAGAAATACGAGACGAAATATCATCCACCGGTTCTTAGTTTATTCGCTGGGAGAGACAGATGTAATGTCTCGAATTAACACCCCGCAGTTATGATTCTGAGCGTGGGGGAGCAGCGGGGTAACCTTGTATGGCATGACTTCACCAATCTTTGTAGACTGGAGCTTTCCATACCCATACTGTGTAATCTGCTCTCAGGACCATACGAAAAAGACGAACAACACACGATATGGGGCGCAAGGTTAGAGGTCCGCGGCCCTTCTTGCGGCTGTTCCTGCAAATAGCCGACAAAATGAAATCACTTGCTTTTCTTGCCCGGGCCTTGCGGGATCCAGACGGGACGACCCGGTACATTCGAACAAGGTACGGACGGATATGGAGTACTCAACTTTAGGTAGGTTATTGCAACTTGTGGAACGGTGCTGGCGCTCTGTGCCAGGTTTGGACTAGCAGATGTCTCGCGTTTTCTTTGAAAAAGTCACTGATCGTCGGTTTGCTACTTTTAGAAAGAGGCATGTTGGTTTCAGCAGTGATTGACACGGACACAGATGAGCCGAGTTGGTCAGTGCCCGAGAGCGCGAAAGCAAAACAACAGCAGAACGGCCAATTCAATATCCATACCCATACACATACGTTCGATAACCGAAATGGAGTTGCGGAGAAAGCATTTTCAAGCCGCCGGCGCGCCTCAACCCATACGCTCGGGGCTCGACGTAATTCGGATGTTGAGCATGAGCCACCTTATTAAGTCAGGCAGGAGACGGCTAGGACGGTGCCAGATACCCATGAGACTCGGCAACATTGATTGGCCAGCCACCGCGTCGTCACAGCTCCTGGGCTGCAGGTGCCGGTATTGACCAAGCGAATGATGTTTCGCGGTCCCTTCTTCGCTGACACCCTTTCCAGAGTGCCGGGACGAACAACTCACCCAACCACACCCATTGCCGTCAGCTGTCAAACTCGTCATCAAGCCCGCCTTGGCACCAACGGATTCCAGAAGAAGCTGTGTGTCAGTACCTACTTCCGGTCCAGCGGGAAGAGAGTGCTCAACGTTATCTCGTACGGGAGCCCGGACATGACGGCCGGTGAAACCGGGTCCAGTTATGGTCATGGACATGAGACAGATCCCAACAGGCGAAATTGAACAGCCTGCATGTCTCTGCCACCGCAGCTGTCAAAATACGGCGCCCGTCGCACCGGCGATGGTGACAGTGAGGTACAGATATCCTGTGACCCCATCATGGAGCACAACTTCTGTTAAGCCTAGCAGGTGTGGTTGCACCGGGTCTTGCTTTTACGTTTTTCGTTGGCTCAAGCTCCTGCTGCTCGCGGAAATGTTCAAATTGGAGGGCATGCAGCCCTGCCAATTGGCGCAGTGTGGGGGAGGACAAGGCGTCGTCATTTTCCCATTGGTCTCAGAACCAACTCGTTCACAATTGTCCAAGGCTCACTTCTTCCTCAGCCGAGTACGGCCGCAGTACATATGGAACGGGTGGATGAGCGAGATGGAGCCGCCGGTGGTATAGACTGTTAAGGAGGAAGATGAAGTACAGCTACTTCTCTGTAGGATAGCGCATTCAGCCCGTCTGAAACTAGGCGCACAAACGGCCGTAATAGACTACAGTGGGGGTTCGAAGGTATCCGGCCACCCCACATTCTCCCAGCCATTCACATTATATACCTTGAGCTTCAACACAGGATATCTCAACACTGCAAGGTCGTAGCAGAAAAACGATAGTATTGTTAAAAGCTCAAGCCCAGGGCATCAATATTTGTATACCAACCCTTGGCTTTCCTAACTACGGCCAGCCGGTTCCGGCATTCCGTTAATCAGCTTATCAATCAACGTCTATGGGATAGCCTCCCACGCCACGCGCAGGCACTGTTTGAACCTCTCGATATCCAAGACGTTTTGCTTCAGATTCCATAGCTGGGAACATTTCCGTAGGTTCCGCTTCAGAACTGCCCAAACGTGCCCAATAGGATTCAGATATGGGCTATATACAGGCCACTCGATCCACGAAATCCGCCGAGCTAAAAGCCACTTCTCCGTCGATCGGCAGACATGAATCTTAGCGTTACCTTGTTGAAAAATGCCGGGTCTCGTCGTAATGAGGTGGAAGACCTTTTTCGAGGGCCTTCTGGTAGGATCTTGCGGTATATCCTTGCCTTGGAGAGTCCTCATCACGTTCCATAACTATAAGCTCGCTCCTCCCCCTTACCCAGATCATTCCCCACATTATGATTGAGATATTCGCCTTCACATGGTTCTTAAGGTTAACGAAACGCTTGTCGTATTTCTCCGAAGGAAAACGGAACTGCCAGGCGGTCGGATTTGAGGTATTATTTTGGCAAGAACACTCGTCCTAGAACATCGTCTAAGTCGGTCAGCGGGGTAAAAAGATAGGGGTAGGTTTGATATAACTTACTTGAACTAACTCTCCGTTGTTTTCAAGCTAATCGCATGCAAAGTCATACCTATAATTTGCCACGTCTTTCGTCAAAGGATTTCTTTCAAGAGACTTCCATTTACGAAGGTTATATACTCGGAGACAACGACGGATCGTTGAGTAGGAGACCTGCTTACCAGTTGCGTTGACAAGCGCTTTCTTTGCGAGGGATCGGTTCTTTTTTACGAGCAAAATGATATATCGCTTCTCCCTTTGAGTCAGGGCCGGAGGACGGCCGGTACGAGGCTGGGCTTCAAAAGTTTGGTGACTTTTCCAGTGCTCAGTACAACGGGCGATAGTATCGCGGGAGACGCGAAAGAGCTGGGCGACGGCGCGTTCGCTTGGCCAGCTGCAACGAGGGTGCAAATGGCTGCACGTGCCCCTGGAGATAGCTCATGTAACCTCCCACGACCGACGGTTAAACTGGCAACGAAATCAGCCAAATTGAGCTTCATGATGTCGAACTGTGGTGGTTCGGAAGTTGGGAAGGGGAGGACGCGAGACGCGACCGCGTTAAATTGATGTGGGGTGGCCGGATGCATTTGAACACCCACTGTAGCTATAAACACGAGCCGGGATGTGCACAGATGCATATAGAGGCTGTCCTAAGATGAGGGGCCAAGGAAGCTGATGAGAGACATCGAGACGAGTTTTGAATAGGTATGCTTGCTAGGACGCTCCTGTTCATTCCCACAGCGTATTGGCAATTGGGCATATACGGTATGTGAAGCACCAGGAGAGATAATCCACAAGGTGCTGTTGCTTAAGTTCTACATTCGGTGCTTCAGGTTGGGTGTTGCGCCAGGAAAGCGTAGAGTGGTCAATCAATAAGATCCTGCACACTGCAATGTCCTTCCGTATGGTATCTGGTATCGGCTTCGTTTTTTGCTCCCCCAGCGAACATACAACCAGACTTCACTCCCGAAGCAACAGCACCTCCTGGGTCGCCTCTGCTCTGTGCTTCCCATATGGTAGCGGACATGTTCCGGCGGAAGGAATGGAGAGTAGGCTGTAGCTAAGTACCTTACATTATCCGTCTTCTCGTCGTGCGTCTCTGCGCTCCCCTTTTCTCTCTTCTCTTCCACATCACAAACAAAATAACTCTGGAAGGATACAGGGTCATCCATATCCCCATTCAATCCATACCTTATCCCCACTGAACACCATCTTCCAAGTTAAAATTAATGTGACATTGTAAGGGCCTTACGGGATCATTCACATGCCCATTGAACATCTTCACTGACCTTTCTGTCTTCAACAGTTTTTAGATCGGAATCCCCGCTGCAATCAGCCGCGCGGCGGCGGCCGCCACCACCACCACCACCAGCAGCCACCTCCACACCAACGCCGCCATTCACCCAAGCTGCCGCAGCCCTGGCGCCCACTCCTCCCACCGCGCCAGCCAATCCTTTGCTTCCCCCGGCCCCCCCGCGTCCAGTCAAGTAGAGCCCGGCAAACCCCTCCCCCGGGACCTCGACCAAGAGGCTCAAGTCGTAAGGCGACTGCTGCAGTGTTGTTGGATCTTCCCCCCGTCGCTACCGACAGATTTTGACAGAGGCTGCATCTGATTAGAACCCAAATCCAGATTTGGGAAAGGAAAGGGGATGTCATTCGCTGGTGGGGGTGGCAACTCGGTGGGAGTTGAGCAGGGGGGGAACAGCGATGGCGTGGACGGCAATGGTGACACTCGTCCTGGTGGTGATGGTCTTGGTGTGCGCGGCGCTGTCTTCCTCTTTCCGTGATATTATTTTGTCAATTATGTCAATCCCTCTTATGTGCTACACTTACGAATAAACCAGGGCTGGATTTTAAGAAGACCAGATGTCTCTCTCACAGAGTTGATCCGGCTTGGCACCGTCCATGGCCATCTTCCGCTCCGCATTTCGGAGCCCGCAGGCTCTCCCCACATTCCCCAGTTTGTGGCTTGCATGCCTCGGCAAGCCGGGGGGTAAATTCCTCTTCCCTGATGTTGCACCTTCCTACATGCATGAAGAGTTCCACTTTATCAGCACGCTCGGATATTGGCTTGCATGCGGGCAAAACAAGGGCTGCATGGAGCTCGATCCCACTGGCTTCCCAGGTTCCCTTCCCCATCTCCTTCCGTTCTTTGGTGACTTGGTCGCAAGATCGATACGGGAACGCAAGCCACACGGACACGAGCACAGGCGTAGCCACAGGTTGACGCCAACTCAAGGCCCATCCGTCAGATGGACTAAGAAGGTACACCTGCAGGAAGGTGTTTGCAGGTGATGAGCACATCAGACCAAGGAGACGGGAAGACCAAGAATATCTCAGTCATCGATACTCGGGTAGACCGCCCGACTATCGGGACGACTTCTGCACTTTGCTTGCCCCGAGCCGAACCGCACTTACTCCCGGTCTACTCTCGGCAGACCCGCTCTACGAACAGTTAACCCGGCTAAGAGTCTTGCCTGTTGCTGACGAATCTCCCACTGTCATGATATAATTTCAGGCCTACCAACCATTTTACCAACGGGTATCGCTCTCGTCCCTGTACTTGTACTTATTTTTCGTCTTGGCGTCCAGATCGATTTTGGGCACTTTTGCCATGCCAGCCCTGGATATCCCGAAGTCACATTATCATCACTAGACATCGAACCCCGTTGTTGATGGCAGATAGCCAATTCTCACCATGCCGAGTGATATATTAGATACAGAGAAACAGGACCCTGGCACTCCGGATGTCCACGGCGGCATCCGAACTTCGACCCTTCCGCATTCACCCCCTGCCAAAGACAGTCATCCTCTATCTCACTCAGACCGCAACTCCTCCAGCGGCACTAGAACCCTGCTGTACATGTTCGAGCACGACCAGAGCCAGCCCCTCCGCCACGCCGAGATGGAAATGGAACCCGCCTCCTCCCCGGACGAGCATGACGACGACATTGACGAGGAGCACAACCCGCCTTCCGCCCTCGCCCACACCGCCACCCGCACCTCCGTCACTTCATCCGCCTCCCGCCCGCCAGACTACGAAGTCACCCTCGATGCCACCGACCCAGAGAATCCCCGCAATTGGTACGTGTTAACCTCCCCCACTTTCTTCCCTTTTCTCCCATTGCACAAAATCAAGGCTGAGGGTGGGTTGAAAGAGACTAAAAATTCCCAAAAAAAGAGTCATGACTGAGAAACAAGCATATATATATATATATATAAAAGGCCCCTCTGGTACCGCACCTACACTGTCCTGGCCGTATCGTACGCGACCTGGGTCGTCGTGCTGTACAGCACGAGCTACATGGCCGCGATCCCGGGCCTCATGGCCGATTTTGGCGTCGCTGACAAGCCGCTGGCCACGATGGGCCTGACGTCGTACCTGCTGGGGCTGGCGGCGGGGAGTGTGGTGGTTGCGCCCATGAGCGAGCTCTACGGGCGGAGGGCCGTGTATCTCGTGTGTATGGGTGTGTTTGTGCTGCTGATTGTGCCGTGTGGGGTGGCGGGCAGTTTGGGGGTGATGGTTGGAGTGAGGTTTATTGGGTGCGTTGTCCTCTTCCTTCAAGTTGCTCTTCCCAGCCTCTTCTAATCCCGGGGAGAGGTGTGCTGACGGCGACAGGGCGGTGTTTGGCGCGGCCATGATCTCCAACAGCCCCGGGACCATAGTCGACATTGCCGGGCCCGAGACGCTCGCGCTGTGCATGTCGTGGTACAGCATCGCGCCGCTCAACGGGCCGGTCACGGGCCCGCTGATCGGGGGGGTTGTGTATGAGAACCTGGGGTGGCGATGGAGCAACTGGCTGGCCATGATTCTTGCGGGCGTTGCTGTGGCCATGCTGGCCCTGGTCAAGGAGACGTACCCGCCAACGCTGATGCAGAGGAAGGCTGCCAGGCTGCGCAAGGAAACCGGCGATGGCAGATGGTGGTGCCGACATGACCAGCGCGTGTCGACGCTGGACCTGCTCAAGACCAATCTGAGTCGGCCGTTTGTGCTGGCCGCGACCGAGCCGATACTGTGGTTTTTCAACATCTGGTCAGCTCACACCCCTTACCCGTGAATAACCAACCAAAACCCAATGGCCCTTTGAACCAGCACAGCAGTAACCTAACCCCCCACAAGGATCTCCGTCATCTACGGAATTCTCTATCTCTGCTTCATCGCCTACCCCATCGTCTTCACCCAACACCGCGGCTGGACCGTGTCGCAAACAGGCCTCTCCTTCCTCGGCATCGGCCTCGGCACCCTCCTCGCCATCATCCTCGAACCCCTCTGGCGACGCCTCATCCTCTCCTCCTCCTCCTCCTCCTCCTCCTCTCCCCCCACTAAAACAACACCAACACACTCCCCCCTCGCCACCACCACCAACCCAACCCATTCTAAATTTCCAACCCCCGAAGCAACCGCCCTAGTAATGTGCATCGGCGCCGTGCTAACACCACTAGGCCAATTAACCTTCAGCCTAACCAGCCTGCCCCGCTCAATCCATCCCTCCATCCCCATCGCGCTAGGCGGCATCCCCTTCGGCATGGGCAACACGCTCTCCTTCATCTACGGCAGCAACTACCTCGCCTCCGCCTACGGCCTGTACGCGGCGTCCGCCCTGGCGGGCAACGCCGTGCTGCGCTCTGTCGTGGGCGCGGCGCTGCCCTTAGCCGGGCCCGCGCTGTACGCGGCGCTGACGCCGCGGTGGGCCGGGGTGTTGCTGGGCGGGTTGGAATGCTTGCTTATTCCGATCCCGTTTGTGTTTTGGCGGTATGGGGACCGGATACGGGATAGGAGTCGTGTGATTCGGTTGATGCGGGAGGAGAGGGATAAGACTGAAAGGCGGGAGGCGAGGGTGCTGGCTCGGAAGGAAAGGAGAGAGGTCGAGGAGGAGAGGAGGGTGAGGGTGAGGGAGGAGGGGGAAGTGGTGGTCGTCGTGATGGGTGTGGAGGGAGATGAGGAGAAGAAGCGGGCGGCTGCACAGGGAGCAAGGATGGCTTGATTGCGGCGTAAGCGTGTGATATAGGTTAACTTGGTGCAGTGGTTGGCGCTGCCAACGAAATGTACATAGCAAGACTGTCTGCCAATGGCTTTTATTATTGCAAAGCCGACCCTGGCCCATCTCAGTCAACCAGCCAGGCCTACAGTCACATCTCTCTACTACGTACATTAAGCCAACACCGGGACTTTCAGAATATTGATTCCAACAAGCAGGACTCCAAACTCATTTCTAGAGCCTCATTAAAAAGCTTCTCTGTAGCCGCTAGACAAGCCGTCGCTGCCCCGAACCAGCCAGCCACCCATTACTCCATGAAAAGGTTGATGACCGGCCAACAGATGCATCCGAGGCCAAAAGTCGCCATTTACCCGAACCAGCCAGACCCCGTCCAGCGTGGAAATGCAAGACAAGCTCCCCGGCCTGTTGAGTCTTTCTCCTTTTCGTTCCCTTTCCTTCCGGTATTACCTTTACCATCAATGAATACATCGCGCTCCATCAAGAGGCGTGTAGAAAAGGTTTGCAAAGCAAGACTCCCGAAGATGCCAACGCCAGTAGCAATGATACAACCCCCTTCCTAGTACCCAACAATCACTGTCACATAGCCACCCCAGGCTGCGCCATGCCGGCCCCAAGCGACGACAGTAACCCGGACGATACAGCGCCAGCATCCGCCCCCGTCTTCGCCGACGCCATCTGAGCAAGCTTCTCCCGTTCCGCCTTCTCTCGATCCCGAATCTCCTTCTCCAGCTTCGTGATCCGCGGTTTACGGACCGTACCGCCCCTCGAACCGGACCCACCACCCCTCCCGCGTCCACCGCCCCCCTCCCCACCACCCCGCGCACCGCCTCTACCCCCCCTCCCGCGCCCGCCGCGTCCCCGCCGAGGTCGTTCCTCCGACGCAGCAGGCTTCTCCACCTCAGGAATCAGCGGGCCAGAGTACACAAAAAAACCGTCCCTGCTCGCAGCCGCCTGCTCCTCCCAGAGCATCTCCGAGTCATCGACAAAGTCATCGTCCTTGTCATACTCGTCCTCCTTGAAATTCCTCTTCTTCCGCGCCGGTTTCGCCGACGTCCCAGCCCCATTCCCATTTGTCGCCCCCACACCGCCCATCTCAACATTACTCTCCCCAGCATCCGACCCCTGCTCAACAATATCCTCCTCCATCTCCTCGCCCTCCCCATCATCCCGCCCACTGCCCGTCGTCCTCTCCAGCGCAGCCGTCGCCGCGGCGATGCGCGCCTTGCGCTCCCGGCTGGCCGCCAGGCGCGGGTGCAGCGCGTCCCAGCCGTACCGCTCCTCGGCCATGCGCATGAAGTTGACATACTTGTTGCTCTCGCCCGGCTGCAGTGGAATATGCAGCGAGATGCTGGGCGCCTCGAGCTCCTCGCCGGGGCGGGCCTTGCCGAAGTCGAGGATGGAGCGCTCGTTGCCCGGGCCCGAGGGTAGCGGAGGAAGGGCGTCCTTGAGGCTGCTAATCTGGGGCGAGGAGGACGACGCCGCCGAGCTGCGGGCCTTTTTAAGGTGCGAGTCGCGCTCCTGTTGGACGACGGCGGCGATCTTTTTGTTGTTGCTCTGCGCCGGTGCGGCGGGCGCGGCGGGTGTTGTCGAGGCGGCCGAGGACATGGCGCTGGGGATGGAGGTCATGCTGGTGAAGGAGATGGTCTTGGACTCGGGTTTGCTAGCTGATACGGGAGCTGGGGTAGGCGGTGGGCCACGCCTTGCCTCGGTGAGCGTAGGTTTGGGCATCCACTGAGGCGCGTTCCGCACCGCGTTGGAGGGTGACGGAGGCACCGACGTCGAGTCCTGGAAGCGTGGCTGAGAGGTGGGGTTGGTGTACGAGGGACGAGGCGACATAACAGTGGGGGCTGGCTGGGGATCCACCAGGCTGGCAATCGAGGGGGAAGCGCTGGCCCGGTTGATTATCTGGGTGGGCGCGCGGGGTGAGCCCAGCTGCCCCGTGCCGTAAGGGTCACGCGTCGTCACGGATTCCCGGATGGGATCATAGTTGCCCCTGATAGGGTCAAACATCTGCCTGGCCGGTGCGGCGGGTTGGGGTTTGGGCTGGGGCTCCTCGTTGAGCAGATTCTGCATGTTCATGGACCCGTAGCCGCTCTCACGCTTAGGGGCCGGGGGCGCAAAACCAACATCGGTTGGGGTGGAGCGCGCATCAAGGGCCATGCGCATCGGGGTGAGCTCAGTAATCTTGGCCTGGCGAGGCGGGCCCGAAGCGGACCTAGCGTCCATCTCTTCGGTGGCATCGCTCGCCTCGGTGGCGGCAGCCTTACGTTTCCTCTGGGCAGGAGGGGCATTGGGGTCCTTGGGCTTCCGTGGTCGACGTTGTCTGGGCTGGTCGGGGTTGGTGGAGCTGCCATCGGCGGGGACTTTGGGCTTCACGGTGCTGCCGGGTTTCCGGCCAGGCTTCTTCCGGGGAAGACCGGCGGCGGTCAGCGGGACGGTGGGGGGGGGTTCGGTGGGTTGCTGCTGCTGCATGATCGAGAAGCGGGCTACCGAGCTGGGATCGACGATGATCTCGTCCATCTCAATGTTGGCTCGGCCGGCGTTGAGAATCCTGGTGGGAGAGCCGGGCTCCGATTCAGGGCCAGTGGGAACCGACGACAGTGATGGCGACGAGCTGTAGTGCTGTTGTTGTCGGTGTTGAGGTTGCTGCATTTCGAAACTCGGTCCTCCACTCTCTGCCATTCCTCGTGCGGGCCTAGGTTTTGTCCAAGGAAGATGCGATAACTTTGCCTCTTGCACAAGCTTCCGCTGTTGGTGACGGTGTGCTGCCGGCCTTTCTTGCCTGTGTTGCTAACAATGCCGCGCGGACACTCCAACAAAGCGGCGCCAACTGCCGCCAGCACAAATAACGTAACAAGTCGTCAATGGTGCTCAGGTTGTTGAAGCAGCTCTTCAAAGTCTTTGGCTGCCTTTGATAGGCTGCTCGGAACCCAGAGCTAGGGGCAATACCTGAGCTTTTTGGGGACCTGTTGCAGAAACAAAAAGACCTTGTGATTGGCTGAGCGACCAGAACGGTGGGGCTGGTGCTAGGGTCGGTTGGGCTTGGTTGCTCCTCCAGGGTCCGCGCTGGAGAGGACGAGTTGCACCTCTGAATGGCTTCGGCTCTGCCAACGCTGCAAAACCAAAATGCCGTCGGCGACAGATTTCAGGTAATAGGGCCCGCGTGCGTCGATGCAGTCTATCAACGCCGAGGATTTAATTCAGCAGAATCCGCTGAATCTAAATATGAGGTTTGCGCGATGGACAGAAGAGAAGGAGGTGGCGGTCGAGATGGGTTTTGCACGCTGTATCCGAAAAGTTGGTGGTGTTGAGTGTGTCTCTGGAGTGGAAGAAAAAGAGTAGAAAGGTTTGGGGGATGCGGAAGAGGCGAGAGACGACGGGGATGGGCTCAGTTTTTGGAACATTTCCATTATTTCGCAGCGGGCGAGGAAAATCGGGGCCCTGACCACCTAAGAACTGTCACGGACGCAAGGGAAATTTTGATCTGGAAAAGCGAATTAAAAACACCAGGTCCTGCGGGCTGGTAAGCTCGAAGGGGGGCCGTAGAACGGCATGGCGGGGTGGTCGAATGGGGAAACACGATTGAACGAATGTGAGCGCATGGAAAACGCCGGATGGAATTGGGAGAGGTGCATTGACGAAGAGAAAGGGGACACAAGGCACGGTGAAACTAAAGGGAACAGGCAGCTTGTAGAATGGCGCCAAGCGATGGCCCAGAAAGGGGCATGGAACGGGAAGACAGGCTCACATCACCTCGCCCAGCTGGCAACGGCGGGTACGGTGGTCGTTCCAGTCGATACGCAAGACCAACACTGTGACCAGGTAATGTACAGTGCCTAGCGCAACGAATGATGGAAACGGGAACCGGAAGGGAAATCAATGCTCGTCGTCTGTCGTCGATCATCAACGAACAGCCGGCACCAGGGCTGCAAATGTGAAAAGTCTTGGCCCACCCGAGAATCAGTTCCCGGTCGGCTCACGGGCTTCGCAGTTCAGGGGGCGTGACATGGATCTCAATTAAGAAACGTTCGAATGTGGGGCCTAAGGCTTCCGTGCCGAGCGCGCGGAAGAGGCGCCCGTACCAGGTACCTAGAGGATACTTTCAGCTCGAATTCTCCTGCCCTTCTCTGCAAAGCCCTGTCTTGTAGCTATTGGTACCTCGTTTCCGCGTTTGAATGTGGTGGGGTGCTGCGTACCATCTTTCAAGCCGCTGACCCCACACTCTCAAAGACAACAACCGCGGAGGTGTAGGATTAAATTTACACAACGGGCCACGGTCGTTTCAATTGCAAACCGCAGCCTGACGAGTGGTCAACGGGACCGAGGGGGTTTCAATTACCATATGGGGAGCGATTATTAAGTAAGACGACTTGCCTGTACTACGGTATAATGCCTCAACAGCATTACCTTACATATTTTGTGATGGTTTCACACTTGTTTGAGTGCAAAATTGCAAACAAGCTGTAGGACGCTATCAGTATACGACGGATTCGCAGCACAGCACCCGCCCGCAATTGTCTCTTGCAAGATGTACATTCGTGTTGATGTGTCGAATCTCGCCAACCATTGCCCAAACCAACGGAATGGCTTGAAGCGCACTGCTTCGTTGCAAGAAGCTAGTACCAAATGTGTTCCGGATACACGATAGCACCATGGAAGTTCCACAAGTGTGGGCCGCCAGCAATCAGATAATATAAACCAAGTGCAGAACGGACCGAGCTTAAATCAGTCAACCCGACCACATTCCGAGACCATCTTGCAGCCCGGCGAGTTGGACACCCTCGTGAAAATGGATATTACCTTAGAGGTCCACGATATCAAGGAGCGAGACATCAGTGACATCACGCCGCCCGTCTTCCCAACAGTGCCTGCGCCATCAGCCACGGGCTTCCCCGCCCACAAAACGCGAGCGTCGGCCTTCAAGCAGCAGCGACAAGGGAAACCAGCCTCAAACCAGACATTTCGTTCATCGAGACAACATGACGGAACCTCAAAGAGAGACACGAAGTTGGATGAGCGTCAAGGCATTGACGAGGAGAACAAGGCGATGCTAGACTCCATGTCGCCCGACGAGATCGCAGACGCCCAAAAGGAGCTCTTCAGCAACTTGGATCCCGATTTCATCCAAATGCTGCTAAGGCGCGCAAATCTTGACGAACAAGACGGGCCGTCGCCCTTCGACGTGGCGCCCCCTCAGGGCCCATCCAATGCGGATCACATCCCCCCCGTGAAGCCACGGCCAGTCACGGTGGAAGACGAGGCAAAGACCTCGCCCGAAGTCGACTCGAACGCGCTCCCGAAACGCACCCAAAGCAAGCCCAAGAAGTCGGTCACCTTTGATGATGACGCTGCACCGCCCGTCCCACCGCCCGACCTCTTTCCGGTGAAATCCATCCCCCGCCTCAAAACCGACGCCTCCGAGCCTCAACCATACGACGACAACAACAACAACCTCCCACCCGACACCCCTCACAACACGCACTTCCCCCGCCCGCCGCCCGTTCCCGACCTCGACCCGTCCAACCCAGACTTCCTCGAGACCATGCACAAGAAGTTCTTCCCCGACCTCCCCGCCGACCCGTCCAAACTAGCCTGGATGGCGCCCGTCCCCACCCCGGACTCGACCGCCGACCGCGAGTCGCCGTACTACCCGGGTCAGGACTCGCTCCCCGTCTCGGCCCTCCGCTTCGACTTCCGCGGCGCCCTGCTGCCGCCTCGCGTCAGCCGCGCCATACCCGTGACCAAAGGCCTGCACCACCATGGCGAGGCGCCCGAGGCCGCGGGTTACACCATCCCCGAGCTGGCGCGCCTGGCGCGGTCGTCTGTGCCCGCGCAGCGCTGTCTGGCGTATCAGACGCTCGGGCGGATGCTGTACCGGCTTGGGAGGGGGGACTGGGGTTCCGGAGCGGGAGGGAGGGGTGGGGAAGAGGACGATCTTGCTTTTGCGCTGTGGAGGTGCTTTAAAGAGGGCAGGGTGCTGGAGAGTTTGGAGATGGAGGCTGGGCAGCCTGAGGGGAAGGGGCATTTGAGCTGCAAGGCATATGCGACGGAGGCCTTGTGGTTGTTTGAGAAGGGCGGGTGGAAGGAGAAGTGGAGGGGGTTGTAGCATGCTGAGAGAAGAGGAGGATGGGGTTTTGGCCGGTTTACTGGCCATCGTGCGGTTAAGGAGCCAAGGACGTGCCTATATGAATATACCGCCTCGGGACGGATGTCCTTGAATCGGGATGTATGTTCTTGGATGGGGGCCTCTAATCATGAGAGAAACAGCTGTGCATTTGTCAGGCCTAGTCCGCTGGCAATGGGCAATGCAATCAGCAACTGCACTGCGGTACGTCGTCTGACAAGCTAATCACTTAGCACTGGCACGGAAGATGCCCGAGTACATAACCAAAATCAAGACTCTATTCTCGATGATACTGAAGCAGAGATTTGCTGTCTCCTCAGTTGATGGGGTTTTGTCCCAAGCTCGGCATCCGCCCTCTCCGTTTCCCAACCACCATCAAGCCTTCGGATCGGTCGAAATCCCTAGATTCCCGAAGCACGCGAGGACATTGGGCTTCCGGTCATAGCGAACGCCCTCGTCTGTTTGCCACCCACCATTAGCACTTACACTGGTCGGAGGGAGATGTAGAAGGAGGGAGAGCAAACTTACTCAGATCCAACGACGTCTGTCTCCAACCGCCCCAGACGTCCCTGCACGAACATTCGATCCACTGGGGATCAAAGTGCGACTCTTGCAGTCCTTGCAGCTGGTAGCGATGGCGTTGCCCCTGGATTTAGGTAACAAGTCAGCCCATCCATCCATTTCAATCTGCAACACTCTCTGCATGTAATATGGAAGTGAGGCAACAGAAGAGAAGTGGCCCGAGGATAGTAGATAACCTACTTGTCCTGCCAAGTCAGCGCCCCGTTGTAGTTATCGAGGCACAGGTTGAGGTCGAGCGACGTGCCATGCAGCATGTCGAAGATGGTGTCGTCGCCGCACTTGCCGGTGAGGCGCCGACGTTGACGCCACGTTCATTCACCTCGTAGACATCTACATCGTGAGTTTAGCCCAACCTAGTCTCGCAGAACGAATGACCATTCGTCATGGAAACATACAGCAGTGCGGAACAAAGCCGCCACCCTCGGCGGGGGGATCGCCTCTCGCAGCAAGACGCTCCGGAAAAGCCGTGACAGCTACGGTGGCCGTGGTGGCGAGGAGGACGAGGAACTGCATGTTGATGGCGATGATGATGTATGAGATAGTTGGTGACAGTTTCGGAATCTGCTGCCGCAAGAAGAGTAACGCAACAGAAATCGCCAGGCAGCTGGCCTTCAGCACTCTCTGAAAGCTTCCATGCGCTTTCGTCCCAACACAACAGGCAAACCCCACGTTCTTGCCTTGCTAGTGGTCAGAGCCCTCATATGCTTCGAGTTCTTTAGACAAAGCCCCATCCTACGGTGTCATCCCATAGCAGCGAGTCCATGTTGATGGCCCAGCTAGCGCGAAGAGTATACGTCCTTCACCCGGCATTGAGCCACACCACACAGATGTCACACAACCAGAGGGCACCAGCGGCAGCTGAACAAAGCCCTCGTACCAAGGTAACAACCAAGCAGAGCATAAAACGCAGAACACGACTTCATGACGGCATCAACCGAACCAGCGAGGGATCACAAACCCCCTCCCCAATCTTTATCCCCAACAAACAAACAACCCTCCCTCCATCCAACTTCCCACCCATGTATATATACCTCACAAAGGAAACAGCCCTCCATTCCAAGCCAAGCCCCAAAGTCTGATAACCCAGAACCGACCTCCAACAGCCCATCCCGCACAACAACCCAAACCCGGAAACACGCCATAACGAAACACACTTCCTACCCCACACGACGGATCGACGCAGGAGTAATGGGGGTCTAACAGAAACACCACAGATATTAACAACCGACCCATCACAACAGCAAACAAAGAAGGAAGGCAGGTCCCTTCAACCCCTTTCCCAAAACAACGCCCACCACACTAGACGGACAAGTCCACAAAAACCAGAACAACAGGACAACCCCCCTTTTCATTTCGGGCGGTGCGGAAGAACAGAAGTTGAAGCAGCACGAACCTGTTGGTGTTGTTGGTGCTGTAAATGCCCCCTCGCTTGCTGCTGGTGCTGCCCTTGCTGTTGTTGCTGACTCTGGCCCTGGCGACGGCCGCGGTCGATATAATCCTTATTCTCAATCGTGACACTCTTGGTCATGTGATTGACCTTGTAGACCCCAACCAGGCGGGCGGCGAGCTCAAACATGTTGTTGCGCAGCGAGATGACGATGAACTGGGCGTTTTTGGTGCGCTCCTTGATGTAGTTGGCCACGATGGACACCTGGGGGCATCATCAAATCATATTAGTCATCTATACGTATCGTTCGCCCCGGGAGCGGTTTTCGGCGACGTGGGATAACGCGGGAAAGAAGAAGAAGCAAGTGGGAAATGGGAAATGGGCTGAAGGGGAGGACTTACATTCCTGAAATCCAACGCGGCATCAATCTCGTCCATGACATACAGCGGCGTCGGCTTGTAATGGTGCAGGGCAAACACGAGCGCCAGCGAACTCAACGTCTTCTCGCCGCCCGACAAGTTACTAATATTCTTCCACGACTTCTTGGGCGGCATGACACTGAACAGGATCCCCTCGCTGAACGGGTCGAGCGAGTCGACCAACTCGAGCTCGGCGTTGCCGCCCATGGTGATCATCTGGTACATCTCCTTGAGCCGCAGCGAGATGGTGCTGAACCCCTCCATGAAGCCCTCGAGGCGCAGCCGGCGGAGGTCATCGCAGCGCTTCTTCGCCCCGTCGCGCTGCGCCACGGCGCTGGCGAGGTCCAACGAGCGCGCCGCGTGCTCTTCGACCCGCCGGCGGTACTCGGCCAGCACGCCCAGGTCGACGTTGACGTTCTGGATCTTCTCCTCGAGCGCAGCGATCTCGGCCTCGAGATGCTTCTTGTTCATGCCCGCCAGCTCGTCTTTGCTGTACTGCGGGAGTTCCAAGGGCGCCGACTGGCGCTGGTCGTGTGTTGACTGGGTCATGGTGGCGTCCTCAATCTCGGCTTGTAGTTGCGCGTCAGCGTCCTGCATGTCCACATCTCCGTCCCCATCCTGGGGAGCTTGAGGCGGGAGCGGAGCTGCTGAACTGCCGCCCGACTCCAAATCCGCGATGTTTTGCAGGGTCAGTTTGGAAAGCTGTTGTTCCCAATAGCGCCGCTTCTTCTGGTTGTCGGCAAGGACCTTCTGGTTCTCCTCCAGCTTGTTGCGCATCTCAATTTCGACCGCGCGCGTCTCATTCAGCTCGGCCGTCTTCTCATCAAGTTCAGCCTTCATCTCGGCCAGCTCCCGCTTCTTGGCCGACAGAGCCTCCTTTGCCTGCTCGACCCTGGTCTTAAAGTTCTCGGCCTCGTCTCCTTGGTTCTGGATCTCCTCCTCCAGGTTCTCAGACTCCTGGGTGGCGGCCTCGAGCTCCTTGGTGGCCTTGGCGTGGTCTTTTCTGAGCTTGACGATCTGTTTCTCGGCCTTGGCTTTGCGAACCTCGGCATTCGACATCTCTTCGTTCTGGGAGGTGATCTCCTCCTTGAGTGCATCCACCTTGGCTCTCTGAGCGCGGAGCTTCTCGCCGCCAATCTCCATGATCTTGTCCTGCAGCTCCTTAATCTCGTCCTCCACACTCGATGTCTCGCCATGCAATTTCTCAACTTCCCTGTTGAGCTTAGCAATCTCCTTTTCGAGGGCGACAATGCGGCTGTCGTCGGCCTTGGAGGGCTGGTGCTCCTTGGCAAGTTCCTTAATTCTGCGCTGAGCGTCTGCCAGATTCCTTTGTGAGCTGTCCATGTCGAGCTGGATCTTTTGCATCTTGGTGTCGAGTTCCGGAATCTGTTCCTTTAGGGTGCGGATCCGAACCTCAAGCTCTCGCTGACGTTCCTGTAACTCCTGGAATGCTTGCTCGAGAACATCGCGATCCGCCTCCAGCTTGACAACCTGCTCCTTGCTCGTGTCCGCAACGAGTTTGGAGGACATGAGCCCCTTCTTGACGGTGGTACCGCCACCGGACATGGTACCGGACTTGTCAATCAGTTCCCCGGCAAGCGTGACGACACGCCACCTCTTGGCGCCGTAGGCGATGCGGTTCGCCTGAGCCAGGTCCTTCGCTACCAACGTGTCTTGCAGAGCATGGTAGAAAGCCGGCCTGAACTTGTCGTCCTTGGGCTTGATCAGGTCAAACAGGCGTGGCGCATTCTCTGGCGTCTGGATGGGGGACAAGTCGCGGACTCTCAACTTGTCAAGACAGATGAAGTTGCCACGGCCAAGATTCGTTTTCCTCAGGTACTCGATGCACTGCTGGCCCGCCTCGACAGTGTCTGTGACAAAGTTGTCGAGCGCGCCACACGCTGTGGAGATAGCGACGTCGTACATCTGGTCGATGGTGCCTAGATTGCCGAGCCGGCCATGGAATCCGTCGATACGGCCGGATTCCTTCATGCGCATCAGCGCGGCGAGAACGTTGCCCTGTGTCTGAGTGGCAGAGAGACTCGACCGCGCCTCTTCCGCCTTCTGCCGGGCATTCGAGAGCTGCGCGCGAAGCTTGGGCTCTTCTTGAGAGAGCTTCTCCAGCTCGGCCACGGCTCTCCTGCCCTCCTTTTGCAAGGCAGCCTTGTCGACCTGGCACTGCTTGAGCTCCTCTGTCTTGGCAGCCTGACTCTCTTCGATGGCAGCGATCTTGACCTGCATCTCCTCGAGGGCAACCGCGCCGGCATTGGCCTTTTCTCGCAGAATGGCCATCTCACTTTCGGCGACAGCAATCGCAGATTGCTTCTGATTGATCTTGTCCTTCCAAGGCTCGAGCGACTTTTGCTTCGCAGCAATCTGGTCGGAGAGATGCTGAGTCTTGCCCTTGAGGCTGTCTCGGATGGTCGCCAGTTCGGCCTCTTCCTCCTTGACACGCTGCTCCAGAGAAGCGATCTCCTCAGCGCGTGTCTCGATTTCATGCGCGCATTGCTCAATGGTCTGCTCGGCCTCGAAAGCAAAGCCTTCGGCGTTGGCGATGGTCTTCTCCAACTTCTTCCGCTTGTCAGCCAGGAACTTGCGCTTCTCGTCGAACTTGACGCGCTCTTGGTCGAACTTGATCATTTCCTGGATCAATGCCTGGGCTTCCTTCTCCTGAACCTCGTAGTCCTTGCTGCCTCTCGAGTAGCCCTTCTCAAGCTGCTTGATGATCTGCTCGCTCCCGTGGTGCTTCTCGAGCTCAGCGTCAAGCTGCGACTGCATCTGATTGATGGCCTCCTCCGTGACGGCAGTATTGTCGTCGCATTCGCCGACATAGATCTGGTACAGCGCAGATTTCTTCGAGACAAGCTCGTTCTCATCTCGGATGTACGCCAATGCCTTGTCCTTCTTGTCCTCCAGGCTGTTCTTCTCCTTCTCGACATGCTGGACACGGCCGCTCTTTTCCATACAGACCTCGTTGAGCGTCTCCACCTCGGCAGCTGCCTCCTCGATTGGGGTCTTGTACTTGGATGTCCCGATGATATCCTCGAGATATTCGAGGAGGCCGTCGTCGTGCTCGTTGGCAGCCTTGGGCTTCATCTGCGCGATCGACTCGACCTCACCCTGAAGAATCAGAAAGCGCTTGTGGTCCAGATCCACGCCGCGGTCCCGCAGCAAAGTGGTCACGGTCGTGAAGTTGGACGACTTGCCGTTGATGTAGTACTGACTGGAGTTGTTCTTAAAAGCCTTGCGCGAGATGACTAGATCCGAGTCTGGGATGACTTCATGGTCACCGCCGGGCAGGTCTATGACTTCGCGGAAGTGCACGGCGACCTCGCAGTAGTCTAGGTCAGGATATTGGGCAGAGTTGTGAATCAGGGCGGAAATTTTGCCCTGTCTCATCTTGCTGGCTCGGAAGCCGAACACAAAAAGCAATGAGTCGATGACGTTGGACTTGCCGGAGCCGTTTGGCCCGACAACTGAAGAGAACGACGCATGGAATGGTCCCACTTCTTGCCTGCCGGCGTAGCTCTTGAAGTTTGTGAGGATGAGGTAGGTGATTACGATGCGCGGCTTCGGGCCGGTATCCTCCACCGTCGGCATGGCCATGGTACGCGACTTGAGCATGATGTCCATGGGCTTCTCGAGGATGGTGTCCAAGACCTTGATGGGCTTGGCGGTGGCCAGCACCGTCTCGTCTTCCTGGCGGCGCTGTTCGTTGGTGGCGGCGGTTGTGATGTCGGCAAATGGCACGCTGTGAAAATTCGCAGGCGACACCGAGGCCTTTGGGGAAACAAGTGGTGGCTCGAGTTCGGGAGTGGCCGACTTGCCGGCGCGAGGCGCGACACTCCTCCGCGTCGTTCGGGGCTGCTTCTTGACTGGAGCATTTCCGTCGTCTGGCGATGCCGTCGTTGCTGTGGTCGCTGTCTGGTCGGGGTCGAACACCTCGCTGGGCTCGACGATGGAGGGCGGCGCAACACTGCTCCTATTCTTCGGCGGGCGACCACGGCGCTTGGGTGCTGGCGCTGAGGCCGAGGATGGTTTTCGTGTTGGCGGTTCGGCCGCGGCCGTGATACTCCTCCTAGCGGTTGAACGACGGGGGCTAGCTGCTGGCGCAGGTGTGAAGTCGTCTCCGCTGTCCTCGGCAGCTTGGGGCGCGTTTTCTCCGTCCTCGTCTGAAGAATCGACGATCGTGGTGCGACGAGCCGCAGCCCGTCGTGTAGGTCGCGTTGACATGGTGATAGTTATCAAGTGAGGAAGAAACCAGTTGCGCTCGACAACTAATATGTCCCAAATGAGATGCAACCTGCAAGGTAAACAAATGTGGTCGCGGTCGCTGATGCGCCCCGCTGTTGTAAACAATTGCAGCCACAGCTCAAGCCACCCAGCCCCTCAATCCCGACGCCACATCTCGTGACAACGCGGTAAGCGCGCTGGAAGTCTAACCTCTGCCAAGACGGGAGTTGTTGACCAAGGCTCCAAGCTTCTACTCCCGAGACGAGAGTTTGAAGCTTACCAAACAATCTTCGCACACTCAAATCCGAACGCCAAAATGTTGGACCTTTTCCAGTTCAACGCTGCATTTCCGACCGACGGACCGAAGCCATACGATCAAAATGGCGTCCGACAGATTGAGACATTCCGGAAGACCTTCGACGGCATCCTGTTCATCGACCGCGTGCTGAAGGCGCTCGGAGTCGGCGAAGGTGCGCACAACCCCCCCTCTTCCAATGTACTTCTACTGACCGACACTCGACCAGGCAAAGCATACCCACCACGGGGCGACAGCGGGCTCCAAGCCCTGCACCAACAAATCTGCGAGGCCAAAGTCTCTCCGCACGCCAAGCTCTCCGTCTTCTACTACCTCCTCCTCGACTACGACGAGCTCCGCGGCGCGCGCTCCAACCTCGCCGAGGCACTCGCCGAGGAATCCGGCCTCCCGAAAAACTACCAGATCCTGATGCGCGGCCTCTGGCACATGGACCGGCGCGAGTTTAAGTTCGCTTTGGAGCACCTCGCGCACCCGTCCCTGCCCTCCGAGTTCGCGGATGACATCATCACCGTGCTCGTACGCCACGGCAAGTCATCGTCGGCCGCCGCCGCTGAAGACGACGACGACTACAGCCTCCCCCTCGCCTACTACCACACGGTACAACCCATGCTACAAACCTCCGAAGCGCTCGAGCTGCTCTTCGGCGCGCTGGCGCGCACAAGCGTCACCTCAGCGCTGCGCTTCTCGCGCGCCTACCCGGATCACGCGCGACAGCAGCTTTTCGAAAAACTGGTGGCGTCGGTGCTGGAGCACCCGCAGGCTGGCGGCGCGCGCGGCAGGGAGCTTGTCAGTCTGCCGCTTGACCGAGCTGAGGAGAAGTGGTTCCAGGAGTATATCGCGTCTGGTGAGGGAAGGAGGAGCAAGAATGCCAAGGTGGTTGCGCAGATGAGACAGGTTGTCACAGGCCGGCACCGCGGGCTAATTCCGGTGGGGGGTCTGGGTGGGCAAGGGGCTGGTGCTGTTCGGGCAGGTCGGTGACGAACGCGAAGGAATGAGGTGTCTGTTTTCTTCTTTAATAATTTGTAGTTTGGTAGAGGTACAGCAGCATAGCGATGGCGTTTAGGCTTTGTCGGATACCACACTGGTGATTGAGGGAAAAAACTCTCGCACTGCGTTTTCCTACATCTAGAGATCTCTCCACAAAGGAAATGCACATTCTTGATGTCTTTTTGAAATGGCGGAAGGCAGCTCAAACTTGATCTTGAGTACAAGTGCTCATAAACCGCCCCAACAACCGAGGCTGTCGTCTTTCTGGGATCTGTAAGAATGCTTTTCGAAGGAAGGACCCTCATTCTCTCAGTATACATGTAATACTTTTACTCTATATGTGTGTAGCTCCTTACGTGCAGGAGGAGTGTGGGATAAGCTTACCCTGCTTCCAGTTCTAGCTGAAGTTGACCTTTGAACAGGACATTGGGGTATCTTCACCCTTCCTTCGTTATGAGGTGACTGAAGGAGATTTGTCGTACTGGATATCCATAATGCATGCTTCGGAGAGCTTGCTTTATTTAGGCTTAGGGGGACGTGGAAACATTCTGGAGGTCCTGCACTCTCGCTAGTCTTCTCGTTTGCTCATCCTTTATCATGAAGGTGGGAGGACTGTGTCGAGTGTCAGACACCGCACATGCAATACCAGTTCTCTCCCAAGTCATCAGTCTTGCCTCCTGCCTGTATCAGGCTTCCCAGGGCACCCTTCTCGCTCAAGTAGGGATTTTACCACGATGAAAGCGGCCCATCTACTGGGCATGAAAGGTCAGAGGATGCCCAACTTGAGCCCTCTTGTCACCATATTGAGCCGCTCTTATTACTCGGCGTTATTAGTCAGAACCATATATGACACGGCAGTTCATACCGGTATTTATTCAGCATCTCTTCGAATTTACTCGACTTGCTTTGCCATCCCCTGTGAGATACCCACACGTTCCCGACGTTTGGGCTTGGGGGGGGGAGGGAACGGGTGGACCACGCCGGTGATCGCGCGGATCGCCAGGCGGAGCTTATGATACGTAATGGTGTAGCACAACCAGCATAGGTAGGAGTACAATATATAACCATGAGGTGAGGTTCATCTGGGCCCGCGCATGGGATTGTCTGGGCATGTCCCGGCCCGCCGAGGCTAAACCCTGCAGCCAACTTCAACCGCTCAACCTTACCCAAGTTGGAGGGACGTTGTAGCGCCTCGGTTGCGAGCTTGGCCGCTTGGTTTTAATCTCAAGCCGTGTGCAGTCCGGGCTTGAGGGGGCGTTGTTGGTTCTCGGGATGCTTGGCTGCGGAGAGTGGATGATGCCGGGATTAGTTTCATCAGCGACGACTGACCGAACGAAGAGTACTACGTCTCACGGCCACCTTCCACCTCGGACTTGTTTTCGTAGTCAAGGTAAGTTGTTGAATGTCACTCTGAGCGGCACAGAACCGGACCGACGTTATGTTGTTGGTTCCGCACACTACCACCTTCCGAAAGACAACGGGCCGAAGCCCCTCAGGTCCGTGATAAACCCGGCCTCAGCGGCCATACTGTTCCTCTCGTCCCTGGGCTTGCACTGAGAAGTACTGGCTGAACGGCAGCACAAGGATAGATGTCTGTGGTTGGGCGATCTGACCCCGAGTCCTCGACGTGTTGGCGCGGCCGGATGAAATGGCAGGGCATAACTAAAACATAAAAGTCTCCTCGAGCGTACAAACGCGGCCCAAGACCAAAGTCAGGCGATGTGCTTCTTGGCTTGACTTGGCCGTGCTGCTTGGCTCGGCTCGAGCGGGAAAAGGAAGAGGGAACCAAGGGGGTTGCCGATAAACATTGCTGATTTCTACATTGTGTACACGTATGCGTATTTTGCTCAAGGCGAGCCTTGGGCGACGTGCAAAAATGGATGGATATATGGTTGAGTTACATTGTATCGTGGTTGGTTGGCATTACTTGTGTGTACCGTTATTTGGTTCTAGTTTTCACCTCTCTGAAGTCATCCACTCGGCTGCCAGTCATCAAATTGCCAACTACCGCGCGGTATCTGTATTTGGCGCTGATGGGGAGACTTCGGAACAACTCGAGAAGGATTGAAGAAGAGGCTCGAACAACCTTGATGTTGCACAACGGTTTGGGTGCGGCGATCATGATCCGTATTTTTTCGAGAGCGCGGTCCACTTTGAGAGGAGGTTCCACTTGGGCAATAAAGTTGTGACAGCTCGAGCCGCAAGTCAATTGCGACGGAGGTGGCCTGACTCGCGTCACAAATGCTTCCAACGGTTGCAGCACGACAAATGCATGTTCAACCTACCCCCCATGTCACAAGGACGCGTCAGCTTCTGTTGGAGCGTACAATACAGTGCAGCGATAGGACTGATCAGCCTTTTGTTTATCAAAACAGAGCAGTGCCGCAAAAGCTTGCGAGGGGACACGGTGACATTCTTTGTTCCGGGCGAGCTTGCGATGTCTGAGAACGTGTCCAGTTTTGGCATGGATGGTTGCCCCTCGGCCATGGCCAAGGTTAAGCACAGCGAGTGTTGGCTCGTTGGGCCGAGGCAAAGAAAGTCACCTCGTATGATGGAGAGTCCCAGCTGCAAGGGTTGTGGTGTGTGAACCGGTTTACAAATTTTCCTTGTCCTCCTTGGTCATGTTTCGAGTGTTTCCTCTGCCGTGTGCAACCAGCGAGAAAAAGTTGAACCAGGCATCCCGCTCCGCCACGTGAGGCTGGGTGTCCTAATGGCGAACCAACGACTTAAGCTTAAAGCGGGTTGAGTGCGGGGTTCATTGCGATTGGCGAGCCATCGATGACACAAAAGCACTCCATGTCTCGGAACTCCCTACTCTGTACGGATTATTGAGGGAACAGAACAGCACTTGCGGCGATTTGTCTATTGGGGCATACCCCCGTCTACGGGCACAGCCGTTAAGCCCCTTTGGATACAAAGCCCCACCCACAAGCTGCTTGGCCAAGCTCCGATGTGGGGCCAAGCCCGCAAACTCCAGCGCTGGGTGTGTTGGACTTGCGTACCGGGGCCTTAGGAGGTATACACAAACTAGTGTACTTAGGCCTAAAGTATATAGTGCATTGTAATGGTTGCGATTTGTATGATCGAAATTCGACTGACTATCTATTCAACTGAAGTAGCTAAGTAATGAAGTGAGTAGCCTTGATTGAATATGACAGTTGGTGTTGGCTGTAAAGTCTTGGTGCGGCTTAGAGGTGGGCCTCAAACCAAAAAGAGGCTTTAATGGCTGTGCACCGAAGGCAGGTGGGGCTGTCCAAATAGACAAGTCGACTTGCCGCCTCAGAGAATGTTATAAGATCGCCTATTCCAAGTTTATTTGTTTTAATGCTTCCTCGACATCTTTGTTGTAGTCATCTGTTTGCATTTTCGTGACATCACTTGCCAAAAGCACCTTCGAGTTCGGTACCTTCGCTTTGCCCGTAATTACGGAGTAACAACGCACCGATTTCATGATGGAAGAGCGGCCGCCAGACGTCTCGCGCCCCACGGGGCTGGGCCGCACACACAAACTCCATCGCCGCCATAATTTCGATTCTGTCGAAGGGTGGGTTCTGGGTCCCTTGGAACACACCAAAAACACGACCCGAGAGGCTGCGTTGTGTGCGGCTTGGTGCAATACAGCTGCGCCAAGTCCTGTAAGTTGCTGTTTGTCCAGATGCTTGTTGCGGGCGCCCTTCAGCAGTGAGGTGCTCACGCCCGCTTGTGGGGGCCACGACGGGGAATTTTGGGTGCCGAGTCCGAGGCCTCGCCTGCAAGTCCTTTTGAGTGCTTATGAAATGGGGCCAAAAGACTGCTTCCCCTGGACGTGTAGGTACTCCGTACTGCGTTGGCTTTCGCGGTCCGCTGCAGAACAAAGGTCCCTGCAGCAAGAACGAACGAAAGGCCTGGCGGCAGCCTTGGCCTCGCATCTTTGCAATCCGAACAATCCGAGTCAGCAAGCCGACATCTTGGCCGCCGCGATACGGATACGGATACCAGCTCGCGATGGTGCCTTCATCCCTCGGTCCTCAGCCATCCTCCTCTCCACGGCAGGCATCTGGACGCCCGCTTTACGCCCGAGATGCTGTGCGGGATTGTGGGAGGCTTGTTGTTTGTACGGTTTGCTGAGTGACCGACACAGGCAGCCCAATCAATTCCCGTGGTAATACCCTTTTTCCAGCTGGCACCCAACCTTGTGCAACAATCCTTCTGTGCACCACAAGGTTAGCCGCCTGATCGTGCTGCCTTGCGTGACACAGCAAACGGTCTCGAAATGAAGCCAGATAGGCCAAGAGGCGGACCTGCTAACCGACTGACCGATACTCATGCGGAATCCCCGGCTGGCTGAAGGGCGCCACTTGAAGTCCGGACCCGAGTCCCAAGCGGCCTGGGCCAGGGTTGTTTCGGGTTGTCTCGATGACTTTAACCTTAAACAGACGACTGCCACCCGCCGCGCAGTCGGCTAGAACGGGCGATGACGGGATGAAGTACCCAGTACGCACAAGTAGATGTCCTATAAGCGTCAAAGGTGCGGAATCAAAACTCACGAGCGTTTTGTAGTCTGCAATTCGCCGTGGCGGGTGGAAGGAGCAAGCGCTGCTGCAAGGTTTATTTTTCTTCTTTTTTCTTTTTTATTACGAGAGGATCCAGGCCATGATGTGCAAAGGCACCCGCAAGATTTGATGGGTTTGCCCGCTTACCTGGATGCCTGCGATCCTCAGGAGGGCGATGGAATCAGACACACCATGGAAAGGTAGTCCGGAATGGTCCCAAACCGGCAATCGCTCAGCGCGAATCACGTCTTGGCAATGCCATCTATGTACCGTGACGACAAACAGCGATAGAGGAGACAATGATAAGAGCCGCAAATTGTTCAGTCCGTTGAGGGATCGGAGACGGGGACTTGGTAACCCCGAAGTGCGGTAAGGTTTCCCGCTCAGAATTTGAACCCCTGACCGGACGAACGAATACGACTCAGCCCACACGCTAGTGGGTGAAGGATCTGAGTAAGTGCCAACACTAAACTGGAGCGTTCCATGACGGGTTGGCGCCATCGCGCCCTGAAAGTCACAGCACCCATTGGTTTCCATGTTGGCCGCTCGGCCTGCAGTTGGGCGTTGACCACAAGGGACACTACTGATTATTGAAGTCGCGATAACAAGCGAAACTCCGAGAGCGCCACTGCACTCAAGTAACAATTAATCCGTACCTCACAGCCAAATGCATGCCAACCACCCGGTTGCGTCTCGGCATAGCGTTGGTATGATGGATGAGATTTGTGGCAAAGCGTCAAACGCAACCCAGCCCAGAATTTTGCGCAAGCTGAAGGCCAAGGCTTGGAAGGAGGGGATACCAAGAACGCCAATGTGCTCGCTAAGGGGCCGGTCGGCGCGCCGTGAAATAAGCTTGAAATCCTCTTGCATTCCCATGACAATCCCGCTGGCAGATACATGGATCTCTGAAGCCGCTCCCGGACACGGCCATGCTTCCGTCTGTGCAGGCTCCCAGCTCCCTTGGTTCTGATGATACGCAAGGCTACAGAACAGAAAGACTTCACTTTGATGAAGATAAGGCTCGGAGGTAATGCATCTTAGATCCGACGAGCTAGCGAGTTGGCCAGGCCTCCATTCTCCCCCGACTTCGGGCAGGCAACCGACATCACAACCCGGGTGAGCCACCTCCTTTCTCTCACGGAGGAACAAGGCTTGGCTGGTCAAATACCGCTGGCGAGGCCAAGAGACAAGAAGATGGTGAGAAAGAACTGGAGCTCATTAGTTGCTCGGCGTGGCTCGGCATCTGGATGGTTGGGGGAGCGGTTTCAAGTCCAAGAACAGACAACGCGCCGATCAACTGCGCTGCTTTCATGAAATATTTCGCCAAAAACTCGCAATCAGCTATGAGATTTTTGTTTTTTTTTTCTGTATCTGACATGGTGTCTGTTTAGAATGTTGCGAAATCGCCTTCATCAGTCGGAATAAGCTGACGACAGCTGGTGGGGTCACCCAAAGGCGATTCTTTACCGCTTCTATCACACCTGAATTCCACACTTGATCATCAGTTCTGGCTTGGCTTTAAACCTGCTCCACTGCTTGGCTTGCCTTGGCCGCTTGGCGCCGGGCCCCGGCTGGCCTGAACGGGCAGAAGGAGCAGGCCAGAGCTTCGGGAAAGGCACTTTTCTGGGTTAGACCCATACGCATTTATATGCTTATTAATTGCCCGTCCAGGGAAGCAGCTCGGCCCCAACTTTAACGCGACTGCAAGTGGAGCTGAGCGGGGTTATGAGTGCCTCACATCTCGGTCTCTCCCATTCCATCCATCTGTGACTTATTCCAACCGGGGCACATTGTTCGAAGAACTCGGCTCAGCATCAACCGACTGATGACACACAACTCAGGGCATCATATCACGTCTTTTGGCCAGGCTGTAATGGAGCAGCGGACGCGCGAGATCGCGCAGTTCGCGTGAAGGATGTCCAGCAACGGTCGAGTTGGGCTATCCGACGGCAGTTGGTGTCCACTTAGTCCAATTGTCATGTTGGCAGCAGGTTATACATAATAAACAGTGGCCCGGGCAAAGTGCAGAAAGATGCGAGCCCTTGATGAATTGATGAATGCCAGGACGGATTCGATGGGGGCCAAACTGTAACGTGTATAAGGTGGTACCTTACGCGTGAGCCTCCCTCCCACTTTCCGAGACATACCTTGCGCCATTGGGCAGCAGCGTCATCACCTGCAGCCGATCCCCACCCTGTCAGCCGCTTACCACGGATCCCTCCCGACCTTATTTTTCAAGTGGTTGTTTTTGTTGCCTGAAACCGATCCAAGGCCCAACAAGGGCAAGAAAATCTGCATTTCGTGCGGTCTGAGGGTTCATGTTAATCCTTGAACTGCTTGACTCACATGTTTGACTTTCCAATCTGGATTCCTCGATATACCCGCCCATCCCCCCTCGAGATTCGAAGTACTCAACACATCTCACACTCCATCCCGGTCCCCACACCTACACAGGTAGCTACAGTCAGAGGTATGTGTTTGCATGTGTTTTTTCGTTGTTTCATTCCACAGCTTTGCTATCTACGGTATTCATCCCGGCCGTGGCCGGAAACACACTATCACCGACTTCTCTCCTGTGTGAGGTCCCTCGACCCGCCAGACCGAGGCGACACTGGGCGATATATGCCGTGTTCCAGGGTACATGGCTCGAAATCACCAACATCAACGCGGGAATCAGGCCCAACACTGAAAGCCATGGGGCATGGTTTTGTGTCGGGAGACAGGATGATGCGCTGGACAAACCCACAGCATCCGTGCTGTAACCCTGCACGTCTCGTGCTCCCTGCACCTACGTGGACGATGTCGAGGACCGCGTCGCCCTGCCAGGACAAGGATCTTCGGGAGGTGGTCTCCTCCCTCCCTTGGGAAGACCTTCCACCGCCGTGCTTGAAGTTTTCGGGGTCATCCTGGAGAAGGCATCCTGTGCCATTTCCTGCCTGCGCGAATCAACCGCGCGGCGTCATACCCCTGCCAAGCTGTGGATGCTCACACCTATCTGGCCCCATCGCCCACTGTCTCAGACTGCCGACTCCAACCACTCCTTCGTCGACGCCTTGATTGATTTATTTATTTGTTAGTCTCATTCTCATCTGAATCCTAGTCCTGACCACGTCGCAGTTAGCAATTCTGCAGTGTGACTTGGAAACTTACTGCACAAACGCCCGGTCCATCCTGCGACTCTCTTTGAACGTTTACCCCTCTCTGCGGCCTGGATGATAAGTCACGGTCCAGGGCTGAGGAAGAGACAGGAGGTCGAATCGAGCGGACCCGTTCGTTTATAAACGGCCCGGCAAAGCATCCCATGGAGGGCGAATGCGTAGCACCAACCGACCCCTAATGATGGAAACGTACTACGGCGTTGTGCGGACGCCCGCCGACGCCATCAAGCTCTTTGAGGCATGCAGGCTCGGCCTCCTACCGCGCGTCCAGAGGAGGTTATCGGAGAAGGAGCGATCAGCAATCCGCTCGGGCTCCGTCTTCGTGTGGGATGAGCGCGAAGCAGGAATGAGGAGATGGACCGACGGCAAGTCCTGGAGCGCCAGCCGTGTGTCTGGGAGCTTCTTGACCTATCGTGAGATGGAAGGCAAGAGGGGGAACGCGTTTGGCGGTAGCAGGCGAGGCGCCGGGAAGACTCCGGACTCTGGCCGCGGGAGCGACGAGGACCACGACGACGAGCCAGACGGATACCGTTACAAGCCCGACGGTCTGACGAAGCAGTCGTTCAGCATCACGAACTCGGCTGGCCAGCATCTGCACTTGATCGCATACTACTCTCGAGGGCCGCTCGATCTGATGCAGCCGAGCACAGACCCGAGCCTCAGGCACATCGTCCCAGCCAAAGGCATGTATCCAGAATCGAGCCTTGCTGAGGCGGCCCCAGCGGTCACACGGACCCCGATGCACCAGCCGGCCTACCCCCCGCACCACCCACCGCATCCTCACCACGGCTACCCTCCCCACTACCCGCCTCCAGGCTACGGATGGCCTCCCTCGCCTGCTGGGACACCGCCCTACAGCCACGGCCACTACGCATATTCACAGCCACTTCCGCCCCCGGGTCATCACGCATATCCACCACACCCGCACCACCACCCTTACCCGCCCGCTGTGCACATTCCCCCTTACGAACGAGCGCCCCTGCCCGCGCCTCCACCCCACTCGCACCCGCTCCAGCATCCGCACGCCCATCCGCATCCATATCCACATCCGCAGCTTCCTGCTCCGCTGCCACCGAAAACGGCCGTGCCACTCCCCCAACCATACCCACAAACCCAAAGACACCCGCCACCAGTCCCGCCACCGCGACTCGCACCGATCGACTCTCCCCGGTCGCAGCAGCTACAAGCGCAGGCCAGGGAAGCCGTCCAGATCGAGCCACGCCTCGCACCCATCGACGCAGCGCGCCACCAACAGCAGCAGCAATACAGTTCCTTGCAGCAGCAGCAGCAGCAACAACAGCAACAACCGCTACAGCAGCAGCAACACGGACTCGCACCGCTCCCGCCCGCGCTCCCGCCATCTACCACCTTCGGATCCGCGACCACAACAGCAGCACCACCAGAAACAAGTCCCACCCTCCGAGCCTTGTCCGCCTCGCCGCCGCCAAGGAGCACCGTATCGGTGTCGGAAATAACAACAGCGACTACAGCGAGCACGCGGCCGACGTTATCGGCTCTGTTGCTTCATCCCCTGCCGATGAAGACAAATGTGAATATGTCGTCGGGAGGGTCGTCGGAGCCGAGTAGTGCGAATGCTGTTAGTGCTGGTGTCGGCGGAGGAGGAGGAGGAGGTGGTGGTATGAGTAGTAGTAGTGCGGGCAGCTCGCCTGGTGGGAATTCAAATGTGAATGGGAATGGGAATGGAGTGGGGAATGGAGGACTGTCGGCGACGGCGGCTGCGGCAGCTGGGGGGAGGGCGGTTCCGAATGAGGATGCTAGGGCTATTGGGGTGTTGAATAAGAACTTCTTTTGAAGGTCTCTCTCGTCTGGGATTTGAGTGCGGATTGCCCTTGCTTCATTTTGCGGGCGGAAGATCCTAGCAGGTCTGTGAGAGGGAACAGTTGTTATCAGGGTTTTGAGAGATGAAGTTGCTTTATGTTGGGTTGTTCTGCTACGGGCTGGCTGGCAGGTTGCTCAAGATGGACTGGACTGGACTGGGGAGGATCATCACAACTGTCTCAGGGGCAATTCTGTACTCGGTGCCTGGTTTGAACGGCTGGGATGCCTGGAAGGCGGGAACACAGAGTGTGTGAGCCGTCAAATGATGGACTTTTAACCCTTGGTGAATGGGGAGAGAGGGTTGTGATATTCGTGGGCCGGGGAAGATGTAAGGTACCTTTGCCCTTTATTTTTATCTTGTCTTGTCTCGAGGTTTCATTGGTATTTCTCATGAGGCATATTGGGCGTGGTTGGCTGGGTTGGGTCGTGCATAGCAGGCGTTTGGCGGGTTTGTGCACTCGGAGTTGCTTAAGTTGGCCGCCGTATTTGAGTTTGTTTTTTTGGGGGGGGGGAGGGTGGTTGTGTTGCTGAAGGCACCTAGCTGCTGATACCGTAATAGCTAGGCGGGAATGGCGTGGAGAATACGAAATCATGAGATCATCGGACCTATGCGTTCTTCTCCTTTGCTCTGGTGTGGCTCGTACATTGGAGTGAATGGTTCTGGAACTGAATGGTAGTGACGGTCATTCTAGGTTCTGGGATGCATTGTTGTCACGGCACGCGAGCATTGCCCACACCTGGCATCTTACCACTGAGCTGGATTCGTGGCGCCTAGCGTTTTTGACCTGTGTGCTCTATGAGGTTTCTTGCTGGTCATTTCCCCATCAGTCACGCTTGGTAGGAGACTGTTCATTATTCTATACTGAGATTACAAGTCGGCGACTGCGTAAAGCAAAAATGAGAGGCTGCAAGCAGGTAGCAGCATCAGGAGGGGCCATAGTTCAGAGTACTGGGGTGGGTTGGTTGAGAGGTAGAACAGAGACTCCTGCGGCTTGGGCGGATCGCTTCCTCGCCGACCTGTGTCGTGAGATTAACGGAAAGTGGGTATGGGAGCGCTCAGCGGTTTCAATGGGACCCGGTGAATCGGGGCCAGTGTGACGTTTTTGTCCGTGAGCTGGCGACGCGGTCCATCTTAGTGGTGAGATGAATTGGGGTTTTGGACTGCGCGCCGTCAGTTAGCGTGATGCTGTTCAGAAGGAACCTGATGAGAGAGAGAGAGAAATAGACGCGCTGGTTATTGAAGTGTAATAACGCCCTGAGAGGAGACGAGATGGTACAATTTTACCGCGGTATCTCTCTGAGAAAGTAACTCTAGGAAAGCGGAAGACATATGCTAGACTCATATGTTCCGTCGATCCTCCCCAATGCCGCGAACTCTACTTGAACTCTTTTTCCTTTTATTTTCTGGCCCGCTATGTGCCCTGCTAAGAAATAACCAGACTGGAAAGCACCGTGGCGACACTCCAGCACTGCGTTGACGGATATGGATGGAGGTTTGAGTCGAGCGGCGCAGGCAACCACTTGCTGGACCGCCAGGGGGCTGATCGTGAAGAGAGCAAGTGCCTGTACCTTACCGTCCAGCGACGGCTGTAGCACACAGGTCAGCACCGAATCCCTGAATGGGATGGTCTTCTCCTTGTCCCTGATGGCCTTTAGCACTCCCTGGAGGGTTGAAAAGCTCTCGTTGATGTGATTCGTCTCCTCGTTTGTCGGCTTAGCCCTGTCCTCGTCCTGGCCTTAACCCATTCCTCACGGTTCCCGCCAGGTCGACCTTAAGAAACTCTCTTGGAAACTGTTGGCCTATTTGGGCGGTTAGACATGCCGTAGAACAAGCTTTCGTATGGCGCAGGAGTAACTTATCAGTGACGAAGTCAAGGTCGTACAACCGACGCCGGGTGGTGTAAACGTTGGATCCATTGCACATAACAAGGCTAGAGCTCCCAGTAGGAGAACAGTCGTCAGGGCTTTGAACCTCGACGAGTAACGCGAACGAAACAGGAAGCATTTTAACAACTAGAATCTGTCACACCCAGGTGCTGTTTCATGTTTTGGGTCAATGCCGGTGTGACCAATCCCGTAAGGCTGGGTGGCCGACCATGGCGATCGACACGACATCACCGCCATGACGCGAGTGATGCCCAAGTTTGGAGCGCAGCTTGGGAATTGGGACGCAAAATAGAAGTCACAAACACGTCAAGGAACCATGAAAGCGTTTGACACATTCTAGGCTACAGGGAGCAGATATTGTGGCGCTGGGCGGATTGAACGAGGGCCTAGTTTGGCGTGCGGATAGCTTCAGGCTTGTTTTGAGCTTGGCACCTGCACACCATCAGGAGTGACTTTGAGCATTTCCAGTCATATCGAGATCAAGACAAGAAACAGAACCTAATTAAGCATAAATATAGAACCCGTAGAATACAGCGACCGGGACGACAGATTCTGCAGTGACAAAACAGGGGTTTCCGGGCTGCTATGTTGAATGCGCCGAAGTGTGCCCTTCATCAATCGAGCTTCCCGAAGATGCAAGACGCGACCAAACACAGAGATCCACGAGAGCTTGAGGTCCCGAGGACTCGAGCCGTGTCCGGATCGGGTGACGTCGGGCTCAGGTGGAAAATCAAACAAAAAATGGGACAAAGCGGCCCGTTGTCGGATGCATCGACCGGCGCACAGAAAGGAGAGAGGAAGAAAGGAAAGACGCAGAGGGAATCCAAGAGGTCAAGGGGATGGGGGAAGGGAGATCAGACAAACGATAGCGCAAGCCGCGATGGCGGGGTGCACACATGATTAACAAAAAATACATTGGGCATGAGAGTGGTCGGCCTGGTTGGTTTCCTTGAAGAAAATGTGGACCTGGAGATGTCCTAAACGGGGAAAGCCCCCGAAGAAACGGCACTCTGGAAGAGACACGATCACGGGTTAGGTCCAAATTCGCCACACGATTCCTGCAACATTGCAGCATCATCGTTTTTCCATGGAGGAAGATACCCAGGGAAAGTACATACCCTGCCAGCTAGAAGACACTGAGATAGGTGCATGGGGCATTGTGCGGAATACTGTTGTAATAAATGTTTGGTCGAGTAAGAACCGCGGACCAACTTGGAGCATAGGCAATGGGAAGGATAGAAGTCATGAACACAACCTACCTAGTGAGTAACCTGAGGCAGCTAGAATTGGGGGTGAGTCAGTCTATCCGGTGCGAATGCGTAATGAGGCAACGTGAATAGCTAGCGGTCGGCTTGGGATTAAGTTTCATTGCCTAGTGGTTGGGCTACTGGAAAGGCCTGGGGCAAATCTCCGCGAGAGGCTAGAATGGAGACGGTTTCGCTGCAGCTAACAAACTCAGTCTAAAAGACGTGAATGTCGGGACGTTTATAACAGGAGCTGAAGAAATCAAGATTCCAAGAGGATGGTCTTGTACTAGTAGCTGATGTCTTATTACCTTAGAGCACGGACCAGGCCGCTGGTCAAAAAAGGTGTGTTGAAGCCAGACCGGGAGTCGCAAATCAGCAATCACTCGCGGAGGCCCCGCTTTCGCTATAAGACACAGGCACGCCCCGAGCTGGCGCGACCCGTCACCCACACCCTCCAGTTCCCCCTTTCTCCCACATCCTAATTGCCATCTCAAGCGATATCTCCAGCGAAGTCTACGGAGTAGTCACTTCAGACTTATATCGAGACTCATTCACCGTTTCAATTGATATACATACACCATCAATCACCATGCCTGCGAAGAAGTCTGAGACCAAGAGCGAGGGTGCCACCGCCGCGAAGCCCAAGGCCGCCGGCACCAAGCACACCTATCAGGTATGCAATCATGGCGTCGGACTTTTGAAACTGCTTACCGTATCTAACGACGAGCAGGACATGATCACTGATGCCATCATTGCGGTAACTCACCCCATTCCTTTCATTCCGGCGCATTAGGTGTCGCCGCCCCGGTCGGCATCCCGCATGAGGCGCCGCTCATCTTTTCTGCTGTCGCATGCGTTGCCGCGCCTCTTTTTTGCCCCGAAACTGATGGGATTCAATTCCGCTGACACATTTTTCTCAAAATCAGCTCAAAGACCGCAACGGTTCTAGGTAAGATACTTCCTGTTTCGACGCGTCGCAACCCAACCCCACATCACTGCGACAACGCGTGCGGTTTCACCAGCACCAGCCCTCCCGTTTCAATGCCGCAAACCATGAAGTCATGTCACTAACACGCTCATCAGCCGCCAAAAGCTGAAGCAATATGTCAAGGCCAACAACAATATCGAGGCGAGCGAGAATATGTTTGACGCGCTCTTCAACAAGGCTCTGAAGGTTGGCGTTGAGAAGGGTGTCTTCGAGCAGCCCAAGGGCATGTACATTTTCACGCACCACGTCTTCACCTTATGCTAATCATCAACAGGCCCATCTGGTGGCACCAAGCTTGCCAAGAAGGCCGCAAAGCCTGCTGCACCCAAGAAGGCCGCCGCTCCCAAGAAGGAGCCGGCCGCTAAGAAGGAGACCAAGGATACCAAGGAGAAGAAGCCTGCCGCCAAGAAGGCTGCGCCCAAGAAGGAGGCCGCTGCCAAGAAGGAGCCCAAGGAGAAGAAGGCTGCTGCTCCCAAGAAGGAAAAGAAGGCGGCGGCTCCCAAGAAGGCGTCCGCGGCCCCCGCTGTCGTCGAGAAGCCCACCGTTCTCAGCAAGACCAAGTCCGGCCGCGTCACAAAGACGGCCGCCAAGCCCGCCGCGACAAAGAAGGCGGCAGCGCCCAAGAAGGCTGCGGCCAAAAAGAAGGAGACGCCCAAGAAGGCAGACAAGGCCGAGGCCACGGCATGAGCCTTTCCGGTCCTTTTCCATGAATGCCTCGCTTTTTTCTTCATGTTTTTGCGATGCTACGGTTTGCTTTGGTCTAGTTTGGCGTTTTTGGGGTGTGGTCACTCGGGGAATCATTTTTGGGACGCGGGACAACTGAGCATTTGGGGTACAAGTCGCGATTGTTGACACGGTTTACGCACGCGCAAGGGTCACTCGGTCGGGTTGCACTTCGAATCGACGTGAATGCCGGGGCAGGTGGCAGGGGTTGGCTGGAATCGCTTTCTTCTGAGCATGGCATGCATACACGCACTCGCTACACATTTGGTCTCTCTGGACCAGCGAAGCAAACACCACCTTCACCGCTCAAACAGCGCGTCGGGACTTGAGGGCTAGGTGGGCATTGGGACGCTTGGGCAGGAGCTTGAAAGTCAGGTAACGGCCCAGGGGAGCGTGTTGTGGATTGTAATTATATACCATTGAGTCGTTTTGAGCCTTGATCAAGCAATATTTGTTCACATTCTCCGGATTCGCAGTGTTGTGTCCCAATAAAGCTGGCCGAGGCGTGAAAAACAGATGCTGGCGCGTCGCGGTTTGTTTACATTTTCCCACACTTATCACTGGAGGCTTGGCAAAGGGCGTCCTCACCAGCGGATACCCGAGCTCTTCACACTCCCTGGGTAAATCTTGACTTATTGATCTTCTAATTTTGATCTCCACAATCAAGTGACACACCAAGGTACAGAGCCCGGCGCCAAAGTGAGAGATGATTATGAACAAGTGATCTGTTCTGGAATTGTAGTAATAGTTTAATCGTTCAAGTTGAGCTTCTACGACTTAGAACCCTCAGTGATACCTATTGCACATCGCATTTCCGTCAATTGTAACATACCTTACCCCGTAGAGAGCAGGGACACGCTGCGCCCTGGAAGTTACCGTACAAATTGCCTCACCTCAACGAGGTACACGTGTACAGATCACCGAGTCCAGATAGCGCGGTAGGGTTGAAGAACGTTTGAAATGCCCCGCTGTGGGTCGGCCCTACGCAAGCGTCAATGCCCAGTTCGAAGGTGGGCGGGACGCCCCACTGTCAACGACAACCATCAAACTTGAGGCCTTGTGTCGGCGGGTCCTGCGTAAGCTCACACATCCCCAGAACCGTCGTAGGCAACAACCTTAAGCCGTCAGTTGTGCTGGTCCAGCCTAAAGCAAGTGCGAGCACGCAAGTTTGCAAACCATTGCAACTGAGTTGTCCGTTTCAACCACAAGTTCAAGTCAAATAGCAGCTCTCTCAACCTGTTCGTCCCAACGGTCGAGTCAGGTTTTGGAGCCGGCTTCACAACACACGAAGAGGGCGATGGCTGTAGCACCCAACTACCTGGGCATTCACACACTCTCCCCGCCCAAATTTATCGCTCGATATCTACCCTGTCTTTAGCATCCGCAGCCATGGCTCAACAACCGCCTTTCAATTCCAACAATCCGTTTCGTCGCAAAGCCGCCGGCCCTCCACCCGCCGCCCCACCTCTCGCCGTGCCACCGTTCGACGACCTCGATGCACCGAGTCTGACTCCTGTGGATGTACCCTCTCTACTACCGTCAGCGGATCGATTTCGGCACCAGCTACAGGCATCGTCCAACCCGAGCCAGCCGCCGGCGGCAACGAGCTTCCAGAAACCAAAGGTTGTGAAGAGAGTCCGTGTGCAATCGCCCCCGCCATCGTCGCCCGAGTCTCCCGGGCTATCTGACCGCTTTCATCCGGTTCAGTTGGAGGACGACGAAAGCAGCAGTGTCGACACTGACGATCAGCTCGACCCTTTCTCGTATGCCTCGTCAACCGGCTCCGCCGATGTATCCGACAGGAATGAACCCCAATCAGTCCCGGCTCACCGACCGCCGTTGAATCCGTTTCAGAAGGCCTCAAAGGGTTCAGAGAGCGGGGTGATAGAGCTTGAAAGAAGGTCCAGCACAGGCCCAGGAACGAAGGGTGTACTAGACGTGGGCGCTTTTGGGCGATTGTTGTTGACGGGCCAGGCCGAGGCCGTGGGCTCATCGCAGGGGCCAGCACCATACACACAGCACACAGGCTTGTCCTCGGTACCAAGCGGAGATGACTCAAGTGCGGCCGACACAGCAAACATGCCTCCTCAACCTATGCCCAATTCGCTGCAAGCCGTGGAGGCAACGCCGCAAACGTCCCGGGAGACGGATGAGGCGGAGGATGACCAGCGCGGATTGCTCAGAACTTCTCAGCCAGGCTGGCAGCCTGCTCCCTCCGTTCCAAAAAAGAAGCCCCCGCCGCCGAGTTCGCGGCATGGGAAGTTGATTAACCCGAGGGCGGATGGCGAGACGAAAGAAGCAGCGGGCGGACCACATCTGCTATTACCCGCCCCGAGTCGCAGAAGTGCAACGAAACCTCCCCTGTCTCCAAACCAGAGACCCCCCACACCATCCGACGTTAACAAGCCTCTTCCGCCAGTTCCGCATAGGTCACCCGCCGAGGAGGACACCGAGAGCCTGCTTGACCGTGAAGCGACCGGCAAGTTGCCCGAGACGGACATCCAACCAGGGCTCAACATCATCATGACCTCAAAACCCCCAACTCCACCTAACGTATCCCATGCAGTTAAAAACCCACCAGCTACCACCGCGCAACCGGCCAAAAAGCCGGTTCCGCCTCCAAGACGACAGCCCCACGGTCGATCAGAGAGCAAAGTCACCTCAAGCGCAGCAGCAGCCACCCAGCACGATGAGGCGGAATCCCTCCAAAGACGGTCATCCGTCGACTCAACAAGGTCATCAACAAGGTCACGCTCCTCAAGCCTGCGCGTCAGCGTCCACGCCCCAACCCCTCCTCCGCCCCGCCGGCCCAGCCATCCGACGCGCGCCCCGAGCTCACACAACCTCCCACAATCGACCACATCGCCCGGAGAAACGGGTCCTCCTTCTGTCGAGCTCTCGCCTTCGCCCTCACTGTTACCACACCCACTCGTGACTTCCCCTCCCCCAATGACCGACAACCCCGGCAGTAGCAGCAGCAGTACTCCAGGAATATCGACGCCAACCGCAATAGCTGTGACGACAACAATAACAACAACAGCGAAAGTCATTCCGCCACCGCCTCCCCCGGCCCGTAACGCCTCGGTCCGCACGAAGAAGAGACCGGCAGCGGCCGGTGGGAGCAACGGCCTACCCTCGCAGTTCCCGTCGCCGGCTCCGTCGTCGACGTCAAACGCGGGCTTGACGAGGAGATTGAGCGGGAGAGAACCGCCGCCTCCGCCGCGGCATAGGGATCGAGGGAGTAGTAAGGGGAGTTTGGATGGGGTCGGCTTGGGGTCGGCTGCTGCTGCTGCTGGTGGTAATAGTATCAGCTATCCCGGTAATGCTGGTGCTGGGACTGTGGCTAGCGGTGATGGTGGACCTGTACAAGTCCAAGTACATGATGAGCATGGACCTGGGCATGGGGTAATAGCTGGGGATGGTTATTCACAGCGGGATTGGGAGATGGTGGCTGGGTCTGAGGAAGGGGAAGCGGAGACCAAGGCTTCTTCAGCGGCGGGAGATATTCTAGCTGATTTGAGTGAGCTGCAGAGAGAGGTGGATGCGCTCAGGGGAAGGTATGAGAAGGGTGCGAACAACGAAGAGTAAATCGAATAACACTAAGCCAGAAACTGACAGCAGCCACAACTCCTCGGTTGCCGTCTGGTTCCGACCTCGATGCTCCTAGGGACAGGCCAGACCCGACATGCGAGGAGTGCGGCGGATCTGGGTTTAAAGTGGGACCACGTCCCTGTTTACAGTGAATGCAATCTGTGTAAGGGAACTACAATTAAACCATGGTTTGTTTGTTAGTGTGGAATTTGTTAGTGTGGAACTTACGTGGTAGGTATTATACCTCATCTTCCTTCACTTTAACCTTCTTATATTTTTTGTTCTTGTTCTTCTTCCTACCTCCACTTCCTATTGCTCTTCCTCTTCCTCTTCCTCTTTACCATTACATTTTACCTTTACCTTTTCCTTTGTCTTTATGTCCTACTATATCTTTCTTTCTTTCTTATTTTCTTACGTTCTTTCGTTTCTTATATTCCATTTAACTAAATATATTTGTATATAATGCCCCAGCACGTGCTACGCTAACAAACAAACCAGGGTTGGATTATTGGAGACTTCTAGGGCGGAAACGAGCGGCATGCCCTATACAGTTGTGTTATCTTTGCATAGAGGTGGGAAAACGATGCACAGAGCATTCCCGGGCACAGAGGCGGTGCGATTGCTATGGTAGATACTGAACCCCCTATTGGGTTCAGCGGTTTAACTGGTTAGGTAGAATTCTGGGTCTTTATTGTGTTGAGCAGTGTCAGCGAAATGTAGTAACGGTACTGCGGTGGCAATAGAGCACAGTTCATTTTCCTCCTCGGATTGACTAGGTTTGTTGCTAAAGGGAGTTAGTGCTGTATAGGCGTAGATAGTTATACATTTATGAATTATCAGGTAGCAACTAGGATTACGGATTACTACGAACTTGCGCTTCAAGATTTGAGGTAGAGAGCCGCCTTTCAGTGGCGACGCCAAAACAAGAGAGAAAATGAGGTTAAGGAAGGGGAAGAAGGTAATGGAGAGCTGAAGTGAACAAATAGGCTTCCATCTCAGGGCCCCCCAGGAAAAAGCCAAAGTCAGGATTGATATCACTCAGCAAATATCACTGTTTGCGCTTAATCCATCTTGTGGCACCAAGGCTGGGCCCAGCCTGAGATCCTTCCTAGGGAGTTGACTTTGGGAACTAAGGTGGGGTCGTGTCTGGTGATAGAGGTTTCCCTGTATCCGAATCTCTTGCTAGGAAGAGCGAACCTTCCCCGTCTGCCCCTGTAAGAGCAGGTCAGACTCAGGAGATTGAGACAAATGTGGAGCTTGGAGAGTGTTTGTGAAAGGGAGACCTTAGAGACAGGCACAAAGCAGAAGGTATAGTATAGTACACTATCTACCCGTCACTGGCACAGCCTCTGATAACGCCAACTCAAAGCAAACCATCGCAACCAAGCTGCAAAACCACATACAAAGTACACATTGCAAAAAACCGCCATCTTGAACCGCCCACTGACGACCGGAAGACCTAGGCCCCCAAATGAAGCAAAATGCACGCAGTCGCCACTAAGAAAAGGGAAGATACCTACCGTGCTTGAACACCTCCTCCTAGTCTGGTTCCGAGACTGAGACTTTAACTTGAGAAAGAAGTGGGACTGGGCGGGAGGGGAAGGGAGAAGAGTTGACTCGGAGGGGTCTAAGGCCGTAAGGCAGCGGAGGCAAATTGTATATGTATGCATAGACCTTGTCGCACACGGGATGATTTAAACAACAAGAGGCCGGATCGCGTCCGTTGTTGGACATGTCAACACCAAGAAACGTACAATGCAGAATCCCTTCGCGGAGACGAGGGGAAGGCCGGATGGCCGGGGAGAGAATCGTATTATGTTGTCTTGCATTATATTATCGGTCGCCCCTCGGCGAAGAAGGCAAACGAGAGAGGGAGGCTGTATATCTATCGCGAGCATGTCTGCGGTAACCCCTGAAAAATCGGTTTGGTAATTTTTCTGTACGACACTCAAGGTACTTGATCAAGGCTAACCAGCGACGTTGTGGACAGAAAAAAAATCAGAAAAGCTTCAGAGCATCACGTCGCACGGGATGAAGTCTCTAGGAGGATTGCGAGATTTCGAGATCTCGCGCTTGTGCGCGCATGGATTGGCTAAACCTCTCTTCAGCAGTCACACCGTCCATACCAGCGTGGGAATGAAACCATGTCTCGGACCGTTTGAACCCCAGCGAGATAGCTAAGCAACCGGTCGAAGCCCAGGCCGAATCCGCCGTGCGGCGGGCAGCCCCAGCGGCGCAGGTCAACGTACCATTCAAGACCGTTGACAGAAGGTTTGTCAGGGTCGGCACCGCCCTCGGAGGATGGTGATTTTTGGATTCGCTGTCGCCTCATAACGTCCAGGAGATGATCCAAGCGGTGTTCGCGCATGGAGCCGCCGGCAATTTCGCAGAACTCGGGCACCAGCAAGTCGAAGCAGTCGACGGTCGCCCCGGGTACGTCGGGGGCTGCGGGCTGGGTCTCGCGCATGTAAAAGGCCTTGATGTCTCGGGGATAGTGCGTGACAAAGACCGGTTTCTCACCGCCTCCGATGTGCTCGGCAAGGTACTTTTCATGTTCGGACTGCAGCCCTGCACCCCAGATTGGCTTGTGCGTAAAGCGATCGGCTCGCTGCAGCAGCAGTGCGACCGCGTCCGAGTATGTGATCCGCGGCCAGTCCTGCCGCGCCAGCCCCTCCCACCGGCGCTTGACCTCGTCGGCCGGGGCCAGATCGGAACCGCTGTTGCGGGATCGGAAGAGAAGGTCCTGGACCGTAGCCGAATTGGCGAGGCTGGTGCTCAGCGACCGAAGCATGTCCTCGGCCAGGTCCATGACGGGGCCGAGGTGGTCCACAAAGCTCATCTCGGCCTCGAGCATGTAGAACTCGCTCAGGTGCCTCGACGTGTCGCTCCTCTCGGCGCGGAAGACGGGCGAGAGGGTCCAGACGTTGCCGACGGCCTGGGCGAGAGCCTCGAGATGGAGCTGAGTTGAGACAGTGAGATACTTTTTGGAGCGAAAGAATGGCTCCTGAGAGCTGCCGTTGTCAACGGCGTCGGGGGTGTTGTTGGCCGGCGTCACGGTGAAGACCTCACCGGCGCCCTCACAGTCCGATGACGTGATGATGGGCGGGTGCGTCTGGGTGAAGGATCGCCCTGCAAAGAACTGAGTCAAGGATGCGATGGCTTCGGAACGCAGTCTCAGCAGGACGGCGTTGACCGGAGTTCTCGGCCGCAAGTGCGGCATGGTGCGGAGATACTCGGGTGTCTGATATTTCTTTTGAATGGGAAACGTCTGCAGAAAAAAGCAGTTTGTCATGAATGTTATGATCTGACTAAAGAGCGGTTTGACGTGTGGGCAGGGAAGAGCATACCTTTGCGTCGGACGGGCCCAAGACCTCAACCTTGCCGACGTGCAGCTCGTGACTCTGGCCGGCTCCGGGCGAGGCCACCCAGGAGCCGGTGAGGCGGACTGCCGCGCCAACGGTCAGGCTGCAGAGACCGGCATCAGCAACTAAGCAGCTTTCACTGAAACATGTCGTGTGTAGACAGGAAGGGACCATATCCTCACCCTTCGGCTTCGGCATGCTTGGACTCTACGAGGGCTTGGAGCGGAGCCAGCGATGAGCCGTCGCCCAGCGAGACAAATCGATGCGTCTTCATGGACCGGACAGACCGCACGAAGCCGTGGACGACAACATCATCGGCCTTTTGGGCAGGCCGCCATTGGAGCAGCTCGGCAACGGAGCGAGCTGCTTGTTGAGAGACATGTCGGTGGGAGCTGGGAACGTGTCGCCGAATTAAGACACGCGACACACTCGACGGCCGAAGCGGCGGAGCGGGCCGCATGCTCGGAGACAGGGCACAGTGTTGGAAAATCTGAGGGATGGGGTTTGTTGTGGTCCGAACTCGGCGGCAGTGTCTCTCAACTTTTGCGGCGAATGAGATCAGGCGGGCCAGTATTAACTTGCCGATTAATTCAGCGCACCTGACACTGTCTGCTGGCTCTTTCACAGCAATTGGAATGGAACTCGACAAGGCAATCGACAATGGAAGGCACAAAATGCACAAGAAGCTCGAGCATTTCTTGGCAGGCTCGGCAGGCAACCAGGACGCTGTTGTCTTGGCACGTCCTTGCCAAGCCTTGACAACTGCCTCGGTGAACCCACACCACAAACCAGCTGTCGTGGACTTGCCCTTCTCGAGGCCCAGCACTGCCATGATTGGCTGCCGCTGATTCTCTCCTCCTTCTTTGCCGGGCAAGTGACCATCTATCAATCTCAACAACTGCCATCAGAATGAAGGCGATCCCGGGACGGAGTGCCTGATATGGCATTCTGTCCGGACCCGGATCCGTAGGAGGAGTAGTCTGGATAGCGGCTTTCATCCTTTCCATTCCGTTCATTGACTGCATTCCGTCCATTTGCAAGTCACTCAGCTCTCACTCACCGCAAGCTTGTTTTCATCCCTCACTCGAGCCCAGAGTTTCAAGCTTGCTCCGACATTCATCGCAGTCAATCAACGCTGAACGTTTCCACGGTTACAGACGACAATCTTTTTCCATGTGCAATGTTCGCATATGGCCATGTATTCGTCATGGGTTGCGGCAGGGAAAAGACAGACATGCATTCTATCGGTTCTTGTTTCGTATCGCCGAGCTCACCGGCTTCCTTGACACTATTGAGGCTAGCATCACCCTTTTGAAAACCCCCGCCCGACCTTGATGCCGATTCTCCAGACCAGCCCAACATTCCCGCGAGGCAGCCTGCCAGCATGGCGTCTCGAACTGTCGATGGATTGGGCCAAGTGGTTCGGTTGTATGTCTCGTTCTCATTGGGTTTGGCCGCGACTTAGCAAGCTGACTGCAACCCGCAGGGTGCAAGCCGTGTCCAGAGGCCCGGCCGATTATTGATTTCGGCAGCTGCCCGGCCAGAGAGGACCCGACGCATGCACCAGTCCAAAAACACATTCATCCAACGGCGGGCGACAGGGACCCGGCCCATGTCACTGGTCCCGAGTGGCGCGGTCATACCAGATTGACTCAGACTCGAGATGGCGCACCCTGCTGCAGCATAACATTACCCTCATCCACTCTGTGATGCCCAGGGTCTCGGCAGCTCGCCTCGGCGTCACCTCAGCTCTGCCTCCCGGGACCTCAAGGACGCTTACTGACCACCTTGGTTGTTGAAACCTCTATTGTTTTGTCATCTGGGTGGCGCCTGCAATGGGTCGGTTCTGTGGTGCGTTAGTCGCTTTTGCTCAACGCACGACAAAAAACCCGGAAGTTTAGAGAAGAGGGCAAGTGCTCTCAGTTCCGCTCACAATCGCAAGCATAAACAGTTGTCTTGGATCTCTGAGATTGGGCAGTTACACAGAGATCTCTGTGCAGGAAATCTCGGCACGCGACACGGGTGTCATGCTGGCCGCTGCGGCTGCTTGCAAGTGGAACGGCACATGTCTAATTCTATGTTCCTGTTACCCTCTCTCTCCCTGACCGCTCGGTGCAGATATAAGGCAACCGGCATCCCAGGCTCTCTCACTTCGGAATTGGCATCGCAGAATATCCTCGCGCTCAGTATCCGATCAACTGGACCTAGCTCAATTCCTCAACGTCCACCATCAAGTCACTCGCTTGCCCCGGTGTCCCCCAACATCATATTTCCCGACACGCCATGCCTTCATCAAGCTCCAAGTCCAAACCAAAGCCCTCCGAGGTTGCTTCCGAAGCCAAGCGGGTTTACATCCCCATCATCCGGGACAGATACGCATCGATGTGGGAGACCAGCTCATACATCTACCTTCAGCCCTTGCTTCAGATCAACTTTATCGAGCGACCGCTTGATCTGTCACCCCCAATGTTTTGTAAGTACGACGCCCCGGGTGCGACAGCTTCCTTGTATAACATGGGTCAGATGTCTTCAGCGGAGACCCGGTGAACACTGCAATGGATTGGGCAACCACGGCAGGGTGTGCCATACCCTTCATCTGCGCAGCCAACGACAAGCGCCCCGGCGGAGACTGGGAAACCGGTGTGGTAGGCTACGAAGAGCGGTTATGCCGCCGCAGCACCCTTGCGGCGTGTCTGGCAAAACCAGCAGACGGCTCAGCCAGCCACTACCCGCTTCCGATGTGCGCCGGAGTCCTGTCACAGCACGTGGGTCAGTTGGCTGCTTTAAGGTAGTCTCGTTGTGCTCCCGCAGCTGACGTCTCGCACAGTCGTGTTCCGCGGGCCACACGACAGATATGAAAAGCTGCCTGAGGAACAGTGGCGGGCACTGCCTGTGGTGTCGGTCCCTCCGCCACGCTGGCCCAAGCTGACGCAGCACGGCACCAAGTATTCGTTTGCGGACGAGCGTGAGATGGTCAAGGAGAAGCTGCGCGGCGCACTCCGCATCTGTGCGTATAACAACTTTGGCACCGTGGTGGTAGGGGACTTTGGACTCGGCAACGGCTATCGCAATCCGCCCCAGGAGCTGGCCGAACTTTGGCGGGAGGTATGCCTCTATGATCCTGACCTTCGCGGCCGCATCCGCTGTGTGGCGTTCGTGTTTGAGGACCCCAGCCAGAGCACGACGCAGTTGATCCTCGACGACATTGCGAAGAAGGCCAAGGGAAGCAGCGGCAGCGGCAGCTCGTCGAGCAGGTCCAAGTCAAAGGGCAGCTCGAGCTCAAGTTCCTCGTCTGGCAACTCGCCCACTGACCTCGAGATTTTCTCGAGGGTCTTCGACAATACGGAAATCCAAAGGTTCGTCGCGCAGCCGGACGCGAGATACGGCCTAAACAACTTGCTCGCTTGATTATGTTCTTTTGGGTTTCTGGCCGGGCCATGTTGGGGCGTCAAGGCGGCGGTTCGATTTTCCTGTGAAGGTGCACGGCTTGTTTAGGCATCCTCTTTTGGGCATCCTGTTTTACATCATTTTCCATTCATGTGTCTCTCCGCTCTCTCCTATCTCTCACGTCCGGCATCATTCGAGAACGTTATGGGTATACGCTGTGGTGGCTACATATGCCGGCGTCCCACAGTTTGTGTCTCGGGTTTGATGCCCTTCGTCGAGTTTTTAGCTGGGGCCCTGCTTACCCTGGTCCCATCGCAACGATAGTAATAATGTACTGTGTAGTCTCTGATCGTCCATTTCTCCCATTGCCTTGAGAGGTGTGCTCACAAGGCGGCAAGCGCGCTTGTCTGAATCTGGAGCCCCCTGACAAAACTGGGAGACTGAAGCCCGGCCCAACGTTCCCGACAGAGGGATCCCCAAGCCACGGCCCGAGGTAGTCATCAGCCGAAGAAGCAAGTTCGAGGGCAGAGGTGGCGGTGCCGGGACCGCCTGCAGCCATCCTCGTCATCAGATCGGGGGCCTGGTCATTCACGGGTCTCAGACATGGGCCGGTGTCATGGGAGACGCTCCGCATGAGGCTGAAAAGCCACTTGACCATCCACTTGGGCCTGTGTGAGTGCCCAACTGCGTCATCCAGATCTCGCACATGTTCGCGGCCAAGCCTTGAACGGCATCGCAAAAAACCCGGAAATACCCTGTTCGGAGGTGGCTGCAGATGTGGCCGGCCGGCGAGGTTCATGTTGGGTTTACTGTACTGTTGCTTCTTTCTTGATTCCAACTGTTATGGTTGATGTCTTCGTCGTGATGTCAGTTGGGGACTATGCGGGAACCGTTTCCATGCAGATCGGAGTGTAATCGAAGCCACTGGAACAGGACAGGTAGCTGACTGAGCGCTTTGGTTGCCACGTGTCTGGCTGTTTTTTTCGCCCACTTCGATGAAGGCTAGCTCTCTCTCCTTCACTGGGCCGCTCGAAGCAGCGACAAGCAGCAGCAGCCTCGGCGGGCCGAGGCGCTAGTTACAGTACAAGAAGCGGTCAGCATGCATATGAAGCCTGGTCCCGGCACAGCATCTAGCCGTTGGGTCCAGGGTGCTAACCCGCCGCCGTGACAGCGGGAGCCTGAGATTCGGCGGTGGCGGCGTGAGATGAGGCACGCAAGCGGGCGAGACTCCTTTTTGCTTTTTTCGTGTTTTCTTGCACAACTGTTGCGATCAGGGCCCCCCCCCCCATGATGCAGTAGTGCACGGAGTAATGTGAGGCGATTTGCCGTTCAAGAGACCTAACGTATCGAGCAGGTGTCAGGCCAGGAGAATCTCTGGACAACTCGACGATAGAGGGCACCGTGACCGTAAGGCCTCGGAGTCTTGGCTCACGGGGTGTTTCTACGTCTGCAGATTCCGTGGAGACGATAGGATAGTGCTGAGTTATGGAATCAACGGTATGTAAGAACCTTACATTTCTCACTGTTTTAGTTCTCCTTTGCTCCGCGGCGGGTCAATCTTCCCATCTACTTGCCAGCCACTGCCCGCTCACATGCAGCCTTCAACCCCCCAGGACACAAGCGGCGGCGAAGATTGGCCCCTCGCAAGATTTCCTGTAATACAAATGCGGCTGCAGATACCTTCGGGTGACACGAAGCCTCTCAAGGATAGGCAACCTACACGAAAGGCTTAGGTTGTGCGAGATCGAGTCATACAGATCGTACAGTTGTACGCCAGACCACCAACACGGATACACACAGGCTACGGTGTACCTGCGTAAGGTAGCCTGTCCCTCTCCAGGCAACTATCCTCGCCCCCTTGGCTTGGTGGTACAAGACTCAGATGGATCTGGCACAGGGTCGGATGGCTGAGACTATGGAGATCTTACTGTACAGCGTAAATGAGGATAACGTTAGCTTTGGCGATGACTAGGAACTGTGAAGACACTGCACTCTCTCAAGTGATACCAAAGTGGCTTGAACGGGGTTGAGAGACGGGCTAGAAAAGATGTAGAAAGGGCAGCGAGTATAAGTTGAAGAAGTTGAGAGCAGGACCTGCTTCCAGGGGAAGCTGATCAGCATGACCACCATCTCGGTGCTTCTCCTGTTCTTCTCTGCTGGATATGACAAAGAAGTTCGAGCGGTACCATATTTCGACCGAAATCGGTCGGGGTCCTCCTTCTCACTCTGCATTCCACACAGCCCGAGACAGTTCAGCCAGCCGTGATCTGGTCCCACTCAGCAAAGGAACAGCTGTTGATGGCTAAATCCCACCTAACAAGAGAGCACGCACCCCTATGATTACGGTATCCCCATGGGTGACATCGCGGTGTAAGCCCCAAGCCAGAGAATTCGGCCCGGATCCAGCCTTGTCTTAGAGTTGTTAGCTCGGCCTAGCTCGGGCTCGCTTAGCCTGAGAAGGAGAAGGTGAGGCCGAAGGAAAATGAAGGGATAGCATAGGGAGACAGGGAAAAAGAGTGGGTGTAAGAAGGGTTCCGATGTATGAGGATCACAGAAGTTGAGCGGTGTACAATACAGTCAAACCCTTGTGTGTTCGTTAGCATGGCACATGGTAGGACACTAGTGGATAAAAGAAACCAAGGACCGTGAGGAAACAAGGAAGAAAGAGAAAAAGAAAAGAGACTAGAATATAAGGACAAAAAAGTGAAGAGGAGGGAAAAGAGAAAGACAAAGATGGAAAGGAAGAGAAAGATAAAAGACAAAGAGGAAAAAGATAGAAGAAAAGAAAGTAACTAACTTAACCTTATATAGAGATGAAAGATAAAAGTAGGGAAAAGAGAAAGATAGAGATAGAGAAGAGGAGGCAAATAAAAATAGAGAAGAAGAGAAAGATAAAGATAGAGGAAGAGAAGATGGACAGGAAAAGGAAAGAAAGAAAGAATATTAAAAAGGTTGAAATAGGAAGATAAGATGGAATACCCACCACGTAAGTTCCGCACTAATAAACACACTAGGGTTACTTATATCATGTTCACATCGCATTTCAAGGTCACCCCCCTTTCAGGCAGGTCACTAGAGGTTTTGTACGCACTAACTCTACTATATGTGTTTGACTCAACCTCCGAAACTGCATCTCAACTCGACAACGTCCCCTCCCCGTTCACCAATACGACGGCCGCAACCCTGTAAACCCGACCAGGGCGGCAGACGCCTCACCTGAGTCCTCCCGTTTCCTCTGGCCCGCAAGCTAGGAGCAAACCAACACCCGTCAGCCCACAACTATAACCAAAACAAAAGAAGAGAAAAAAGAAGGAGAAAAAAAGAAGAGCAGTCATAGAAAGGGGATTCATCTCACCTCCAACTGCACCCCCTTATGCACATGGACCAACCAATCCACATAACTCTGCGCCTCATTATTCCTATCCTCCACCAACATCCTCGCAAACTCATACTCGGCTCCATCGATCCCCTGCCGCGCGAGCTGGATCGTCAACCCCTTGGACCCGCGCATGGTGCGCAAGAACTCGACAATATTCCGCACCTGCGCATTCAGGTGCGTCTGCAGCACCGGTAGGCCCGAGGTATACGCGTCCAGGCTCTGCAGACTATCCTTGTCCTCGCCAAACAGATCCTGGATCAGATTCGGCGACGTTTGCGCGTGCATCCACAGCAGCGTCGTCTGCCCGTTATCGATCAAATACACACCACCCGGCTCAACGCGGGCAAAACTTGCGCGCACCGACGGCGGCATGCGGAGGTGGCCCGTCTGCGGATCCGGGAACCCGTCGTCGGGCTGGAGGTTGTGGAGGGGGATCATGCGCGGGTAGAGGTACAGACTGAGCTCGAGGCAGCCCATGGAGCGGATGAGGCGCATCTCGTGGACGCGCCGGTCCGTGGTTTCGGAGCCGCCCTTGAAGGCGCGGCATTTCAGCAGGCCGAGCATGTACATGGCAAATTCCTTTAGTCGTTCCGGCATGACAAGCTGGCCCGGCGGGTGCGCCTGCGACAGGAAGTGCTTGCGGTAGTTGGCCAGCACGTCAATCGTGTGTTCTGTCAGGCCGAGGCGGACGTCCTTGAGGGTTGCTGACGTGGTGGCGAGCTTGGTGGAGGCCTCCTTGGCAAGGGTGGTGTAGACGGCGTCCTGGTCAATGAACTTGATGCTCTCGCGCGCGTTCTCGCTGACGCCGGCGATCACGTTGATGCACCTGACCCTGCGCTGGCCTGATGCCGAGGTGTAGAGCAGCGCGGCCTGGAAGTGCGCGTCGAGCTTCGAGTCGAGCTTGCCGTCGTAGCCAAAGGTCACGCCGATGGCCTTGTCGGCATCGATGACGCCGATCTCGAGGTCGGCGCCAAAGGTGTGCTGGATGAAGTTGCCGTGATAGCCCGACACCTGCAGGCCATTGGAGCATCTGACCTTCATAAGCGCCTGGTAACCCGTTTCGCGGGTCACCGCATGCTTGATTTCCAGCGACAGCCTAGTGTTGTCTCGTGGGGCGATGAAATTGGGGTAGTAGAAGGTCTCGCCGCCGGTGGTGGCGGAAACGTAGCCTATGCATCTGGTTAGCGGTCGGGGTGGTTGCGGGCAAAACTCAATTCACGTACCAACTGTCGCAATATCCAGGTAGCCGCCCGACGGAGCAGCCATGAAAAAGTCGACGCCAACACCGACCGAGACCATCTTCTCGGCGACCTTCCTCCAGGCGGGGTGCTCGGTGCTGAACAATTTCTTGTCCGGCTCGCCACCCGGATGCTTGCCGTCGTCCCTCATGAACAGGCGGCCTGGACCCCAGGTAGGGAGCGCCGAGAGGGAGCAGAAGATCTTGCCGCCAGTCTTTTCCAGCGCAGCGACTGCGGCGTTCATGGTCGATAGAAGCGCCGGCTCTGGGTTTTTAATGGTCGAGAACATTTGCGGTAGGCGAGTAAGCAGCGAGCTGATGACCGCCTTGGATTCGTAGGGGTCCACGAACAAGCCCCCGCTAAGCGGCACAAAGGGGTCTTCGACATCGGGCATGATCATCATCTGCGCCTGCTCCAGCGCCGGGCTGACATTGTAGAAGTGGACCTCCTTGTCATACGTCACGAAGCCGACCTGGGCGCCTGCCGGTATCCTCCGCTTGACCTCGCCGTTCTCGTCTCTCTCCTCGTTGTCCTCGGCGCCGTATAGGGCGCGCAGGATGCCGTCGCAGAATGATTCGAGAAATCCCTTGTTGAACGATTCTTGTGTTACGTCAATCAAGAATAGATAGCGCAGCCCGACCGGCTCCCGGGTCCAGTACTCCTTGGGTACTACAAACTCGACCGTACCCCGCGTGAGCTCTGGCCGCTGGTCGCGGTCCACACGGACGCCTTGTGGGCTGGTGGCGCAGAAATACTCCGGCGGCGTGTCGTTTGCATAGCCGCAGAGGTTGCAGACGAACTTGTTGCCTCCTGAGCGGAACATCATGAAGGGGTTGATGTAGGCGCGGCATCTGTGGCAGCGAGGCGGGCCAACGTCACCGAAGTCTAGCACGGGAATCTCGAGCTCGCCAGCCTGGAGAGGGGCCATGGGTTGGAGAACGAGACCGAGGGGCAGGCCTGTACTCTTTAGTCCGTCGGCGGTGGCAGGGATATTGTTCATGGTGAGGCGGGCAAACTTGGGTGAAGCGTTCCCCTGGTCGAACGCGACGAAAGAGACCGTGGCTGGGGGAGGCACCAGGCGCTCAAACGTCGGGTATACATTGCTGAAGAAGTACTGCTGTACAGAGTCCCGTGAGAGGGGCACGCTCGGCATCTCGTCTGGTGACACCCTTGTCTGTCCGGCGGTGGGGACCATGTTCGGCGAGGGTGCAGCATCGGCAAAGCCGCTCCGGGCAGCAAACTCGGCAGGGGAGGCGGGAGCAGCCATAAAGCCGGGGCTCACTGGCGCCGGGAACTGGTTCATCTGCGGGCTTAGCCCGGGCCCGTACCGAGAAGCGGCGGCCGAAGGGTCGGCGTTCAGGTATGGGGTGGCTGGTGTCCCTGCCGGAGGCATTCCATTGAAGGCCTGGGACGAACCCGCGGGCGCCCCAACCTGGTGAAATGCGTGACGATCCTTCTTCTTCTTCCTGCCGGTACTGTGGGCTGCCTCGGCGCCGAGGCTCATGCCACCCATCTGCGCGGCCAGCCCCGCATCCTCTGGTGTAGGCGGTTGTCCCTGGTAGTAAGCGCCGGGTTGGGGGGACCCGTACTGATATGGATTTGGAGCGACCGGGGGGTGAAACTGGGGAGGCGCCGGCTGGCTCGTGCGATTCGGGTCGTTTGGGTCAAGGTTCTCGCCTTGACCGAGGGCGTGGTACATGGAGTAATCGGCCATTGGATTGTCGAGACGGCAGCGATGGTTTCTCAGTCCTTCGCGTGATCGAACTGTCGAACTCGGATCAGAACCCAGCTCATAATCGAGACCACTCCAGAAAGACGCTGTGCTTAAAACGGATATTGCAAGATGAGCGGTAGAGCCGGTGTTTGCAGGGGAAGGTGGCCGGAAAGTGATGTCTTGGACAGTGGTGAAGTGGAAGTGGACGTCGAGTCCCACTTCACTCCAGTCTCGCTGTGCAGTCGAGCTTCAAGCTGTCCTTTTTCTTCGGCTCAGGCTTGGCTCGGCGCATTGAGCAGGGGTTCGTCGGTGTTCCTGGGCCGGTGCATGGGTCTTGGTGGGGCAAATTGCCCGCTGTCACCGCCTCGGCGGACGACAGCTTCAATGTTGCAATTGACGGCCCAGTTTGGCTTGGCTTTTGCCGGCTCGTCGCGCGTGCCACTGACGCGACAAAGCCGGCGTAGCTTGGAATTGCAAGCCATCGACCTCGGATTCTTTCCCGCAAGAGTCTTCACAACAACAGGACCCAAGCTATCAGTTCGCCAAAATATACGCGCCACGCAAATTCCTGCGACATCCCCGTCCTTGACCAGAATCATTGTCACGCGAAGCTCAATCCGATCCGATAAGCCAACTTCCGAGGCCATATGATAGAACGATGCACCAGCTCTGGCAACCATAACTCGCAGCGACAACGCAGGAGCCATGTTCACCTTCACCCCACTTCAGGGTGCCCTTTCCGAGTCGGCGGCATCGCAGTCGCTACTGGAACTCGACGGCGGTGTCAAGGTACTGGTAGATGTCGGCTGGGACGAGAAGTTTGATGTCGAAAGGCTGCGCGAGTTGGAAAAGTACGTTGACGCATCGAGCATCGAACATCACAAATAATGAAGAAATGGATCTAAAGGAAGACTGGTTTCTAACGGCACCATCTAGGCAAATCCCCACGTTATCGCTCATCCTCTTGACCCATGCGACCGTGAATCACCTCGGCGCATATGCGCACTGCTGCAAGAACTTCCCTCTCTTCACGCGCATTCCGGTATATGCGACAAGGCCCGTTATTGACCTTGGCCGCACTCTGACCCAGGACCTCTATGCCTCCACGCCGGTCGCTGCAACAACAATATCCCCGACATCCCTCGCCGAGGTCTCGTATTCATACGCCCAAACATCATCCGCCGACCACAACCTCCTCCTGCAACCCCCGACACCAGAAGAGATTGCGCGCTACTTCTCCCTCATTCAACCACTCAAATACTCACAACCGCACCAGCCGCTGCCGTCACCATTCTCACCGCCCCTGAACGGCCTCACCATCACCGCCTACAACTCGGGCCACACGCTTGGTGGAACAATCTGGCACATCCAGCATGGCCTCGAGTCCATCGTCTACGCCGTCGACTGGAACCAAGCCCGCGAGAACGTCTTCTCTGGCGCCGCCTGGCTGGGAGGCGCCCACGCAGGCGCAGGCGGTGCTGAGGTGATCGAACAGCTGCGCAAGCCGACCGCTCTGGTATGCAGCAGTCGGACGCCCGAGGCGGCACTCTCGCGCGCCCGGCGTGACGACCAGCTCCTCGAGTCGGTCAAGCTCTGTATTGCGAGGGGCGGCACGGTGCTGATCCCTGTTGACTCGAGCGCAAGAGTCCTCGAGCTGTCCTATCTCCTGGAGCACGCCTGGAGGACAGAGGTTGCCAACGACAATGACATCTTCAAGTCGACAAGGGTTTACCTCGCCGGCCGCAGCATTGGCAGCACCATGAGGAATGCAAGGAGCATGTTGGAGTGGATGGACGACAGCATCGTGAGGGAGTTTGAAGCGGTCGCTGGCGCTGGCGGAACCCGGGCGGGGAATAGTGGTGCCGGCGGCGGAAAGGCCGGTCCTTTTGACTTCAAGTACCTGAGACTGCTGGAGCGCAAGGCGCAGGTCGAACGGGTCCTGCAGCAAGCGACTGACGACGCTGAGCCTAGGGGCAGGGTGATTGTGGCCACAGACTCGAGTCTAGAATGGGGCTTCTCCAAAGAGGTCCTGAGGGTGATTGCTGGGGATGCAAGGAACTTGGTCATTCTCACCGAGAAGCCGCACCTCAATTCAGGCAAGCCATCCATTGCCCGGATGTTGTGGGAGTGGTGGAAGGAGAGGAAAGATGGCGTCGCTGTCGAACAGACGAGCGGTGGCGACACATTTGAGCAGGTGTACGGAGGCGGTCGCGAGCTAGAAGTGGCAGAGGCCACCCGGCAGCCGTTGGAGGGTAATGAATTGGGGGTTTACCAACAGTGGCTTGCGACACAACGGCAGCTACAAGCGACATTACAGAGCGGCGGCACGGCTGCCTTGGAAGCCTCAGCCGATGTGGTCGACGACGCCTCAGAAACGACAACTGAAACCGAAGAATCTGAGACAGAGCAACAAGGGAAGGCGCTGAATGTGTCCACGACGATAGGCCAGGCCAGCCGCAAAAAGGTTGTGCTCACTGACGAAGACCTGGGTATCACCATTCTATTCAAGAAAAAGGGTGTGTACGATTTCGATGTCCGGGGCAAGAAGGGCAGGGAGCGCATGTTTCCCACCGTGTTGCGGCGGAAACGGAACGATGAGTTTGGCGAGCTCATTCGTCCCGAAGAGTATCTCCGCGCAGAGGAGAGGGAGGATGCCGACGGGCAAGAGGACAGGCAGGATGGAAACAAGCAAGAGCAGGGCCTCGGCAAGAAGCGCAAGTTTGACGATGTCGGCGCGGCAAAGGGGGCTTCGAGCAACAAACGACCTCAACCCAAGCGGGCCGTTTCCGACGAGCCAGAGGCGGCCTCTTCTACCGATGGGCATGCCGGAGACGAACTTGACGAGCTGGAAGATGAGGAAGAAGCTGTTGTCGGGCCAGCCAAGCTGGTCGTCCGCTCACAAGCCATCACTGTCAACCTCCGCATTGCTTTTGTTGACTTCACCGGCCTGCACGACAAGCGCAGTCTGCACATGCTGATCCCGCTTATCCAGCCGCGCAAGCTGATCCTCGTGGCCGGCGCCGAGGACGAGACTCTGACCCTCGCCGCCGACTGCAAGAAGCTGTTGAGCGCCCAGCTCACGTCCGACTCATCCCAGAGCGCCATCGACGTCTTTACCCCCGCCATCGGCGCCACCGTCAACGCCTCGGTCGACACCAACGCCTGGGTTGTCAAGCTTGCAGATCCCTTCGTCAAGCGCCTCATGTGGCAGAACGTGCGCGGTCTGGGCATCGTCACGGTCACCGGCCTGCTCCTCCCCGGCGGCGAGGTGGCCCTCCAAGACACGAACACCACCGCCACCAACAACACCACCGGCCCCTCAAACTACAACAATGACAACAACGACAACGAAAACGCCTCTAACAAACGCCAGAAACTCGAACTCACCACCACCACCACCACCACCGCCGCCGAACAAGCCGGCACCATCACCACCACCAATGCCACCAATGATACCACAACAACAGTAGCCCGCAATGTCCCAACCCTCGACGTCCTCCCACCCACCCTCGCCTCCGCAGTCCGCTCCGCCGCCCAGCCCCTGCACGTCGGCGACCTGCGCCTGGCCGATCTGAGGAGGGCGATGCTCGGCGCCGGCCACAAGGCCGAGTTCCGCGGCGAGGGGACGCTGCTGGTTGACGGGTGCGTGGCGGTGCGCAAGACCAGCACGGGAAGGGTCGAGGTGGAGAGTGTTGGGCTGCCATTGATTGGCGGGTTGTTGCCGGGGGCTGGTGGGGTGGATGGGAGAGGGGGTACAAGTCCAGGTGGTGGTGGGATGGGGACTTTGTATGAAGTGCGGAGGAGGATCTATGAGGGGTTGGCTGTTGTTGCTGGGGCGTAAGGAGGGTGAGAGTAAGGTTGGTTGAGGGGCAGGGGGTGCGTTGGACGTGGTTTATCTATAGAGAGAGTGAGTTGAGTGGTAGGCTCTTTTATGCGTTGATAGGTTTTGTGCCGATTATGTGTATTCTACGGAGGGCGAGGAGAGTAAACGCCAAGCAAGGTTTGTGTTGCCCGGCTCAGTCGTTGTCTAGAGCCATGGAAGGTGATGACAGATTATGGAATCTCTTGTCCACCCAATGCCGAGGCTCAAGACTGGATTGTGGCCTAGACAGCGGCGATACTCGTCTGAACTATCAGGGTCTGTGATACGAGGAAGAGGTCTGGCGGAATGACCTTCCCAGCACAGTGGAGTTCCCTCTTGTTGCGCGATTGAACGTGAAAGAATCTAAAGTGAATCTCTGCCTCAATTATCCTGTGTAATTTTCCAATTACTATACATTTGAATCCTTCTGTGCCCTCAGCATCTCATCCTCCCTACTCCGCCATATCCGGTCCCAGCCCCAAGTTCCTACCCTCGCCCAAACTCTTCTCCCCATACCGCCCGCTCTCTGCGGATGAACCACGGAACCTGTTCTCCCCACCGCGCCACCTCCCCCGGCCCCAGCCCACTCCCGCCTCGCCGCCCTCGCCATCCGAAGCCGTCTCCTCCACTGCTGCCTCCCCTCCCGCTCCGTATCACCCTGCTGCCTCCCCTCCCGCTCCGTATCACCCTGCTGCCCTCCGCTACCACTACTAACGTCTCCAGCCGTGACATTGCTAGCGATGTTCGCCGAATGAGCGTGATGGTGGTGGTGATTATGGTGTTGATAATAAGAATGCAGATACTGATGCCGTCGATCCCCTCCACCGCCTCCTGCACCACCACCAGTACCACCGCTGCCACCAATAGCAGCAGCAGCAGCACCTCCCCCAGCGAACACATAACTCAACGCCCGACGTAAGTACCTTTCCACCACCAACCCGCATCGCCTGACCAGCTCCATCGCCGCGCGGGTCTGCAGCACCAGGATGAGGATGAAGAACGGGATGCACACCGACACCAGCGTGACAGGGAACCGCCAGTCGGTGGCGGATATGTCGAACGTGGTTATGCCAAAGACACCCTGTCATCACACACACACTCAAAGTCAGCAACGGTCATTTCCGAAACGCAAATATAGGTACAGCGCAAGCCAGATATTGCAGAGTGAAATCATGGATAAAAATACACCTGCCTAGTTGAGTCTTTACGATCAACAGATAGTAGTAAAACGGACGTACCACGACAAAAGTCAACGGCAAGAACACCATGCTAACGCTCGTCAGGATCTTGATGTTATCCCCTTGCTCAATCGCCCTTCGGCTCTCCTTGACGCTGCTCCCGCTGAACAGTTGCTCGCGCAGTGACCGGATCTCGGTGCGCGTCGCCTCGTTTTTGTCGTGCATCACCTGCAACTCGGCCACGGCGCTCTCGAGCTCCTGCCGGAGCACGTCCATGCGCGCGAGGTACTGGCCCCTGCACTCTTCGTCGTTGTCTTCATCATCATCTCCTTCTTTTTGATGGTGTCGTTGCGGTTGTTGTTGTTGGTCGCTTTGTTCCAAACTACTGGTGGATGAGTCTGACCGCGACTGCGGGCGGGGTGGCGGTGGGTATGGCCAGAGAGTCGGATGCCGGCCGGCCCAGAAGTCTTTGGTGAAGGTTGTGAGGTAGGCGGCGCGCATCGATCTGATGCCCTCGTTGATGACGCCGAGGGTGTTGTAGGCCCAGAAGTAGCGGCGCGAGTAGGTGAAGTGGCTGTCTTCGAAGAGGAGCTTGTCGCGGAGGCGGACGTCGAACATGAACTGATTCTGATGGCATGGTCAGTAGGGGATGGCGGGCGTGTGGCCATGAATTTGGGGGTTGGGCATACAGGAGGGGTGATGAGCTTGGTAATCATCTCGTTCACTTGGGTGTAACGCTTGACTGCGTCACGGTACTCGACGCACAGGGCGTCAAGGAATGCATACGGGCCGTTGCAGAAATTCTTTCTGGAGTTGTCGCTCCGCATTGAGTGTTCATCGTCCGGGAAGCATTGGATATTGAGTAGTTGCCAAGGGGCAAAAGTGTCGTAGAGCACCCCTGTTCTGGCCTTCCGCCGAACCTTGACCTTGACAGTGCCGGTTGGTTCGCCTCCAAGGGATAGCGCGAGTACCGAGCTGCACTCGGCGAGGTCAATGTGGTCTGGGGATCGCCGGTCAGGCGGACGGTCGTCGTATGCTTGCCAGGGGCCCGGGGTCAGGCCTTCGCCGACGACGGTGTAATACTTGAAGACGAAAAAGAAGCTCCGCTGTCTGATGGGGTCTGCTTCAAAGGCTCTGTTAACGTAGGCCTGTCCGTGTCAGTACTGGGGCCAAGATTGAAGGAAGACGGCTGGCTTACCTTGGTCTTGCCCTTGTTACCTTCGGTGGAAACGAGGTGCTGGCATAGCTCGTTCATGTCAAAGTAATCCTTCAGTGTCAGGTGAGTAGCGGCAAGGGTCAGAGGCGAGGGTTCTTGGAGGATTCTAGAAGTTTGTCAGCAACTTGCCAATGCGAAACAAGTAGAGTACGCACGTTATTCTCCCAACGGCCTTCCCATCGCTGTTGATATCTTTGAGGACACTCCAGACAGACGCATCCCCGTTGTCTCCATCCCAATCTAGGCCAACAACAGAGGCCGGCCCTAACGGTATCTGCTTAGGTTGCGGGATACCGTCCTTGCCGATCTCATAAATCACGTACGTTGCGCTTTCGTAACAGCTGCCTTCTCCTGATTCAAAACTACCAAGTATTGTAGAAGGCTCCAACTCATTCCTCCTCTGCCATACATCACCAAGGGCGGTGACCGTCCCCTGACTGCCTTCATCGACTGTACGAATATGGGCTACCAGGTTCTCCTCCGAGAATGACTTTTGAGGAAGCAAGTTGGAAACGGAGCGAACGGAACTGTCGTGTGCTTTGGCCGAGGCGGTGCGGGATAGCGGTGTTAGTGGTGAGAATTCACTAGGCTCGTCACCGGATAGGAAGAGTCCCTCGTAGACAGAGGCCGGTTTGACTTTGGGTGATTCGTTTGTTAGCCATCGCATTCGCCCACCATTCGACTGAGGTGGCGTTGGGCCAAAGCTGACAGCCTTGAGAAGAGGCGACGCCGTCACATCATTGCTTCCCGTTCGTACAGCCCGTGTGCTGGTAGCCGGGATATCGAAGAGAAGGCGCAGGTTCTTGAGATATTGCTCATGGTGATGCTCGGCGGATTTCAGGAGTTCTTCGAATCGCGTGCTGGTCATTGAAATGGCACGGGTGCTCGAGTAGAAGGCGAGGGGGCCAAAGTCAGAAATTTGAAGCAGAAAAGAAGAAGATGAGGAAAATTCTTAAGTTTAAAAACAGGCAGACATCTAAGGTATGGATGGACCACATGTATTTATCCTGCAGCTTCTCGCCTTGACTGGGCGAAGCAAGTACATGTCATGTGCCTCAGCCTTGTCAGTCTCCATGATCTGAAATGGATCCAACCCGCATAAGATGGTTGATCTGCGAGGCGAACAGCTGGAGCAAACTGACAAATCAGAGCTGATAGCATCGTCCGGCGACAGCAGCGGAGGTGCAAGGTCACCGATCACCGGTGGGGGGACGATGAGGCTGCAACGCAAGTGACTGGCTATCATAGAACATTCTGCAGGTGGGCGGATATCCACGGGACATTGCCTTCGGAGAACTAGTTCGGGGCGTAAGGCACTGTGCTGGAAGCACGGAATCTGGGAATTCCGAAGGATGTGTATCCAGACGCTCGAAGTGTGCATGCGTGGTTCTCGGTGTTTGCTTGGGGAATTGAATTGCTGCTCGGCTGCTCGGGGCTCACCGATGGCCGTTTTCGGAAGGCGGGCATCTCCGAAGAGATACGGCTCTCTTTCCCAAGCAAAGCGATTGTTTCCTACTAACGTTTCAACCACTGGAGTCCAGATCGCTGGTTACGCAGTTCTCATACATTATAAACTCGAACGAGACAACGCAGCCGTCAACCAAGCGTACCTGCCTTGCACTGACTATTCAACTCCCTCGCACACCTGCACTGCCACCTTCACTCGCTCACACCGGCCACTTTCCCGCCCTCAGTCCCGTCCAGTGGCGGCTTGTCGTTTCCGCCCGTATCTGCCATCTCCTTTTCGTACTCCTCTGGCGTCTGACACTTAGCACTCCATGCGTGTATTTGGGCAATCTCATCCTTGAGAGCCGCGTTCACCAGCCGATGTCGCTTCAGCGAATTCTTGCCTGCGAACTCGGGCGACACCACGAGCGACGTGAATGCCTGGCCGCAGCCTCCTGTTGGGTGGAAAATGTAGGCCATGTCAGCTGAGCTCACATGTCGGCGGGTCGATTTGGCGTGAAGCCATCGCGGGGTTCCCAGGATGACGTCAGGGCAGAGCCTCGTGGGGTTGATGTCGTACCAGACATATCTTGGATTTCGACATGAGTCGCCTTGAGGCGCTCCGTGAGAGCGGCCCGTAGTGAGTCCTCTGTTATCGCCGGTTGGGCCATGGTGTGAATGTGTGGTGATGTGATAGCGAAGAGTGTGAGAGCTCTGGGTGCGACAGCGGAAAGCAATAGGCCGAAGCCCCGCCAACTTGCTTGGCGGACACAGCTGAGGAGAGATGAAGCAGGGTTAGGGTCTACACAGCTTTCCCTTACCAAGTTCAAGCAAAGCTCAGTTTTCAGGGATTGAACAATAACACAGAAACATTGTACTTGAAATCTGAACCCTTTACTTAATTCAGGTCAGTCTCATTCAAATGAGAATTGCCCAATCTGCTCAGAGGGTGTCTCGATTCTTTTCGGCAGCACAATTTGTCCGACCAGCCATTTGCAGCAGGCGATACAGCATGGAGCCAACTCTCCAAAGCCCTCTCTTCACCCGCCAGATCGTCCTGGCCATGCGCGCTCTGTCAGTAAAACATACATTACTCTCTAGCCTGTTACTAACCTGCACTAGATACCCCGAGGAACTCGCGGACCGCACATGGGACAATGTTGGCCTGCTCCTAGAAAACATCGACCCTCCTGAAGGCAGGGTCCCTAAGCGGGTGCTGCTCACCAACGACCTGACCCTGCGCGTTGCTGAGGAGGCCATTTCCAAAAACGTGTCTGTCATTGTGAGCTACCGTACGCCACAGACATTCCTCCCCCGGGTTTCCTTTCCATACTGACCTAGACAGACCCCTTCATCTTCCGCGGCCTCAAGTCCATCACCCTGAACGACCCCCATCAAAGCATCGTCCTGCGCTTGGCCCAAAACAACATCGCCGTCTACAGTCCCCACACCGCTCTGGACGCCGCCCCGGGCGGGATCAACGACTGGCTCGCCGACATCCTCGATGGTATCAGAGATATCTCTACATACCGGTCCGTTGTCCAGCCGATTCGGGGCACGGTCCCAGCAGGCTTCGAGGGCGCAGGTTACGGACGCTTAGTTCGATTCAACGGGCCTGTCGCCTTCGAGAAGCTTGCTACGGAGTTTGCCATCAAGTTCGGTATGTCGTCCGTCATGGTGGCACGGCCGGGCCCGGCGGCGACGACATCGCATGAGATCCGCACCGTCGCGTTGTGTGCTGGGTCCGGGTACGACGTGCTCAAAGACGTCGATGCAGATCTTTATGTAACCGGAGAAATGACGCATCACAACGCGTTGCGCCTAACAATGCTGGGCAAGTACGTCCTGACTGTGTTCCACAGCAACTCCGAGCGGGGATTCTTGAGGGATGTATTGCAAGGGCAGCTGCAGAGGGCCCTGGTGCGGGAGGCCGAGGTGTTGGTCAGCGAAGAAGACAAGGATCCATTTGAGATATGGACGCCGGAAACAAGCGCTTGAACGCTAGTTGAAAGACACGAAAACAATCATCTTGGCATGAGGCATGTACGATGGGTACACAATTACATTGTACCTTGCGTACATTAGCGATGGCAGCAATTGCCTACTTACCTACATCTCTCTATGCTCTGTTCGCGTGCAAAGGAAGGCCGGCAGTACGACTACCGTGACTGCTTAGAGAGGGACATGGGACAGACAGCATCAGCACCTTTGACCGCTTTATTCTGTAACGGGTTATGATCGAATTCAAGGACCTGGCAGCTTTAGGCCACGTAATGTTTGCACAGGAAAAGGTGCAAAAACTCACCAACCAGCCCTATGCCCGCGCGTGTTGAATAGAAGTGGTTGGCTACGAAAAACCCTGGTATATTTACTTCTCCTGTGGGAGTCGGACCCGGCGATCTCGTTTGCTAAAAGTTCCAACCAGGGCTCCTCCCCGACGTCGAGCCCAATACAGTTTGAGACAACTCGGTGTTGGCTCTATTGGGAGGGGTGGTGGCAGTCTGGCCTGGAGACCTTCCATATCAAAGGCCCGCTCGCCGATGCTCCCTTTCTTCACAACCACGTTGCCTCCCATGCTTCTGTCGCTGCCCACACCATCATTGTAGTCTCATCCTGGCAGCAATCCACATCCATCTTCGTCGTTACTACGCCGAAATATTATGATGATTCGGCGCGAATTTGCTCTGAACCCGTTTGTTCCCTATTATCGGTCGTCATCCCGCCGCACACCGCATCAAGATTTGCCCCAACCGCGAAGTCGTTCGATACACCCGCTCATGTCGTTGAACTAGCCATCTCACTCTTATGCCCTTCTTGACCCGCCCTCAACGCCGCATCCCCTTTCTCGATCAACGCCCCGACCTCGTCCCCTCCAACACCAAGCTCCTTCCACCGCACCAACAACCTCCTCGGCACCTCCCACTCCCTCCTCGCCTCTTCTTCCCTCCCTTCCTCCATCAACCTTCTCACCCGCCCAGGAACCTTGACCACCTCCCTCGCCAACTCCCTCGTCCTCTCCCTCTTCCTCTTAACATCATCCCCACACTCTACTACCTCACCAGTGAAAGGCGGCTTCACAACCACCCTCAACCCCTCCCGCAACTCAACAGCCATCTTGTATATCCCCTCTACAACCCCTTCCAGCCCCCCATCACCACTACCACGACCACCATCTCCTCCTCCACCACCACCCAACCCTTCCCCTTCGGTAGTCGTAGCCCGCATCCGGCGTATCGTTTCGGTCGCCGCGATGAGCTTGGAATAATTGTCGTACACGAGCGCCTTCTTCTCGGCGTCAAGCGCGCGCATCTCGCTCAGCACGCGCGTGTAGGTGCGCAGTAGGTCGGCGAGCGAGGCCGTCGAGAGCAGGCGGGCGATGTAGGATTGCGCGTCAAAGTCCGGGCTGTCGAGCTCTGACGACGGCTGTATTGGTACGGAGGAGGAGGAGGAGGATGAGGGGTCGGTTATGGAAACCGTTGGTGGGGAGGGGAGGGGCTTGTTGTTGTTGTTGTTGGTGGTGGTGGTGGGGGAGGAGGAGGCGCGAATGTTGTAGTACTCGCGCAGGGCGGTACGGTTAGCGCGTTTGGATTGGGCGTTGGTGGAGGTGGATGTAATGTTGGGGTTGGGAGAGCCTGAGGCCGAGGCTGGGACGTCGAGGCTTGGTCGCGAGGACGAGGTGGGCGTGATGATGGAGGAGTTTGTGCGCCGCGGGAAGGGGCCCGAGGGGTCCCGCGGAGAGGCGATTGTGGACATGCTGGCTGTTGCAGTAGCGAGGTATGTGAGAGGCTTGTTTAATCGTGTGATGGCGTACGAAGCTGTACAGTACTATGGGATGTTTTCTAAGCAGCAGGCAGTGAGGTCATGTAAAGTCGATGAAGCTGATGAATGTGGTAAAGTGACAACTGAGAGGTGACAGGAGGTGCGCTCCAAAAGTGGAGCTTCCCGCCGCTGTGGGTCACGCTAGGAAGTCGGGAACGTGCCGCGCTGCAAGGGCTTCATCAACCCCACAGTAAATGGAATTCCAAAACTGTCGACCGTGACTGGGGCTTCAAACTGCCAATGTTGGACAGGAAAACAGCCTCCAGGAAAGGTCAGAGATCGACAACAACCAAAATTGTGGCCGAATTATTTACTAATTAGCATGATCCACAGAGCTGGGACCATCTTTTCATTTCTCCCAAAGCCCTATGAGCCATGCACCAGCAAACATAGAGCTATACCTGCTCTCCGTATCACAACCTCGACTCGCATTCAAGCACCCGAGACAAGGCGGCCCTCTGCCCCCCCAAACCCCATCTATCACAATCACCGAGTCCTTGGGGTCAACCCAACCCAATCACCACCTCCGCCACCTAAATCCAAAACCAACAACGCACAAAAATGGACATCCCCCATCAACTCCAATCCTCCCTCTCCACAACAAATTTACCCCTTCCCTCCCTGACCTGGCTCCAAACCCAGTTCACATCAACCCGCCACCCACCGCCCCCACTCGCCTCCCTCCTCGCAACAGCCCGCACCCGTCTACTAGCAAGCGACCTGACGACACTCGGCCTGCTCGACCTACGCTACGTCGCATCCCACTCCCTCCCGCCACAACTCCCACAATCCCACGCCACCAAGCGCGAGACAGAATTGCCCACAGACGTAGTAGTGCAGGTGCTAGACATCGAGGACTTAACCCGTTCACGGTGGGAGCAAGTCGAGGAATTAGAAGCGATCGCGCGCGGGGAGGGGACGAGGGGACGCGAGGTTGTGCGGCTACCCACTCTGCCCACACCGGGTAGTACCGCCGAGGACGGATATGGCGACGGGGATGGCACGCAGGGGCAGAATCAGCAAGGCGGACAAGCACAACAGCAACAGCAACAACAGGGCGTGGCGAGCAGCAAGAACATCACTCACAAGCTGCTGGTGCAGGACTGCAAGGGGCAGACGGTGCAAGCTCTCGAGCTGAAGCGGGTGGACAGGCTGGCCGTGGGCAAGACGTTTATCGGGGAGAAGATCCTGCTGCGCGCGGGGACGGTCGTCGCGCGCGGGGTGGTGTTGCTGGACCCTGCGCTGTGCGTGGTGCTGGGCGGCAAGGTGGAGGCGTGGCATCGGGCATGGGTCGATGGGCGGTTAGCGAGGTTGAGGGAGGCCGTTGGGGCTGAGAGGAGGGGATGAGTTGGTGCTCCTAGGGACAGGAAGGGCAGGCAGCGGGAGGTTGTGATTTCATGTTATGATACCCATCTCGCATTCCATTTCAATCCATCATCGATGTGCATAACTATATCCACCCTGTGACAGAACAACATGAAGCTCACCCATTAACAAGCTCACCCATTAACAAGCTCACCCAGCGCCTGCCACCCCGCCTTCTCCCACGGCGCAACCATAACCGCCGTCTGCGCGTCCATAGCGCGTCCCGTCCCGGCATACGCAGTCGCCAGATCCTCTGCCCCAAGATCCCCCCTGGGCGCCACCCCCTTGACCGCAACCCTCAACGCCATTCCAGCCGCACTCTTCCCTTCCTCTCCTCCCATCCCAGCCAACTCCGCCCACCCATGCGGCAAGTGCGGATGAAACATGACATCAGCCCTAGCCTGATTCGCCTTGGCCTCCTCGACATCCCCTCCCTTCCCAAACGCCGCAACGGCTCTCAACACCTCGCCCAACTTCCTCTGGTCCTCAGCTGTCACCCCCTCGTCACTAGCCCTCAAGCTCTGCAACTCGGCGACAACCGCCTCCAGGCCCTCCTCGTCTTCATCCAGCAGCGCCACGGCGCCCAGCAACAACACGGCCTGCACATGGTGCGGTGCCGTCTCAATGACACCCCACAACACCTCCCGCGCCCGTTCCCTGGCCTCCTCCCGGCCCGTCGCCCAGAGCACCTGCGCCAGCACGCACGCCACGTCCGGGTTTGCCTCGGCGTGAGACTCGCGGAGCGCATCCTCAAAGCACGCGACCGCGTCGTCGACCTCGCGCAGGTAATACCGCGCCAGGCCGAGCGTGACATGCGCGCCGAGGCGGACGCGCCGGCGCTCCTCGGCCGTGAGCTCGCTCTCGCTTTCCTTGCCTTCTGACTGATCGTCGTCGTCATCGCCGCTGCTGCTGCTGCTCAGCTGAATGGCCAGCTCGGCGGCCTCGATGGCGTCGCGGAACGAGCCTGCCGCGAGGTGGGCGCGCGCCAGGTCGGCTTTGGCGATGGCGAACCGCGTGAGCGAGTCTGGCGACTCGGTCACTTCGTAATCTGCCTCGACGGCGGCGCAGATCCTTTCGAGTGTGGCGACCGCGCGGGTGTGTTCGTGGGTTCGCTCTTGGAAGAGGGCGGCTAGATGGCCGTAGGCGAGCTCCTGCGGGTTGAGACTCTGGAGATGGCTGAGGGCGAGGATGGGCTGGATCAAGTGGGTTACGGGCACGTCGGAGGGAGATTCAATGATGTAGTCGAACATGGAGACGGCAAAGTGGCGTCGGCTTGCCAGGGAGGAACTCTCCGAGATGTCCATGGCATGCGTGAACAGACTACGGGCTTCCTTTCTGTCGCCTAGCAGCAGCGCCACGAGGCCCTGTCCGAGCCAGGCGTGCGCGTAGTCAGGATCGGCCGACTGCGCTTTCGTAAATGCGTCGTTCGCGAATTGAATATCACCCTGGAGCAGGGCCAGAGTTCCCAGGTTCGTCCAGGTATGTGCGCTGGCCTCGTTCAGGTGCAGGCTTCGAACGAACGAGTGCTGCGAGACGGAGGGGTTGACGGTGCTGGTAACCACTCCAAGAGCGTTCCAGAATTCGGCGTTGCCTGCTTCGAACTCGATCGCCCGCTTGAAGCACGCGATGGAGGCCTTCAGGTACTTGGTGGCCTTCTTCCTCAACTTCATTGGCAAGCACATGTGGGCGCGGTGCTCTGCCCAGCCGAGGTTGTAGTAAGCGACCGCCTGCGCGTGCAGGTCGTTCGCCGACAGCTGGATCGCCCGCTTGTGCGCGAGGATTGTGGCGTGTAGGACCCTGGCCAACTCGGCCCCGATCTTGCCCTCGGCAGAGTTGGCGCCGTTGGTGCGAACGCCAACTCCATCCCTATCCATGATCTCCTCTGAACCGCTAGGATCACCGAGGAGTTCCTGGACCAGGTCCGCTGGGAACTCCGCCAGCCGACCCTGGACGCTTGAGAACAACGAGCAGGCGTCGGCAACGGCTTTCCAGAAGTTGAACGTCTCCTTGATGGCTGCGGGGGCTTGCACCGCGAACTTTATTGTCTCGACGGCGAGGTCGACCGACTTGCCAAAGAAGCCCTTATCAAGACTATCCAATGCACTGTCCACCGTAGCCTGCATCAAGGCGATCGCCACACCAGCTTCATCTGGGCGGCTGGCGACAACTTCGCGGTAAAGGGAGATAGACTCGTCAAACTCGCCCAACTCGCGCTTGATGTCGGCAAGAATAAACTTAGAAAACCACGTTTCCCCAGGTACATTGGCATCTGCAGACGATTCCAATTTTTGGGCGTTCAAAATTGCTTTCGTGGCAGCAATATACCGGCCAGAGCCGTGGTAACTCTCGCCGAGCCCGACCCACGAGTGGTAGTCATCGGGTGAAATCCTCAGGGCTGCCTGAAACGAGACAATCGCCTTGCGGTAGTCCTGTTTGTTGAGCTCTGCCACGCCGAGGGCCGCGAACGGCCAGCTGATACCTTTCCGCTTCGAGCCGGGCGGCGGCTTAACCTTACCCGAGTCGACCACCCTCTGGGCGACGAGCTCGACACGGTCCCAGTCGCCGTCGTCGGCGAAGGACCGGGCTAGTCTCTCCGCCGACTCGACTTCAGATGGCGAGAGCTCTACTGCCTTTTGGAAGCACCGGCGCGCCCTTTTCTTGTCTTTGGCGTAGTCGGCGTAGTACTTGCCAAGACTGGTGTAAGCGGGCGCGTAGTTGAGGTTACTCTTAAGCGCCTCAAGGAAGCAAGAATATGCTCCGCTCCGGCTCTTCCTGGCCGCCTTCGACGTGTCCAGGTTCCAGATGCAGTAGCCAACACGGTATTGAGTTTGTGCAAGGAGCTCCTTGTTGACCTGCCCTTTCTTGGTCAGAAGCGGGAGACAGCTCTGCAACTCATTTCGGGCCGCCTCAAAGTTCCCCCTTAGAGCCTTGACCCAAGCAGCCTCAGTTCTAACGCGGAGGTTATCTGGATCTCGCTGCAGGGCCCGCTCCAGGAAGTCGATGGCCTCGCTGTACTCTTCCTCCTCTTCGTAGATCAGTCCCACGCCAATCAAGGCGGTCGTCGAGGAGGGATCGTGCGCCAGCACGCCGTCGAACAGGCTCTTGGCTTCCTGGTGATGCCGCGGTGACTGGTAGTAGACCAGCGACGTTGCAAGATAAAGAGAAAAGGCATCTTCGGTGTTCTGAAATGACAGCCCTGTCCTAGAGCGCTCCAGTTTCAGGTAGTCGAATGCTTTGCGCATGAGCTCGACCTTGCTTTCGTGCTCCTCAACGTGCTGGTAGTATTCGCCCGCCAGCCTGAGCGCCAACAGCGAGTCGGCGCTGCTGACGCCTTCCATAATCATCAGTAGCCGGTCCTCCTCGGTCAGCGGAACATAGGTTGTGGGCGCGCCTCCGGCTTCGTCATCCTCGCTCTCGTCCTCACTCTCGGCGCTGGCGGCCGCAGCAGGTTGGTGGGTGGGTTCTTTCGGAAAGGGCGAGATGTCGCTCGTGAGAAAGGCCATGATGACCCGATTGAGATCGCTGTCTGGGAAGAAGCTGCAGTACTGGCGGAGTACTGTAACATCCCAGTCTTTGATATCCTTGTGATCCTGCCAGTTGATAGCAAGGTCCCAGGCGAATTTGAACGGGTGCCTGATGATGACCATATCGTTCGCCAGCTTCCGTACATTGGCGGCCTCCCGTTCCTTCTGCTCGCCCGGGGGCCAGGCGACGAGGCGCTCGTAGCAGTACTGCAGGAGCTTCTCCTCGTAGGTCCGGCGCACATCGTCGTCAGTGACCCAGTTGATGAGCTGGCCATAGATGTAGCCCAGCCTGCTCTGGCTGTAGACCTCGCGTTTGACCTCGACGGTCACCTCGCTGACGCGGGCGCCTATCCGAGTGCGACGTTCGCCGATCAATGTGTTTATCCGCTTCTTCTCGTCAGTCTCGACGATCTGGGCCTGGATCTCGTACGTCTTGGCCGGATGGGGAACGCGACCTTCAAGGGCTGGGTAGATGGGGCTTTCGGGCAGGATCAGGTCCAGCGCATCCACATACTGGGCGCGGTCGCCTTGGGTCCGGGCGTGGTCGATGAACTTGTCGACGACGTCCTGGCACTTGTACATCTCGTTGGCGTCCCGGAAAATCTCGGCGAGCTTGAGGGCAGCATGCTGATACTGTTTCAGCTTTCTGCCCCGTTGCCGCTGGTACAGCTTAATGAGGCCTTGCCATGCCTGGGGATCGGCGGGCTTGAGCCTGGTTGCTGCTAGGTATGTGCTCTCCGCCTCGTCAACCTGGTTCTTCTTGTCCAGGGCAAAAGCGAGGAAGATGTGTCTGGAAGGTCAGCAGCGCCGCGTACCTGGAGTTGAGAAGATGAACGTACGCATGATAATTCTTGGGGTCTTTCTGGAATACATCCTCTGCCGCCTCAATGGCCTCGTCCCATTTCTGCAGCTTGATAGCCTCGTTGACGGCCTTGAGCAAGGCCTTTGTGCCGGACATGGCGCCAGCCGGGCAAAGGAGAGCAATTCCGCTCCAAGTTGAGTTGTGCAGTACCGCTTGCCCGCAAGATGGCTCGATGAGCGAAAGACGGGAGTCGCTTCCAGGTTGCAATGACGATATGAGTTGAGAAGTACGGCTTGGATTGACGCGAGTGGGGCTTTCACTTCAGGGCGTGTCCTTCGAAGTGTAATTCAGGGGTTGTTGCGAAAGACTCCAATCGCAATTTAGTCGCTGGAGTCTAGCGCTTTCATAAGTCCAGCATCAAGAAGACTATTGTGAATGTCTGGTAAATGTTATGTCCCAGAGCTCAATATCTTGAGTTCACTGACAAGTGACAGCTAGCCCACAGTGTGTCGAGGATTTGAGCAACCACTGTGCAGCTTTGCTACGGCACCCCGCCGGACAAGTAACCTCCAATCTCCGTGCCTGAACCTTGAAGCTGCCATGTTCATTATCTTATCGTTAATCCCTGAAAAAAAGATCGCTGCATTCGACCCAGAGACAACGAACCGGCCTTGAGCGCCTGAGTAGCCTTCTACAACAGCCTGCATCAAGATGGATTCAGCTCCGGCAAAGCGACGGAAACTCAACCACAAGAAAGATGCTACCGATGTCGCCCTGGAATCGGCCGCTTCGACAGGCGTCTCCAGGTCGAGGGCCTTCGTGTTGGAGACCGAGGAGTTGTTAGACTCGGTGCGCCTGGACTACGGAGCTGCTCTTGAGGGCGCCGACGACCTTCTGCATCGGATCAAAGGAGTCGTTGAGGGAATCAAGGCCCATGAACCCCTTCCGGTACGGGACACGACCCCATTGCGCTTAGGGTCTACGCTCCGCTGACCTTAGCCTTCTAGGTTGCCGAGGCCGCATTCAAGCTCGAGAAAAAACACAAAATCAAGGTCCCATTTCCCGATCCGCGGCCCCAGGAGAACACCAATTACAAGGTTGCCTTCGCCAAGCCTGCCCAGTTCAACGTCGTGGGCAGCTATGTCTCCAAGACAATGATCACTACGCAGAAGAGCCACGGCGTCGACATGGTCCTAGTCCTGCCCCAGGAAATTCTGCAGGAGAAGGACTACCTGGCTCTGCGCTATTTCTACAAGAGAGCGTATTATCTGGCCGTAATTGCCGCTGCGCTCCAAAAAGAGCTGGGGAGCGAGGCTCAGCTGTCGTACGAGCAACTTAACGGAAACCACTTGTGTCCAGTCCTTGCCATCCAGCCTACCGCGTCAAATTCCAGGGATTTGGACAAAAAGACCCTGGACTACAGGATACGAATCATCCCCTGTGCGCCTGATGGGTTCTTTCCCAAGGCAAAGCTTCACCTTGGAGCTTCGCTGATTCGCAAGGGCCGCGAAGGAGTCGCGAACGCCTCGACTGAACCCACGCCGTTCTACACTTCGACTCTAGTCGCCGAGACTTGCTTCCTCTCATACCTCAAGGTTTTGAAGCAGGCAGAGAAGAAATGTGCGGCGTTCAAGAATGCCTGTATTTTGGGCCGCATCTGGTTGCAGCAGAGAGGTTTCGGGGGGGACATTTCGCAGGGCGGGTTTGGCCATTTTGAGTGGGCGGTGCTGCTTGCTCTCCTTCTGCAGGGAGGCGAGAGCAAAGGGCAGGCCGCCCTGTCTGCCTCGCTGAGCAGTACTCAGCTCTTCAAAGCCCTTATACAATTTCTTTCGGTGACCAACTTTGCAGAGAAGCCTTGCGACTTCGGTTCGGGAAACGCGGATCTGGAAGCTCTTCTTGAACACGGTCCAATCCTTTACGATTCCACCCGGCAACTGAACATTGCTTTCAAGATGGGCCCGTGGTCCGCCGCTCTGCTTCACCAACATGCGAGATGGACGCGCAGTCTACTCGCTGACAGCACGGCTGACCAATTCAACCCAATCTTCATTCTCAAAACCGACGTGCCTTCACACAGCTATGACTTGATTGCGCGTATAAATCTTGACAAGGCATCGGAAGAGACGGGCGCTGATGCCCGGGGCCAGACATGGCAGCTCAGCACCAAAGTATACCGGATCTTGAAAAGAGCGCTTGCAGACAAAGAAATGGGGCAGAGGGCTCGCTTAATCCACATCCAAGCCCAAGCTCGCCCAACATGGCCGCTCACGGAGGAGCCCAAGGCACCGGAAACTTCACCGTTGGAAATCGGCATCCTCTTTGATCCTGTCAACATGGCGCGGACCGTCGACCGTGGGCCATCCGCGGGGCCAAGCGCGCAAGAGAAGGAGGAGTGCGAAAGGTTTCGCCGGTTCTGGAGCGACAAGTCCGAGCTCAGGCGTTTCGAGCGAGACACCATCCGGGAGACCTTGATCTGGACCTCAACGACGCCTTTTGATCTCTGCGAAGAGATTATGCGCTACGTCCTCGGTCTGCACCTGCGAATTGGACAACTCCACGATGAGATCACTGTTTATGGCAATGGCCTGCCTGCTCTACTGTCTCTCAAGCCAGCCGACACAGCCCTGTTCAATGTGGCGAAGAAGGCGTTCGGCACTCTCGAGCGCGATATCCGGGATCTGGAAGATCTGCCCCTCCGTGTCAGGCAGATTGCCCCCATCTGCCCCGAGCTCCGCCATGCCTCAGTCAAAACACCGACCTTTGGATCGTCCAAGTCAGGCCCTCGACCGCTGGAGTGCGTCATATCATTTGAGGCATCGGGTAAATGGCCCGAGAGTCTGGTCGCCATCCAGCGGACAAAGATTGCCTTTCTCTTGATGATTGGTAGGCTGTTAGAGAGCAGCAAGCCTACCGAGATCAAGACGCACGTTGGACTCGAAGACGCCAAGTACGAAACTGAGAACCTTGCCTTCCTTGACGTGCTTTACGAGTCCGGACCTTCGTTCCGCCTTCGGATACACAGCGACCTCGAGGAGTCACTCCTGGAGCGGCAGGTCAAAGACAAGACCGCAGAGCAATATCTCCGACAGCGCGCCACGACTCTGCTCGCGACGTTTAGGCGGCTCTACACCAATCTTCCCCTGCACGGCCAATACATCTCCACCTCGGGAACCCGCTTTCCAGCTTTGTCCCCTACAATTCGTTTGGTTAAGCACTGGTTCAACGCCCACAAGCTGTCTTATCACTTCACCGAAGAGTTTATCGAATTAGCCGTCCTCCACGTATTCCTCACGCCCTATCCCTGGGATGCCCCCACGAGCGCCAGCACAGGCTTCCACCGGACCCTGCTCTTCCTAGCCCACTGGGACTGGCGCTCGGAGCCGCTCGTCCTCGACACGAGCGGTGAGATGTCCGCCGCAGAGCGGTCATCGATCGCGACGCGCTTGGAAGCCTGGCGCAAGATCGACCCCAACATGAACCATACCGTGCTCTTCGTCGCCACGGCCCAAGAGCCGAGCGGAGTCGCGTGGACGACCCTCGACGGCCAGCCGAAACCTTCCAAGGTCGTCGCAACCCGGATGACGGCGCTGGCCAGGACCGCCACCCGACTCGTCAGGGTGCAGGGGGTCGAGCTCGACTGCAGGATGCTGTTTGTGCCGTCGCTGAAGGACTACGACGTCCTCATCCACCTGAACAGCAAGGCCGTCAAGAGCACGCTGAAGACGTATGCCACGATTGATCCGCAAGAGGAAGGGGAGAGTCTCGGCCGGCCGACCAAGTTCAAGAATCTCGATGAGCGTACGGGATTGGAGCCGCTGCCGCTCGCGCAGCACCCTGCGGAGCTGTTCTTGGAGCATCTGAGCGCGGCGTACGGCGGGCCACTCGTCTTCTTCCGTGGTGGAGTTGAAGACAGCACTATCGGTGCTATCTGGAATCCTCAGATGCAGAAACGGACTTTCAAGATTAACCTGCCAACCTCGTATAAGCCTGTTGCTGGGGAAAAGCGGAGCAGTGGTGGCGAGGATGGTGACGGAGAGGAAGATTATGTGGAGGTCAATAAGGAGGCGATACTGTCCGAGATTGCGAGGATAGGGGCGGATTTGATTGACAAGATCGAGGTGAAAGGTGCTTAATTGGTTAGAGCGACCATACTGAGGCACGTGAGGGATTCATGACTTGTAAAAGACCGTCGAAAATCTCAATGAACGCAATTGACATCAAATCATAGGAATTTCCACTTCAGACGGGATAAACCAGAACGTTTAGGGTATGAACTATGTCTCTTCCCTACTCTCAACCCCGTGCAAAACGATTACCTTGCCAGTACTTCCAAAGCATCACGAGTCTAATGCACCATGGCCTCCTCTGCGTGCTTTTGTAGGGCAGCCTCCGGCTTGTCATCCACCTCCATCATATCGTCATCGGCAGCCTCACCCTCGCCGGCTTCGTACTCCTCCAGGAGCTCGTCCTCGCTCTCGCCCTCGATATCAACACTGCCCTCGTCAGATAGCTCGTCCTCGTCGACAACGTTCTCGCCCTCAGCGCCCTCGACGCCGTCCATATGGGCGTCCTTGTCGCCGGCCTCCTCGCCGTTGACCTCGGCAACCTCGGCCTCAACTTCCTCTTCCTCGGCGAGCTCCTCAGCACCGTACTCTTCCTCGTCGGCGACGAGGTCCGCCTCGGGCTGCTCGGGGGGATACTCGGGGGGGGCTGAAGCCTCGGAGTCCCTATAACAAAGAAAACAATCGTCAGCAACGCCACCCCACCTATATCAGCTCTTCACCTGAGGAAAAAAACACCAACAACATACCACTTGATAGCAAACCTCGTCACGCGCGGCTTGTTAGCCAGCACATTCCGACGGATCTTCTCGACAATGGGCTTGGCGGGCGGGTCGTTGGCCAGCTCGTCGCTCTCGTACTCATTGTTGACGTAGTAGCCCACGCGCACAAACTCGCGGCCGTCGTAGGCGCAGGTCAGCAGGATCACCGTCACGCCGAGCAGCTCGTCGATGGGGATGCGCCGCGTGTCGGGTGGGTCGGCCTCAAACACAAACTTGTTGATGCCCACGGGGATGGGGCCGACAAGGAGGCTGTCGAGCTCCTGGTCATAGTTGTCCGATTGCGCCGAGCCGACGTAGGTTAGTTTCCATTCGAGGTCTGAAAGAAAAGTGATTAGTAGTTGTCGCGATGCATCGCGATGGCCTAGGGACGGAGAGAAGGCCGGGGGAGGGGGATGTGAGGAATGGTGGGCTTACCCTTCTGCAGCGGTTCCAGGCACTCAAAGGTGATCTCAAACTCGTACTTGTCGGTGAACTTGGCGGGGTTGTTGATCACATTGACCCCGAGAAGCGAAACGACAGACATATTGGCGAATACAGTGGCCCGATGATGATTCGAGTGGTGATGTGTGACAATAAAGGATCAAAACTGCTGCGCAAAATGGCTGTTTTGCAAAGGGCGGGAGGTTGCTGTAGAAAAGAGATGTGATGGCCGCGTTGAGGAGGCGGGGAGGATGGCCGAGGAAAGGAAAGCGCAAGCGGCTGGATTAGCGTTTGGGGCAAGCGCTAGGCAATAGGCAAGCCCTATTTGTTATGGCCCTGCTGCTATGCCTTGGAAATGAGACCGTGACTTGTTGAGGGCGGAAGGCGTACGTTTTGGGACATTCGAATGAAGTCGGTCGCGTCTGGAACTGCATCGTGCAGGGTTCTCGTCGCGTTCTGAGTTAAATTGAACGCGTCCGGCCCCACTTGCGCCGTCCATGGCGTGTGGCTGACGAGATGCTTGTGCTGCAAGCCACAGTTGCCGTCCAAAGAAGCTAGACGATGTCGAGACATCCCCGTTGTTTTTCTTTTCACAAATACCACTCGTCGAAAGCTGTTGTGATTCATTGAACCAACAGCACAATAGCATCAGCCGCGACGCTATGCGATAGTGAATACTTGAGCATCTACATCCAGCGTGCGTTTGCAATCACCACAATAATCAATATTTGCGTTCTTTTTGCCTGTGCCTCCCGATTTTATCAGCATGCGACAGCCATCCCTTTCTCATTCTTGACCTAACAGCTTCTACCCACCGCTGCGCACAACAATCGCCAAATCGAGCCGTACCAAACCTTGCACTCGCAGTCGCCGGGACCCGACAGTCGCTACCATCCGGCACAGCTCCGCTACATCGGCATCGCTATCCCAAGTTTTCCTCGACAATTGTTCTCGGCGACACCTCTCGGCGTTCATTAAAACCTACCCCATTGCGACAGATCTAGTCCTCGCCAGCGCAGAGAGCTGTCGGTCGCGCGATGGCCGACTACGACCCTGCTCACCCGAGCGGTGGGTGGGATGAAGATGGGGAATATGATTTGACTGGTGGCAACAATCAAGAGCATATTCAGCAGCATAGCACCGATCAAGTTCAAGCAGAGTATTCCGTTGATCCGACCCAGCGTGCTTCAGGTGACCTCCCATCTCCCGATGGCGCCACCGGCGATGTGGGTGCCTACGACCCAGCATCGGCGCCCGCCGCTGGTGCAGCCCTCCAGCCAGCCGCGGACCAGGTCCCCCACAGGCCTTCGCCCCAGCGCGCCGTCAAGCAGAAGCCGCGGACGGCAGGAGGCTTCCTAGTGGGAGACTCCGACTCCGAGGACGAGGCGCCGGTTGCTGCACCGAGTGGTCCTGCTCCGGGCGCTGCATCGCAGTCCTCTGCTTCACACTCCTCTCTTCAGCAGCCCATCACCGCCCGGCAGGCCACAGTCGTCCATCCCAATGCCGGCCCTGCTCCTCAAGTGAATGCTGCTGCTGCTGCTGCTGCTGCGACATCTTCTGGTCTGCCGGAGAATGACAACACCGCTGGACCTTCGGCCTTCGGGGTCGCGGCTGGCCCAGTCGCTGTTGACAAGAACTCCCAGCTTGAGGAGCGGGTTCGCAATGATCCCCGCGGTGCAATGGACGCATGGCTGGCTCTGATCGCTGAGCACCGGTCCAAGAACGACATTGAGCAATCGAGACAAACTTACGAGCGCTTTCTTGCCATTTTTCCCCAAGCTGTAAGTTAAACCATCTCCGCAGAGGCATAACTTGTGTCTATGCGCTCCAGCTAACATATGGGCAGGCTGATATCTGGTCTGAGTACCTCACGATGGAACTGGACATGAACAACTTCCCCGAAGCTGAGCTCATCTTCAGCAAGTCTCTCCTGTCAACCTTGAACGTGAATCTGTGGACCAAGTACCTGGACTACATTCGCCGGAGGAACGACCTGAACGACAGCAGCGGCAATGCTCGCCAAACCGTCTCACGCGCCTACGAGTTCGTTATCGACAACATTGGCCTGGACAAGGATTCCGGCAAGATCTGGGCCGAGTATATCCAGTTCATCAAGTTCGGCCCCGGCACAGTCGGCGGGAGCCAATGGCAAGATCAACAAAAGATGGACCAGCTGCGCAAGGCCTACCAGCGAGCCATCTGTGTGCCCATCGCCAACGTCAACACGCTGTGGAAGGAGTATGACCAGTTTGAGATGGGTCTCAACAAGCTGACTGGCCGCAAGTACTTAGCCGAGAAATCTCCTTCGTACATGTCAGCGAAAAGCGCGAACACGGCCCTTGAGAACATCACTCGGGGCTTGCAGCGGACGACTCTTCCCCGCCTGCCCCCTGCTCCTGGCTTCGACGGTGACCAGGAGTACATGGAGCAAGTTGAGATCTGGAAGAAGTGGATCGCATGGGAGAAGTCGGACCCCTTGGATCTCAAAGACGACAAGGACCAGCCCGATCTGTACCAGAAGCGCATTCTCTATGTCTATAACCAAGCCCTAATGGCTCTGCGGTTCTGGCCCGAGATGTGGGTTGATGCTGCTCAATGGTGCTTCGACAACAACATCACCGCCAAGGATGGCGGTCCGGCCGGCCTTGACTTCCTCACCAGAGGCATTGAAGCGAATCCGGAGAGCGTGCTTCTTGCGCTGAAGCACGCTGACTACATCGAATCCACCTACCCGATTGAGGAGAACGATGAGGCCAAAATTGCCCGTGGCAAGGCCGTGCGCGCCCCCTACAACAAGGTCTTGGACACCCTCTACGATATCGTTAAGAGCGTCAAGGACCGTGAGACTGCTGAGATTGCGCGCATTGAGGAGGCCGCCAAGGCAGCTGGGGAGAACGCCACCAGCAAGTCTGATGAGGATGATGAGGAGGACGAGGATGCCAGGTCTTCGGACACGAGTGCAAAGGACAGCAGGTTGAACGACCGACTCCGGGCCGTCAAGCAAGGGTATGCCGCGCAGACTCAGCTTCTATCCCGGACTATCTCGTTTGTCTGGATCGCACTCATCCGTGCGATGCGCCGTATTCAGGGCAAAGGCAAGCCCAACACGGAGCTTGGCGGCATGCGGCAGGCGTTCCAGGATGCTCGTCATCGTGGTCGTCTAACCAGCGATGTGTATGCTGCCGTGGCACAGCTGGAGTGGACCATCTACAAGGACCCCGCTGGCGGCAAGATTTTTGACCGTGGTGCCAAACTGTTCCCGGAGGACGAGTATTTCACCTTAGAGAACATCAAGTACCTTCATTCCCGTGATGACTTCACTAGTATGTCCTTGTCTTCTTCCGTTTTCTTATCCTCTCGCTAACCTTCCTAGATGCTCGCGTCCTCTTCGAAACCGTCGTCAACCGTCTGACACAGAAGCCTGAGACTGTGCACAAAGCCAAGCCGCTGTATGCATACTTCCACAAGTACGAGTCCCAATTTGGTGAGCTTGCTCAAATCACCAAGTTGGAGAAGCGCATGGCAGAACTCTTCCCCGAGGATCCCAAGCTTACCAACTTCACCGCCCGGTACTCTACTGAGAAATTTGACCCCATCGCCGCTCGGATTATCGTGTCACCCACCACCCAACTCAGGCCTAAACTCCTGATGCCGTCGATTGAGCAGGGCACCTCCCTGCAGAACTCGCCTCGCCTTCCGCCTTTCGCGACCCGCGCTAGTCCCGCCCCTCAGTTCTTGCCTGCCACCAACTCCCCAAAGCGACCCTTCCCAGCCGATGACTTCGATGAGCCGCCGCGCAAAATCCAACGTAATGATTTCGGCGAATTCCAGCGCGGGGCTTCGCCACTCAAAGGTGCCGCTGGCCGCCGCCTGGACCAGCAGCGCCGGATGCAGGGTCAGGGCGCAGCTTCATACGCCGCCGGCCCGGCCCCGATTGCGCGCGACATCACATTCCTCCTCAGCCAGATCCCCCGGGCTGACCTGTACGACTTCCACCGCTTCAACCCGGCCCATCTGACCAACCTGCTGCGCGATACCCCAGTCCCCGAGTACTCGACGTGGAAAAACACTCGCCAGTCTTCAGACCATCCCGGCGGTCAGCACGGTGGTTATCAGAACCGCGATTCGCCCGCTCCCGTCGGCAGGCCGCTCAGCCCCTACGTCGGTGACGCAGCTCGCAGTCGCCTCCCCCCCGCGCCGTCGGCTGCTGCCCCGTACAGGCAGAGCTCCATCCGGCCCGGATCTAGCGGATCCTACGAGCCCCCTCCGGCCGTCTACAACACCCAGGGCCTGGTCCATCCTCCTCCCCAGGCAGGCTATCCTCATCCCTCGCCGCACATGCAGTACGATGGTGGTGCCGCCGCTGCCCCGCCGGCCGCCTGGCCGCCTTATCCGCCCCCGCCTGTCGCCCAGCAGGGCTATGGTGGTCCGCCCCCGCCCCCGCATCACTTGTATGCTCAGGCGCCGCCGCCGCCCCCCCAGCAGGGAGGCTATCCCCGGTATCCTTACTAGTAGTGGTGGTGAAGGAGCACGGGCTACTTTTGGGGTGATTTTTGATCGGTCTCCGGGGTGGAGATGCTTGGTTGGCAGGCGATAGGCATGGATGAGCGGGGAGGATACTGAGCCTCCTTACCCTGTCTAACTTGATGGACTTGTTTGTTTTTGTACATAGTATAAAGGAGGTTGGGTGCATTTGTTGCTGGGGTCTTTTCTCGGGTGGCTCGTTGTGCGTATGGCGTTTGGGAAAGAGGGTCTGCCATTTACCTCGTAAGTTCGCGTCCACAGCAAAGAGAAGGTGAGGGCATACCTTTGGCCTGGCGTGGCAGTGTTTGCTATGACCTAGCTGGCTGTCACCCTGCCCTTTGGTGGTGGATGACGCGTATGCTGGCAGGGAGACAGGCAGTCTATAGGCAGATGCGGAAAATGATTGATCTGGTATGAGACAAGAAGATCTCTGTCTGTCCTGGAGAATGTGATGCTGTAACGGGTCAACACTGGCTGCGAAGAAGTGTCGAGGGTTAAGAGTGCCGAGGATGTTACGGAGCTCCCATGACACCTCATCTTGAGGCATAGCAAGGATAATCAACAAACAACACTCAACGAGAACATACAGGAGACGGGCTCGAGATGTTATCGGATGAAAGCTTGAGGCCTCTATGTCTCGTTAAGGTAACGCTTCCCTTGTAGATGAGGGTGGACAGCGTTCAAGTTGGCCCTTTCGTATCTCGTTGACGAGTCATCCTGGGCCCTTCTTCTGGTTGAAGACAGAGTCTCGTCTTCATTAACGATGATACCGGCTTTCCATAACAAAGCTGGTATAGGTAGGGGCTGGACGGCCTGGCGAGTATGGACAGGTAGCAATAGTTGAAACATGATCCAGATAACCCCAGGGTCCAAACCTCCCTGTTCTCAGGCCTATTCTCCAAGGTGGACTGGTAACACCTGATCTTCCTCCTTTGGCAAGACATTTAGCCTCCATTCCTATAGCAAGAAGAAGAACACTTAGTCGTTTGCCGTTTATGTTCAATTTACTGCCGCAGGAGAATTCGTTTCTGTGGCTCCCATCTGCCAGCGGCCCCCATCCATCCCATATCCATCCTTCTAGGTTCTGAGCCTCCATCGCTCCAGCAACCGAGTTTCGAGGTCCTGGCTACGGCTATAAAACCTTCTCCAGCCGCCCTCCATCCTCCCCCTCTTTTTTTCCTCCAAACGACCGACCTTCCGCTGGTTCGATTAACTTTCATGCCTCTGGAGCCAGCTTCTTCACTCTTCACGTTCCTCACCCATCAACAGAGCTCCTCAACTGCGCAACAACTCCGAGGTAAGCATCTACATCCCTCATTCTCCTCCTGCCCTGTTCTACACGCTGCCCTAGCCGACGGTAACGAGATATCGCAAGCCCGTACATGCGGTGGTTTCTCGCCGCAGCTGGTGAGCTTTCCGTCCTCCTACCTCTCCTCCTCCGAGCCAACCATGCAGAGCATTCTGAGACGAGCACACCGACGCAAAATTCTTCCCAAGTATCCGGTCAGAGCACAAACCATTGCAGAGCCATTTCCAAACGGGTCGATTTGCAAACGCTTGCCTTCATTTCCCCAGAATCCCTCCTACCGGGCGAGTTTTTCCCTGCAAAGAATTCACCCTGCCTTCTTACTCCAAGCTTTCACTCTCTGGTTTCCATCCCAAACTTGGTTCCTCGGATTTGCCTTTAGTAAGGATTTCTTCCACTTCCACTCTTCCACTTCCACTCTTCCACTTCCACTCTTCCTCTTCCACTCTTCCTTTTCCACTCTTCCTCTTCCACTTCCACTTCCTCTCTCCCTCAACTGCAACCGCTTCACTCGTCTCCTCGATTGCCAACCCTCGGATGCTAACAAGCTTTACTCGGATCAGGTACTTGAACCATTCTTCTCCCTTCCTTAACATGGCACACTGCCTTCGCTCCATGGCTCGTTTTTGCCGCCTTGCCAGCAACCCAGCTCTTGGATCATCTCTGACTTCGACTCGCAGTTCTTCAATAACCAAGTCAGTCATTCACGCTCGATCGGTAAGTTTCATTCGCGCTCCAGTTACATTTCCCCATCCCATGCACCGTCCGCGCCCCCATCTGCTCCTTTACCCAATCAACCAAAGCAACAAGATCAAGATCCATCTTGAGTGCGGTCTGCCTTTAACTGCGAACATCACACACGATCACTTCTCGATTCCCGACCAATTTCCCTCTGCCATTGTTCGACGGGAGCACATTTCCCTTATTTGCAGCCATTGCCTTTCTCGATCACTGATTTTCAACACTCGTACTGAACCGGCTCTCACAATTCTTGCGAGGAAGTGCTCCTTCCAAACAGAAACCTGCTATGCGAGCAACCTCTATTGGTAAAGTCAGAAATGTTCCTGCCCCTTACCGAGGCTTTTGCCCGTTTGCACTCCAACCTGAAAGATCTGCTACTCTGCCACTCGGCTCTTCAAACTCATGATTTTATGTCTTCATCGGACCCATTCAGCCTCTTCAAACCAAATCCACATCTTAACTTCCTCCCACTTTCAACTTTCCAACAGTTCAACTCCTGACTTCCTTTCCTCTTCCCATACCTCGCCTGTCTCAGTGGAAGATCGTCATCAGGTTACCTTTAGGAAGCTTGGTGCGCTCCTCTCTTTTTTATGGCTCCATTTCGCTTCCAACTTCATCACTTGTTCACATTCTCCAACCCCAGCATTCTTCAACACTACTTTCGTTTCGGCCACCTGAGTAAGTTGGCTTATCTTCTCGCAACTTCATCGTTCTCGTATTCCAAGAAGCCAACAGCCATCTCACCGATCGACTACTTCCTTTAGCACAGCTGGCTAATCGTGTCACATCTCAGTCACATCGGTCTTAACGACATCTCTCTCGAGTTGATGGACATTGCCCAAAATGTCTGCCAAGATATCTGCCAAGTCAACTGGCGAGCAAAAGAAGCTGAGGAACCCCCTCGAGCTCCCTGAGGGCATCAACAAGCGCTGCGACCTGCCGCCTGAGGCCTACTGGGTAGGTTGCTTCTCAGACGCTTGGCTGACCCGCGTAGTGCTAATCGTTGTCTCCAGCATGCTGACAAGGCCAACGCTCCATTTGCATCTCGTCCTGCGTACAACTCGAGCTGCCAGGACATTCGCGTTGGCGTCAATCAGTTCCGTGTCACGGGCGTCACCGGTCGCGACGTTTATCAATACGATGTACGTACACTGTGCTCGGAGACGTTGGATACCGCCCGAACATGCTACTAACCGCTTGGACAGGTCAGCATCATTCCTGAGCCCCAGGGTACCATCGTCTACAAGAAGGCATGGAACACCAAGATGATCCAGGGTAAGCTGCTTCAGCAGAAGGCCCCTTGGCTCTACGACAACCGGAAGCTGGCCTGGTAAGTTGGGTTATGTGTGGACCATGCTGTGGATGCTGACAGAGAATCGGCCAGGTCGAGCAGCAACATCCAGGGTTTCAAGTGCCAGGTCGACTTGGGCGAGGATGAGGGCCGCCCGGGCCGCAAGAACAACACCTTCATTTTCGAGCTCAAGCAGACTGGCAAAGTCCGCATGGAGGCCCTGAAGGCCTACCTGGAGAAGAAGGTGGGCTGGGACAACACGGTGCTCGAGTGCATGAGTAAGTAACCAAGAATTCCTAGTCACTCTCGCTGCGGTCGCTCACACTGTCCAGGCTTCCTTGACCATGTTCTCCGTCAAGGTCCCTCTGAGCGCATGCGCCTGATCAAGCGCACCCTCTTCAACGAGTACTCGCAGACGAAGCGCCTGAACAATGTCACTGAAGCCATCAAGGGCATCTACTCGGCCATTCGCCTGAACGAAGTATGTGCTGCGTCTCGGATTGTTGTTTCTTGTGCTAACCTTTCTTCAGTCCATCAAGTCTGGCGGTCTCGGACTTGGCATCAACGTCGACGTTTCCAACCAGACCTTCTGGGTCGGCCAAAAATTCGAACAGCTGGCGCGCAACTTTTTGAGCTGCATAGACCGGAAGTGGGAAAACCGTAAGTGACCTGAGTGGTCCCTCCTGCCTCGTCTCGCATGCCTTCATTTTGGCTAATTCCACCCCAGTTGACTACGAGGGCATGCGAAAAGTCCTCCTGCCCGTGAAGGTTACCAACAAGGACGGTTCTCAGACTTGGGGTATGTCGGAAGCCTTCAAGGCTCTCCGCCGCCTGCAGAACATCCGCTTCGAGGTGAAACATAGAGGGAACACCAAGGGTCCCAAAGAGTACAAGGTCAAGCGCATCGCATTCGACCCTCAGTACGGCGAGCTTGGTGCCTGTGCCAAGGCTGTTACGTTTAAGAAGAAGATGCCGGATGGCACCGAGCGGACTTACAATATCGTGGACTACTACGCCCAGCAGTACAACGCCAGGATCCAGCACTGGTACCTTCCGCTCATCGAGTCGACTAAGGGCGGTTACTTCCCCATGGAGGTCTGTGAGGTTCATCGGTTCAACTCGTACCCTTTCAAGTTGGACCCCAACCAGGTAAGTTCCTCGTTCAGAATGTTTGACCTTGGCCAACAGGATTAACAACAATGGGAGACTTCGGAGATGATCAAGTTCGCCGTCCAGCGTCCGCCACAGCGGAAGCAGGAGGTCATGAACATGGTGCAGAACCTCCACTGGGACAAGGATCGCTTCCTCGCCCATTTCGGCATCAAAATCAACCCTACCATGCCGATGGTCCAGGCCAAGTTGATCCCGAACCCCCCCGTGCAGTTCGCCAACAGGTTCACGGACCCCAAGGTGTCGGGCCGTTGGGACCTTCGCGGCATGAAGTTCGTGGCTCCCAACAAGCAGGAGCTCATCTCCTGGGGCTTGGTCATTGTGGACAAGTGTGTCGACAAGCCGACTGTCGAAAACTTTGCGAAGCTCTTCAAGCAGACGTACATTGGTCACGGCGGCAGGGTTGGCCGCGACGCCCTGGTCCTTGATTATGGCAGGGTTGATCACGAAAAGATGATTCTAGATTCCTACAACACGATCGGGAACACAAACAAGGCGATGCCGCAAATCATTTTCTTCATCCTGCGTGACAAGACAGCCTGGGTCTATGACCGTATGAAGAAGATTTGCGACATCAGGCTGGCATGCTTGTCGCAGATGATGCAGGGCATGCACGTCCGGAAGGCGCAGGGCCAGTACATGTCCAATGTCTGTATGAAGGTGAACGCCAAACTCGGCGGCCAGACGTGCAAGATTGCGAGCAAGAAACCTGCAGGTGGCTCAACCTTCTTCAGTGTTCCCACCATGATGATTGGCGTCGACGTCTCGCACGGCAACACGGGCGCTGGCTCTGCGTCGACGGCGGCCATGTGCGTATCGATGGACAAGGACGCGGCAATCTACGACGCGGCTGTCGAGACCAACGGCTGGGGTGTGGAGATTCTCCAGCCTGCCAACATGCATTCGATGCTTGGGCCCCTCGCGATGAAGTGGTGGAAGACCAACAACGTGAAGCCTCAGCATGTCTTCTACATGCGCGACGGCGTCTCCGAGGGCCAGTTTGCGCACGTCATGGAGTTTGAGGTGGAGGTGATGAAGCAGGTGTTCAAGGAACACATTGGCCATGTTCCTAAAATTACCGTCATCGTGGCCACCAAGCGCCACCACATTCGCTTCTTCCCCGAGCGGGGCGACAAGAACGGCAACTGCCTGCCCGGCACCCTCGTGGAGAAGGAGGTGACGCACCCTTTCCATTACGACTTTTACCTCTGCTCGCACGTTGCCATCCAGGGCACTGCTCGCCCGGTGCACTACAATGTGCTCCACGACGAGTGCGGGCTGAAGCCTGATGACCTGCAGCGCATCCTGTACCATCAGTGCTACCAGTACTGCCGCTCGACCACGCCGGTGTCGCTGCACCCCGCGGTATACTATGCGCACTTGGCTGGTACGCGCGCCCGCCACCACGAGAACGTGGCCACCAGCGAGCAGGTGCCGGCGGACTGCAAGCACCTCATTCTGCGTCGCCCCGGCCCGATGTCAAAGCGCGATGACAAGACCGCCACTTCACACGGCGAGGATAGCCAGCCGGCCCCTCTGATGAAGCCGGGTCATGAAAACAAGGCCCGCCCGGCGGCTGTCAACGTCTTCAAAAACACCATGTGGTGGGTCTAAGCGGCCCATTGGGTTGCACTCCCCGACTGCATTCTGGGAGGGAGCGTTTTGGAAGGTTCTTGGAGGGACAGCGATTATTTCACAGTCGTCTGATGTACTGCAGGCGGCTCTCTTTCTTGTCTGAGGTTCACAATTTTGAGCTTGGCGGTGGTGGTTCTGAGAGTTTAGAAAAGGCTTGCGGACTGGCAACCGTGGCCCGCAGGTTCTTCAGGTCGGGGTTCCTAACCACGTGAGTCCAGAGCGGAAAGGGTATAGTAGTTCATCGTTGATTTACATTTCCTGAGTCGTCGGGAGATGGTGTTTGATGTGTGGGGAAATGATTGCAGTGACCAAATCTCAGAGCATCAGAGGGCTGACTGGAACGGAGAAGATGGCTCTGTCAACTCTGTCTCTTCTGTAAAGGAACTTGGCTGAATCACAGATGATATTAAAACAGTTTCCTGAACTGTCTTTGCAGACAAGATGTCTCGAGTCGGCATCTCTGCAGTGCCATGTCTCAATCCACCGAGATGAAACTTCCTGGTTGTTGACCTACCCCTGAACGCTGCTACCGGAGCAACCACCTAAATCATTTCCATTTCCGTGCACGGGCTTCAGATTGATGAGATCCGAGTTTTGCAAATGGCTGCCTGCCAAGCCTAGACGAGGCCGCATCCGGCTAAGCGTATCCGTCAATTCCGTGGCAGAGTGACAGGGTTGTTTGCTGACTGCTTTCAAACTGCAAGGCTTACCCCACATGTCAGCGGCAACGAACAACCAACGCGTTATCTTAAGTTGAATCAGCCGACACTGCCGTCTTTGGCTTGACTCTCTGTACCTCCTCTCGGGGACACAAAGAATCGTTGTCCAGTTTATTACGATCGCGAGGTATTTTTCAAAAGAGGGAAGAAGAGAGCAAATAGGTGACACTGCTGTCTATACATGCCTTGATCCTCATCTCGCTTTTCTTGTATCGAACAAACGGATCGCTGTCGAGGTACGAGCCCCTCTACAAAGAAGGGAAAGGAAAGGAGGAAGTAAAGAAGAAAAGATGGCGGGCTTCTTGAGAGCCCGGCAGGCGGGGATACAGAATGACTTGTCGGCGGGGGTTGGGCAGGGCTTGTTCAATCCTGATGAGTTGGTGAGGTATGGGATTGGGAGTCAGATTAGGTGAGTTTGTTCGCGTCTGTTCCTGTGGATATCCCTCTCAGCATGACAAAGGGGACGACACAGTGATGTGGTGTTGTTATTATTCTTCTACCTTATTCCTGCTGTTCTGTTGTTGTCTTGTTCTGTGTTCGCTTGGCGAGGGAAGGGGGACCAGAAGGGGGACGGGAGGATTTGGTTTACTGTGTCTCTTCTTCTTACCAGTATCTTACCCCTTTCCTTTGAATTACGATTCCGCCCCTTAACTTTTGCCGTCCTGTCGTCGCCCTTCCTTCTTCACCCATACCACCAACTAACACCCCCCTTACTTAAGCTGCCTCGCCTACGACCCAATCCAATCCCTCCTCGCAGTCGGCACCTCCACCACCCAATACGGCCCAGCAAAGATTTACGTCTTTGGCGCCCGCCGCATCGTCCGCTCTTTCTCCCTCTCCTCCTCCTCTGCTGCCATACCACGGCCATCCATCCTCACATCATCATCATCACAAACAGCACAGCAACAACAACACGACGCCCTGTCGGTGCGCCACCTGTCTTTTGTCGCCAACAGGCTGGTCAGCCTTGACAGCCACAACGAACTTGCTGTCTGGGATCTGGAGTCAGGTGCCAAAGTCGCCAAGACGACGTACTCGCGCGTGGCGTGTGTCACGACTGATCCGGGGTTGGATTGGGTGTTTGTGGGCCTGGTGAATGGCGGGGAGGTGTGGGCGTATGATTTGGATCGCGGCCGGCCGCCGGCGAGTGGGTGGCGGTTGGGAAATGTCTGGGTGCAGCGTCAGAGGGAGCAGCGGGAGGGTAAGGGGGTGGGGCCTGGGGGTGGGATGGGGATGGGGATGGCGGGGATGATGGGCGTTGGGGTGGTCAGCTTGCAGTTGCATCCGAGGGATATCGGGTTGTTACTGATTGGGTACTCGCATGGTGCTGTGGTGTACTCATTCAAGCAAGATGCGGTCGTCAAGTACTTTGAGTATGTCGTGCCTGCCGGAGCGCCGGGTGGGGATGGGGTGGGAATGGAGAAGGAGAGACGGCCGAGGGTGGTTAGGGCGGTGTGGCATCCGACGGGCACGTTTGTGTTGACGGCACATGAGGACGGGAGTTTGGTGTTTTGGGATCCAAGGGATGGGAGGATGGTGGCTGCGAGGTCGGTTTACGATACCCGGGTGAACGAGGTTACAGGGAAGAGAGCGGTCAAGCCGAGGCCCCTGGTGCCGTTTGGGAGGATCGCATGGTGCTGCAAGCAGAACCCGGATGACACGGCGCTGCTGATTGCCGGTGGGCAGGCGGTGGACGAGGAGCAGATTGGGCTGACATTCCTGGAGCTGGGGCGGACGCCGATATATGCCACTTCGTCGTGGGAGATGCTCACGAATCACTTTGAAGGCAAACGCCGGCTGACGCTGCCGATACCGCCCGGCGCCGTGGTGGCCGACTACTGTTTGATTACGAGGTCGTCGCCATTCTTTGACGGTGCGCAGGATCCCATTGCGGTCTTGGTCCTGCTCACGTCCGGCGAAGTCATCACCATGACTGTGCCGTCCGGGTACCCCATCAGCCCGACAAACATGTTGCATCCGAGCATGTCGTTTGTGCACCCGTTTGTGCAGAAGATCGCCGTCAGCACGGTGCCCAGGGAGCGGTGGCTGACCATGGTCGAGACGCGCAACCAGGGAGAGCCTATCCTCATGGGTGGCGCGCCAGCGGCGAAGAGGAGGAGAGTGGGCTGGGATTATCGCGACATTATCCAGGTTGCGCATGCAGACGGCACGATCCGGATATGGGACGTGGGCTACGACGACGACATCGAGAACCCCATGCAGATACAAGTCGACGTTGCCAGGGCACTCGACCGCTTTGAAGATGTCAGTGTCACGGCCATCGGCATGGCCGACGCGACCGGGGAGTTTGCGGCCGGCACGAGGACGGGAGAGGTGGTCATCTACCGATGGGGTTTGAACAAGAACTATGGCCGAGATGCCGCCAGGCCGCTGGATCCGAACCCCGGCGGCGTGACGGACGTCTCGTCTCGAGGGGAGCCGTCGCTGAAGGAGGGGCTGCAGCCGTTGGTGCTGTACGAAATGATGCAAGGTCCTGTCAGCGTGGTGACCGTCTCGGACGTAGGGTTTGTGGCTGTCGGCTCAGAGGGCGGTTTCTTCAGCATTCTTGACCTGCGCGGACCGAGTGTCATTTTCCAGGGTCCTCTGCTGAACTTTGTCAAGGAGGAGAAGCGGTCGTCCTTTCTCAAGGGGAGTTCGAAGGCGCCTTCGACACGAGAGTACCCAACCGCCATCGAGTTTGGCGTCTTGACCATGGACGGAGACGGTTACTCGAGCATTGGCTGCTTCGTGGGGACAAACCTGGGCCACGTGGCCTCGTTCAAGATCCTTCCGTCCGGACAGACATACTCTGCGCAGCTGGCCGGGGTGGCCAAGTGCGGCGGTGACAAGGTTGTGGCAATTTGTCCGCTGAATGTAGACAACGGGCAAGCCGCTGCTGCGACGGGTCCTGCAGTAGCAGGACTGAGGGAAGGCAAACAGGTAAACGGTATTTTGGTGGTCGGTAAGTCTCTCTCGTTGTTCTCCCATCGCCCACCCTCACCTAACGAAGAAACCAGTCACACAAACCGAGATCCGCGTCTTCAAACCTGCTACCGCAAAGGGCGCCTCCAGGTCCTTCGACGACCAACTCTGCGACGCAGCGCGCGTGACCGAGGTGCCCCGCCACGGCACCGCCCTCGTAGCCGTCTTCGGTGACCGCACCACGCGAGCCTACTCCCTGCCGGCGCTAAAAGAAATTGGCCGCGCCGCGCTGCCCATGCTCGACCCCAGCCGGACTATATCCGCCGTCATCTCGCGCACCGGCGAGGTGTTTGGCTGGACGGGGCCGTCAGAGGTTGCGGTCCTGTCTGTCTGGGGAGAGGGCAACGGGAAGAAGAGCCTGCCGCCGTCGGAGGATACCCTCATCAACCCGCAGCTGACGCTCCCGGCGCGGCCGACGATCAGCAACCTTCAGTGGATCTCGGGGACGCAGTATGTCAGTCCGACAGATCTGGATTTGCTGATTGGTGGAGAGGGGAGGCCGCCGAGCAAGAGGATGGTGGCGGCGGCGGCGGCAGAGAGGGGGATGGCGGGTGCTGGTGGTGGTGGGACTGCGAGTGGGAGTGCGAGGGCTGGGACGAGCCAGGAGGGCTGGGGCGAGTATATCACCCGGCAGCTCAACGAGCGCACCGAGAGGCTCAACTTTGTGGATGATGCTATGAGTCGGCTGCAGGAGACTAGCCAGTCGTGGGCTGAGGATGTGAATAAGTATGTCAAGAAGCAGAAGAGGGATATGTTGTTGGGGAGTGTGAAGAAGTCGTTCCTCTGAGGGGCACGGTGGGACAGAGGGCGTTTGAGGGCGAGGCTGGTTTCATGGGTTGGATTGGGATTGGACATGGCGCTCAGGGGGTGGTTGGACGCAGTCTGCTGTTATTCCTGTTTGTTGTGTTTCCGCCAGACATCTTTCTAGACTTTCACGCGCCACAGCTTCAACGATTCTGCTCAAGACGATGAGATGGAGCGTTACTCTATCGCCTAGCAAAACGGTTCCGATGACGAGCGTCTATGGCTGGTTCATACAATAGCGGCGGTGAACAAAGCGCAGCGTGCGGAGGAGATACCGAGTCCTAGTCTCTCCTTCGACCTGCATCCGCGACAATGCGAGGCTAAAAAGTTTTTCTATCAACTGTTGAGCTGATGAGCATGTTCACCTGGGTGCAAGCCTTAATCATCGGCCGGGCTGCGTGGCGGGCCTTGCTGTATTCTTCTATGGCTGCCGAGGCCTCCGTCAAGAACATTTCCTCTGTCGACTCGATGGAAGAAGGGTCGGGTCTCGGTCCTCGTTCCTGCGGATCAGTCCGCAGCCAAGCAGCACATTCGCGGTCGTAAGCCGCCTGGCGTTTGCGTATGAGGCGTTTTCGGACGTTGTCAGAACTCGGCGCCTGTTCAGGGATGCCAAGCATCTTATCGTCGGTGAGCAGATATTCGTCGAGGCTGATGATATGCCAAATGCCTAGATGTGACGCCGCCCACCGGATCGAGCTGAGCCAGGGTATCCATGTAGACCTTTTGAAGCTGAGTCTGTTGCCCTTCGGCATGAAGAAAGAGACATCCTCGTTTTCGTCCTCATCGATTTCGTCCATGGTGTTGGCGTGACAAGCGGCCCAAGTCGCGAGTGGCGATGGCGGTGGGAAAGATGAAAACGATGATGTGTTTCCAAATAGGTCCAGAGCCCCAACGCCCAACAAATCTTGCAGTCACTGAGTGTAGGTTCCAGAATACTGAAGCGGAGCGATGGGTTAATGGAGGAAAACAGGCGTCGAGCTCAAAGGGCAAGAAAAGAGGCAAAAAAAGAAGAAAAAGAAAAACGACAAAGTGAGTTTGACAAGGCGCCAAGACCGCACCGGCGTAGCCTACACAGTACGTGATGTTTGCTTGCCACAGGAGCAGTCACGGTATTTACATTAATTTATTGTTCTTGGAGCTCTTGTGTACTCCCAACTACTGTGCGATGTGTATCACGAACCGCAGATCACGTTGTTTGCTCTGACATCAACTGCGGTGAACGTGATGAGGTGGTGAAGAACATTGGGGCATGAAGCCAGCGCTTACTGTACCCCAGTAGACCAATCAAACCAAGTGTGGATATGCAATCGAGGGCTTCCCGGCCGGAGTTTTCGCGGAGCGCGTCGCCCGATCGAAAACTCCGAAGTCCCGACCTGTGAGTTTTGTGGAGCCAGCAAATCCCGTCGACCGGCTCGCTCGGAGATGAGCCACCCCCCGCCAGCTCGGGTACTATGTACATCATGTACATGTAGGACGAGGGCAGGCGGCGCGCCCGATTTGTTATCCCGATCTCCCTGTTGGAATGGAACAGCAGAGCAGGACTTAGCGTTACCTGAGCGTGTGACGTTCCCGCCTTGCCAAGCAATCTTGCCTTAAAATCCACATGGCCATGACTGAGCAGGAGACGGATTTCTAAGCAGCGGTACTTACACTCGCTGACTGATGAGGTTTCCAACGCAAATGGATGTTGTGGGATGCGGAACCCTGCGGATCATTCACCTCTCCGCCTTGATCAGCAGACGATCTCTGGCGGGTTGCTGTAAAAGTAACTGGCCGGAGTCCAGAACATCCACCACATAGGCGGTCCGGGCTCACGTTTGTGAAGGATACCACACCCAATTCGCATTGTTGGGACCAAGGGGTCGACAATACTACCACATGGGAAGGCCGACACCTCCAGGAGCCGCTCGAGGTCGAGTGTCAGAGAATGCAAGAAGCTAAAAATATCTAGATGACTGGAGGCATCCATGGAAGAAACCCGTCAAATGCTGAGGAGGGCAGGCCGGGTACGGAGTAGCGTCGCGCCTCGCGAAAAAAAACCCGGACGTCAGGATCAGGGCCGGCCAGCGCCGGCCAGCGCCGCCGCATCACAAAATCCGGGAGTGAGTAAAGCCCGAAGATGCCGGCGCTGAGTGAGCTTACTGCGAATAAGGCACACGACCTTACGCATCCATCGAGGCCTTCAAGAATATCATTCGCATCGGAGGTGAGATCAGCCGCTGCTGCCGGCGACTGAAAAGCGGCCGACCTCATCTGCCCTGATGTTCCAACAGCGAAAGCCGCGCGATGTGCGGATACGTGGGGGACCATAAAAACCATCCCACCACTTTCCACGATCATCAACGAATTGTTTCAGACAATGGCGCCAGCAACAGTGACCTGGTCAAACGCCTAAAAATTTTGGGCTTGTCAAGATCGCACAGCAACCAAAGTCCGTCTCGATTTGACGACAATGGGAGAGAAAGCGGTGGTTGGTCAAGCTCGGACTTTGGAGTCTAACGGCCAGCCACTCAGATCGTGATGCGAGGGAGACGAGCACAGACTCTCTAGACTCTCTCGGATCGCACGGATCGGGTTTGCTGGAACCCTTGCTGTCCGGTTGACGCCATGGCTTTGTGGCGGGGAGCGGCTAGTATCAATGTATCGGTACTTGTCCAGTACCTGGACGCTGGAAAACGACGGCGGCAGGATCCCCGAGTGGAGTGCGCGTAGCACCAGGGATTGCAAACTGTACATCCGTAGATCAGAGGCGTTTCCATACCTACAGGCTCATGTTCTTTGCGCCTGGCTGTGCTGGCAGAGGGGCATGGTCGTGGAAGAACAAAAATGGAGAGAAAACCTTGCGGTACCTGTACCCGCGCTAGTGTGTGCGCATCACGCGACCGCAGCGGGCCGGCGCAATGCCGAGCGATGGTTGGTGTGGAGCACATTGCGTACGAATACCAAGCACCTTCCAACGCTAACGCCCGAGATCATAAATGACGGGAGGTGAGGTGTTGTGTGCGTACCTATTCTGTTTCCTTCTCTGACGGGAGAATGAAAACGACAGGAAGTAGGCTTGACAAACGAACGGTATCTTCATACTACATAGCATATACGGAGGAACTGCGATGACAGTCTGGCTCGCAAGTGATCGCAACCGGCAGCGGTGGGATTTTCTTTGGATTCCACTCGGCAAGTTTCTCACATGGTCCCACTTTCATGGTTGGTCCAACGCGAGCTGTCGGGCATTCCTTGAATCCCGCGTATCCAGCAGCTTACCCATCAACTTAGCTTCGATTAGGTCCCGCATGCCACCGGTGTTGCGTCTTGGCGTGCGTTCATCAGACGCACACTTTTGTATAAGCGTCTGCATATGAAAGCCGGCGCACCCGTCATCGGCCGTCATGACCACCGTTCCGCTTCTTGGCCAAACGCTGTACCACAGTACTCCCACCGACATCCGTCCACCTCACCATTACCGCCATTCCATTCCCTTCCCTTGACTCCTTCGCAGCCCTCGAACAAGACTCTATCCGTTCCCTGTAATCGCTGCGAAGCCGCTCCCTAATCCTCTGTGGTCTGGTAGCTGGTCTCGAGTTAGCAGTACCATAAGCTTTAAGAATCCGAAACATGCCTATGCAACGGCGATAGCGACCGCCAATCCTTCGATTTTCGGTCCCCTACTCCTTTCACCCCTCTCCCTCACCTCCGGCACGGAACCGCAACGGTCGGACGGGGCCTGGGATAGCCAACAACAAACAACAACGTCACCCAATAACGACCCGCCATGGACGCCGTCGAAGCCGTCCAGGAGTTCCCGGCCATTGTCGCCCAAGCGACGGCCATGAAGCCGAAACTACTCCCCCTCAGATGGCCCGGATCGCTCGCGCAGCTCAATCCGATACCACACAAGTACCGCCCGGCGCGGAAGCTGCGCTTGCGGCTACGATCCACCACCACCAAGAGCCAAGGTCAGGCCGATGACATCACAAGATTGCAGACGTCGTTCGACCCGTCGCCGACGCTCAGAGCGTTGCGCACGAGGAGATGGAGCCTCTGGGACCTGCAATATCTCGTCACCTTCGGATACATTCTCTTTTCGCTAGCCATTCTGCCGTCGGCGCCGCTGATCAAGACGGGCGTGTTGGCGCTGCTCGGGGTGCTACTCCTCATGCCGGTGACGCAGCAGTTCTTCTTGCCGTCGTTGCCAATATGGACGTATCTGTTGTACTTCTTTGCAAGCCGGTAAGTTGTGGCATCGATGGGGAGGGTTTCCGGGTGTTCCGGAACTGGAGGTCCCAAAAAAGGGGGAAAAAAAAGGGGTGGGGGAGGGGGAGAATCGTAAGCTGACCTTTTCCTCCAACTGCAGATTCATCGCGCCTGAATACCGCCCGCATATCTGGGTCAAGGTCCTCCCGGCGCTCGAGAATGTCATGTACGGCGCGAACCTCTCCAACATCCTCTCGGCGCACACGCACGCCGTGCTCGATGTGCTGGCCTGGGTGCCCTACGGCATTGGCCACTTCGCGCTGCCCGCCATCTGCAGCGCCTTCCTGTTCCTCTTCGCGGCGCCGGGAACCACGCCCGTCTTCGCCCGCGCGTTCGGCTACATGTCGATGCTCGGCGTTACCATTCAGCTCATCTTCCCCTGCACGCCGCCCTGGTACGAGAAGCTGCACGGCCTGGAGCCGGCGCACTACGGCATGGAGGGGTCGCCGGCGGGGCTGCGCCGCGTCGACGAGCTGTTTGGCGTCGACATGTACACAACGAGCTTCACCACCGCGCCGCTGCCCTTTGGAGCCTTCCCGTCGCTGCACGCCGCGGACGCCATCCTCGAGGCGCTCTTCATGCAGTACTGCTTCCCGCGCTTCCGGCCATTTTTTGTGTTTTATACCATCTGGATCTCGTGGTCCACCATGTACCTCAACCACCACTACGCCATCGACCTGGTGGGCGGCGGCATCTTTGCCGCGGCTGCGTATTACATCGCGCGCACGCGGTTCCTCCCACGGCCGCAGCTCGATAAATCCACGCGGTGGGAGTACGAGTATGTCGAGCTGGGCGACCGCGCGCGGCCGGTCGATGAGGAGTACGGATACGGGTACGGCGGCGGTGGTGATGGGTATGGGCTGGGGTTGTTGAGCACGAGGAGGTCCGGGACGGGCGATAGCGACGAGTGGACGCTGGGGAGCAGCTCGAGTTTTGACTCGATGTCGCGCGGAGGGGATACCCTGTGCGGAAGCAGCAGCAGCACGCCGGGGATTTTGAGTCCGACTACGCCCAATGACGATCACTATGATGTCTGGAGCAAGGTCCGGTTTGGTGGGCCGAAGGAGGGCGACAGCACGGCGGAGGTGTATGTTGCGAGGTGATCGGGTCTTGCGAGAAAAGAGGGCTGCCCTGGCTTGTTGGGATGACGGATGGGAGCATTTCTGCGTGTGTGGGAAGATGAGGCTCGCTTTTTCGAACACGAGTCCCGCTTACCTGGTTTGCTCCCACCCTCCCTCTTCCCTACTTCTCTCCACCTGACGATGCATTGCCCTTAGCTCGCATCGCGTCGACTCGAACAAGTCAACTGCCGTGCCGGATTGCCGACAGACAGGCGGGCTGCATGCTTATTTCTCCCCGCCGATCCGGTTTAGTCGATACGTTCCATTACCAGCGACGGAAGTGGAAACGGAGTCGCGTGCCCTCAGGCCTGTCCGTGTCAGTGTCCATCTCCCACGCCGGTTTCAGCTCTGTTCTGTCTGCCGGCCGACGTTGCGACCTCGTCGGTTTCGGCCTGTTTTCTGCTTGAAGACGTTGTTTCTGCTTCCTATCGTCGGAATATACCCCCTCTCGTTAACGTTATAGAACATGGGCGCGCGCTTTATGTACAACGGTCGTTACACAGACGCCCCGATGTATACCACATGGGGCAGTCCTGATTTTGCATGGCATGGTATGACCGGACATGGGGAATGAATAAAAGAGACGGATGATGTTGGGTGGGATGCTCAATAAGGGGACGACGAAATGAGGCTGGTTCGGGTGATCGGGCCTGTTGCATGCGCTCAAGTTCCTGGATGGAAGGTCAGATCCACCCTGCTCTACTTTAATATGCGTTTCTCCTAGCTCCTCTTCTCCTCTTCTTCGTGCCTGTGGCTAAGGTGGTGGTGAAAGGGAGAAGCGAGAGCGGGAAAGGAGATGACACGAGGCATGGTAATGATAATGTGATGGACTGTGGAGATGGGGCGGGAAGTAGGTTAATGACCAGGTGAACGGATGGGAAAGGGAAGCTGGAAAAGATGGAAGGGTGAGGACAGGAGAATTCACCTGGCTGCTATGCCGTTGTTTTGGCGGAAGGATTTGCCAGAAACAGAGTATCTTTGATATTGATATGCGCGACGTTTGGGACGAACTAAGGAATAATAATAGACAGTTGAACTGGGCAACCTGCAGAGAGCTTCTGCCTCCGGTCGCGTGAGAGGAGTGTCTTGGTCGTCATCCTCGTGAATTTCCGTTGCGATTGTCTCGCACTAGCACCGAGTTACCAAAAGGCAGGAACCTAGGGAAAACGAAACATTTCTCTCGTTGGAAAAAGAAGAAGACATGTCGTTGGATTAAGGATATCTGAAAATACGCTGCTCAGGGGCTCAGCACTCAGCCTCAACGCTTTTAACTTGGCGTTGTGCAGGGATTGTCAGCTTTAAGGAGAAGATGAATGGCCTTGGCTTCAGCCGCACACTCGCCTACGGTGCTGACACGTGCGACCATGGGTGACGATAGTTTTAACTTGGCGTTTCTGTCGGGTGTGGCGTTCTTGGCTCACGGTTAGTGCGGTATTGACGCGGGAAAGGGAGCAAACTCACGAGAGAAAGCGCAGAGTGAGGAGAGAGATGATGGGATGAGGAGGTTAAGGAGGTCTCCTACTGATGGACGCTTGCAAGTGATCTTCGTTAGGCACATTCACGTGAGGGGTTACATGACAATCCGAGCATAGCGAGGTTTCCTAAACATGATTATTTACTGCCACTAAGTAGGTACCTGAATCCAGAGGAACCGAGCCTATTAACCATCCTTCGCAGCGATGACGCCTCAGGGCGTGCAACCATCCATCCACCTCCTTCTCCCAGTTAACGCGCGCTTCCCCCAAGGAACTTTCTCCTGGCCGCCCAGGCGAGCCTCGAAAAGTCCATCCAGACTGCGTGGTCTACATGAAACCGAATATTCCCTTAAACGCCCAAGATCGGTAGTCGTACAAAACCCATGTGATTCACATAGACAGCAAAGATGAAAGAGCAAATGAAGGCCTGCCATGTCGCCTCGTGTGGTGTAGATTCCACAAGTAAGGGCCGGCATAATCGGGGGAGCAATCAATCCTCGACGGTATGCCCTCAGCAAGAGCCAAACCCAAAGCGATCAAGAGTCATGGTGACTGCAACGGCAGACCCTGTCCGTTCAAATCCATTGTTGTGGATGGGCAACTCAGTGCGAGCCATGTCCGCGCTTCGTGTCGGGCGTCCAGGAGATCTGGGCCTTTCGGAGCTTCTGTCTCTTCCTCTCCTGCTTCCTCTTCTCTGACTTGCTGCGGCCGCCCGAAGGGTGAGACGACTCAGCCTTTCCACCAGAGAACTGCCCGCGCTCTGGGGCCTTGAGGATGCCCTTAAGAGGTTGTGAAGCAACCGGGGGAGTGCCGCCTCGCAGAGCTGCCTTGTTGTCGGGTGTATTGAAGATGCCCTTGTGTGGCTGTGAAGTAACCGAGGGAGTGCCGCTGCGCTGAGCTGCCTTGTTGTTGGGTGTCTGCACTGGCCAGGGCCGGTCGGGGATCACTCGGCGAGGTGTGGTCGCACCAGGAATCGGAACTGGAGTAAAGGGCGCAATTTTGGACTTAGTAGGAATGCTGGGCGGCTTTGACGGTGTGCTGGGCGTCGAAGCTCTTGAAACCCGCGCAGCTTCCACTGCCTTGCGCTTCTCCGACATGGACTGGTACTCTGACTTGATGTTGACGGCGCCAATGCCTGCCCGGATGGCGCTCTGGGGTGAGGGGGACTGATGCTCAGACTTGATGTTCAGGGCGCTAATGCCTGCGTTGATGGCGCTTTGGGTTGAAGAGCCTGCCTAAGTGCTCTTCACGGTTGGAACGGCGGGAGGCAACACCGGCGTGACCCTCGAAGGCTTCTTCAAATCGCTGGACTTCTCTGTAGAAGCGGAGTCCTTCTTCTTGGGCTTGTCTTTGCCCTTTGACTTCTTGGCCGGTGACGACTGTGCCGGTTCAGAAGGGACAGCGGACTTCGCCGAGCTCGGTGGGACAGGAGGAGGCGCGATAGGGGTCTGCTTGATAACCTTGGGGAGCGAAGCCGCAATAGGGGTCTGCGTGATAGCTTCGGTAGGCGAAGGCTCGATTGCCTTGCTGTCGATCCGAGCCTTCTTTGGCTTCTTGGCGGGTGTGGATGCGGGCTCCTCATGGCTAGGCGTCCCTTTCTCGACATCGGCGAGCTTGCGCTTCTTTGCCGCCTTCTTCGGCGAGTCGGATTTGGCATCCACGGCAGAACCGTTCAGCAGTGGAGGGGCTGGGGCCATCTCGACGTCCTCATCACTGCCCGGCACGTCCGCCCCAGAATTGCCAGTATCCCCATTTGTGACCCCGAATGGCAGATAACGCGCCTTCAGTCCCTTAGGCTGCGGGCGAGGAGCGCTGACAAGGGCAGATGATGTCAAGTCCGGGGCAGGCTCGTTCTCACCCTCGTCGCCGCGGAGCGTGACGCGAGTGATGTGCAGAACGCGATCGACTGATTGGTTCACTAGGCAGTCGTCAGTATGCAAACAAATGCCGGGTTTTTGACTAGAGCGACAAACTTGTTTCATAGGTTGATCCATCCTTCCCAGGGATGAGGACTTTGATGGCATGGTTGATCGACTCCTCGAATTGGCCAGTGTATTCGGCTCCCTCGTGGGCGAAGATTGATCTCCCAGAATGGATCTTTTCGAGGGGGATGGCATGCTTCTGAATGACCTCGATGGGTACGGACTTGGGTGTCGTAAAGTACCAGATCTGCTTGCCCTCGGCCTTGGCTTTCTTGAAGACCTGAGCGACCGCAGCGGCATCGACATCATCCCCGGCTTTGCGCAAGGTGAAGCCTTGGGAAACAACCTCGCGAGCCGGCGGTCGACTATAGATTGTTAGTGTATGAGAAACCATCACAAAGGTTTGTACTGACCTCGGTGCCTTTCCCTTTTGCTTCTCAACAGCCAAAGACCGCGCCGCACTCTCGTCCTCAGATTCAGATCCCGAGCTCTCAGCAGCGCTCGAGCCGTCAGACTTGCTAACAAACTCCCTGCTCAGCTCCTTGCTTTTCGCGGCCCCATTGACAGGAACTGATGGCTTCAACGGGTTGACAGGAGCGGGTTTCTTGGCATTCGCAACCTCCTTCACGGGTTTGGGGGTGTGTGCTGATGCTTTCTCCATGGGTTTCCGTGAAGGTTCTGGCTCATCCTCACTGTCGCTTGCGCTCTCGTTCTCGCTGTCACTCTCGCTCTGGGCTGTGGACTTTGACTTGGCGGATGGTTGCACCTCGCCTGCGCTCTCGCCTTCGCTCTCACTCTCAGACGCCGATTCGTCGTCGGAGGCGGAAGCCTCTTTTGTGGCGGTCGCTGACGTTGTCGTAACCTTGGCACCCGATGATCCAGATACGGATTCGTCGTCGCTGGATTCGTCCTCGCTTGCACTGTCAGCCTCAGAGGCAGACGCCGGCGAAGCCTTCTTCTTGACGGGCTGTGGGTCAGCCATTTCTTCATCGCTGGACTCGCTCTCAGCCTCCGATTCGGAGACCTCCTCCTTGACGGCTTTCTTGACGTCCGATCTCAAATCAACATCCATCTTGGCATCTTCGTCCTCGCTACCACTGTCGCTCTCGCTCTCGCTCTCGCTGGCGGAAGATTCGGAGCTCTCCGGTTTCTTGACCTCTAGTTTGACAGCAGCGCTTGCCGTATTGGTTTTGGGCGATGTGGCCGGAGCAGGTTCGGCCTTGACAGGCGTTGAAGCGGCTTTCTTGGCCTTGATTTTATCGGCCCAGCTCTTGGTCTCCTCGTTCACGACCACGTCAGTCTCGGAGGTATCGCTGTCGGTGTCACTTTCACTGTCGCTATCGCTCTCAACCGGGTCGTTTGTCTTGCCAGCCCGCTTCGGGTCGGAGCTGGTGAACATCTTGGGAACCATGTTGCGCACGAGGCCAGCTGCTGCGGCAGCGTGCTGCGACAGAGTGCCGATGGGCGCCCGCGGCCCTGCCATGGAAATTGTTTAGCTGTAATCCACAAAGATCAGAAGCCAGGGAATAGAATTCGAGGCGAGCGAAAAAGGAGGAAAGAAAGTGCAGATCGCCGAAATGCGAGAGGAGAAAGTGTCTAAACTGTTTGGTTTATCGCTCTGGCACTCTTTTTGTCCAAGTTCCAAAAAATCATCACGATAAGCTCAGATTGACGACCCCCTGCAAAGGCTGCAAAGGTGGAATGGTGGGGTCGGCTGCAACGAATGCGAATCTGATTGGTTGGAGCAGGAAAGATAAACCAGCGTCGGTGTTAAACAAACCCTCCAGAGAAGCCAGAGCTCGACCGAGTCGTTCGGACCAGTCGCGCAAGGGCGACGACGTTGAGCCGAAGAGCTAAATATTGAATGCGACGTATAGAGAAGGGATTCAAGTTAATTGCCGCCAGGAAGCTGGTTGTTCTGGGAGGACAAACTCACGCTTCGATTTGAGAGAGGTTGAAGGGGAACAGAAGTTTGCGGACGAGATCGAGTTACGTGGGTGCAAGGCTCGGAAATGGCTTCAGTCAAAAAAAGGAAGCTTGATCGCGGGGGAGGGGGCAGCGAAAGCGGCAGCTCTACGCCAATCGGTATGAAAAACTATTCATAGAGAATCTTGAACACTTTTGCTGACTGGTCCTAGCGATGAGCGCCTTTGCCGCACGGCAACAGCTCTGGGGAGTGGCAGCAACAAAGGCTGCAGCCGTGTTTGACAAAGGGACCCCTGAATCGACGACAGAAGATGTCACACAGTCGAAGCAGAGCGAGACCCCGTCAGCTCGGTCCGTCGCAGGCCGCAGCAGCAAACGCCATGCCCCTGAGGAGCCAGTCTCTGTTGAAGTCAAGCAAACGCAGGGTGCAGGCAGTGAGGGTGAGAAGAGGATGTCGAGGTATGCCTGCCGTCCTCCATCATGCGTCCTGATACTGACACGAAAAGTTCTTTTACGCCCCGTTCTGAGTCCAACGGGATGCCCGTCAGACAGTATTCGTCCTTCAAGCCCAACACAAAGAATCTCCAAAAGAAAGCTGGCGGTCGACTAGTGCTCAGTACCCCTGAGGCTGAGGCAAGCCGACCCAACCTTTCCCGGGACTACCTGTGTCCGTTGCTGACCAATTCAGCGCCTTGTCATTCTTGGAAGCTACGGCATCAAGGTTCGCCAGGGGGAGGCTACTATTGCTGGCGCCATCCTGACGGCATCCGATGATGTCCAATGGGTCCATGCCCCTCGTTGCCATGCCCTGCCTGTCCTCCGGACGGCAGAGGAGACGGTGCTCGAATTGCAACCCCACCCAGCCGCCAAGGGGTTGAGGGAACTGGCAAAACTGAACCCTGCATTTGCCAAACTGTGGAACGAGAATCTCCACGGAGCAGACTCGACTAGGTCCGGAGAGACCTTCCAGATTGTTCGTCCCCTGTACCTGCCGCTCTTTGACTCCATGACTGACTCGGGCAGATTTACACTTCGGAAGATTTATCGAAGAGGTCCCTCCTGCAAGAGCTGGTTTCGCCAGCAGAGTGGAACAAAAAGCTGTCTGGACTGGTGGCAACAAACCGGAAATGTGCCCCGGTTGTTTTCCTTTGCGGACCAAAATCCTCCGGAAAATCAACATTCGGGAGACTCATTGCAAACCGGTTAATGACCGACCGGGGCGGTTCAAAGAACAAGCCCTGGTCGAACGTGATGGTTCTTGACCTCGATCCCGGGCAGCCGGAGTACTCGCCGCCAGGAGTCATCTCCTTGACAAGAATAACCACCCCTAACCTGTCACCCTCCTTCTGCCATCCTTCTCTCACTTCAGAACAGGGCCAGATACGAGCCCATGCCATCGCCTCCGTCACTCCAGCCCAGGATCCAGCCCACTTCATGGATTGTGTCCTCGACCTCTTCCATCATTACCGACGCGGTTCCGACGCCAAAAGCCCCCTGATCATCAACACTCCTGGCTGGATCCAAGGCACCGGCCTCGACATCCTCACCGAACTGATCACGATCCTCTGCCCGACAGAAGTGATCTACACGTCTCAAGACGGCCCCGAAGAGACCGTCAGCAGCCTCCAGTCCGCCTGTTCCGCCACCAATCCCCCAACCCTTTTCTCCACCCTCCCCTCCCAGCCAACGGAACCACCCTCCTCACGCACAGCCCTGCACTTCCGCACGATGCAAACCATGTCTTATTTCCATCTGCGCCACCCGCCTAGCCAGCAGCGGTATCCAACCTGGGACCCAACCCCGCTAACCGACCTCCGCCCGTGGCGCGTCCGTTACGCAGGAACAAACAGAGGGTTCCTGGGCATCCTCTGCTACGACCACCAACCGGCGCCAGAGCTGCTCGCCGAGGCCATCAACGGGACCGTCCTGGCGCTGGTCAAGCTCGAGGACAGATGTGCCGCGTTGAGGGGGTTGCGTCCGTCGCTGACCGATGCCTATCCCGACGACCCCGACGTCGCCACGGGCAATGATAATCACACCCCGCTCCCTGACCCCGACATGTCGGGCTGCTCAACATCCCCGCCTGCTACAATATCCGTTACCAACGACAACACACAGGACCAGCAGCAGCGCAACCAAACCTCTCCCTGCGCCAACGGCACCACCAACAACATTCCACTAATCCCGCTACTGCCCAACCCGCAAGGCCAAACCCTCTCCACGACGCACTCGCACACCCTCGGCCTCGTTCTCGTCCGGGGCGTGGACATGTCCCACAACGAACTCCAGCTGCTGACCCCGATCCCCGCCGACACCCTGGCAGCCTTGGGCGGCGAGGACGTGGTGCTCGTCGCGGGCCGGTTTGACACGCCCTGCTGGGCTTACAGCGAGGGGCTTTACTTGATAAATCATGCGGCTGCGGCTGCGCCGAGGAAGGGGCGAGGTAATGCTTTTGGTTCTGGTTCTGGTTCTGGTTCTGGGGGAAACGGTGGGGAGGTTGTTGATGATGATGACGATGAGGGTGAGGAGGGAGACGAAGAGGAGGAGGATGGGGATGAGGATGGAGAGGTGGTGGAGGCAGGGGGGAAAAGAGGAAGTGCGGTGCCGTGGGTGGAGATGTTGCATGGGAGTCAGAAGCGGGCTGTAGGGAGCAAGGTGTGGCGGGTGAGGCGGGATTTAGGGAAGGGGTGATGGGTAGCTTATGCCCAGTGGTGGTGTGATCACAAGTTCAAATGAGGAAGAGATGCTGGAAGATGAACCCATCAAGAGTGGCTACGTACTCGTACAAACTTCAGCACGTATTTTCACTTAAAGCAATGTAATGCCACCCGCCGCTATGCTTCCTTAGTAATTTCCCTTGACTTTGAGCCCCCATCCTCACGTGCACTGGTGGTAATACGCATTGATAATCTTGCAGCTATACGGCGAGGCACAACTCGTGCACCCGCCGAAATCTGCCCCGCCACACTGTCCCCATTGCGCAACGCTGCAGCCGCCGCTGCCGGGGCCCGGCTGGGTGCTCGTCGGCGCCGCCGTAGAGGTGACGAGAGTGGTGGTGGGCTGGCTCGCGGGCTGCGAAGGGGATGGGCTGCTGCCGCATGTAAAGATGGGCGGGCCCGGGATGGTGTACTTGCTGGACGGCGTCATGGAGTAGATGTTGATGAGGATTCCCGGGTCGTTGGCTTTGTAGACGCCCGGGATACTGTAGGTTTGGGGCTTGCCTGTGCCGCTCCCGCCAACAACGTTGATTTGAGCGCATTCCATCTGCTTGGTGTTAGTGTGGTAATAAAAGGGCTTGAGGGGACGGGTCCTTACGTAGATCTGAGCGCCGCCGGATGAACCGCCTCCGTGTAGAGCGATCATCTCGGCCCGGAGGAGATACTGGCCGTTCTCAAGGCACGACGGAATGTCACTTGGGGTTGGTCAGTACCTGGACGGCGCAGGGGAATGAAGAACTCGCATGTAATGCTGGCCAGCGTTGCTGATGACCTTGCTGGTGCCCCATTGTCCATTGTTGTAACCGTCCTCCTGAATCTTAAACCAACCACCCCCAATGCCCGTATCAGTCAGGGCGTTGGTGACCTTTTTGAGATAGGCCAAAGTCGGCCCCTTGTGGCTCTGTTGAACAATGTCAGTCATACCATGCCTGTGAAGCGTGACTCGGCAGTAACTCAAGAGCAAAAGCGCGACTTTGGGACTAAGAGCACTTCCGTAATCCCCGAGGCTCCCTGGGAAGGGGGCAAAAGCACTGATTTCACGTACAGCGTCCATGACATCGCCGGGGCCTGAGGTGAGCGTGTGCCGCCAGATAGCCTTCACGGTAGTGCCAGCTGTAACAGTGATAATCTCGTTGGACGGCATGGTCGGGTTCGGGCCGCCATTGCAGGCGACGTCGTTGGAGGCGACATTAGTGATGGGCCCGTCGTAGGATGGGGTCCGGATGGCATGCGATACTGGGTAGACCTTACCGCCCGCATCAAGCTGGACGAAGATGGTGTGTGCAGACGCCGCCGATGCAGCAGCCAAGAGGGTGAGACCTTTCATTGTGACGATTCAAGGGGAATTTGTTGGAATCAGTCGCACAGCACGACATGTGCATCAGAAGGATAAGAGCAGGTATATATACTTGCCTGTGACTTGCTTCTTCTTCCCACCATACGAGGACGGCTCCTCCAATCCCGAGCCATATTCCCACAGGCCAGTTTTTCGTGATAAGCGCATTCTGATGGCTGAGCCGCGGTTCTGTGGCTTCCGTGTTCCACGGATGGGATGGTGGTTGCGCTTGGGCGCGGGAGGGCGGAAGAAGGACGTCCGTACCGGGGAATTCACTCTATTTAAATGAGTAGCCAGCTTCATTCATCCCACGCACCTTGAGCAAATCGTGCTTTTTTCTCTATGCTTAAAACCCTGAGATAGCGCACCGTCATCCCGAATATGCGGTAACTTTTCGTGTCGTAAGTATGCTGCTGCGAGCTGACATGGAGGGAACAGCGGATTGCGTATTTCAAGGATTCCCACGCTCCGGTTACTTCCCCCAGTAAACGAGAGAATCGCGGTGGAATAGGCCATGCCGGCAAGCGCCTGGTGGACTGGACGGAAGTATTGACCGGGCTGTGTGGTAGGTTGCTTCCGCGTATCTCGGGCAAAGCGATGCCGCTGGGAAATCGTCCCATCTAAGCATCTTAGTAGGTCCGCTTTGAATATTATTATTCCTACACCGCTGTGCCCTAGGGCGTGCCGGACCTTCAACAACTTACTATACAGGAAAACCGCGCCCTCGTGGGCCGGGTGAAAAACCC